GTCGATGATAATGAGGTTGATGGTGTTGGTGATAAGATTGGTGATGTCAATGATAATGAGGTTGATGGTGTTGGTGATAAGGTTGGTGGCATCAACACGAGTGTCCAGTGTGTTGACTTGATGCTTGAAGTGATCCCCAGACCGCAGTGGACTACTGCCTTCGGTTCTATCTTGATCCGGACCGCTAACCTGCTATGGGTGCCTTCGGACATCAGGTAGTGGTGATACAACACACACACTACGATGAGGAGCAACCTTTGATGGATTGCTGCTATGCTGACTGAAACTAATATATACTTATGCTGAAGTGATAACTAGTTATGGTGAGTAGAGTGGATGAGGATCCACTCGACCTATGATGATGAGAAAGCATGGTTATATACCTCTACTCAGCATTGCCAGCAATGCTGCTCCTGCTCTCTCTCTCCAGAGAGTACCTTCTTCATCGAGTACTGCTCAGGGGCCTCTCCTGCTTGGCACCCCTGTGCCTCTTGAGCTGTGTCGACTCCTTCGACACTGCTCCTCCTCCTCATGACCTGATGTCAACTCCTTCGACACTGCTCCTCCTCCTCATGACCTGGTGTCGACTCCTTCGACACTGCTCCTCCTCCTCATGACCTGGTGTCGACTCCTTTGACACTGCTCCTTCTCCTTTGATCAGTGACAGTTCCTTTGGCTCTTGTCTCTCGAGCCCCTGAGTGGTAACCATCTGCATGCTCCTTGAGCTTGGTCCTCTTCGTGGCTGTGCCTGCTCCTTGAGCTTGGTCCTCCTCATGGCTGTGCTTGGCCCTCCTTTGCATGTGAGTCCATAGGAGTCCATGGTCTCCATGGAGACTGCACTATGACCATGCTCTCTACTGATCTTGACTAGATCTTCGATACCTGTGCTCCTTCCATATGAACCCATGACCCTCCTGCTTCTTGAGCATCCAGGCCCATGACACTGTGTTGCACCCGATTTCTCCTGAGATCGACTTGACCTAATCTACGATCGAATTGGTAGCTCAACCAGATTGGCCCTATCTGATCTTCGATCAGATCGGCTCCGCGTCGTTCTTTTACCATCTCATTGGATCGTCATTTTCAGCAGGAAAAGGGTGTGAGCGTACTTGTGCTTTCGGAAGCCTTTCTTCCAGCAACGAGTTCAATCCCATCTCTCCAGCCAAAGCATTGAGCTACCTCTCTCCTTGACGTTGTCCGTCGAGCTATTGTCAAACGCACTGCCTAGACTTGCTCGACATTGGCAAACAGAAAACAGCAGCTGCGACAGGAGTGTTGTCTGAGAGGCCTTTGCCTGCAGGTAAGGTGTCTCTCTCTCTTCCAGGCGTGTTCGTGGGCTCAGCCAGCTCTTGGCAGCATCAAGATCCTCTTGCTCGCTTCGAGGTGACAATTGGCCAACCTCACTCCGACCACAGACCACGCGGCCATTCGCATCAAGATCAGCAATATGATTACAGGCAAACATCCGAGAAAAACAGCAACATCTCACACCAACGCGCAAAAGGTACAAGGACCTCTGAAAGGATAGAGATCACACCTAGTCAAACAACAGATGCCTTGAAGAAAACCATATCATTGCAACGAAAAACAACTAATAACAAAGACAAAGACACTACGAAAGCAACAACTGCAACGAAACCCATTTTCGAACCTGGCAAACAAGCAGGGTCTATCAGAAACGAGCGGCCAACCCTCCCTCGGAGCTCAGGAACAAGCTCCCACTTAAGGTCGCAAGCCATGTTGCTCCTCGGGCAAAGGTCCTCGGCGGGCGGCTAGAATCGTCCTCGACCACACAAGGTGGAAGAGGAACGACAAGGCCCTTGATATAGCCTCACTGTCGTAAAGGGCGGCAACACTCGGCTTTCATCTACTAGACTGAATAAGGTGACATGCAATTGAGCATGTAGAATCGGAAATCGACTTTATTAAGTGATTCCGTAAAGCTGAAGAGGCGGAAGCAGAACGAGTGGCAGACGAGCGATGGCAATAAGAGTCAGTGAAACCGAACGGGTGGATTGCCATGTGTCAATGTGGATGGGAATGGCTAGAAGCGGCTTCACCCTGGGGTGGAGAGGTGTAGAGCTGGTCTGGGAGGGTAAAGGAAAAGGTAGGGTAAAGGGAAAGGTATAGGGTAGGTGCAATACTCACTATGATCTTGGAGAGAAAGGAAGGGGGATGCGTGAATCTCGCGAGAATATATACCTTTCGTGCCATCCTCTCAACCGACACGCTCAGCGAAAAAAAAAAAAAAAAAAAAAAAAAAAAATCAAAAATCGGTGAAGCTGAGCCTCTGTCAGAGAAATTTTGCCGCCTCGGCCGCTGCTGCGCAACCTGTGAAATTTCGAGAAAAAAAAAAAAATCTGCAGCGGACAAGTCAAAAACTGCGGCGAGCGGTTTCATTTCCCTTCGCCCACCTAACGCCTTCTAACGGCCGACAGCGCGGGATAGAAGCCGCCTTTCGCTTCCTCTCGCACTCCCAGAGTCGAGTAGTATTCACCTTAACAATGATCGCGTGCTGAAACAGAGAAGGGACAAGCTGAACACAGGGCAGCAGAGGATGCTTCGGACCAAGAAGATCTTCTGTCATCCCAAGGCCGCGAACGAGCCGTTCCGATTCGTCGCCCGATGAAACGCGAGTTGAAATCGGCCCGACGCGATTTCCCGATCTACAACGGTCGCTCTCTGACACCTTGATCCAAGAAGAAGAGGATGAAATCTTATCGTCCACTGATGCCACCCTGACCGGAGCACTGCTTCACTGATAGCGCAAATGGTGACTCGTAGCTCATTAATCGCTCAAGTTCGACGGGGAGTACGTGCTAATCACCTCGAACTCAAGAGGATGTGTTGTGCAGTGACCACGCGGTCCAGGCAGTGTGTGCATCGTTGTGCGCAATCGGCCTTACCAGGACCATTGTCATGCCGATGGCTCAAGCTTACCAACAAGCGACAATGTGATGCCCTGAACAGGATGGCCGTCAGAATGGTTGGAGAGATGCCAAGAGCCAGATGTTCGAGGATGCTACATCCACCTTGGCATCTCGCGAGAGGAGTAAAGCTGCCGATTTCCAACACCGCCCGGCAAAGGGCTGCTCGCCACTCGGACACACCGGGGTTTCAGCTTTTCTCACTCTGACCGAACTCCTTCTGCCAGGGTCTTCTGAAACGCCAGCAAAGCACCGAATCAAAGGCATTCATGCAAGAAGCAGACACCCCCTTTGTGCTGTGGCAGCAACTGTTCGCATCGATGCGTTTCGTCTTGGATCAAGGAGCACGCTTCAACGCCCCCTTGAAGGCCTCACCCTTTGTGTGTGAGAAAGCAGTCTCTTTCCAGGAACAGGTGCCTAAGTGCTCGCAAGATGATCAGGTCCTATTGTGGTCAGGCCCTCGCCGCTTACAATTTGTCCTGGAAGCCTTCTGCCACGAAAGGGAAGCAACTTGCCGACGCCGAGCGAGCCGAAGCAGCGGGATCGAGGGTGTCTCTTCAACACCCTCAAAACACGACTGCAGGATGCTGCTTCTATCGGCAGTCTTGGCGTTTGCCCCCTACCATCACACTCTCTGATTCAAGAGGAGCAAAAGCGGTGTTGCCATTGATTGCTGCGTGTCCATTCAGCCCAGCTACCAATTGCCAGCGGGATTGTCGCGCCTCTCTTTCTTGCTGTAGCGCTTGCCAGCCTGTAAAAACACTCACTCACACTGACAATGCCTTTTCGATCCTTCAAGCATCTTCTCTCTGGTTGTGGCATGGAGCAGGCTACCATGCGGAAAGCATGCGGCGGTCGGCTGCTCTATTCGTCGTTGGCAGACGATTGCAAAGCCGCTACAACGGCATGCAGTTGCAGCTTCGATGTGTGCACACACCAACAAGAAGAACAAGTGCTTAGCGAGAGGCAAGGGGCCAAGGCGATAGACAGCCGCCTGGACATTCAAGAGAGGACAACGCAAATCCTACGAGCATGCGTTCGCTGGCTCGCTGGCTGCTTTCTGTAACAATGGATCATACAGTTTCCAAAAGTCATTGCCGAAGACGCTGCTGCACTTCTTGCAGCTGTCTCGTTGGCACTTTCGGCTTCCACAGCTTCTGCTTCTGTCGAGAACCCCAACGATAGCATCGTCTGCCCCTCCTTCCTGTCTCAAACGGTTGACAGTTGGCCTTTGTCTCAATTGTAATCGTCAGTGGTGCCGGATGACTTACACACACACACACACACACACACACACACACACACACACACACACACACACACACACACACACAATGCGACCGTTTTCGTCTATTGCTTCATTCACGCATCATGTATGAAAGCGATGTGATAGGTGCTGTCGCTACTGATCCTTTTGTGCGATTGTCGTTCGCTTAGCTTGTTGTAGCTGTATGGCGGCATACGGAACATGCTATCGCGCATCCCTCATTGTCGTCCCGTCCTCGCTCTACATGGCCCAGCAGTCGATTGTGCTTCCTCTGCCCTGCTAGTCTCCCTGTGGTATTCCTTTGAGGCCCAGTTTCTCCTGCTGCAGATGTCGTCCTTGGTTTCCTCAGCACGCCTGGGCCATTTCTTTCTCCCCCTTCCTTGCTTCCGTCCTTCGCTGTTACTTCCTTCCCTTCCACATCCATCCTTCTCCCCTTGTCGAACCACTTCCCTGCCTCGTGCACATCGTATCTCAAGTTGCTGGTCTTCTTTTTGATACTTTGCCCCCTGTTTATTCACTCTTGCTCGCTCCAAGCTATCTGCTGCGCAGATCTTGATCAACATATACACACGTTCACCTCACTTTCGTCGCACACATCATCCCCCTCCACGATCCCTTGTGGTTCGACATTGCCATCTCCTCTCCCTCTTGCATCCCGACACCGCTCGACTCGATACCTTTGACAAGCCATCCTAGTCAGAACCACCCCTCTTTCAGCAATCCTCTTCAGCGTCTTCGTCCATCTCATTTCCTTCTTCAACCTCTGCATCTCATCTACCTCTTCAGCATAGCTCACCTTCGACAACATGGCTCCTATCGCTAAGACCGTCTGCATGGCCCTTGCCGCCATCGCTCTTGCCGCTGCAGCCACCCAGCCCGCTGAGGCTCATCAGCTCAACTCTCGACACGCCGCTGCTGGCAGCAACGTGTACCACAACCTTCACTCTCATTCCCGTCGCATGGAGCGCAAGATCCGACGTGGCGATTCCTTCTCGATCTCGGGAGCAGGTAGCATCTCGGGTTCCGCTGCCTCCGACGGTGATTCGGCCTCGGCATCCATCACAGGCTCCGGTAGCGTTTCGGGTTCTACCTCGGATGATGGTTCAAAGTCATCATCAGAGTCGCATGCTCAATCTGGCGCTGCTTCCGACGCCCAAATCACAGCTCAGACCAATGCTCAGTCTGGCTCCCAGACAAGCTCGCAGGCTTCCTCCGACGCCTCGTCCAACAGCAACGCCTCAAGCCACGCTTCCAGCAACGCCTCGAGCAATGCAAGCAGCGAGGCCAGCAGTAATGCCTCAAGCAATGCCTCATCCAGCAACTCATCCAGCAATGCCTCTAGCCATGCATCCAGTGAAAATAGCAGCCAGGCCAGCAGCAACTCAAGCTCAGATGACAACAAGGGCAGCGACAAGCAGGGTTCTAACTCGAGCTCCTCCTCCTCGTCCAGCCCTACTTCGCCCGCTTCGTTTTCGGGTTCGGCCGCCTCTGCAGCCTCGAGCACACCCTGCACCAGCGACCACAAGTCTGGCGCAGCTGCTGCCGCCACATCTGCGCCCACGAGCACCAATTCCGGTAGTACTTCTGCTGCCTCTGCCGCCTCTACCACCCCTTGCACCAACGACAAGAAGAGCAGCACTCAGACCACGAGTAACACCGCTACCGCTGCTGCCGCCACTGCCAGCGGCTCTCAGTCGTCCAGTGCCAGCGGCGCCTCTTCCACCCCTTGCACCGAGGGTCAGGGCAAGGGCACCTCTACTGCCTCTGCCGTGACTGCTCAGCAGACCTCTACCGGCGCCGACTCCTCCGACTCGTCTTCGTCTGACAACCAGGCTGCTTCCGAGTCGTCGGATGAGGACAATGCTGACGCAAACGCCTCCTCGAACTCCTCCTCGGACGCCGACGCCAATGACGATGAGGACTGTGATAATGATGAGGCAGAAGCCTCGTCCACCTCAGACAGTGCTGCTGACTCTGGTGCCAACAGTGACGCTTCGACCTCCTCGGGTTCGAGTTCTGCTGCCAACTCCTCCGCTCAGTCTAGCGGCTCCAACGGTGGTTCCTCGTCCGGCTCGAAGGGTACCTCCTCCAGTGGCTCGTCTAGCGGCTCCAACGGTGGTTCCTCGTCCGAATCGAAGGGCAACGGTGGTTCCTCGTCCGGATCGAAGGGTACCTCCTCCAGTGGTTCATCCAGTGGTTCTTCCGGCTCTTCGGGCTCTTCTGGTTCGGTCTCGAGCTCCGGCTCTAATGCAGGCGCTTCGGCTTCCCCTTCCTCAGCTGCCAACTCCGGCTCTTTGTCTTCGGGCTCTTCCAATAACGATGGCGGAGACGATGACGACTGTGATGACGACGAAGCCAATACCGCTGATGACGACGATGACGACTGCGATGACAATGACAGCAGCGACTCTTCGTCTGCTGCTGCCTCTTCCGATGCTCCCTCGGCTTCGTCCATTTCGTCCACTGCCTCGAACAACGAACAAGAGCTTACTCCTGTTTCGGCTTCTTCGAGCTCGGCTACCCCTTCGCCCACTCCTCAAGCTAGCAAGGATAACAATGGCTCTTCGTCGTCGTCCTCGCCATCGGCAGCTGCTTCGTCTTCATCTTCGTCCTCCGCTGCCGCCGCCTCTTCGTCTGCGTCTTCCTCGTCGCCTTCCTCTTCCTCTTCCTCTTCCTCTTCCTCTTCCTCTTCCTCTTCCTCTTCTTCCTCCTCAGGCAGCCTTGCCAACGCCATCACCGGAGGCTACGCAACTTATTATTGGCAGAACGGGAATCCAGGAAATTGTGGCCAGTACAACAGCGACGATACGCCCATCATCGCATTGCAAACAAGCATGTATGCTGGTGGATCTCGATGTGGACAGAAGGTCAAGATTGTCCGTACCGATGACCCAAGCAAGTCTGTTATCGCCACCGTCGCCGACTCGTGCCCTTCGTGCACCAACGCGCAGTCACTCGACCTCTCGTGGGGTGCTTTCAAACAGATCGCCACCGCAGCCGAGGGTATGGTCCCTATCAAGTGGGCCTGGGTCTAAGATGGTGGTGTTGACATAGACGACGATGACAAGCTTTGAGCGCGGATTTGGACAGCTTCTGGAAGTGGTCAGCTCATTTAGCTGCATTTCATATATATATTTTCGGTGGGCTTGTCATCAATCTGCGCCACTTTCATTACCCCCCTCCTTTCACTTCATTTGCCTCACGCAGGCTCTTCTGCTGAGCTTGCAGATCATACGACGCCTTCCGGCCACTATCAGATTACTGGACATTGAGCTGGTCTCGCTGGACAGTCTGTTGTGACTGGCCGATCGTCAGTCAAGCTGGTTGGCGTTCTCACGTGCATACATTTTGCTTCTTTTGTCACATTCATCAACATTTCAAGGATCTAGCCTTCCTTTCATCCCGCTCCATTTGAGCTCTTCACTGTGCAGAGCCCCCTTGGCCGAGGCGTCGATGCCGAGCGCTGTCTGGGGCTTCAAACTTGTTGATTCTTGTTATTTCAACCGTCATTAGATCGGATGGTTTTACCCTCTTGAACGGTGCCTGCATCCCCGTCATTGTCGTGGTCAATGGGCTGTGTGGTCTGAGGTGTGTGAGTCGTGTGAAGAGATAGGTTGAGTGCTTCGATAATCTCTAGCCCTGTGTTGGGTAGAACAAGATCTCTTCTTGCGACCAGCTTTGGCCGATGTATCAGGCTTTCTTTTCCTAGTATCCTTGCCTCCAGTATTGCTGTCTTGGTCGTTGCCCTCTCCTCCATCATCTCCAGGACGTCGTTACTGTCCTCTCCTGAGCCGGGAAAGAGAAGATTTCTGATGCCAATGCATGTGTCTTGGCTTTTGGCGATAAGATCCAGAACTCGGTTGAAGAGTTCCATGGGTACGAAAACCCTTTCCAAGTTGAAGACCGGCAATACCTGCGGCAAAATGTAGAGATCGCTGTCCACGGTGGGATCAGTCCAGGCGGGGGTGGTGCAATTGGTCAAGCAGTCGAGCAGCGTGGAAGCTACTTGCTGGCCGGGTTCGGTGGGGTTTTCCCAATCCAACCTCATGGCCAAAGCCGCCGCCGTTCCCGCAGTGAGTAGGCCAAAAGTCTGTCAAGCGTAGACCCATAAGATCGTATGTGAGCTTGCTCGGATCCTCGATTTCAGAAACTAGGAAGGGCATCCCTCCTTGAGGATCGGAGACCTCCCTGCTGCCATAACAGCAAAGGCTTAAGTCTGAGATCGGGTTGGTGTATCTGGCTTTCACCAGCTCGATAGCCTCGTCATCTGAATACCTATAAATATCTGTATCGGAGAGGAAATCTTGTGTTCGACCGAGTTTTTCAACCATGAGATGAGCGAATGGAATGCTAACTGGGTCTCAATCTCTGACCCCAGGCGGCTTGCGTAGATTACCTTTTCTGTCTCTTCGTCTTGCATGGGCGTGGCAACAAGCTTACGAGGATCTTCCTGGAGTAGTGTGGTGCTCCTGATACATTGTAATGCTTGAAGAAGCTTCCAGCGGGACGGCGGCGGAAAGAGCGGATCTTGTCGTCTGAGATGGACTTCGAAACGTGCCTGCTTGCTAGACCTCGAATGGAACGTAATGAAAGGAAAGCTCGTTCCTCGAAACGATGGTCAAGGTGCCCAAGGGTGAGCAGTGTTGGACACGTGAGAGTGTCTTGCTGGGAGTGTTGCACAAGTCCAAGTGGAGAATTTCACAAAGGGTAACACGCTTTGACCACCGCCGGCACTCAATCCCACCCCTTTCCTCTCACCCTTTTCCTCCCAACCACCATCTGTCCAACTCTCAGCTTTTGTCACAGTCTGCAATCGCAAAGCCAAGTTCCTGTCGCATAAGCAGGCAGTTCCTCGCTATTCGAGCCAGCACCGAAACTCGGTTGAAGATGCGAGCTCTGACTCTGCTTAGTGTAGGTTGGGCATGGCTCGCCCTCGCTCTCACACTGACAAGTGCTGCACATCTAGCAAGAGCAGACTCACCTCCTGCCAAGGTGCAGCTTCGTGCATCATGGCTCAAGATCCGACTTCCCAGCAACGGCTCACCCTTCCTCCTAGAGCTTCTCGAAGCAGCAAGATCTCAACGTCCATCTAGCTTCTTTCCTCTCATCGATCTGCTCACCAGCACGCACACGGCCACTCAGCTGCGTTCCGCCTCCGACAAATGGCTAGCTCAGACTATCGAGAATCTGATCAGGTCTCACCAACTATTTGGCACATCTCAAACACATGTGGACGAGGCCTTGGACACATGGCGCATGTCATTGGCACTCAAGAACAGCACTCCGAGGATCCAAGCTTTTGTTCATCTGTATAAGGCGCTGCAGCTTGAAGACACATGGCGGTCTAGGTCGAACAAGGACCCGTGCGTGAGCTGGGTACACCACGAAGGAAAGGTTCTATGCTCCGCTGAAGAGTTGCACCAGGCTTTGCAGGACAATGCCGCCTCCTCGTCCGCAGTAAGCTCTACGAAGCAGGTAGCATTCGGTCACCCTCGCAGTGCCAGCGAAGCCAGCTACAAATTCGACACAGCAAGCTCGCAGATTTTCGAGCTCTACGCAGACCCATACTCAGATAACTTCCGAGAGCTCTTCTCGACACTTGAGAAGCACGCGACTGATGCAGAAGGAGGCGTCAAATACACCCTGCGTTGGAGGCCATCGCTCGACAATCAGCCAACAGCAACCTCAGGAAGCCAGCAAACCACCTTTCTGTCCGGCTACGGTGCGATCCTGGACCTCAAAAAAGTCGACTACCTCGTCATCGACGACCGCAAGCTCAAAGACGACAGCGACATCGGCGATCTCGGCATCGCGACCAACACCCACGACGAGGAAGCAGCCGCTTCTCAGCGAGCTTCCGCCGATCTTCGCTGGCTGCAAGACCAGATCGGTGCTGACTCCTTCTTAGCTTCCACAAGTCTCTCCTCACTGACAGACAGCGAGATTGCAGACTTGGGAATCAAAGCAGCTCGCCTGATCATGTCTTCACCGGACCCATTACGCGCGCTGCAAGAGCTATCGCAGAACTTCCCTTCGCATGCGGCCGCACTAGCCAGCTCGACCAAGTTCGACGATGGCGATGCCTCTGCAGCGCTTTTCGAAGCAGTGCTGGGGCTGAGCAGCATGCGTATCGAGCCAGGTGCTTCGGATCTTTGGTTGAACGGTAAAAGGACCCCGGCGAAGGAGTTCATGCCGTTGACGCTCCTCGAGACCCTGAAGCAGGAGCGAAATTGGTCTCATGCTCTGCAGCATCGCCTTGCGGGAGGTGGGCTCAATGTGACTGAAGCAGGCGATCTCATTGCGTCTAGTCTTGTGGGCCGTGCATTCTTGGCTCAGGCAGAAGGTGAAGGTGCAGCGGCGATCTTTGATGCTAGTGATCGCATCGAGCTCAAGAACGCTCCGGAGGGTACTGTGCAGGGTGCGATCACTTGGCTGAACGATTTGGAGACGGACGAAGCGACCAAAGCTTGGTCAAGCGACCTGATGGACTTGTTGCGTCCTATGTGGCCTGGCAAGTTCCCGCGTCTGTCGTTGAACCTGTTCAATGTCGTGCTTGTGTTGGATCTGAGACAGAGAGAGAGCTGCAGGTTCCTTTCGGACACCGTCATTCAGAGCCTCGGTCGTGTAGGCTTGCACTGGGGTCTTGTTCCTGGCGGCCTGGAAGATGATGCGAACAGCGACTCGATCCGTATGGCTCGTCTATTCTGGTTCCTGCTTGAAGAAGCCAGCCCGCAAGTCCTATCCGATGTGTTGCGCAAGACTGCGGCCAGCCGCGCTGGCACAGCTGACACTCTCGACGTTTCACTCGCCATCAAAGAAGCCAAGTTCGCTCTCAAAGCAGTCGACTCTGATGAAACACTTTCCTCAAAGCTGGACAGCATTCTTGCCGGCCAAGACCCAGCCTACACCGTGCGTGAGGAACTCAGCAAGGCATACATCAACCGTCTGCGAGCAACGCGACAAGAAAGCCCTACAGGCCATGTCTTCGTGAATGGTCAGCACCAGCCTTTCCATCCCCAAATCGTGCACATTCTACACCAGTCGATTCAAGAGCAGATTCAGTTACTCGCTCCACAGATCTACTACGGACAACTCAGCAGCTTAAGCCCAGGGCTCAGCACGTTCTTCTACGATTCGGTTGGAGCGCTGAGCTTCCGATCTGCGCTTGTGCCCGGTGCAGGTTCGGCTGCAGACGGTGAAGAGGAGGGAGTGAGGCATGAGGCTGTAGATCTGTTCTCTGTTCTTGTGGATGATGATGTGCCATCAGCAACTTCTGAAGGGTTGTTCAACTTCTTCTACCCGTCGTCTGGAAGTAGCAGCTCAGAGGGAGAGGAGAAGCCCGCTGCGCTGCTCAACTCCACCGTGTGGGTGCTAGCTGATCTGGACAGTCAAGGCGGCCTAGACCTGCTAACAAGGACCTTTGAAGCGCTTGCAAAGGAGGATGCCAAGTTCCGACTTGGTGTTGTCCACGCTCCATCGCCAGCGTCACAACGTTCCAATCGCGAGGTTGCGATCTCAACAGCCTTCCACCGCTTTCTGACCGACTCACAATCATCGCGTCCTTCTCCAGCACTCATACACGACGCTTTGCGCCAGCCAGAACAGCTGAGGAGTGCCCTGGGACTCTCACAGAGCTCAATAGACTCTGACCAAGCGGCTTTCCGCTTCTGGAACAGTATCGCACTTCCCATCACCGCCAAGCTTGACCTTGCCACTCCAGCACTCATTGTAGACGGTCACCTGGTGTCCAACTTCGACTCATCCACCGTCGAGGCCCGCGACATAACGGCACTTGTCGAATACGAAGCAGACCAGAAACTTCCTTACATCACCCAAGCCCTCACTCTTCTCCGCGAAGACGTCGACTCGGTGGACCCAGTTCAGCGACAGAACCTCGTCTTTGCCTCGCTATCTGTCATGAACGGCGTCTACGATTCTCGTCGGCAGAATGCCTTCTCCAGCAAGCTCGCCTCGCGGTCGGGACTACCCGAGCAACTCGGTACCGCAGATCACATTTTTGAAGTCGGCGACAAAGCGAACGCCGATATTAGGATCACGCTGTTGCTCAACCCGCTGTCGGAGTCTGCTCAGCGATGGTCGAGTATCCTACTCATGCTCAGGGAATTGGAGGGGGTGTATTTGCGAGTGATCCTGAATCCAGAGATCAAGTTGCGCGAGCTACCTCTGAAGCGATTCTACAGATTCAGTGCGCCGCACAGGTTGCAGTTCGACCTAGCAGGCAAGGTGTTGTCGGAAGAGCTGCAATTCTTTAATATGCCAGAGGAAGCGGTTCTGACGATGGGATTGGACGCACCAGCGCCTTGGTTGACAATGCCTGTGGAAGCGGTTTACGATTTGGATAATATTCGGCTTAGTGATGTGCCGTCCAGTTCGCGCGGGAAGGGCGTGAAGGCGGTCTACGAGCTCAAGCATATTCTTATTGAGGGTCATGCAAGGGAGAAGTCCGCTAACAGCCTGCAGGTAGGCGTTCCAAGAGGATTGCAGCTCTTGTTGGAGACACCGGATGGAAGTACGAGTCTGGACACGATCGTGATGGCGAACCTGGCTTACTTCCAATTCAAAGCTCAACCTGGACTGTGGAAGTTGAGAATCCGAGCTGGTCGAAGTGACGAACTGTACGAGATGCAGAGTGTTGGTAGTGCCGGTTGGGACAGTCCTTCTGTCGGGGTAAAGGGAGATCTGGTCACGTTGGACACGTTTTCTGGACTCACTATCTATCCTCGTGTGTCAAAGCGCAAGGGTAAAGAGACCGAGCAGCTGCTTGAGGAGCTTGATGCTCAAGGACGACCTGTCAAAAAGACTCGCACTGCATCCCAATCCACCGTGGATGGAGTAGCTGTGAGTGCGAGCAACTTCCTCTCCTCGGCCAAAGACAAGATCACCTCGCTTGCCAATCAAATCACCTCTTCCAACCCAGGTGCAAGCAATGCTGTGGCAACACGCAAACACGCCGATATCAACATCTTCACCGTTGCCTCTGGTCACCTTTATGAACGAATGACGTACATCATGATCCTTTCCGTTCTCAAACATACCAACAGCAGCGTCAAATTCTGGTTCATTGAAAACTTCCTCTCCCCCTCCTTCAAAGAGTTCATTCCCCATTTCGCCAAAGAGTACGGATTCGAATACGAACTTGTCACCTATGCATGGCCGCACTGGTTACGAGCACAGCGCGAGAAGCAGCGAACCATCTGGGGCTACAAAATCCTTTTCCTCGATACTCTGTTCCCATTGGATCTTAGCAAAGTCATTTTCGTTGATGCAGACCAAGTTGTTCGCACTGACCTGAAAGAGCTCGTTGACCTCGATCTCCAAGGCAAAGTCTACGGCTACCCTCCGATGGGAGACGATTCAGAAGACATGGACGGGTTCAGGTTCTGGAAACAAGGTTATTGGAAAGACTACCTTCGTGGGCGACCTTACCACATTTCTGCGCTCTACGTCGTCGATCTGAACCGTTTCCGCCTTTTCGCTGCTGGAGATCGCTTACGAGGTCAATACCAAGCATTATCTGCAGACCCCAACTCCCTCAGCAACTTGGATCAGGATCTACCAAACAACATGCAAGCCAGCCTACCCATCTTTACGCTGGATAAAGAATGGTTGTGGTGCGAAACTTGGTGTTCGAATGATTGGTTGGATAAGGCTAAGACGATTGATTTGTGTTCGAATCCGAAAACGAAGGAGCCGAAATTGAATAGGGCAAAGAGACAAATTCCTGAATGGACGGTTTATGATCAGGAGGTCGCGAGATTGGCACAAAGATTGGTGGAGGAGAAGGTGGTGGGAAAGAGCGTGGTTGCGCCTGAGAGTCAGATGGAGAAGAAGCAACCACAGGAAGCGAGTGGATTGATGGCTAACGATGATGGTACGCCTGTCCACGACGAGCTTTGATCCATTCACACATTACACACGAGAGGTTTCATGACCAAGTTTCCAGCCTCTGAAAGCCAAGAACAGACGAGAGATCGAGATCACCAGAAAGACGGGTAAGCGAAAACAATGCACAAGTGCGCTAAAGGTGGCATTGATTGCAAATTGAGACCGAGGTATATGAGGGAATGATGCGAGATGCTAAGGGGTATTCAAGAACATGATGGTACAAATGCATACTTTATACTGGTGACGGGACCGACCTATGAAATGAAGATGCTCGGGTGCTTAGGGTTAAGCACTGCTATCAGAACCTGGATCTGTGAGCAAGATCGCTTCAGGATCAGACTTTGATACGACTAATCCCTGTCGTAGGGCGGGTCGTGCTTGAGAGGCGGGAGGAATACCGACATCGATCGCTTCCCGACGTGACCCGATGGTGTCGGAGGTGCCACCAATTGCGTCCAGTATTCTATGATTTCGGTAGACACTGTTTCTTGAGTTTGGCTCGTCCAAATCCTCAGAAGAAGGTTCGGAGAGGCTGTACGGCGGCGAGGGTGCGTTGATCCGAATCTCAAGAGGCTCGAGAAGTTCGAGAAACGATTGAGCATCTTCATCGTCATCCTCTGCGATGCTGTCCGTGTCGAAGCCTTCCAAGGCTTCGTCGATAGCGTCAGCACGAAAATGGTCGACGCTTTCAGTCGTGTTCGGGGTCTGTTGAAGTTGAGGTGAAGCTTGTGCGTCAAAACTGTGAGTCACTTGGTCGAGACTTGCGGGTCGGTTTCTTGTGCTCTGGAGGTCATGTTCTTGCAGCTTACCAGAGAAAGAGCGACCCTGGTCTTGAGATTGGGATAGAACCGCTTCGACAGCTTGAGCATCAATGTCCATGTCTGACTCGTATGCGGAAGCAAAGTTGGGAGCAGCGCCAGGAGATGCTTGCTTGTCACCGTTTGCAACAGCTTCCCGCGAAGGGAGCTTCGAATCTAGACCCGGTTTTCGTTGCTGCATGTCCATTGGGTCATCATCGTCTACCATCCTGCACCGTTTCGCGTCATGAGCTCGCTCGCCTTCATCGACTTCAGCCGGCTTGCGCTTGAGCTCGGCGGAAACTTCCCTTGACTCTGACCTGCGATGCGTTTTGACAAGATCCAGCAACGATCTTGTGGTCGTCTCGGCAGCAAAGAGACTGGGCCCATCCTTTCTCGTCGAAGCACCGCGACGGTGGGCAAGCTTGGAAGGAGCGAATTGCTGTGTTGTAAGCAAGTTGGGACTGCCAAGCCCGAGCTCCGAGCCTTCGGAATCGAATGAAAGATCGTTGTCCTTGGAAGCTCGTCGCTCACGAGACTTTTGAAGCGCTTTGATCGGACTCTTTTGTGGGCTTCCAGATGCTGAGAGGGAGGCAAAAACTTGCTCAGCGGACACGACTGGAAGCTGATGAGTCTCATCGATCTCGCCTTCAATCGGATCGAAGCCGCCACCTTGGAGCGGCGTTAGAGCGCGAGCCTTTGCTTTTTTCGGGGTGGTAGGGACGACGATATCGGGAGGATGTGACGTGGGATCAACGTCAAGTTTGCCTTGGTCGGCTTCTGCAGACTTGCTGGAGCCCATTGATTCTACGAGGGTGGACGAAATCTTTGCACCGAAAATTTGATCTGCAAAGCTGCGAGCCCTAGAATTAGCTTTCTGTGCGCTGATTAGGCTGATTGCAGCAGTGTGGGAGCCAAGAGCGTTGTCGGGAGAGTGCTTCTCGGAGATCAACAAGGGCGCCTTGGCTGGACGCTTTATGGCCTTCTTGACGATGATCGAGTCCTTACCGCGCTTCTTGAGTGAGGCTTCGATCTGACTTGCCCTGCCTTCATGGAGCACAATGCCGGCATCTTGCACCACGTCCTGGAACACAGTACGATCGTCTCGAGCCTTGTCCTTTGCCTCTTCGTCACGCTTCTGAGCGCTGCGAATGTCGGACGCTACAGTATCGAATGCTGCTGTGCTACGTGTGATGCCATTGAGTGGTGCGCAGAGTGACATGTGCTCTTGTTTGACCTTGGCGGCGGCTGACTTGGTGAATGAACCAGCACAAAAGGGGCACCGGTTGACGAGACGGAGGCCTGTGGCGGAGACTTTGGAGAGGTCCAAAGGTTCAATGCCGGCTTTTTGGGCCTCCTCGATTGTCTTCCTCAGCTTGATGGTGAGATGTTTGAGCTTCTTCGTAGCCTTTGGCTTTTTCGGGGCGCGTTTCGGGGCGGAATCTGTTGATGTGGATGCCGAGGTGTGTTGTTGGATGGCGCTTGAATTGACTGAAGATGATGCAGATGATGCAAATGAAGACGAGGGCTGCTGTAAGTCTGCAATTCGTTTGAGCGGTTCAGGCTTGACGGTACTTGAGCCTACATTGCGGAGAGGTCGAGACTTTGCCGGACTTTCGTATGTGAATCGTCTGGCTAGGCTCTGTAGTGGGGCAGAGCTGTCGGGCGATTCTTCGTCAAGCGTAGGATCATCTACTTCTTCACCTGCGGCGGTATCTTGGTCTTCGCTGTCCGATATGACAATCGATGCAAGTGCATTCGAGCCATGGTCTTGGCTTTGGTCTGGGATGACTAGACGCTTTGATGAAGGGCTGGCGGTAACGCTGGTGGTCCGAGTCACTCTGGACTCGATCTTAGGCTTCTTAGAGCGTTTCGACATGCTTTGCTCGTTGCCAGGCGCAGCCAGGCGCTCGTTCAATTCGGCAAAGCTTCGCTTGTGCGCTGCATGAGCGAGATCATGGATCGCTATGTGATTTTGTGGAGTTGAAGCTGTCGGTGACAGTGCAGTTTTGCTGCGACAGTCAGCAAAGAAGCGAGAGACTTGTATGAGAGCAGCCCTGTCTTTGCGAGGCGACAGCGTGAGCGCGTTGGTAGCCTCAAGGAGGTCCTCGTCCATCCCAGAACCAAGTAGGTATGCTGTAAAGCAATAGGCTGAGTTGCGCCATGAAGGAAGATAGGATGATCGCTCCGTTCGTCAAAGGGAAGAGAGGAAAGATCGGCGGAAGGAAAGTTGTTTCTTTGCAGCTTTGCCCACTTTGTCGAGATGAAAGAGAGGAAGAAGAGTCTACGTCTGCGACTCCCAGGCTTGTTGTGAGCTTCTTCGTAACGATTAGTCAAAGGGTCCTTGCAGGGCGCAATCACACTCATTGCTTAGCATCACCTTCACGCATGTTAAGGTTCAGCTTGGAGGTCACGTGCCTGCTTTTTGGCAGCGGCGGCGGCAGGTCAAGTGACGCTGTGTGTTGTGTTCAACCGTGAGTTATTGCCCTTTTATCGCCCTTTTATCGCCCTTGACAACGCGTGAAAATTGTTGGAAAAGGAGGCTGAGAAATGGAGAGGAATAAAGAATGTTAGATTTCCTGGACTCGAGTGAGCGTTGGTCACGTGCCCTTTCGCCTACCATTGAAAAAATGCGCATCTATTCCACTCGCACGATAAGTGCTGTGTGTTGGTCTCTTTACGGCGCGTCGCAGAAATTGACACACGTGTCAGAAGCGCTGCAGCTGAGGCTCTCCAGTAACCATCTCAGATCTTGAGCATTTGTTCTCATACCACGACCACCACCTTGCCCTCATACAGTCGCACACATTCTCGATACTGACACTGGCGGCGGCATTACATCATGGCAGGCTCTGTTTCTAAACGAAGCTCAAGAGGTCGTGCCTCTGGACCGGAAGCACGGACAAAGCCTCGAAAGGTCCAATTCGGAGGAGCTGAGGATGATGACAACAACAACAGCCAAAAGAACGACTGGATCGACCTCAACTCTGATGCCGTCAAGACACTCATCAATGAGGCGAGGTGTATCCTTGCGGAATTGGGACCACAACTTTCGGCTCGATCTCCTACAAAGCTGGCGACCAACGCTTTCGAGATATCTCCAGACAACCTTTCATTGCACACACTCCGAGACCAGCTTCTGTCGAAAGCAGACCGCAGCAACCAAAGGCGACTCTTTGGGGACAACGCATCCCCAGCCAAACGTAGACGCAGCAGCATGTCGCAATTTGCAGGCGAAGGCGAGCTCGACATCAGCTGGGCTGTCTACAAACAGTGGCCTGAAGGATTGAACGAAGAGGAGAGGCTGTTGCTGGACTACTTCAAGAAGCTCAAGTTCATCTATCTGGAGCAAGAGACCAAGATGCGATTTATGGCAGATATTCAGGACGATCTCGAGTCTGGCAAGGAGGCAACCGTCTACTCTTCTGCCGAGGTGGCCGAACGTGAACGTGTGGCCAAAACGCTCAAGAATCAGCTCACCCAAGCCAAGGCCGAAGTTCGTGGACTGAGGAAAGAGGTAGATGCAGCGGCCGACGAGTTGTTCCAGCCATGGGCACAAGTTGAAAGGGATAGCCGCGAGGCTGAAATTCTCATCAAGGAGATCGGTGACATGGAGCTTGAGCTTGCCAAGATCCGTGCTCAGAATCACGGCAAGGGGGGCAGCGTCGCGGCGATCGCAGGACGAGATGGACCCTTGACATCCACCGAGGCGGAAGAGTACTGCGACACACAGATCCAGCAAATGACGACACTCGAAGGCAAGACGGCCAACGTCAAGAAAGCGATCGAGAACACCAAGAAGGATCTCGTATCTTCACTGAGGGCGCTTGACAGGATCAACGCTGAACGCTCGCTGGCGGACAAGTTTGCTAACGAGGCCAAGATGGGCATGGGCGTCGACGGAGGCCGTGACCTGCAGACGGAACGACTTTGTGCCAGCCATGCAGCCACCATCAGCCTGTTGCGCTCTCTGCTGGGCATCGACGAGATCGAAGCCATCTCTGCGAACGAGATCCGCATCACCTACAAGCTTGCTCTCGACTCGCTTTTCAACACGCAACAGCAGCAGCAGGCTTCCAACACCCGACGCAAGCGAAAATCGATCGCATTGCCAGATCAATCGCTTGTTCACGTCAACTTGCGTTTCAAGGATGTTGGAGGACGAATGGAAGAAGTCACCGTGACATCGTCCAAGGGAGAACAGTATGATATGCCAGAAGCATCCATGGCAAGGCTGAGAGCGCTGCAAAAGGCCAACGATGTGCCTCTGATCGTGCAAGAAGTCTTGGCGGCTTTCTGATCGAATCGAGTATTCGCACGAGAGTGTACCCAGGCGTGACACAAGGTCTTTACAAAGGAACCATCTGAACGCATACAGAACGTTGCTGCAACGCGCGTGTGTGTGGGTGTGTGTGTATGTGTGTATGTGTGTGGGTGTGTGTGTATGTGTGTATGTGTGTGGGTGTGTGTGTATGTGTGTATGTGTGTGGTGAATGTGTCAAAAGGCTCATCATCGACCAGAAGCTAGAAATTTGCAATTCCGCTGCTTTGCTCCACTTTGCCACAGCATGTCGATCTTTCCATCACATGTTTCTGCTCAGCAATCTCGAAAATCCTTCTTCCTTTCTGATCCTTGACAAGAGCGTTCGAGCGTCTCCCTTCCTTGCCGCCAATCGTCGCTTTCAGGCAAGCAGACTGGGTAGCCGCGCACCCACTTTTATAATCGAGTGCAGGGCGAATCGCTTCGCAGATTGGCATCCTCATCCACCGTCGAATTCCCACCATATCTCCTCGCTGCCTTTCAAGCACTTTCTCACCCCCTCCAAAGCTTACTCCAAGCTCCCACAAAGAGCCTAAACCACGCATTCGCCTGCAAATCAACCCACTATATCAGTGCATGACCATTGTTTCGACCCAACATGCCTAAAACAAAGTCTAAAACAAAGTCTAAAACTGACGACAATCCCGGCTTCGAAATCACGGATGCAAAAGGGCCCAGCGTCCCGCCACCAATTCGAGCCTCGACTCGTCAGGCCGTTCGTGGTAAGCTTCCACCAATCCCGAAAGCTGCCTCGCCCTCGGGCACGAGCTCCAGCGCCGCGAATGACAAGAACGAGACAACGCCCTCAACTAGGAAACGCAGGAGGTCAATTGGCGGTGCCGGACCCTCCGAGGAACCTGACGAGCTCGAGCAGGGCCCGAGCCGCAAGTATGCACGGTCTCCATCTTCCTCCAGGTCCCCCGCCAAGAGCACGAAAGCAAAGAAACCCGCAGCCGAGAAGAAGGAAAGCAAAGCAAAGCCGAAGAAAATCAGCAAGGCCGCAATGGAGCGAGCCAAGTTGGACGAGGTTCGCAACGATGAACACTTTGGAAAGCTCGATTCTGATACGATCAAGCGTATCGCTAAGGCGCACCTCGAGCGAATGTATCTTATCCATCGATTCCGCAGAGACCAACAGACGCTTCAAGAGACATTTGATGTCAGCGGTTCCACGGGCAATGTGTACAAGGTCACCGTAGCTCGTCATGTCAACTGCAGCTGCATGGACTTCAGCCTGCGCCGTAAGGTCTGCAAGCATCTTCTCTTTGTCTACCTCAAAGTTTTGCGACTTCCTGGCAGCTTGCCCGTGTACAAGAGCATCCGTCTGTCCGAGGACCAAGTGGCCCAGGTCTTCGCCAAAGCACTACAGAATCCTATCGCCGAGGCTATGGCGAGACCCGAGCTTCGTAAAGCTTGGGAAACTGCTGTGGGCTACCAGCCTAGCCCGTCCGATTCCACCTATGAAGAACCAGCTGCTCCTCAGGGCAAGCGACTCATCCCCACCGAAGGCGACGTCTGCGGTGTCTGCTACGAAGATCTCGAACCGGGAAGCGTCGAAGGGCTCGAGTTCTGCCTCAAGTCGTGCGGACGACCGATCCATACCGATTGTCTTCAGACTTGGTTCAACACCAGAGGATACGATCGGACCTGCATTTGGTGTCGAGCAAAGTGGCACGATTCGGATAGGCAAGATACACACGACACCAATGGCTACGGCATCGGTCTGGGTCATCACGGAGCTGTCATTGACAGATCTACAGGTAGACAGCTCAATCTTGCCGCCGCAATCCAACCAGAACCAGCTCAAGCGGATCCAGTCGAAGCAGCTCCCACCGAGGCAGCAGCACTTGTTGAAGCCGTTGCAGCCGAGGCCGACACTTCTGGCTGGGACTGACCGCGCAACAGCAACATTCTCCTTCGTTTCCCACAATCTCCTTCGTTTCCCACATTCTACCTCCTTGAATTGATTCAAAGCAAGCAGCGAGCATTTCAAACATCCAATACCCAATTCTTTCATACCCTCGCATGCACTTTTGTCATCGATGTCAGTCATCTTTGCATCCGCAGCTGCAATCAGATCTCGTAATGGTCCCCAAATCAGCACTCTGGGTCGTTCAAACGCCGTACGTCTATCCCATATCGCAGCAGTGTGTTGGCAGTGTTGTCGTGGTCTAATTGTGAGAGTCTGGCTAAGAGGTGAGAAGCAGCTCATCTTGTCGAGAGTATCACGCGTTGGTGGTGGCACGGGTCTCGGAAGTCTGTACGACATTCCCGATGCCACGCAACACGCAACACTCCTCCAAAGTGTTGATCTTGAAATTCCAACTTCAGCCTCGGTCTTGGTTGGTGCCCACACCTCCTTCCTCCCCACCTGCATCTATCTCCTTGAGTCCGCACCGTCATCAACTGGCGCTGCATTGCTCACTCACTCATCACTTACCCTAACGTCTGTCCAGCCGATCGCCTTTCCTGCATTCTGATCTGGAGAGCCGTTCTCAGCAACGGCCTCTCCACCAACAGCCGGAAGAATGGCATCCTTTCTCAGTCAAGCATCCTCCTACTTTGGCCGCACAAACATCTCAGTCAACTACACCATCGACGAGTCTCAGTCTCCCGCCCACTGCGGTCTATGGAAGATCTACAAAGCCACCCGCAACGCTTCCTCCTCTTCCACCACCTCCACCGCCGGACCCTCCAGCTCATCAGATGCAACCAAAAACGTCGTCTCAATATGGATGCATACTTTCTCCACCCGTGGTCAGGTGCGACAACGAATCATGGACCAGCTCAAAAAGGAAGCTTCCTCACTTACGCGCCTCCGACACCCATGCATTCTTGAGGTTGTTGAACCGCTGGAAGAGTCGCGAAACGACGTAGCCTTCGCGACGGAACAAGTTTTCGCTTCGCTATCCGAGGCGTTAGTGTCGGATCATCGACAAGATGTGCAGTTGGACGAAGTGGAGATCCAAAAAGGCCTACTTCAGGTTGCGAGAGGACTGGAGTTCTTACACGGCGCAAAGATGGTTCATCAGAATCTCTCGCCGGAATCTATCCTTATCAACGCCAAAGGAGATTGGAAGCTTGCGGGATTCTCTTTCCTCACTCCTCTCGAACAACCAGGTGGTGGGGGTGCAACACCGTGGACATTCCCCGACTATGATCCCAGCTTGCCGCCGGCGTTGAGTCGAAACTTTGACTACATGGCCCCTGAATACGCACTCGACGAGAAACTCGGCCCTGAAAACGACATGTACTCCCTCGGTTGTGTTGTCTACGCAGTGCACAACAAAGGTTCTCCTCCCTTCCGCAATCGCAATTCTCTTCCAAATCTTCGTGGCAACGCAGACCAACTGTCCACCATTATTGGCAGCCAATCTTGGTCCAGAATGGGAAGAGACGTCCTAGACCTGCTCTCCAACCTTCTCACCCGATACCCTGGTGCTCGACTCAATGCCGCCAGCTTCCAACAATCTTCCTACTTCAACTCGATCCTCGTCTCGACACTCAAGTTTATGGAGAGGGACAACTTTGCCGGACGCACAAAGGAAGAGAGAGTGCAGTACCTCAAAGGTTTGTTGAAGATCCTGCCTCAGTTCTCGGATCGATTGTTGAGGAGGAAAGTGTTACCGGCAGTATTGGAGTTGATGACGGATCGAAGTTTGTTACCCTTTATACTGCCGAATGTTTTCCATATCTCGAAGAACCTTTCGAGTCTAGAGTTTACGAACTCTGTGTTGCCGAAGTTGAAGCCGTTGTTTGCGGTGCAAGATCCGCCGCAAAATATGTTGTTATTGCTGGATCAGATCGAGCCGTTATTCGTGCCAAAGGTCGCACCGACTACGTTTAGGGAAGAAGTGACACCGTTGCTCTACTCAGCACTAGAGGCGGAAAACGTTATGGTTCAGGAGAAAGCTCTTCGAACGGTGCCCCGTCTTGCGGAGATTCTCGAGTATGCACACGTCAAAGAGGTTTTGTTCCCCAAACTCGCTTCGCTTTTCGCCAAGACAAAGGTCCTCTCGGTAAAAGTCAACTGCCTCATCTGCTTTCATGCTATGGTTAGCATCTTGGACAAATACACTTTAACAGAAAAGCTAGTACCAATTTTGGCTAGGATCAAGACCAAAGAGCCAAGTGTAATGGTCGCCACCCTCGCAGTGCACGAAGCTATGTCGCCAAAAGTGGATCGCGAGACATTGGCAACCGCAATCATCCCTCAACTCTGGGTCATGTCGATGGGACCGATGCTAAACGCAGAACAGTTCCGAAGATTCATGAAAGCGGTCAAAGAAATGAGTACGAGGGTGGAAAAGGAACATACAGCCCACCTACGTGATGTGAAGAGGATGCAGGATCACACCGATTCTTACACAGGTGCTAGTGGAGCAGGAGCAGGAGGGGGAGGGGCGCTGGGAGGGGGAGTAACGGCTATCGGTGCAGGAGGAGAGATTGATTTCGCCACACTCGTAGGGCAGACCAAAACAGGTGGAGGAGGGGAGAAGAGTGTCAAGACGGACGATCCATTTGGGTTGGCGGATGATTTTGGTGGTTTAGGGGTGGCAGCTGATATCAGTCCGATGGCGTCGGCGAGCCAGACTCCTACGATTGGGTTAACGCCGACTCACACTGGAAGGCCCACATCAAACACTACCACGGCACCGAAGATGAATGGTTCTTCGATCCTGCGAGCTTCCTCGACTACTTCGACAGCAAGTGCGGCGGTGCCTGCTTTGGCTCCTCCACCGTCCTTCACCCGTCCGTCTCTCAGTACGGCATCGTCAGCCTCGAGCACCACATCAACAGCGGCTGCTCCTGCAGGATGGAACTCTATCCTGCAACCCGCTTCTTCTACCAGCTTCAATTCTCTCTCCAAACCCTCCTCAACCACCTCCACCATCAACACGAGCGGAAACGGCTCAGGACCGAACTACAGCATCTCTCTACCCCCAGCAACCGGTTCCACTTGGTCAGCAGGCTTTAGCACCAACGCTCCACTACCGCCACTGGGAGGTATGGCTACAATCGAACCCAAACCCTCAAACACTACATCTTTGCCTCCTCCTCTTGCGCCTACAACTTCAAGTCTCGGCGGTGGAGCAGGAGCAGGAGGGCCTCCAGGATGGGGAGGAAGTGTTTTGCAGCCAAACAAACCGGCTACTTTTTCGGGTGCCGGTGCGAAGGGAGCGAATACGGATGCTTGGAAAGATTTTGATCCTTTCGCCTGACCCTCGGCTTAAGATAAGATGGCAATGTTGCAATTCACTCCATCGTTGCTCTTTCATACGTCTGTGCAGGAGCAAATGTGTTTTGGTGAGATATGAATGGGTATGATATGATTGATCATTGCCAAAGCGATGAGATAAACAATGCAAAAAGCAAAGCAAAAGTAGCCGTGAGCCTCACTTCGGCCCACGCTCGTAAGCATTAGGCCTAAACCTTGCCGCATCTTCCTCATCATCATCGCTGCGCTCCACTTCCTTGTCATCTCCCTTCTCGGTTACTGTAATCGTCTGTGTCCCACCCGACCTCGTTTTGGTCCCTTTTGGCTTCCGATGCTTTCCATGATGATGATGATGATGATGATGCGGCCCATTCTCATGCCCACTATTTTCACACCCGCTATTCTGCTTTTGCTTCAACTTCTCCTTCAATGCCTGTGAAAGATCAGGTGCGTCGGCACTACTTTCGCTCTCCGACCCTGAACTCGAATCTGTACCATCACTCAAGCTGCTAGATGACGATTCGTCCGAACTCTCACCAAAAGCTTTCGGCTTGTGATAAATACAGCAAACTATCCCGCCCCGGATGACACAAATGTCAGCAAAACACAAATCGACAAAGAGACCAGGAAGACCAAAGGGGAGGGGGTGGTGCTTACTCTTGGACTTTTTGCGACCTAAACCTTCATTGTCGACTGTATTTTCGGTCCACACTACTCTTCGACGGGACGAATCCGGGCTACGTGAAGAAGAAGCTGTGGCTGTGGGTCGAAGACGAAGGATGCCAGCTTCGCTGTCTTCGGATGATGGATGTGGATCGGTTGGGTGGCTTGTGGTTAGGGTTATGGTTCGGGATGATGATGCTGCGGGGGTGGGCTGGTTGGACATTGTCGTATTCGATATTGGCTATTGGCGAGACCTTTGATGTGTGCTGTTGGCCTTGCGCTTTGGTCTGATTGCTTGCCTGAGTGCTCGCTGTTGCTCCGCAATATGTTTATGACGGAGGCTGTGATATGGATGCCGATGAATATGGCTGCTAGTGATGGAGCGAAAGAGAGTTGATCGTGGTTGGAGAGGTGCGTGGAAAAGCTGAGCTTGAGTAGAGTATAAAATTGTGGAAAAAGAGGCTTCCAGCACCGCCGCCTGTTTCCTGCCGATTGCCGAGAATTAAGCTTGACTCCAATGCTGGAAGTTACGATCCAGTGCGATTTAGGCATAATGTAGATAAGATCTGTAGAGGATCGGGCGGAGAAGGTACAGTCGGCGATCAGGTTAAGTAGATGAGATCGGGATCAGAGGAGGCAAATCATATAGGGAATCGGGATGAGCCGATGCAAGACAGAGATCGGAAGCAACCATCCCCCAGGTAGGATAAGTGAAATCACATGACTGCTTATGTAATATTCCGACTTCCCGCAAAACCTCGCTCAGCGTCGCCACCCGTCAACTCCCACCAGCACGCATCGTGGCCCACCACCAACACGTATAGTCGCCCACCAACAGCCCCTATCTCATTCAATCATGTTATGCAGTCGTACGTGGCAAGTTGCCGTCACACACAGATTGTAAAAGCATATATACTCTGACATTGCTGTATCTAGTTCTCACTGAAAAGCTAACGACTTCGCCGCTTGCTTGACCGCCCTGATTGTGTTTTCCTCAACAGGATAGGCCCACAGTCGGGCATGTGCCACACGTTTGTATATAAGTCTGGCACATTCATTCCTTTTCCAAGTCAATAGAGTATATATGTTTCTGTCTTTTCGCAGCAGTGACATCGTACTTAGACTCTCCCCGATCGCCAGTATCGGGACCTAAACTCCAACATCCAACACACGCTACGCTCGCTCCTGTCACTTGTACCTTTACACCATCACAGACAATCCTCGGAAAGTCATTGACAGAGCAAGCATCTATGAATCAAGTATGTACATTTGCGTGCGAACCAACGATCTATGTGTGTAGTTGATGCAGAAAATCGATGCAATCGAATCTAGAATCTGTATGCTGTCGTCACGCTTTGGCATGCTGTTCATATATATCACATGCCCTCGCCCTCCTCCTCCTGTCCCAACGGCCCATACCCATCCCCTCCTCCCCTCACCAGCCTCGGCCGGTTAGCCGGACTATCCAGGCCAGTATACAAAAAGGCATCATACATCCCCGCTCCCACTACACCACCCAACACACTACTCAACCAAGGATTCCAGAACCAATACCACCCATTATGAGTCCATACCTCTCTTCCATACCCCACTAGCCACAGTGCGATTCTGGGGCCGGTATCTCTTGCGCCATTAATCGCATATCCTGTGTTGTACCCCAGAGAGGAGCCGATTCCGAGGAGGACGATAAACATCGCAAAAGGTTGCGTACCCCGCGGTGGTTTTAGGTTGGCTGGATCTGCTAGGGCCAAGACTAGAAAGAGGAGGATTGAAGTTGCGAAGAGTTCCGAAAAGAAGGCTGAGCTCAAGGAGAGTTCCGGGGCTGGGAGGGTGAAGAATAGCCCAGCTGTACTCTTAGGGCCTGTGACTGTACGGGCTCCATCTCCTCCTTGAAAGGCATTGATAGCGGTCAAGTTGTTAGCATAGACCAAAAGAGAAGCAAAAGTAGCACCTAGTGTCTGGGCAAAGATGAAAGGTAGCACTTTTCTCTTGGGAAAGCCTCGAAACAGAGCGAGCGCAATGGTGACGGAAGGATTACAATGTCCACCAGATATGCCACCAGAAATCCAAACCGCCATAGCAACTCCTGCTGCCCAAGCCAACCTTGCCTCGAAATAACTTCCGTATGCAGCAACATCTCTTGTGGCGGAAGAATGATAGTGTAAGTTAACTTGACATTCGACACCAGCACCGAAAATGAGGATGATGAAGGTGCCGAAGAATTCAGCCAACTCTTCGCGGTAAAGGTATCGAAGCTTGGCCCAGGTGTTGGGTTCGCGGTGTAGACCGGAGAGTGCGAGGGGGGAGGAAGGGGAAGAAGAGTGGTAAGGGGAGGAAGGATCGCGCCACCAACGAGGAGGTTTGTGGAGTCGGGTTGATTCGTGTGGTAGTGGAGCGGAGGCGGGGAGGAGAGGTGCGAGGGAAGAGGCGTCAGGATGGACTTGGTGCTCTGAGAGCTGGCGGTGCTCAGTGAGTCGCGTCATTGCCACCGAGTGGACACCTCAGAGAGGAGGAAGGCTTGGTGATGGTGGTGGTGGTAGTGGTGGTGAGAGGAGGAGACAGAAGGCAGAAGATAAGGAGACGAGCAAGTGGGAATGATAAGGGTCTTGTGCGGAACAGGAGAACAACACTCAAACCCTTTCCTTTCACAAGAAGTGTCGTCACAACGCACGCAGACAGACTTTGCATCCTTGACCCAGAAGCCCTATCTCATCAGTAGCCACTTGCATGCCTTATTCGCCGAGCTTAGCCTTCTCCGCTTTACTTCGGCCATCGGGCAAACTAAAGCTCTGCTATGATTGCTAACAAACCTTCTGGGATGCTTCAGCTAGCGTTCGACGTGGATTGAGAAGGGCAAGTGAAAGCCAGAGGTACGAGCGAGAGTTGCTTTCGATGAAAGACGTCACGCTAAGCTGCCGGCGACTTGGATTTCTGCAAGAAGAAACGCCGGCAGTTGACTTTCTTCCTGACCATCTCTTCCTTCTATGCCTCTTTAGCACAGATACTCTTTAGCACACATACTCTTTAGCACACATACTCTTGAACACACGTACACAATCACAATAATAGAACGTCAAAAGAGTGATGATAATTGGGTATACAACGGGTATTTTTTAGCTCTTGGAAGGTTGGTAATGAGCAATCAGCGATTCGTGTAACCCCCAAACTTGCCAACATCTCCCATCTTCGAACACTTCAACGCCCTCCCCCTGTCCAGCACACTGATGCCCTTCAGCACGGCAGCCTCGTTGATACTCTGCAGTCTCCTCTGCTCGACACATGCGCAGCCACAGGCAGGACAATCGCCAACAGCACTCCTCTCCTTCTCACCCACCTCCTCTGTGGGTTTGAAGCTGGGCGCAGTGCCTTGACCGACATGCTTGACACGCAGGTCGTGAAGTTCGTTGCTAAGTTCTTGGATCTGAGCTTCGATCTCTCGTGCACGTTGACGCACCTCTTCTGGAATGGGGATCTGGGGGCTAGCTGGTGGAGAGAGAGCTGCCGTGGCAGCTTCTGTCTCCGCTGCTGGTTCTGAAGGCGTATCGTTGGGAGGTGGATGAACCGAGCGATCGAACAAAGGAGTGAGGGGAGAATTGATAGGAGAGTGGAATTGCGATTGGCTGTCTGAGTTGCTTGCTCCGGCGTCGAGGCTGGGTAAGCGACTGTTGCTGCTAGCTCCACCGTGACCGCTCCAGTTACTATTGGCAGAGTCCGGCACTCTGGGGCCGGGCAAGTCTGTTCCGTGAGGTGTCGCTCGAATTTCGGCCAATTCGGGCTTGTACGGAGACGAGGTGGAAGCAAAGCGACCGGCTTCTGAGAAGACAGGCGAGGGTGTTCGGAACGAAGGTGTTGCTGGACTGTGAGGTGCAAGCAGCCCTGTTGAGCTGGCTGTAGAGCCACCTGAAGCCTCGCGCAAATGACCCTCGGAAAGTGCAGACACGTCCAAGAGGTCGGCCGCAAAGCCTGAGAACATCGACGAGACGGGCCGAATCTGCAGTGCAGGCTTCTCGGTCAAGATCAGAGGTTTGAGTTGGTCGCTTTCTTCATCCTGAAGCGAGAATGATGGCATGGGCGACTTGCTCGATCGACTAAAATCCTTGCTGCTGTCACTCTGCGGGAAAGTCGAGAGGCCGTCATAGTCGACACTGACGCCCTTCCCTTTCTTGAGCTTGCGCATGAGGAAGCCACTCTTCTTGTTCTTGAGCAGGCGCATGCTGGACTGACCACCATCGCTGGAAGGATCCCTCAACATGGCGAGGGCGTCGTGGTTCGACTCGCCAGCTGCAAGGTAAGGTGATGTCTTGCTTGCATTCGACGCACCGGAAGATGCGAGCCACTCAGACTGCTTCTGTCGCGCCTGTTCGCGGGCTTGTTCAAGTGAGATGAGCTTGTATGTAACGCCTTCGATGTTACCGGGAAGCGGAAGACTGCCCGAAGTCTGACTGAACGAAGCTGACATCATGCCAGCTTGAGGCACACCTGTTGGCGAGCCAGCTCGGCCACGCGCAGCTGCAGCCTTACCGACCGGAGTCGATTCGCCTTCTGCTGGTGTGGATGCAATCGCGTTCTCCCCTTCCAGGCTGCTGGTGCCTCGTGTCGAGTCCTCGCCGCTGAAATCAGAGTGTGAGGCGACACTCATCTCACGCATGGGAGGCGTGCGAGATCGCGATTGCTCCAACGAAAACGAGCTGGAGCGTTGTGCCTGTTCAATGGCGAAGCTGATGCTGTCCGTCGGGCTCAGTGTGTCTTCCTTGTATGCCAAAGAGCGCACACCGCCCAAATGCGGGGAAGGCAGCGTCCCGTTGGCATGCTTCGGCGATGGAATAAGCGGTGATCGAGCTTGGTCTCTGTACTTGGCATTGGTGGACATGATCATGTTGGCCAGATCAGCTTGGCTCTTGGTGACTGGTGGCATGCAGTTGGCGTTGTTGATGGTGCGGGTCGAACGGCTTTGAGGCAAGTCAGCTGCTGCGAAGTCCATGGGAGGGACGGGACTCGAGCTGGCGTGGTTGAAGCTGGCTGCCGCAGGAAGTTCCGCGAGCGGCGCAGAATGTGGATAAGCCGGTCGACGATCGTCGTTGCCACCACCGCTGCCACCGCCGCCGACAAGGCGCAATGCTTTTGTGAGCTTGCCCTTCTTGGAGGCGGGTGCAGCTGCGCCAGCAAGACCTAGACCTTTCAACATACCAACAGCACTACTCGAGACGCTCTTAGATTGTGAGCGCTGCGTTGCAAACACGGACGTCGCATCACCCCCCTTCTGAGCTTCCTCCTCGAGCAAATCTGCGTTGCTCGGATGGGAGCTCATGCCGAGACCTGACGGGACGTGGGCAGGGTGGGGGCTTCTACCACCATTGTGCGAGCTTTCAACCGATGGCCTTGACTTGAATCTAGAGAAGGGCTTTTCGAACGTCTCTGCACTTGGGCACAGGGTGTCACGCAAAGATGGACGACCAGCTGTTGTGGCAAGGTCCTCTCCACCGAGCTCCCATGGGGCCGGTGCGTTCTTCTTAACCTTCGGACCGAGGGTACTGATCCGGCGGGCATCGTTGGCGAGCTTGTCCTGAAGTGCAACAAGCATCTTTTCCTCCTCGGCTGCTCCGCCGTCGAAGGAGAGGATGGGTGAATGGTCACGACATGTCTTGGCCTTTGGTGATCGTGACAGATTGGTGGTTTGTGGCACTGGAGGCATCTTGGGCACGAGGGTGCCATCAGCCAGTCTTACTGGACTACTCTTCGATACGGAGCGAGTGGAGGGATTTGGGCTAGTGCCAGAGGCCGAAGTCGAAGCTTGACGATGCAGCGACTCATTGCTGTTTCTGGATGCTGCTTTGACGGGGATAGGGGGTGGCATCCTGGACGAGTTGCGGGAAGGGAGAGACTGTAGGCTTCGGTCTGCTTCCAGAGTGTCGTCTTGATCGTCGTTGAAGGTCATCTTGGGAGTTCGAGGCTTATGTGCTGCAGGTTGCATGTCGAACGCATTGGCAAGGTCGACATTATCAGCTGCATCGTCTCTACCACCGTAGCCGCTGTACTGACTGCCGCTTTGGAACCCGCTAGCATCGCTTCGTGGACTGAGCATGCTCTGAGCTGAGGGACTGAAAAGTCCAGCCGCGTTGCTGCCGAGGTACTGGCCATTCTGGGGGTATTGGCTTGAGGCGGGTATGTTGGGAAGAGGCGGTGGTGCCTCTCTCCGCCTGCCGTTGGGCTTAGCTCCGCGTCCGGCAAAGATGGAGCTCCCGACGCTGGTGGGACGTAGGTGATCGTACACACTTGTAGTGGCATCGTGACTGCCGATGGTGGCGGAGTGGGAGCCTGCCTGCGTTTCGCCATCCCAGCTCTCGGCGTCAGAGAACTGGTCGTCGTTAGGGTCAGTTGTCTGACCTAGTTCGCCGGTCCAGACGACGTCGTGGTGACCAGAACGTTGCGACCAGTTGCTGGGTGGACGGAAGGATGGGACGAGATTCTGTCGCTCTCTGCCGATAGCGCGAACGAGCTCTGTAGTCTTGTTGGTGGGCTCGATGCTTGGCCTGCCTTCGGACTCGTAGAACGAGTTGGCGATCGAGGTGGGTCTGGAGGCGACGGCGGACATAGCTGTTAATGGTCTGCTGCGGTTAGGTATCTAAGGGTTTGGAATCTATTGGTGTGATCTATGTAGCCTACTTTGATCTATTGCGAGATCATTTTTGGGTCTGCGAGTCTTTGCTGGTCGTAAATAGAATGGTAACCTAGCTGGCCTAGATGGTGGCTTTCGACGAGATCCAGGAAGCAGCGGTCTGGAGATGGTTGTAGAGGGAGGAGTAAGAAAAGAAAGGTAAGGTGTTCGGACGTTGCGGATAGGGAACGAAGGAGCGCGTCAGTGTGCGATGGTTGGATCGAAATCTCCGGGGAAGAGTCGTGGTATGCAAGAATCTAGACCCTTGTTGATGTTGGAATCGAGATGTAAGGCAGGGTGCTGGAAGCGGTGGAAGAGAGTATTGCCGAGAGCAGAGCAGGACTAGGACAATACCGAAGGAGTGCATGCGGTGAGTGAAGCTAAGTCGGTAAGGAGCCGTCGCTTGTTCGAGAGGCGAGGCAATGTGTGTGTGTGAGCCAAGGGATCAAGGCGCAGAAAAGAGCATGAATCGTGACTTGGCATCACACACAGGAACGAGCAGCAGGGTTGATGGCAAGTGTAAGTAAGGAGAACAGAGACCAAAACAAGGTGTGGACAAAGAGTGTAAGGCAACAAAATGTGCTTACACAACCACAGCTAACTCGCTCATTCCTCACAGCCGAGCGTCTGGCACTGTTGCTTCCTGCTCTTGCCTGCACGTTTTCCATTCCGGTCGGCATTAGGCCATCTCGCTTCTGGTATTCAATCCATTGCTTTCGTCTTGTCCTTTTTGGTATCTTTACCGATAGCGAGGACGGATGGCGAGCTGGCGTCCGGCCCACAAAGGGTGCAAAGGAAGGCGAGAAAGGGATCGTCGCCCTGCATCTTGCTCCTTCTCCAAACTCCAGATTCTGTCCTCTGTTTTGCCAGCAGCGACGACCGAGCACGTGACTTGAAGGTCGACGCGTCGCGTGTCGCGCGTCCATCGTCCCTCGTCCCTTTCGGCGCACATGCCATGACTGGAGGAAGCTTCCTCAACGACACATTCATACCGACCTTGTCGAGGTGCAAAGACAATGTCACACTCACACTCGTGTCCGACGTAATGAACCGACAAAGTAAACTGGTCGACGTGTAAAAGTGGCGTAGCCTTGCGCCTGCCCCACTCGAGTGTTAGGCTGCAGCAACAATAAAGACCTTGACAACGACAACGCCGAGCCGTTGGCGCTTCTTTTCTCTGTGGCTGCTGAACTACAGTAGGACAGAGGACAGCATCGCACGCCACAGAGAAGGCTTGCATTCGACAATAGCTCTGGCTGTGCTTTCGGTCTGCCAGCCTAACATCTTTCTCTCCCGACAGGGTCACAATTCCGTTTGTTAGGTCGAAACGGTTTACACCCATATGATGCGACTTTTTCGTGCCTCTTTTTTTGCGATTCTTTTTTCGAGATTGCCGTGGAGATTGCAAACAAATGTGAAAATAAAGTGACATGCTTGAGGCCTCGCACCTCTATCCAGACGTCATCGCTCCACCTGACAGATTGAGAGTGTTAGCCTACTTCCTTACTACCGAGAGTCTAGAAGAAGCCACTGACTCCTCAGCCAAGATGGTTCACAAGACTTTGATCAACAGTGGTCAGATGCCACAGCGAGGTGGACCAGTATCGCGCGAAAGAGCAAGCTATCCCGAAATCCGAATCCGGCGTCGCGATTCTTTACGCAGCCGTGCATGCGTAACACTCCTGCTCTCCGCTCGCGATTACGAGGGTCCAACTCCACCTTGGCAGCAACCATCGAACCCTTTCGCCCATCCACCTCGCAATTGCATACCTAGCGCATATCCATCCAGCACTCGCCAAAACTCACGTACTGCGCCTCCAAATCGAGCAGCGACTCGATCAAGTACAACCTCCCCAACGGTGATAGATACAGGAGAGACTCACCCACGCAAACGACCGACACGGAGGCTCTAAGTCGACAGACCTCCACGATGCAAGCTGTCTCGAAATTCATCTTTGGCCCGAGCCAAGAAGGTAAGCTCCACAGTCGCATTCTCATGATCTACGCCTAACCACCTCGACTCGCACAGTGAAGGCCAGAAAACTGACGACAACCACCGTATCTACATCGAACAGAGAGAGTGAAGAAGGTCCAATCGCAGTTACGATCCGAACAGCGCTCACTCGATCGAGAGATGCGACAGATCGACCAAGGATCCACAAAGACCAAAGCCGAAATTAAGAAGCTTGCCAACAAGGGCGACGTCAAGAACGCAAAGATTCTAGCAAGGGAAGTCGTCCGCGCCCAGAAGCAGAAGAACCGTCTTGCAGTGTCCAAAGCGAGACTCAATAGTATACATATGCAGCTGCAGCATCAACTCGGTAAGCACCCTGACTCGCTCACAGAAAAGTCAAGGAATGACACTGACAATTTATGGCTTCACAATTTTGATGGGTCTGGCGATGGCTGTGTTGTAGCAATGTACAAGCTGACAGGAAGCATGCAGAAATCGACCGAGATCATGAAGTTGTCGAATCAACTGGTCAAGCTGCCAGAAGTTTCGGCGATTATGCGGCAAATGAGTGGCGAGATGACCAAGGTAAGCCCATACTCCTCCTTCTTTTCTCCTCAACCCTTCACTGACACTCTTATCACTGCTCTATGATGAACTTGGCAGGCGGGCATCATGGAAGAACTCATGGACGACACATTAGATTCTGGTGTCCTCGGCCAAGACGAAGATGAGATGGAAGAGGAAGCACAAGAAGAAGTCGACAAAGTCCTCTATCAGCTCACCGACGGCAAATTGGGTCAAGCAAGCACAACCGATGGACTACCAGAACTGGCGATGGAAGATCCAAAACTCAACGAAGAACAGGAACAAGCAGATATGCAACGCATGCAGGCTGCTTTGGATGGGTTGATTCGTGGATGATGCCATCAGATCCGCTCTTGTCCAGATTCGCAGCGTAGGACCACGTTCGGGTCAATTTGTCTTGTCGCTCCGTCATTCGAAAGCTCGCCCTCTTGCTCGTCGTCACACTTGTATTTGTACCGATAGCATTGTTTGTTGAATCCATTCGATCATCAGCAGCATCCCAGAGCATGACTGGCAAATGTGTGTCTTTCGCTGCGACCAATCCCACCATGAACGAATCGGGAGAGCATCCCATCTTTCCGGCACCTAACACCGCCTTATAGCGCCCAAGCCATCCCGAGCCTTCACACCCGCAACGCAACGCGACAGCAACACTTGACTGCCAACCAGCTTCGCCTTCAACACGCCGAACCAACAAAACTCAATTCAACTCATGAAGATTGCAAACGTCACACACAAAAACGAACATGTTGTTTTGAAACCGATATGCTCAGATTGCTGCTGGATATATCTGAGGACAAGATGCTAGCGCTGGCGGTAAAAGTACAGAAGAGATACAAAGCGACCAAGAGGGAGGGAAGAAAAAAAAAGAGATCGAAAAAAGGGCTACGCAAGGACTCTGAAAGTCAACAAGCGGGAGGACACCACGACGCGCTGCACCGAACGTGTCGGGCCGAGAGGTACAGGAAGAACATATGACGAAAGAAAACCGAATCACAAGTTGAGACGCAGAAAGCGCTTACTTGGAGGAGGAGAACTTGGTGACCGACTTGGTACCTTCCGAGATGGCGTGCTTGGAAAGCTCACCGGGGAGGATGAGACGGACAGCCGTCTGGATCTCTCGCGAAGAGATGGTCGACTTCTTGTTGTACGAAGCAAGCTTAGAAGCCTCAGTGGCGATGCGCTCGAAGATGTCCTGAACGAAAGAGTTAAGAATGGCCATGGCCTTGTTCGAGATACCGGTGTCGGGGTGAACCTGCTTAAGAACACGGTAGATGTAGGTGGAGTAGGTCTCCTTGCGGACCTTGGTGGCCTTCTTCTTGTCACCAGACTTGGCGGGAGCCTTGGAGGTCTTCTTGGCAGCCTCGGCGGGAGCCTTGCCAGCGGACGAGGCGGGGGCCTTACCGGCGGTGGAGGAGGGCTTCTTCTCAGCGGGCTTGGGAGGCATGATGAATAAAGGTGGGTGGGGTTGGTTGTAAGAGGTGGTAAGAGTTGGATGAGGAACTTGACGGATGAGGAACTTGACCGATGAGGAGAAGAGAGAAAGAAGAGGGTCCAAAGGTAACAGCGTGTCCAAAGGGCTGGGTTATAAACCAAATTGGACGTTGAGACTCGGGCGCGTCTCTGTGTGTGTCAATGCGCCTTTGCGCTTGAGACGAGACGTAGACGCGCAGTCGAATTGCTTTCAGCGGCAGAGCAGCAACTGAGCCTGCGAGCGCTCGAGCGCGAACGCGTCTGTCTGTCTGTCTATTTCTGAGCAGAAATGCAGAGCCTTTGCTGCTGTGTAGACGCCGAGACGAGTCTGGAGAGGGAAATTCGTGTGATTTCCTAGAAATCAAAAAAGAATAAAAATGAGAAAATCAAGGGCCACGCTCAGCCCAGCTAGAAGAAAGGCTTTGCTGTGCTGTCCTGTGCTTTTCGGTGGGTCCGAACGTTGATTTCACATTGAAGCCTTCGAAGCCCCTAATTTCCAGATCGCAACCTCTGCGCACCATCTCCCTGCGAAGGCGAGACTGTATCGCATTCCTCGGCTGAGTATCGAAATTTGATTCGAGCATTTGCGGGCTTCGAAGCCCCGAGAATTCTCTCTCCTTTCGTCACATCACATCTCTCTTCCTCCTCGCTCTTCGCTGGAGCTGAACCGCTGACATTGGCCTCGGCTCCGTCCATGTTGAATTGCGATCAGATCAAGAAAGCCAGCTCTGATACTATACCTGTCGTGGTTGTCAGTGTTTCGTGAGGCTGGGTAGACCATGAATAGGTGTTGGCTACAGGTACTTGGGCGGCTGGCGGACGGATTGTTGAAATGAGGGGCTGTCAACCGCTTTGACGAAGTTGCGCCATTAAGGGAGCGAAGTTTTTTAGAGCCTCCGAAGGCTTGATTGTGATTGGCGCAGACTCAGGCATGTTTTTCGAAGGCCTAAATTCGAAAAAGGATATTCCGTTCCAGTTTTGTGAGAATTGCGAATCAACGCGCTTTGTGTTGGTGCTTGTGCTTTTTCTTCTTTTTCAATGACTATGATAGCTCGACTGCCTGCCTCCACGCAGTTGCCGAATTTCGAGAGAATTGCGTGGGTGCGTTGTATCTCTGTCGGTGTGCTCATTTCGTGGGCGCCTGTGTGCTTGTCTGCCTATCTGCCTGTCGCGTCGCGCATCCAACACTTGGCCTTGCCTTGCCTTGCCTTGCCGCCCTCGCGCACTGGCCTGCCCAACCTGCCTGTCTGTGTTGCTGGACCGACCGAAAGATGATAAAACCCTTCGTCCGAATCGGCTGCATTTCCATTGCCTCCCCCTCTTCTCTCTCTTCTTTCTTCTCCATCGTCTATCATCTCCTCCGTCTATCATCTCCTCAAGTCTCACGACATCCCTTCAAAGCTCAACGTTCAACTCAACCCCAACCCACCCCTTCTAATTTACTTTAGCAAACATGTCTTCCGGTGGTAAATCTGGTGGCAAGGCTGGTGACGCTTCTTCTAAGGCCCAGTCCCGATCGGCCAAGGCTGGTCTTCAGTTCCCTGTTGGTCGTATCCACCGTCTCTTGCGAAAGGGCAACTACGCTCAGCGTGTCGGTGCCGGTGCTCCTGGTAAGTTTTCATTCTCTCCTACGTCTTTATCCCCATCACGTTCTTTGAAAGATTGACTAACACGTCGCTCTTCGTTCCTCCACCTTTTTTCTACGAATAGTCTACCTCGCTGCCGTTCTCGAGTACTTGGCTGCCGAGATCCTCGAGCTTGCTGGTAACGCCGCACGTGACAACAAGAAGTCCCGTATCATTCCCCGTCACCTTCAGCTCGCTATCCGCAACGACGAGGAACTCAACAAGCTTCTTGGCGGTGTCACTATCTCCCAGGGTGGTGTCTTGCCCTTCATCCAGTCTGAGCTTCTCCCCGCCAAGTCTGGCAAGCCCAAGAAGGCTGGTGGCTCGCAGGACATCTAAGCGTTTCCTCTCTTGGTTACGCTTCCCTTGTTCCGCATCTACACTCCACTGTACTATCATCTCTGCATCTTAGTGTCGGTCGTTCCTTTGTCACGATGGTCGACCTTCGTTTAGGACTGTCTCGGTAGAGGTTATATGCAGCTTTGTTCTGCTCTGCCACTATCTTTGCTCTTCGCTCTTCGCTCTCCCCTATCTCTCCCTCTTTGTCGTGTTTCTTTCTCGTTTTTCTCTTCTTTGTGTTCATCCTTGTACTACTACTACCACCATGGGCTCGGCGGTCAGAACAGGGCTCCGCCAGCTTACGCAACATCAGGCATCATACCAACCTGTGCTCAAAGAATGCTTTTTTTTTTTTTTTTTTTAGCGAATGTGCGCGTGTGTCCAGTTCGGGTGTGACTGGAATTGCCGGGAGACGAGTGTCCCGCGATATAGCTTGCTAAGCTGTGCGTCGTCAGCGAGCGCGATGAAGTTACTTGGTCGTGCTGGAAGGCGATGGCGATGGCTCTTGGTCGACAGACGAGATCTCGCCTTGCGACCTAGCACGGAGCATCGGGAGGGATAGGCTTGAAGATGTTTCTCTTGCGGCGTGGAATTTGATTATTTATAAAGGCACGAATATTGAGGTCACGAAAATCTAACTGATATTCCCATGTTGTCCGAGCCTTGAGGCTGGAGGCGATCCGACTTGCTTGCCATAGCTTGACGTTGACATCTTAGATCCATTGGTTCAGAGCACTGTCGCCCGTACAATCTTGATCTCTTCACAAGGCCTACGTAGAAGTCGCAACCAAGAAAGCGAGTAGGAACACTGGTCAGCAACGTGTTGGAACTCGCTCGCCTCTGTTCGAACCAAGACTTACCTGTCATCCTTGGTCTCGACCACGCCGATCTCTCGCACAGCGTGCATACCATCCGATACGCGGCCAAAGATAGTATGTTTTCCATCCAAGAAGGGTGTCGGTGCTAGCGTGACGAAGAACTGGCTGCGATTTGTATTGGGTCCTTCTCCGTTCGCCATTGCCAAGATACCAGCACCGACAAAGCGGAGCTCGGGGTGGATCTCGTCTTCGAAGTGTCCACCGTAGATAGATGCACCTCCCGATCCTGTCCCCGTAGGATCGCCTGCCTGGATGATAAAGTCACTGATAACGCGGTGAAAAATGATGCCGTTGTGAAAGCCCTGCTTGGCCAGCTGATAGAAGTTGGCGCATGTCTTGGGTGCATGCTTCCAATAGAGTTCAAAGACAATGCGACCCATTGAGGTTTCGAGCACCACAGCACCGCTATCTTTGCCCGATATTGCCATGGCTGCGGAGCTTCGTCTCGATCGACTGATAGCAAGAGAGGATGGTCAAGAGCAGTCAGAACTGGAGGATGGAGCTGTCTTGCAGTTGCAGACCTTCACAACAACGAGAATGCAAGTTGATTTGCGCTTTCTCGTCAGGGTCCAGCGAACCGGAGCCGAAGCGACGCACAGACACGCTACATTTCCACGGCACAGCAACACTCGACAACACTACCTTCTTCTCAACATCATCACCCTCAGCACTCCTTCACGTATTCCGCCTGCAGCAGCTTGGCTGAACGGAAACTCGAGCAGTCGAGTAACGCGCCTAGGCTCAATGTTGTCCAACCCTCAGCGCCAGCCCGAAGGCGGGAGGGGTGTCAATGGAACTGCTCCAGCGCCCCAAGCTGCCTCGACGTCCGCTCCAACCACACCAGAAAGACAAGGCCGAGCCAGACACGCTCGCACCAACGCATCCCTAACATCTAGCATCGCAAGCAGCAGCCTCGGTGCTAGCGCCGATCCGCCCTTCTCGCCCACAGATAGACTGCCACGGCGCAGTTCGATCCCCAACGAGGCTAGTCGCATCTTTCAGGCTACAGGCTTTGACCCATTCAGCACCGAACCTGACACGCTCTTCCGTTCAATGACGGTCAAGCAGGTCGAGGCGTACGAGCGAGCCGTCCGAAGCACCGCACAAGGAAAGCAGCAAGAGCTCAGAGGTCTCGTTGGACAGCGCTACGAGGACCTCCTCGGCACAGCCAATACCATCATCGACATGGCTGGTAGTTCCAGCCAACTCTCACAACGACTTCAGAAGCTTGCAAAAGGCGTCAAGTCGGCATCTAGCGTGGAAGAGACCACAGAGACGTCCAAAAAAGCGAGTCGACGCAAGAGCTTTCTGCCCGCACAGCTCTCAACATCGAGCGGACCGGATGCGGATGCCTCATCGCTGCACCAGGAAGCAATCTATGTGCTTGGCACCTCACTGCGCCTCATCATGGACGCACCTGAATACGTCTGGAAATCTATCGAGAAGGGCAAGACACTACAGGCTGCCTGGGCCTTCATGTTGGCCAGAGCTACATGGTGGGATCTCAACGAGACTGGCCTGCCCTCCGACAGCCAGTCGGCACTAGCCCCAGATGGTGAAGAAGACATCGCATCGGCGTCTCAAGCCGTCTCGCTACTTGGTGTCAATGTCAAGAAGGCCTTCCCGTTCATCGAGAAGCAATGGCAGAGCATGCTGCCGATGCGCAAGCAGATTGTCCATCGCGCTGTTGCTCTGCTCTCCGATGCCGAGATCGAGTCCATGGCCGTGGTGGACCAACTTGCTGCGCTGATGCTGATCGATGGCACCAAGATCGACCAGGCTGTTCACCTGCTCCTTTCGCAGCGACTCACAGCTATGCGGCGTATGGTGCAACGACAGCGGCGATCAGCACTTGACCTACATCACCACACGACGAGCCGTGATGTGGACGGGGTCGAAATTGCCAACAGAGCAGCGCAGACATCACAGACAATGGCTCAACTAGTCACGCTGTTCGCACGCACGCTGCAACACGCCGTTCAGATCTTTGCGCTTCCGACAACGACAGAGGCTGCATCATCAGCACGGCAGCCTTTGTTGCTAGACTTGCTTGCCACCATCACAGACTCTGCCAACTTCACAACAGGCACACCTGCAGCTATATCACCTGCGCATGAACGCGCTACACTCTTCCCACACCCACCCTCCGCATCCAGCAACGATGGCACGTCGGCAAGACAAAACGCTGCAGCCCTTCGAGCGCTCCGTAGAAGGTCAAATCACGGCTTGCCGACCGAGAATGCGACCCAAGATGTTGGAACACAAGCAGCAGCAGATCGTACACACCCAGATCAGGCGAAGTATTTGCGAGTGTCGACAGTCAACGTTGTGCAGGCCCTACCAAGTTCTCGTGTCCTTCTGCGCCTCCTGCCGCCATCACTGTGGGGTTTTGCGCCATTTCTGGACCTCGAGAACTCTGAAAAACATTCAGCTGAGCAAGTCATGGGCGATCTATCAACATGGTCAACGAAAGCGCGCGAGGTTCTGATTGACGGGCACGCAGAAGGGACCAAGAATCATGCTCCACTGGATACATTAAGGACTTTGCTCTCTGAGCTTGCAAATGTCAGCGAGCTTGCGCTCGTACGAAGGTCGTTACGCACAACTTTGCATCGAGCAAGGCGCATCGTTGCTCGCAAGCTCATACCATCGGACGCGGTGAAAGACAATCGCCGCCAGGCAGCATTAGCAAAGGTGGACTCGGAGTTAGAGCAATTAGAAGAGGCTATCGACTCGATCTTGCAAGAGCGTCTGTTGCATCTCATGGAGCAAAAGCTTCAATACGCGGTCCAGGCGCTTCTCACAGAGACTGGAAAGATAGTGTTGTCGCTGCAGTCCAACTCAGCAGAGGTCGATACACCTCTCGATGCGCTCTTCCATCCGATTGGTGCGGACATCGCTTCATTCGAAACTCGCATCGATGCGACCGCAGCTGCCAACCCAACTCAGGCAAGTCGCACGTTTGCTGTCGCGTTGCAAGACCATGTCTGCGGTCGGTCGCAGCGAATTGATAAGCTGGCAAGCTTGTACGAGACGCCGACTGCCGCTTTGTCGCAGGAGCTGAAGCTGTATCAGACAGAGCTCGAAGCCGACGGTAGATTTGCCAGTGCAAGCACATCGATTCGAGCGCGCTTCGATAACATCCTGGCCGACTCGCGGCAAGAAGTCGAAAAGGGATTGACGGACCTTGTTGACCAGCAACAATCTGCATCAGCAGCAAGCAAGAGCGCAGCGGCAGTGTCGATGTCGACGTCGCTAGGGATGCGTCTCATCGCTGTGCTTGCTCTGCGAGAATCTTCTGAAGACGCAGGTACTCCAAAGGGATTGCGTCAGCCAGTCAAAGCGGCTTTGGAACGATTCTGGAGGCCCGAGGTGGAGCAACGCGTCTCCACAGTCTTGCAAGCCAGCAATTCTTCCAGCTCATCCGAGTCATCCGCGTCTGCACGCTTGCTGTGCGCTCTTGCCACGCTCTCGGAATGCATCGTCCAGCTAGGACCGGCACTGGCAGGAGCTGAACTCGCCGAGCAAGTTCGAGCCATTGTTGAAAGCTTGCTTGCTCTCAGAAGGTCGGCCAAGGATGCGGCCGCTGCTCATGATGCGGTAACACTCAAGGCTTTGTTGGAAAGCGACACAGCAAGCTTGAGCAAGATTGTTGCTAAGGACAGCGGTCTGCATCATATTCGACTGGCACTCTCGCCTCTGCTGTTGGCGCTTGCTACGACAGCGTCAGGAGCAGAGGGAAAGGTGACAGCGGGGATGGCGTTGGCACGGGCAGAGCCAGCTTCCGCCGGTGGGCAAGTGCAGCCTATTCTGCCGGTGTCGAGGAAGAAGGTGGAGCGGTTCTCGATGCTTCCTGTTCGTTAATTAATGTACACAGCACAACTTCTCTCAGATCAACGTCAGCATCATGCCATACAATCAAATGGTGATGGCGACGGGTCCCGCACGAATTGTTTTCACTAGAAGTGGCATTTGTGAGGATGACGACCCCTATGAAGACGAGGGAGGATGCTTCCACTGCATGCTTTTCAGTGGGACGCTTGAAAACGCGCACGGGCGTAGCGCATGTCACCGCGAGATGGCTGCAGTCTGTGATCCAAATATGCTCTGTGCTGCCTCACTGCCGCAGCCGCCCATGAGGATGTGTTCTGACCGTGTGACCTTGATGCTCTGCGCCTCGACCCTTCTCTTGTCCTTCGCGTCTTACAAGAGAGAGGGCCCGCTTAGAGAGAGTCAGGGCCAAGAGCGAGACGGAAATCGGGCTACCAAAAATTCAGCCGCCAGCCGCCAGACGCGAGCGAGCCAAGTTGAGCTCACTCACCAACCTGTCTTTGCAACCGAAGCTGTTCATGCTACATACACTCGGTCGCGAATCCCTCCATCCGCATCGCGAGGCAAGTCGCGCGGGTCTCGATATCATCAAAAACTTCCATTAAAGGGAGCAATCGAAGACGGACTGGTACATACCGCTCAAGCACTTTTCAGGGCAGAAACCTTCGGACGAACGAGCGCGACGATAGCCCAATCAAGAGCACATTGCCTGGATAACGACCGACCTCGCGATAGGACTTGCGGGACGGTATCGCATCGATATATCGAGCAGATTTGCCGCTACCTCTGGCCCAAGAGAACAAGGGACGAGCAGCTATCGAGAACGTACCGAGATTCTTGATCTCGTTCACTGGACTTACTGGATCTAGGCGGGAAACTGGTGGACTTGCATTTGGCTCAAGACAAGGGAAGATAACGACACGGAGCAACAACCATTCTCTCGCCTCACGACCACATCCAAGTACGTGTATACGGCAGCCTTGTTGACAATTCTTCAGGCTAAGCTCGCAGTACTGCATCTTGGAGGTGATGCACCCTTTCCCGTTCGCTTTCAACATAGACAAAGATCAGGGCACAATAGGAGAACGTAGAGTAGATCGCCAAGCCTCAGACGCGTTCGGGGCAGATCGCGAGGACAAGACCCAATTGATTGGTAGAACAAATGCGAACAGCGCCGGCTCTCCCGATCGACAGAGGCCACGGCACACAAGAGGCGTGCTCCAACAAAGGAGCATCGACTCCTTCATGACGCCAACAGGTCTTGTTTCGACGTCTGCTTCACCCCTACCGTCAAATTGGGTGGAGCTTGCTCTCAAAGGCCGTACCGTAGCTATACGCGACAGACAACGCAAGATGTCGAATCAGTCGTCTAAAGCACCAGCTGGCGAGCAAGCTGCCGTTGCTCTTGCACCATCACGGTCCGAATCAGAGCCAATAGCGACTCAGCAAGCTTTCACGAAACACGCAGAGCCAGTGGTCAAGGTAGAGCCCCTCGCAGAGCCATTGTTACCGGCGGAAACATTACAACTCGTCGCTGTTGATGAGCCGATATCCACGGTCACTGCTGCGCCTTTGGCGGCTAGGCTAATTGGCTCGGCGAGTAGCAATACTGCGCCTGAACTCACATCAACCTCAGATGCCGCTTCTACTGCTGCGGCAACAAACTTTGCCGCACCAGCATCAGCTGCAACACCAGCACCGAATACGATCGCAGCATTATCAGCGCCTACCTCGAGTTCAAGCGCCAGGCCAGAAGGTGACGCGTTACGAACAGAGATCATGGGTCCACCTCCGTCTTTGCCTGCCGACCCTGCGTATCCTCCACTCAACCCTGTTCTGACGGACATGCCAGCGCCGGTCCCGAATCCCAAACGACGGGCGCCTACCACTGCCGCCAACGGTACGTCCTCCAAAACTACATCATTACAAGCACCGGACGACTTCGTTCCTCCCACGAATCTCAACGGCAAGATGCCCTACGCACTCTTCCAGACGGTCAAGAAAGCTTTCGCACCGGGGAGCAAAAGCCCAGCCGATCCTCACGCATCTCAAAGGTATGTACACAAACGCGCGGATTGGCTCCTCTTTTCCCTCACGTCCATAAGCGGCGTCCATCGCTCTTGATCGATCAAAGCTAGAGGGAGCGGACAACTCAGCTGGAAGGTTCATCATTGGTCACAATATCTCGCTGAGCAACACCATCGTTTTCATGCTTCCTTGAAATCTATCACTGACGACGCGCTCTCTCTCCGCTCCTCAACCTTGACTCTAATGTTGACCTCATAGCACGTCAACACTTATCGATGCAGCAACTGCGGCAGACAATACTCGCGCTCCGTCCACTGAAGCGCTTTCATCCGCCGCCGCCGCTGCCGCCGAGAATAACAACATTGATACCAACACCGGCAACAACAGCAGCAGCAGCAACGTGGTAGATCCGCTCATCACAGACGTGCTGACGGATGCAGACTCAGTCGCCACGGCGACAGCTACCCGCGAGACCAGTCCTGGAAGCTCAATTGCGCCAGAGCCTATCCAGAGCGTCACAACAGAGGAAGTTGCACCTGCACAGCAAACAGCAACGAGCCCTGCAACGAGTCAGTCGCTTGCCACTCCCTCAAAAGTCATCTCCACCGACGCTGTTGGCTCGCCATCAACGCCGGCTGCGACTATCAGCGAGGTTCCCAACGACGCATCGCCCTCTGTCGCTCTGCGTCGCAACCCTTCTAGTCGAGGTGCATCGATGCAAGCGTCACAGTCGATCACTAGCTCCTACGCTGACCCATTGGGTCTCAAAAAGCATCGCGAAACACAGCTACAGGACGAAGCGCGAAGTCGCAGATCCCCATCAGCGAGCAGTATTGGCGGAACACCCTCTGCGACCGCAGCAACGGCAGCTGGCAGCAAGAGGAGTAATGCAGCTCGCACCATTGTACCGCCGAATCTGGTCGAGCCGCCACCGGGTATGATGCACACACCTGAAGGCCGACTTCGCACCATTCCAGGCATTGCAGGCGCACACGTGCCACCGGGACCCAACTCTACGTCGACCGACACCAACCTCACGCCGAGACTAGAGGACAAGGAAAGTGCCAATAACGACTTCTGCGAGACTTGTGGTGGTCATGGTCGATTTGTGTGCTGCGACGGATGTCCTCGCAGCTTCCACTTTTTCTGCATGAACCCTCCGCTCGATATTGACGAGATGCCGCCTTCCAATGCGGCGCAGGTGCTGGGACCGGCGAAAGAGAAAGGAAAGGGGAAAGCGGGTCCACATGGCTCCCAGCCTGATCTCAACATGGACGAGATGTGGTTTTGCAACGTCTGCGTCGCTGAACGCAAGCCCAAAGCTGTGACAAAGCCGAAAGGATTGGGACCGTTTGGCTGTCTGCTATCGGTGCTATCGCAGCACAATCCAAAGAGCTTCCAGCTGCCAGCTGACGTACGGACGTACTTCAAGGACGTCGCAACCGCAAATGACGGAGACTATGTCAACGGAGCGATGATCCGACCGATCAAGCCGAATAAGCATGGGCTAATCGAGGCGCGCGATCCGTACAGGCTGAAGGACAAAAATGGTGATGCTGTGCTGTGCTATCGCTGCGGAGGGACTGCACTCCCTTTTGAGTCAGAACAGCCAGGTATAGCTGGTTCAAAGTCACGAAAAGGTGCCAAATCAGCACTTGTTGACGATGTGACGACGGCGGCGCTGCCAGCAGATCACACAATCCGCGAAGGAACTGGCTGGCGTAAGATCGTCAGCTGCGACTTTTGTTCTCTCCACTGGCACATCGATTGCGTTGATCCTCCGATGCTGGGCATGCCCAGCAACCGCCGTAAGTGGATGTGCCCGGCACACAGCGATCATGTCAACGATCGTCGTCGGGTAGCCCGAATGGGTACCGCAGTTCCCAGGACTTTCGACCTCCCACTTCCATCTGCGAAAACCATCGGTCCTGGTAAACACTTCCGCACTCGAGTCCTGAACAATGGCGATATTGATATCATCCCTGATACCACGGAGGGGTTGATGGGAGCCAACGGTATTACAGGCAGTCTGCAGTCTGGGATCAAAGAAATTGCGGTGGTTCCAGGTGTTGTTGACTTGCCGTCGTTAACAGCGGGCGGGTCGAAATTAGCTTCGAAGATAAGGTATCGATTCCCGGAGAAGGTGATCAGGACTGATTTTTGGAGCAAGCTGAAGGCGGATGATGCCAATAGCATTGGAACGGTGTTCTATGTTGCTGCTGCTGAAGTGGCTGGGCGGTCGCCGATACGTTTGGTAGCTGCTGAGGATGAGGCTAAGCCGGGGCATGAGGATGGTTTGACAAGGTACCGGCCGTTCGGAAGAAGAGATTATCCGAGGTCCGGGCTTGATTCTTTGGCAGACATCGCAGCTGCTCGGTTGGCTGGCGATGAAGCGGCGAAGAAGCAGGATTCGAGCCTCATTCAGCCATCAAAGACGAGACAGTTGGTAATGACTGCTCTGGGCATCGATTTGCAGAATGAAGATGTGCCGGAGTCCAGCGTTAGGTCGTCGCTGGAGGATGAGGATGAAACTTCGCCGGACTCGCCGTTGTCGAGTTTGTCGGATAGCGAGGTTGAGGCTGAAAATGGCGCAGCCCCTGCCACTGGGCCTGCTGCAGCACCCGTTGCTGTTCCACAAGATGCACCTGCACCTCCAACTGCACATTCACCTGCCGCTACAGGCCCCGCCCTCTCCGAAGAAGAGCTCATCAAACGCATCGCAGCACAAGCAAGTCAAGGAGTTTCGAGCGGCTCTCCTATTCGTCTTTCCAAACGCAAAGCAGCGGTTGCAGCCGAATCAGCACTCTCTACCACTCCTGTCAACAAGAAGCTTCGGTCTGCTTCCCCCGCTGTCACTCCATCTCCTGCCACTCGCGTCCTCCCTCCAAGCGCTGCTACACCTACCGTGTCAGTTGAGATTAGGCCTGCACCAGCAGGTAAGAAGATCACTCTCAAAACAAACGGCAAGGAGAAGCAGGCAGAGGAGATGATGGAGGCGAAGACGGCGATGAGGATGGCATATCATCTATCAGAGCAGTACGCGGACGAACGGAAGGAAATCGAACAGTTAAGAGCGATTAGAGAGTTGATGCGGTTGAAAGGGCCGGATCGGTTGCTGGAATTTTTGTTGGCGCCTAATGATAACGAGCAGGCAGAGGGCGGAAAATCTGCTTGAGTATAGCACTCTCTTACAAACAATCGAACTTGGCATTTCACATGGCTGAACGAGTCTGAGCTGCTGGTATTGCTATATCAATAGTATCTTCAACCGTACATCTGCTCAAGCACATCAGGATTGGTCTGTTCAACATGTCTAACCGCCTCTCCGAACAACCCGTTCGGCCAACCGAACCAAGGCCTTGTGAAGTCCGTAGCATTCTTCACATTGATACTTTCGTGAATCAACCGCGTGCCTGCTGTTGTATTTCGCAACAGGCTCAAAGCGATTCTCTGTTCTTGCGCATCTGTAGATGTGAGAATCTGCATGATTGGGGACATAGGCCAAGCGTAACCGTTGCCCACGTGAGGGCCGCCATGTTATTTTAGACAAAGCCAAGAAGCTCGGTGAATGGATCCACCGATACCGCCTCTCGGCCCCCCATCTCACGGGGTCGGTCGACAATGTGAAGCGTTGGTGCTGTGTGCGATGTTGTACCAAATGCGGGGGTGAATGAAAGATTTGAGAGTCGGTCAACTTTTTCGCCGTTTTATGCTGTGCGATGACCGCACCGCCGAATTCACCGATTTTTGCCTTGCTCAAAGAATGTTCGACCGACAAATCACACACTTAGCTGTTGCGAGAAAGGTGCGGATCCGATGAAAATTACTAATCCTGACATTCTGCTGTGAGCCGCGACTGGAATTGCCGCAGCAACCTCAACTCCGAATTCGCAGCCCAATTCAAGTTACATCGTTGGGTTGGCTGGAGAGAAATTGCAAGTCAGCACAGCGCAGGTGTGAGCGAGAGCGCTCGAGGCCAAGTTCTTCGACACTATCGCGGATCCCCCTTTCTGACCACCAAGTCTTTGTACCTCACCCACAGTATAATTCGTCAAGATGTAAGTGTTATTTCGACAGATAGCAGCATTGATTGTCGTCGTCATCGTAAACAGCATGGATATGCGGATTGTTGGAGCAGTAGAGTAGGACTAGGACTTGCCACTTTCGAGCCCCAATCTGAAGTTTAGGCGGATATGGTAGAAAGTCGCTTTGTTGGAGGATGTAAACCGGATCATGCTGTCATGGTCGTCGAAAGACCGGAACGGACTACTGACGATATCCACCATTTCTCCCTCATTCAATCAACCCATCACACATTGCGACTCTCGACAACTGTTCACCATCCACGTACGACAAAACCCGCCATCTCTGCATCACACCAACAACCAACGACCATTCATCACCAAACCTTGATCTCTCTCCTCATCATCGGTATATCATCTGGCTTGTGACTCTGCAGGGCCAAGTCCAAGAACTCGTCCCAGCACAACCAAGTGCGCAAGGCTCACCGTAACGGTATCAAGAAGCCCAAGACCAACAAGTACCCTTCGCTTCGTGGTGTTGACCCCAAGTTTGTTCGCAACCAGCGTTACGCCAAGCACGGAACTGAAAAGGCTTTGAAGGCTGCTCGTGCCGAGGCATAAATCCCATCCCATCCTTCGACAATTATGACCGCATAGGTTGTGGTACTTGCCCAACCCAATTGTAACATCACCCGACGCACTCGGTCCTTTTGCAATAGCGTAGGATTACTGTTTGCGGAAAGTCGATCCACTTCGGCTCTTCGTACATCACATCACACCCAAAATTACACACACATCGTCTCCAATGCATTAAACCTACCATTCCGAGATCAACTCACACACTTGCGAGGCTTTGTGCACATTCGAACGCAACAGAAAAGCACACTTCAGGACAGCAGCAGCAACAACCGATTTGGAAGTACGATAAGATATCATTGGGGATCCATTGGAAGGGGTAATCGATGGTCACGTCGGAGTTTGTACGACGTCCGGATCTCGTTTTTGGACCGAGGACTGGATCAGGCATGCCGCGATGTGCAATCTCTTGACAGGCCGCGACGACACTGTAGATATGGTTCAACTTTGTTTCAAGCTGAGATTGGATCAGAGACGATCTTGAGAGACGATCAAGAAGAAGGCTCGTTTCAGTTACGGGCCATTCGGTCGATGGGTAGAAGTCGTTAGTGTTGCTGCTACTGCTGTCGTTCTTGATGCTGTCACCTTCCCCTGTCTAGTAAAGCCTTTGAGGTATGAGACGTGAGAGCATTGAAGCCTCACTTTCCGTCATCGATTCAGCAACGCTCTTCTGTAAGCCGAGAGACTGCAAGAGGAGATAGCCTAGTTGCTCGCAGTCAGGTTTGAATTCACCTCGATGTGAAGGTCGAAGAGCATTTCGTTCACAGCGCTACATGGGCGCACGTCAGAGGTCAAACACAAGCTCAACACACCAACAATAATGAGCAGACAAACGACGATCAACATTGAAAGAGCGAAAACAACAATGACATGAAAAAAACACCATAAGAGAGCAAGACTATACAAGTACAAACAAAATGCAACGGGAAACAACAACGACTGCAGACTGACGAGATGGTAAGGAGGGAGGGGTGGCTATAAACAGTACTGACGCCTTTTGAAAATTCAATCCAACTCATACCACACTCGAGTGGTAACGACCTACTGCTACTTGAACCCGATCATACAGCGGAGGAGCTTCCCATGTAGCTCTTCTCCAATCCAATCCATCGTGTTGAAAGATATCCTCTATCTCGGGACTCTCATTGCTACTTGGTATTGAAGGCAATACCACCGTTTGAGTTCTTCTCCTAACCGAGAAGGCACCGTCGCCTAGCGCGTGGAATGTTGAGGCAGCTAAATCGTCGTTTCTCGCATCTCTCTGTGCTCTTACACTGGTGGATGTTTGCAACAGTGGAGCGGAAGCTACACTGACCGCCCTAGGCCTCTCCCTAACCTCTGTCGATTGCGACGGTCTCGAAGAAGGAGAAGAAACAGAACTTCTCCCCGAAGCAGGGGCTGTACTTGGTCGTTGGAGAGATTGGATGATAGCTTCATTCGACATCTCGTTATAAGGGGGTAAACGTTCTCCTTTTGCACGCCATTCTCGTTCAGCGGTACGGATTCGTTCGATTTCTTTATTGTGCGCAGCGAGAGCTTTTGCTTCGTTTTTGGATAGACGTTTGCCGTCTTCAGAGATCGGTCGTCCGAGAGAGTCGGTGCGGAGGGAAGAATAGCCGTGTTTGCGAGACTTGCGTTTGTTCAAGAATCGAGAGGAGGCTTTGAAAGATTCAACGGAGAGAACGACCAGTAGGCCGACTGCTGCGACTGGCATCGGGTTGCGGCGGTGGGATGTATAGGCCAGTGAGGATGAGGGTAGGGCGGCTGCGAGAGGATGTGTAAGTGAAGTGTGGTGGGGAGTGTGGTGCGCCTGTAATAAAATGGTAAGGCTGAGCTATGAGTGGCGCTTCAGGTTGGATCTTGGCAGAATCGAGGACTAGGCGAAGCTGGACCTTTTGTGCAGCAGGGTGTCGCCCAGAGCTGATGATGTTCGTAGAAGGGGTCTTAGATGGAGCGAGTCCGGTGGGTCGTGGAGATGGACAGAGACCCTGGGATTAGCAAGCAGGAAACAGAGCTTTATGGAATGTCTGCGCTCTGAAATTGCCGTCTAAAAGAGTCGGTGTTGCAATCAACGAAAGAGCCAAGAAGACGGCTGAGGCGAGGCGGCTCGAGAGCAAGTGTGCAGAGATGTAAGGCACCTGCTAGTTGTCTTGGCGGTGGAGGCCCAAGTTGAAATGCGACCACTTGTTGCTGTACGTACACTATTTGGGAGGGGTCGAATAAAGCGGATGATACTGCTGAAATTGCCGGATTGATCGATTGTCGGAAGAGCAGCGATGATGATGATGATGGAGGTGGAGAGGCAAAGAGTAAAGCAACAGACTCCAGCCGTAAAGAGGTGCCGGAAACAAGCCTGCCGAGCCGAGATAGGAACGAGAGCACTGGAGAGAGCGTGTAAAAATCGTCGGCGCTTTATTTGGTTGAAAAACTCGGACAAGACTGCTCTTGCTGTTGTCTTGTTCTTCCCATGAACACACTCTGCTCTCACTTTGCACAGCACAGCATTATCATACAGTATATGTTGAAGAGCATGCGGCGAATAACGTCGATCACAAGTATCGATTGTGATAACAATTATGAACTAGGTACAAGATGATTTGAATGTATATGTATGTCTTCCAGCATTCTTTGTATACATGTACAGTGCCTGTGCAGAAGTTTGAGGACAATCGGGTAATTTCCCGATTTAGTCAGTTACCCTGCATTCAGGTCATCATCATCATTGAGCAATAGCACTACCATCATACTAATCAAGAACACTTCAAATGCCAATATGGTCCATGGCAATGAGCTCTCTCCAAGCAAGCATGCTTCAATCATTGCAATGCATGATACTGGGCTGCCAATTCAACAAATTGCAGAGCTAAGCAGTGTTTCCAAGACAGCAGTTCACAAGACCATCCATAACTTTAAGGAGTATGGTACCTTCAAAACAAAAGCATGATCTGGCCATCCACACTCCTGGACAGCTACCTCAGACTGATACCTTCAGTGTGAGGTACTCAAAAACCTGTTTCTATCATGGTGACAGCTGTCAGCATCACTTGGTGGCATTCCCATAACACAGCTCTGGAAAGCAGCATACTGGGCTGGTATTAACTGCTGGATTGCACTTCAAAAGCCATTTCTGACAGCCAAAAACTGGCATAAACATTTAGAATGGGCCAAGGCTAATGGCACAACTGATTGGAGGGGTGTGCTGTTCACAGATGAGGCAGCTGTTGAGGTTGGCTGCTGGCCCAGACACACATGGGTTAGTTGCTGGAAAAACACTCAAGAAGACATCAACAACATGGTTCCAACATTCTGTTCTGGCCATTTCAGCATCCAGGTATGGGCCAGCATTGCATACAACCTTAAAACACTGTTGGTTGTGCTCCCATTGGCTCCAAGAAAGAAGCAGCTGGGGTCAGCTAATCAATGGGATCCCACCAAGAACCTCACAGCTGTCAGATATTGCAATTGGATCATCAATGGCCTGCTCTGGGATGCCATAACTGCTGTTAGTGCATACCCTGATGGCCTGTCAGTTGTTGAAGATGGCAGCAGCTGTCATCAGGCTGCTATCTGCAAGCAATGACAGGTCAAATACAACATTAAGACACATGAACACCCACTGGCTTTGCCAGATCTCAATCCTATTGAGAACATATGGTATGTATTCAAAAACTTGCTTGGTAAGTGCTTGCCAGTTCCAAAAACCCAGGATGAACTTGCAAGAGCTGCAGAGGAAGTGTGGAACACCCAGATCATGCTCAAACATATCAATCCTGTGATTGAGTCAATGCAGCATCACGTGGAGCAAGTGCTTACTAAGCATGGAGGTCCACTCAAGTATTAGTCAGCTCTGAGACTCACTGCAATTGAAAGCTCTTCTTTTGAGTTTGCTCACTGTGTGTTTTGCTCAGTCTGACACTTATGAGAGATCACTCCTCCATGCAGATGGAAGGTATGCTATCAGACAGTTGATTTATTGTCTATTGGACCCTGTCCCCAAACTTTGGGCAGGGACTGTACAAGGACAGTGAGACTGAAACATAACAGGGAAACTGTGTTGGCTATCTGTTAACCAGCATGCCAATGTCAGTCACAATAGTCAATCCATGTAATGTCATGTATACCCAAATGAGCAAAGTTGGCATTAGTGTGAAATCAGAGTAGGAGTTACATACTTTCACTGTCCCCCTTGCCAACTGAGCAATTGAGTGGTCTGATGTTGGTCATACCTAGGCAATGTTGAGTGTGAGCCAAGAGGTTTTGAGAAACCAGCTTGGTGAGAAAGTTGGCAACATTGTTGTTGGTCTTAACATATGGCATGACAATATTGCCTTTTTGTACATGGCCACAAAGGAGGTGGTACTTAGTGTCAGAGGTTGCATGCCTGAAACCCGAAATCTGTAATAAAAAGACAACTACTACTGATCTTAGCAAGATCTGTGGTAAAGGCCTTTTATTATTATTCTGGCTGGAAACTGTTGTAGAAGCCTTCTATGACTGTTCTTGCTCAAATATGTGGTAACTTGAAGGTTATCACAGGTTTCAACTGACCACTGGGGACACTCTGTCCAGAGGTAGCTCAGCATGATCAATATCCTTTAGATACCTTGAGATAAGGTGGCACCAAGATCTGATGCTAATGTGATGGCTTCAACACAAGTGTCCAGTGTGTCAATGAGTTGAGAGAGTGATCCCCAGACTGCAGTGGATGACTGCCTTTGGTTCTAATGATCGAGAGAGCCAGACCACAGTATGAACCACCTTTGGTGTTGATCAATATCCAGACCACAGATAGTACTGCCTTCAGATGGCATCAAGTAGCTTGTGATACAACACATGCACTAGTTAGATGAAATGCTCTGCAATTGCAACTGTTTGACAGAAACTACTAATGTATACTTATGTGAAGTTATAACTAGTAAGATAAGGTGTAGAGTGGATGGGGATCCACTTGACTACTATGATGAGAAGGAATGGCTATATAACATCTTTGCAGTGTCGCCTGCAACTTGTCACGGGATCGGGAATCGGGTAACCAAACCGAACATAGTGAGCAGTAAAACCACTACACCAGCTATTCTCTTAGCTGGTGTACCCGATTCACACAACACTGAAGTATAAGCATTGCACTCCCCAATGCTCCGGACTCGGAGAACGGACGTCTATTCATTCCGGTGACACAACTCTGCTCCAACTCTCTCTCCAGAGGGTACCCTCTTTGTTGAGCACTGCTCCTCCCATTCCTTTGTGGTTGAGGAGGGCCACCTGTCACTTCAGCATTGACAGGGGTCACCCCACATCCTCCTAGTGGCAGTGCACCCCCTTTCATCTACCTCCTGATGCCAGCACCCATCTTCTTGCACTGATTTCATTGTTGTGCAAGGCCCCTACCTCATCTGGTGGTGACCTCTCCCTTGTTCATTATCATCCTCTTGTGGCATCAGCAATAGAGGTATTTTTGAACCAATTCCCATGAGGTCTGTTGTACAAGTGTTGTACTACTGTTCCCACTGAACTATGTAGTAGAGGCCTTGTTCTTACCAACCTCGACAAGTTCTGTCATAAAGCTGTCAGTCCTACCAATCTCATTGAACTCTGTTGGAACTCTCCTTTTGCCCAATCCACAATTGTTGCACCTGGTCCCTTCATATGAATCTAGTTCTTCCAGTGCATCCATCCAGTCCTATGACACTTAGTATCAATGTGCTTAAGTTTTGAGTGCATTATGGGATCTTTTGCTGCCTGAATGCAACCAGTATCATCAGTGAGCATGGGTCTCCAAACCCAAGGCCACAGAGGAGATGTCTGTGGAATAGCGCTTCTCTGGTGACTGCTTGTCAGGGGTCGCACACCTGAAAGCCCGAAATCTACTGAGTGAGCTTGATCCAGCCGATTTCGGCGAATCTGTCAAGTGAGTTTCTTCTGACAGATCTCAGTGAGATATGCTGGAAGGCTGTCTTCTGGCAGATTCCAGCTGACCTTTGTGAACACTCTGTCCAGAGGTAGTGTGTGTCAGGGGTCTCGCGCCTGAAACCCAGGTTGGTCTGTCGAGATACTTGGTGACTATCAAACTGTGCAACAGCTATTGTCTCAGTATCTGTCTCGATGAGCTAGTCATTTGGCGACTATCAAGTTGCGCAGTGACAGCAGGTGGCATTCGTTGTATATACTATTGTAGGTTTCGGCTGACCTCTGTGGACACTCTGTTCAGGGGTAGCTCAGCATGATCAATATCAATGTGTAGATTATGATGACACCAAGGTCTGGTGTGAGTGCTGATGATGATGAGGTTGATGATGATGAGGTTGATGACATTGGTGATAAGGTTGGTGGGTGTTGATGATAATGAGGTTGATGGTGTTGGTGATAAGGTTGGTGGTGTCAACACAAGTGTCCAGTGTGTTGACTGATGCTTGAGGTGATCCCCAGACTGCAGTGGACTACTGCCTTCGGTTCTATCTTGATCTGGACTGCTAACCTGCTATGGGGCACCTTCGGATGTCAGGTAGTGGTGATACAACACACACACTATGATGAGGAGCAACCTTGATAGATTGCTGCTATGCTGACTGAAACTAATATATACTTATGCTGAAGTGATAACTAGTTATATGGTGAGTAGAGTGGATGAGGATCCACTCAACCTTTGATGATGAGAAAGCATGGTTATATACCTCTTCACAGCATTGCCAGCAATGCTGCTCCTGCTCTCTCTCCAGAGAGTACCTTCTTCATCGAGTACTGTTCAGGGGCCTCTCCTGCTTGGCACCCCTGTGCCTCTTGAGCTGTGTCGACTCCTTTGACACTGCTCCTCCTCCTTGCTATCCTGCTGCTTGTTTGGCACCCCTGTGCCTCCTGAGTGGTGTTGACTCCTTCGACACTGCTCCTCCTCCTCAGGACCTGCTTGCTGGTGTCCTATACACTGCTCCTTCTCCTTTGACTGGTGACAGTTCCTTTGACTCTTGTCTCTTGAGCCCCTGAGTGGTAACCATCTGCATGCTCCTTGAGCTTGGTCCCCTTCATGGCTGTGCCTGCTCCTTGAGCTTGGTCCTCCTCGTGGCTGTGCCTGGCCTTCCTCACATATGGCTCAGTGCTCCTTTGCATGTGAGTCCATAGGAGTCCATGGTCTCCATGGAGACTGCACTACGACCATGCTCTCTACTGGTATCGACTAGATCTCTACCTGTGCCCCTCTCATATGAACCAGTGACCCTCCTGCTTCCTGAGCATTTAGGCCCATGACATGTGCTACCAACCCAATTAGATCATCGATTCCTGATGATTGCTGTAGATCAATTTGGCACACACTTCATATGCTGATCCACTGACCCTGTGACAATTACCACCTCCACTGATCTCTGTAGTAACGACCTCGTTCCTGCTGATCCTGACAAGTTATGCCATAGAGTTGTTACTACTACTGACTTCAGTGAACTCTGCCTTAAGCTCTCGCTTAGCCCATTCCTGCGATTTCTGCACTCCTCTTCATATGAAACCAGTTCTTCCTGCGCATCCATCCGGTCCTATGACAGAGAACAGCAACAACTGGAAGCTGATGGAGCGGAGGTGGGCACATGATCTTGCAAGGGGCAAACTATTGGCGGCGAGAAATGAGGTTGACGGATGGCGATCTCGGCCATCCACTGCTGACCTTGATACATCCCACACAGGTGACGTCTTGGCTGCTGTGCGTGAAAGTAATAAACAACCAACACGACGGCAATCAGCTCATTTTGACCTGCATTTCATTTTTGTCAATTCGGCTCTCATCCCACGCTCTCTCTGCATTCACCTGATGATAGGATTCCATTGGACGCCGCTGTTTGCTTTGTTGCAGTGTGCAGATTGAGTGCAGCTTCGGCGATCAGTAAAGAACAACACAAAGATGCAAGGAGCATCGACGCGCAGAAAACGTTCAACCGCTGTCATTCAATCAACATGCTTGTCGGTGTTGTGTGTGTGTGTGTTGACAGAACCGCAGGCTGGCGCTTTTCTTCTTCTTCTGATAAGTTGGGTTTTTGTTTTTTGTTTTTCTTTCTTTTTTTTGAATCGCCTCGGCATTTCGGTTCTCTGACGTCGCTGCTGCCGTTGTTGATGGAGAGGAGCAGCGACTTCTTCTTAACTTTCTGGCTTAGCGCGTTGCTCAGCTTCCGCTCTTCCCTTCTTCCTCCTCCTCCATCGCAACCCGATCCTCCATCCGTCCGGTGCCCCTTCTTCACTCTCTGTCGCATCGACGCTCATCGTTGTTGCTGCAACATGGCCGACTCTGCTGGTCTTCGAACCCGCAGCGCAGCCGCAAAGGCCGTTGCTGCTCCCAACGGCAACTCCAAAACTTCGAACGGTCATCACTCCAACGGTCACGCCAATCGCAACGCCAACGGCAAGCGTGCCGCTGTTGAAGATCAAGACCTTGATGACAAGCAACACAATTATGTCCCCAAGCACTCCTACCTTCACGTCGACCTCAATGACGATCAGATCATGGGTGGAGGCAAGCAGCAGACCCTCATCAAATACTCTCCCGGTATCGTCATCTCCGAACAGGGTCGCGAGACCGACAAGAAGCTTGATGAGCACTCCGACTGGGAGTTTGGCGGTCCATGGGGTGTCACTGCCATGATGACATTGTTCCCTTTGCTCATGTACTACCTCTGGATCTGCCTCTGGTTCTACAATGGCAAGCTCGTCATCCCTAACTCGGTCGATGACATTTGGCCCTTCTTCCAACGAATGGGTGCTCATGTTCGTGACCATGCTTTCCCCACCAAGCGTGCCTTTGCTGGCTATGGTGGCCTGATGGTCTTCCAATTCTTGTTGGCTGTCCTCATGCCCGGTTACATGCAAGAAGGTTTGCCTGTTCCTTCGCTTGGATACAAGACCTTAATGTACAAGTGCAACGCTCTCTCCTCGTTCTACGTCACCCTCGTCACCTGTGCCGTTCTTCACACCACCGGCCTCTACCGTCTCACTACTATCATCGAACACTTTGGCGAATACATGACCGTCTCCATGATCGCAGGTTACGCCGTCTCTGCTGCTACCTACTGCCACGCCGCCTTCACCAACACCACCCATCGTATGTCCGGTAACTTTGCCTACGACTTTTTCATGGGTGCTGCGCTCAACCCTCGTATTGGCAGCGTCGATCTCAAGATGTGGGCTGAAGTCCGCATTCCCTGGGTTCTGCTCTTCTTAATCAGCGTCAGTGGTGCTTGCAAGCAATACGACGTCTACGGCTATGTTACCCCTAACATGGCTTTCATGGTTCTTGCTACCGGTCTTTACATCAATGCTTGCGGTAAGGGAGAAGAATGTATCCCTCAAACATGGGACATGTTCCACGAAAAATGGGGCTTCATGGTCATCTTCTGGAACTTTGCCGGTGTACCCTTCACCTACTGCTACTCGATCGTCTACATGGCTGCTCATCCTCCTTCGTACTACAAGTTCAGCGCCTCTACCTACGCCTTTATGTTCTCCCTTCTCATCTTTGCACACTACGTGTTCGATTCCTCCATGGCTCAGAAGTCTCGCTTTAGGATGCAGCTGCAGGGGACTTTCAAGCATAGATGGACTTTCCCTCAATGGCCTTGGTCCACACTTAAGGATCCCAGGTATTTGCAGACTGAGCATGGTAATGCGTTGCTCATCGACGGCTGGTGGCAGTTCCTGCGTAAGCCTAACTACACCGCTGATTGGACACAGGCTTTCCTTTGGGGTGCGATTGCAGGAACTAGGTCCATCATTCCTTACTACTACTCGGCCTTTTTCTTGGCAGTGTTGACGCATAGGTGTGGGAGGGACTTTGAGAGGTGTAGTAAAAAGTACGGCAAGGATTGGGATAAGTACTGCTCGATTGTCAAGTATGCTTTCATTCCTTTTGTGTACTAAGTTTGGCACACATCTCCGATTTTTCCGGTCGGCGATATTAGGATGAAAGAGACGGTCGATCATGATTGCTGGTGGAAAAGGTATGCCGACGATTCGATTCACTGGCTGGCCAAGCTTCATCCTTGTTATCTCATGCTCCAACTTCTTTCTCGCCCAGGCTGGCTTCCACAGCTCAACGTCTCTTTCTTTTGTACTCGAATCGGACCTTTTTCAGAATCTTCTTTCCTGTTGCTATACTGATCCTGCCCTGGCTCTCACAGCTTCTACGCAGGGTGCTAGCGGTGACTCAAAGAAATCTCTTATTGTACAACACTACCCCCTTCTTCCAGCCTAAAAGCAAGCTTTGTGTGTACAAAAGTGCGGATCGACACTTGAAGAGCGTGGTGATATTCGCTCCAAGATAAGCCTCACTTTTTCTTCAGGCGGCTAAGAAAAAGCACCGCTTAATCAACCGAGCGCGGCAAAATCGGCCACTGCCTGTCGAGATACGCACGGCCCCTTTTTGTTGGAGCTCTTCATCCTCGCTTCGACACATCTTTGCTTCGAATGCGGAGTTGGTATGTAACGCAATCACTTTCATGCTATTAAGAAGGCATGAGGGTTCTGGTGGCTGTGCGGGGAAACATGGCTCCACGTGAGCCATCGAATAATGCCGTAACTGAGAGGTTGGCAGGGGGGCTCGTGACAGACCAAAGCCACCGCCTTGTTGGTGGGACGCACAGACGTGCTTGTGCGACAGCAGCAGGTCCGGCAACTGAAAGGTGTTTGAGGAGGTGGCCCAAAGACGCTGCATGGTGTGGCTGTCTGAAAGCGCTGCTGCTAGATGGATATATAGCTGCTCCATCGGCTACCACCTTTCCTGTTCCTCTTCTCCAAGAGCACCTTGGTTTCTTCTCACAACACCTTATCTCACATTCCCAAGTTGACCAACCCAACTCGCTCCCTACTCTCCAAAAAGATGGCAGACTACATCCACAAAGCGGAAGCCCATCGCGCAGCCCGCGATGCCTCCATTCCGCCCCACCTCCTCTCCGACCTCTCTTCCGCCTCGGTCCCTCCCCTTCCCCATGAACCTCTGCCACTCCCCCATTCCAAGTCAGAACCGCACAAACCCGAGCCTAAAACCATCTACGACACCCTAAACGCTACCCTTGTCCCCGCCAAACTCCTCTCCCTTGAAGACAATGCCATCACCACCACGGCGCTCCCCAAACTCGTCGACCTTCTATCCACCGGCAAGTTATCCTCTGTTCGGTGCACAGAAGCGTTCCTGCGCCGAGCAGTCCTAGCACATCAACTCGTAAATTGCTGCACCGATTTCTTCCCCGACCTAGCTCTCGCGAGGGCTAAAAAATGCGACGAGCACCTAGCTAAGCACGGAAAGCCTATCGGTCCGCTCCATGGTTTGCCCATCTCCCTGAAAGATCAATTTCACATCCAGGATACAAAACTCACCATGGGTTACGTTGGGTGGATCGGCCGACCCCTAGCCAAGTCGCACTCCGTAATCACCCAAGTAATGCTGCGCGCGGGAGCAGTACTCTACGTCCGAACCTCAATCCCTCAATCACTCATGCGGTGCGAGACCCACAATCATATCTATGGACGCACGCTGAACCCGTTCAATCGTTCCTTCACCCCCGGCGGGTCTAGTGGTGGTGAAGGTGCATTGGTTGGTATGCACGGTTCTCCGCTTGGCCTGGGAACCGATATTGGTGGTTCAGTCCGCGTTCCCTCTGCGTTTAACGGGTTGTGGGGTATGAGACCAAGTATGCACAGAGTGCCGTACGAAGGTGCAGCGAACAGCTTCCTTGGACAGGAAAGTGTTTCTAGTGTGATCGGGCCTCTAACTCATTCTTTGGAAGGGGTGGTGACGTTCATGCGAGCTGTTTTGGGGGAGAGACCTTGGGAACTGGATCCCCTTTTGGTTTCGATGCCGTTTAATGAAGATGCGTACAGTCTTAAAGATCTGCAGCTTAAGAAAGGCTCCTCTGCATCACAGGAAGCTTTAGGTCAGAGTGGAAAGTTATGCTTCGCAATCCTCTGGGACGACGGAGTGATTCATCCCCATCCCCCGATCACCCGAGCCTTGAGAGAAACAAAAGAAAAACTCATCTCTGCCGGTCACACCGTCATCGATTGGATCCCTCACAACCACTTGCGCGCATACGACATCATCTCACGCATATACACCGCCGATGGTGGAGAAGACATCCGTCGTAGCTGCGCTGAAGGTGGTGAACCGGTAATGTTCAACCTTATGGCTGATGGAAAAGAGCACAAGCATCTAAATACTTTCGAATTTTGGCAGCTGAACCAGGAAAAGAGTCAGTATAGGAAGCAATATTTAGACTATTGGCAAGCAACGGAGAGTAAGACGGGAACGGGGAGACCGGTAGATGCGATCATTGCTCCCGTAAGTTGCTGGGCTAGTTGTAAACATGATCTCAACGACTATGTGGGTTACACGACTCAGTGGAATTTGTTGGACAGACCTTGCGTCGTGTTCCCTGTTGGACATGTTGATCCGAGCAAGGATAAGAAGGAGAAGTTGGAGAAGCCTTACCAGGGTCTTGGAGATGGAGTTGATCAGATGTATTGGGATCGATGTAAGTGCCCGCGTCCCCCTTCATGCCAAAGGACACAGAACACTAACCAAGACTATTTATGTTTTTGACTTTGGTTCGTTCGTGCAGACGAACCAGAAGAATGGGCCAATCTCCCAATCAACCTTCAAGTCGTAGGCAAACGACTCCAGGATGAAGAGTTGCTCGGTATCGCAAAGGTCATTCGTGACGCTGGTGCAACCCTGCACTAATCAACAACCCCCTTCTAGCCCGCAGACGAATTTGTAAGGATTGGAGGAATATAACAGAGTTTAGGGAGGGAAAAAAAGAAAGAAAGTGTCGTTTATCGCGCGTAATCGGAGTTGCACGTGTGTGTCTGTGCGTGCAGTGAGGCTGTGGAGGTGTGAGTGTGAGCGTTTGACTTATCGCCGCTTTGCCGCTTCTTTGTGTGAAACCGATTCCTATCTACATTCTACCTCATCGGCGTCACTTTGGCGCCTCGCCATCTTTGCATCTAGACGACACTGCGCAGCATCAATAAGGGCGGCCGTTCTTCGACGATACCAACTAGCCCAGCATCGGACGACAAACGACGACAGAAGGAGTCCAACACTGGTTTCATCACAACCCTAGCATCTACGACGACACAGTCTTCCTGCTAGCAGGTATCACAGAACAAAGCAATTACACCTACGCAAGGAAAAGCACGATCCAACGGTGACATCGCTTGGTTCTGAATCGTATCACTCGGCTTTGCAGCAGGTATCGCACACAGCATCGGCTGCAAGCACACACGACCTTTTCGTACGCTCAGACAATCTTTCCAGACTCTGCACACTCCGACGACAATCTAAGCAATCCTGCACCTCTCATCAAAGCTAAGCTCGATCTTCTCTCACTCACCCTCAGCAATAGCACGAACATCCGCATTGCAAGCGGACAGGCAAGCAAGCAAAAGCTTCATTCCTCTCAGCAGCAGCACACGATCCAAGCCTCCCACATAACTCACCAGTGGTCTAGCTTCTTGCTTGAACATTCTCTTCTCCTCCGGTCGCTTGGTCGGAAGAGACCGTCGACAGTAGGAGGCAACAGAGTCGCGGCACGCAGGATGGTGCTCCGTTCATCAGCAATAGCAGGAGCGTGTGCAGGGTTAGTTTCCTCCGTCGTAACATGTCCCCTCGACGTTGTGAAAACTCGACTTCAAGCACAAGAAGGGCGGAGACGAAGTCCTCCTGCTGCTCCTACAATACCCAATATCCCAACACCAACTTCTTCCCTCTCTCCTCACTCACGGCCGCCACCACCAGCCCCGGCACCAGCACCTCCAACATACCTCGGTCTGCGAGCAACACTTGGCAACATCTACCACAACGACGGCTTTCGTGGCTTTTACCGTGGCCTGGGACCTACCATCTTCGGCTACCTTCCAACATGGGCTATTTACTTTACCGTTTATGACAATTGTAAATCCCTCTACCCCTCCTCTTCTGCCTCTGAAGAGTTTATCAATCACATTCTATCGGCAATGACAGCTGGAGCGGTTAGCACTATCTGCACTTCTCCTCTATGGGTGGTTAAGACGAGATTTATGCTGCAGAGTACGAAAGATACCAAGATTAAGCCATATAGGCATACGGGAGACGCTTTTGTTCAGATTTTCAGGTCAGAGGGGGTGAGGGGTTTTTATAAGGGATTATTGCCAAGTTTGTTTGGAGTAAGTCATGTGGCTGTCCAGTTTCCGCTCTATGAATGGTTTAAAGGAATTGCCCGAGACAGAAGGGTCGGGGGTGAAGGGGAGGGTGGGGAGTTGGATGCAAGTACGATTTTGTTGTGCAGTAGTTCAGCAAAGATGATTGCTAGTGTCACAACCTACCCACATGAAGTCTTGCGAACTCGGTTGCAGATGCAACCTCGCAATCATCCCCGAACACCAGGGTCAACAGGGACAACATCGTTGACCCGCCCTCCAACCTCGTCCAAGCCAACAATAGCGTCAACGATCAAACAAAGCGTCAACGAAACCAAAAACGCCGTCGTAGAAGGCGTAAAAGGGACCGGAAGGTACACAGGCGTAATCCAAGCAAGTCGAACAATAGCAAGAGAAGAAGGGATAAGAGGATTCTACAAAGGCATGACGGTGAATCTGGTAAGGACTGTACCAAGTTCAGCTTTGACTATTTTGACTTACGAATTGATTATGCAACATTTAAGTAGTCAACATGACGCTGGCTAAGGTTAGGAGCGGGGAGGAGAAGGAATAAGGGAATAAGCATTTGCATCAGATTGTTCTTGTGTCTGCTTCTGATGTGAATCCGAGGGAAGAGAAGATGACCTGATTTGGTCCATGTTGAACGACTTTACTCAATACGACGACGATGAAAGGGTTTGAGAAAGCAATGCTGATTCAGATCGTCAGGCTCATCGCTTCCACGCTTGTCAGTGTCGACATTGGTAAGATCGCTTCGTTGCATTCTCTCTCCTAGTCGAGGCCTCAAAGTAAGACTCATGCAACCGAGTCGGATCACAAGCATGCATTATCCAGCACAGCCCTCTCGTTGTAATTCAAAGTCAAAGATCTGTAATGCTTTGCAGATGTATTATACGATCAGTGTTCCTAAAAGTCATACGAGTGACACAAAGATGCCTAAGAGATCTGACCGCTCTGGCATCAGACCCCCTGCTTATCCTCAACCACAAACTCCCCATCCGCATTCCTTCCCATGAGCGCAGCATCCTCATACGGCGGCGGCGGGGGCGGAGTCCTCGCCAAATCCCCTCGTTGAGCAAATTCATTCCTTGCATCTTCCAGAGCCTGCATTGCTGCTTTCCCCTTCCCATTCGCCCTAACGTACTCTCCACTGACCCTTCCTCCGCCTTCAATCAGCGACTGCTGTTCCGCCCCATTGCCACGCCAAGTATCTTCCCTCTCATCTTCCTGAGACCCAAGTGATTCCAAATCTACACTCAGCCTCGACCGTCTTGAGCCATGAGAAGGTGCTGGTGATGGACCTCGCCAATTCGCTGGTAGTAGTAACGAAGATGCCCATTGACCTAAGCTCTGTCCTGCGCCCACAACTCCATTACTTCCGCCGGATCCAGGTCCAAAAGAAGAAAGTGATAGGGGAGACAGCCCATTCCCACCGTTTTGCGCCGTTGCAGCAAGTTGTTGAGAAGAAGCACTACTACTGGGACTCAACTGTTGACTTCCTGTACTACTCCCATCATCCCCTCTGACAAAGTATGCGGGTAGATAGAGGACTCCCTTCTTCTTACTTGGAGAGTTATCACCGGAGTTTGCCTCCATTTCACTGATCGCATCTCCTCTACTCGATGGCCGGCTGAGTGTCTGACCCATCCAAGCCAGCACACTTTGCGGAGCACTATCTTGTCTCCCCCCACCGATGGGTTCGGGATCTTGTAACTGGAACAACGGCAGACTTAACCGTGTTGGCCTCGGAGCAGGCATAGACAGCCTAGAGTTCGGATTCGCAGCACTCGTGCTTCCCACAGTATCATGCACATCCGTCAAGGGCACACTTTGATCTTCATCCGTCGTAGATCTCCTTTTCGACCTTCGCCTCGATAACGATCTTGAACTAGTCCCAATCGGCAGACCAATCCACCTTGCCTCCCCCCTCTGGTTCCTCCTCCCCCCGCCCCTACCGAATCCAGCTCTATATCCCAACCTCCACACCAAACTAGGCAGTAGCGTCCTAAACAATCCATACAGCACCACACATAACCCAACAAAGATCAAGAGCCTTCCGTACTTTCTCAAGAAGATCAAAAATCCAGCATCGTTCGCATGCCAACTTGAGCCATAAAAGTGGCTAAAGAATGAATCGGGTGCATCTTTCGGCTTCACATTCTTCCCGTACAGACTCTTGGGCAAGACTCTTATACCCTTAAAGCCCGCTTCCGGCTGTTTAGGCGTACTCGGGAACGCAGGTCCGTGAACGTCAACATACAATCCATAGCTGGCGGAAACAAACATGGGTCCGGTACTGAACATGACCGTTGGATAGTTGGTCAAATATTGATGGTTGAAGGTCACCAGATTATGAATGAGTTGGTCCATGAAGGGATGACCTTTAGCTGAGAGCATTACGTCGTTCGAAACACCCACTGGGATTGTTTTGGGAAGGATTACTTCGAATCTGAGGAGAGGATCGAATCGACGCAAACAGCCAATGTCGAGATCCATATAGATTCCTCCATAATGATGCAAGACGAAATATCGGATCGCATCAGCCCTCTGGATCGGATAGGGATAGCCATCAAACACTGGCAAGAACCAATGATAATGCTCTGCGATAAACTTGCGCGAGTCGGCGTCGGTCCAGAGCTTGTACTCGTAATCCGGATGCATCGCTGCACATTCATCGCGAATTGCTTGCCATCTTGGTGGAAGATGTTTGTCTTTCCATGTTTGATGGATGATTCGAGGAATTTTTTCCTTAGGATTGCTAGGATCCCATTGCTTAGGAGTGTTGTCGCGCCAAGGTTGGGGTGGGGCGATCAATTCATCCCCCTCCTCAACTGGGGCAGAAGCAGGGGTGGAGTTAATGGAAGAGGTGGGGGAGGGATGGGTGATTTTGGCAAGCCAAGGAATTCGTGCTGCCCAACCATCAGGACCGTCGGGAGAAGCACCGGATTGGATCTCTTGCCATGTTCCTAGTTCTTCAGGCAGGATGTATGCTGAAGAGTCGATAGAGAAGTAGGCGTTGGCGGTGGTAAGGACGACAATGGTACCTGCTAGAAAGAGACCAAGAAGGACGAGGAGGATGTGCGAGGTACGCCTGGATAGTAAGGAAGCCATGGTTGTCGTGTTGTGAGCCAAGTATGGCCCGAAGGCTTAGGAGGAGACCAAGTTGGCGGATTGAGTGCAATGTAGTCTCTGTAGCCGTTGTTGGATTGAACGACTGCTGCTGAGTTATGCCTTCTAGGACGAAGCAGATGGAAAGGGAGATGCAACTCTTCAGCGCTTGAACGGCATGAGCTGAGTGTGGTTGTCGGAAGAGCCGTGTCGCTGACTACGTGTCGTTGAGAAAGAGCGGAAGATCCGACAAAAGAACGAGTCAGCCTCGAACTACTCGTGCCAGCCCTAAAGCTGGATCGTCAGTATCGTGAGAAAAGGCAGAAGCGTGGGAAAGGCAGAAGCTTGAGTTTATCGTTCGTCCGTGACCAAATCTGCGTGATAGATGGATGTGAATGCGGAAGCGAAAGGCGATCACTCCTGGTAAGCAGTGATGTGTCGGATGACTCTTTATTGGAACGAGGCGAGTGAAGAAGATAAAGGAGACAAGGTAGGGAGAAATGCCGATGATAGCAGAGCGAGAAGGAATGCCGACGACCAAGGTCAAGCCAAGGAAAGAAAAGCGCACCTCAACTCAACGCAGCGATAGAGCGTGTAGGTCGGGTCGAGCAGCAATTTCGCTTGTCAACACACACACACACACGCACGCGCAAAGAGGCGAGCCGACACTTGAACACTCGCATTTGGCAGCACCCCAGCACACGGAAAAGGGGGGGGGGGGAAATAAATAAAAATTACGGCTCTCGAGCAGTGTGAGCTAAGTTATATTTTGAATTTCAGATCCAGATAGGCCAAGCGCTCTCTCTCTCTCTCTCTCTCTCTCTGCTCTCGGCAAGACAAAAATCTTCACAGTGAGCTGCGTTGTGTTGCTCTGTTTCGAGAATCGCTTTCTCTAGGCGAGTTGTGAGGCACAAGCGAAACGGGTCGCTCATTGAGGCGTCGGTGTGTGTGTGTGTGTGTGTGTTTTCCGAACTCCGACTTGCCGGTCGGTCAGTTGGAGAGCGCGTGCTCGCAATATCAAAACAGGCGCCAGCTCTCTCATCATAGACTCCGCCGCAGTTGGGTGCCGACTCCCGATGGATCCTTCTCCATCAGACAACAAGGGGTCCTGATTGGCATTTCTCTCCCCTTGCACTCCAGGAGAAGTTTGAGGATATGGTGTAGGAATTAAGATCTTATCGTGTTGGGTGGCGCACGATCGCCCAGCAACCTGTATATGTCAGTATGATCGGCAGCGTTCTCCGCTGTTTCGTTCATCCCACAAGAATGAAATGAAGCTGTAAGAGGATATGAAATCCCGACACTTTCTCCAGCAACAGTCATGATAGCGTATACCACACAGTAGCTGAACAAGGCTTCTGGGCGCCTCGTCGACGCAGATCTTAACTTCTTTTCATGCCAACATCGACTCCTTTCTTCCTGCATCCACCTGTCTCAAAAGCCCAATCGTGTCCACGAAGAATGAAAACAAGCTATGATTAGTGTACATCATGCAGCGCTTGGATCCCTTTGAGAAGCATGTCAAAGTCAGCTACTTCAACAATGCTCTTTGCTCTCATCTGCTGCCACCGAACTTGTTCGGACGGAAACATGCGGAGAGACACAAAAAGGGTGTCATCAAGGTTGACCCTTCATTCACCTCTAGCTTTATCTCTTTCCAACTACCATCGCCGGGCCTTGAGCTTCCGTGATTCCATGGGATCCAGCTTTGCTCCCTGATGTTCTGGACTTCTCGACCAGGCGCCAACATCAGAGCCTCATGGGTGATAACCAATGGGCTGGAGCGTTGGTGGTGATCACCCTGGAAACAAACACACTAGCGTCCTCCTTGGATATGATCTAGTAGCTTATTTCGGATCTTTTATTCCGGAAACTTTTCTTCTTCCCCCCAGGCAGTCTAACGTAGCTTTATGTAGCTTTCGCTCTTCAAAGTTCCACCGGTCAGGCCCCCAAAGGGTCCTTCTCACCGAGCCAATCGGCGAAGAAGATTGCGTGGGGTGGCCGAAAGAGACCCAAGGGTTCAACAACCACTTTCAAATTAGAATATCGGGCATCGTTTCATCCCGATTCGCATCGCTGAAATTGGATCCCCGCAACACCGCTTCTCTCTTGTCATGTGGTCCAGTTCGTCACTGTGCGTTCATGCTACCTTTTTGGCTATTGCCAAGCCTTAGAACCTGCGGGGCTTGGAAAAGTTTGTCTCTCCACCCCTTACGCTCGCCATAGCTTAATGTGACTGTGTTGAGAACATCATGATTCCTTCTGTTCCTGAGCGCAGGTGTCATTGCGTGGGAGAAGCATAAGGGAAAGCGACGTCATGTTGTATTTGCTTTAACCCCCAACTCCGCCCCCGCTGCACCCGGCAGCGACACCATCATACACCGCCCCTCGCCTTTCTTCTTCCCCAGACTAATGCTTGTCATACACCCCTTGTTGAGTTAGCTAGGATTCGAAACCCGACCAACCTCCTTCGGTATTCCTTCGGAACTCTCTCAATCCTAAACTCAATCTCAAGCCACCCTCTCATAGCCTCCCTCATGCAGAATCTCTTCCACATCATCATCATCACACCTCTCTGAGCAACAGAATTGTGTGCCAAATGCGAATGAATGCGAATGAATGCGAAACAAAACAAAACAAAACAAAACAAATGATATGATAAAAAGGAAAGCTTAGGACAAAGACAACTTTTCAGCAACCCTACTGAGTGTCTCTGCCGTTTCTTGATCACTTTGATCTCGATCCCTATCTACGAGTTGCGAGTATGTAGGTGGATGTGGATTCGCCGAAGCCATCGTCGTTCCCGAATCCTTCTGCTGCTGCCCTTGTTGCTGGTGGTGTTGTTGAGGAGCTTCAAAATGCTTCGATGTCAAAACAGAACTTCCTAGCGGTGAGCTTGAGTATGGGGTGTGATGAGGTGATCCACCACTCGATAACCCCGCTGCTGCCACCAACGGAGGTGTACTAGCACGTGGCACAGGCTGAGAAGGAGTTCTCTTAGCTAGAGTCGACTTCCTCGATAGCGGTCTCGAATCAGCTGGTGCACTCGTCGTACCCGAGTTTGGCCCAGACGCACCATCCTGTCCGCCACCGCCTGACTCCGCGTTACCACCACTGACCTGCGTAGGCGTAAATCCAAGCTGAGACAAAGTAGCACAAACGTCGATCTTTTCCAACGGTTTGGCCAGTACAGTGTCGAACAGCGATCCTGCAGCATCGATCGGTTCACCACGATCAAACGAAGCCAACGCGACAATGGGTGTGGTCGAATTGACGTTGCGTGTAGACTTGACCATTCGCGTCACATCCTGTCCACCGACGATCGGAAGGGTAACATCGATGAACATGACGGCAAACTTATGATCGCCCATTGCGAGACGGACCGCTTCAGCACCGTCACGAACGCAAGTGCAACGACAGCCAAGCTTGACGAGGATCGTCTCGAGCATGCGAAGTGCGATAGGGTTATCTTCGGCGATCAGACAGGCAATCTCACCTGATTGCGCCGCTGTGGCTGCGGCTGCCGCTGTGTTGGTTGCTGTTGCTGGCACGGAAGGAAGAGATGCAAATGCGTTGGTAGGTGAGATCGAGGTCGTGGGAGAGGCAGCCGTGGCACTCGCCGCACCAGCGATGCTCGAACGAGGAAGCTTCTTCGATCCTCCTTCTGAGGGCTTCTGTGATGCTGGAGTTGCTTGCGACTGCTGCTGCTGTTGCTGCTGATGCCACTGAGGAGGCAAAGCTGGTCGATCAGCGATCCCTGCCGACTTGGTTCGCAATCGCGACGGCATCGAATTGCGTCGTTCACCACCGCCTGAAGCCTCAACAAGCTGCTGGCGTCGTCGGTCGACAATGCCAATAGGCCATGCTGCTGATGCTGACGGCGAAGGGTGGGATCGACCTGCACTGCTCTTGCCTGCAGGATCGCCCGAAGTGGCACCACCATCTGGCGTGGTGGTGGCAGACAAGGTTGTTGTCGCCGAGGCTGGTAACTCCGATGTACGTCTTCGATGCGCTGAGCTGATCAACTGTCCCGAAGGCGAAGTCGGTGCTGTCGAGCGGGACGGCGTCGAACCTTGAGACGATGCACTCTGTGCGGGCGAAGGGGGACCCGCAATCATCTGCGAGTGAACACGCTGTGCTGATCGACCTTTGGCCGAGAAGCTGCGGTGACGTGTGTAGATAGCTGATTGCTCGAGAGCCTTGGTCAGCGCAGGCATCTGCTCCTCCCGCATCTTGCGGATCACCTCGTCATTGGCCTGCTTGAGCACTGGCAAATTCTTGTAGCTGAAATTACCAAAGTCCTCGTTCTGCGGCGTCGAGGAGCTCTGTGGCTGCAATGCTTTCTCCAACCGAGATCGCAACCTCGTAGGAGGCAGACCTGCCGTGTGGACAAATTTGTTACCCTCGATAGCCCGAGCAAACTCGCGTGTGCTGTGTGCAGGCTCGTCTTCAAAGTCGTGATGGCTACTGGCACCACGCAGGTCAAAGTAGTCGGTCGACTCTGGATCTGTGACCTGTGGGACAAATGGTCCTGGCTCGGCAGTGACGTTGTCCCAGTCGATCCCCTTGAAGAAGGGATGGTTCTTGATCTCGTCCGGTCCACCTGAACCAAGACGGCGCTTGGGGTCTGTGCACATGAGCTGCTCCATCAGATCCCGAGCCTCAGGCGAGGCTTCTACCGAGTCTTCTTCCCAGTCGATGCGTCGCGACAAGATGTTGTCAAACACCTTCTCGGGCGTCTCGGCGTGGAAGGGTGGACAGCCATACAGGAACTCGTACAGGATGACGCCGAGGGCCCACCAATCGACAGCAAAGTCGTCCATGCCGATACCCAGAATGCTTTCTGGTGCAAGATAGTCCGGTGTACCGACGAAGCGCTTGGGAACACTCAAACCTCCATCGCCTGAAGAAGGACCGAGATTGTCGTTGAGCAGCGGATAAGCGCCGAACAGATTGCCTGGACTGTCGATGCGAGCTGGAGGCAGCGGCTTGGGCACAGCGCGTTTAGAGTCGGACTCGCCAAAGTCGCTGACATTTGTTGAAGAGCTGGCGATACGACCGCGCTGAGGAGCAGCAAAGAACGATTGGTTGCGCATCATGCCTCCAAGACCCGGTGTCATCGGTGAGAACGAAGCGGCCGTGTCGCCTGCTGTGGTCCCAGCTGGTGTCGAAAGAGCTGGTTGCCGCGCTTCAGAAGCGAACGAGGCCGCCGAGCTGGGTAGAGATTCACTGTTGGAGTCACTTCCCGATGCGCGGCCAGCGAAGCCACCAGCACCAGCTGCAGGTGATGCCGAGGAAGCAGCAGCTGCTGCTGCCACAGCTTGACGAGTTTGACGGCCAAGCAAACCGATCTTGGACAGACCAAAGTCTGTGAGCTTGAGATGACCCTTCTGATCGATGAGCAGATTGTCAGGCTTGAGATCTCGATGTACGACACCCTTCGAGTGAAGGTGTTGCAATCCGATTACAACTTCAGCAACGTACTGACGAGCCCATTCCTCGGCCAAACCACCAAGCACCTTGCACAGCGAGGCGCAATCTCCTCCTGGGAGATACTCCATGACCAAGTACAAATACTCGGCACTCTGGAAAGTGAAGAAGAGCTTGACCACGAAAGGAGACTGGTTCTGCGTCATCAAGATCATGCGCTCGGCCTTGACGTTGGTGATCTGATTCTTGGCGATCATGTCGGACTTCTTGAGCACCTTGATAGCATAGTAGTCACCTGTAGTGCGCTTCTTGGCGAGGAAGACACTGCCAAAAGCACCCTTGCTGATGGGTTTGATGATGTCGAAGTCCTTGATCGAGGATGCTGTTGGTCTAGAAGAAGGAGCTGCAGGCGGAATCCTGGGCGACAGAGGCATCGAGCCAGCCATGGGACTCTTGTGCGAGACGCTGAACTTGCGACTGTGTCGATGCGACACACCAAGCGATTCTCCGTAAAGATGTGGTGATAGCGGGGGTGTCGATCCCATTACATCTCCACCGACCGAAGGCAGATGCGAAGAACGTCGAGGGCGACTGACGGAGCGGCGTTGCGATGATACAGCTGCTGAAGAGGGCATGGCAGCTGCGCTTGCTCCACTGACTGATCTGGACACCAGCGCGTCCGTTGCCGATGGAGGTGGCGCGAGGTTTGTGTTGCCGCGAGGAATAGGGATGGGCGCAAGGTGCGAAGAGCCGCCCATCTTGTCGTCGACTGCTGGGATGTCGCCCTCGTCAGGAGTTGTACCACCCATGGCCGAGAACAAAGTCGAAGAAGGAGCTGGGATCTCTCGATCGTCCCTCTCGAGCAGCATTGAGCCAGATAGCAAGCCGTCGTCCTCTTCCTCCTCATCCTTGTCATCCTCCTGTCGTGTCTCTGCTTCATCGTCAGCAGCACTGGACGACAGAGTTGACGCCAGGCGGCTGTGAGGAGGCCTAACCTGCATCGGCAAGTCCGGTGTTCGAGGAGCAGGTGACGACAGACCCAAAGATGGGCCGATGGAAACCATACCCTGAGAGGACAGGCCCTTGCCAGAAGTCGAGCTGGATCCTCGTTGCATGGGGACTGATTGACCTGCAGTCGCTTCGACTCGAGTGGGCGGGATCTTGTCATCCTCCGACGTGAGCCCAAGCGCTTGTGTCTGCTCGACCATCTCTGCGATCTCTCGGTCGCTTGCTCCGTCGCTGGCGTCTTCTCCAGACTCGGAGCCTGAGACTGACGAGCCAGGGGAGCTGCCGGTCCCTTCCTCTGCCTCTGACAACGCAGAAAGAGCCGCCTCAACCCTTTCTTCCCATTCCTGTCGTACAGTCTCGACATAGACGATGGTGTTGAGCATACGGTTGACAGCGCTCAGCTTGCCTCGCATAGCTGTCTCAACGTCCGTCATGAGCAAATCGAGAGCGGTGTCATCCACCGCTGGTCTTCGCCATTGCTGAACGGTGACCACCTTGTTCTCCGAAGTGGGCGAGAGGAGGCGCTGCTTCTCGATGGGTTCGTTTACGTACTCGTCCTTGATCGCTGGCGTCGAGATCTCGCACACAGTTTGCAGCACTTCGATGGCTGAGTCGAGCGCACGCAAATGTTGCTTTCGGATAGCAGCAGGTGGTGGCTGACGCGGCGAGATGGAGCGGTTGAGACCTTCGAGCGCGGAAGGAGGCTGATTGGAAGCAGGAGGAGTCGAGATAGCAACGCCACGGTACTCAAGCGCGGGCTCGGCAGTCTGGCCCGTGAAGACTTCGAGACGGTTGTGAAGATCTTGGATGGCTCGACGCAGGTCTCGAAGTCCTTCATTGCATTCGCCAATCTCCATATCGAGCCGATGTGTCTCGTTGCAGATCTCGCTGTGCTTTTCGAAGAACCAAGCCGGAATGTCTCGCTCGCAGATACGGCAGAGGACAGGCTCGACAGAGATCGACGCTACATGGGCCAGAGCGGCATTGGGCTCGTCCAAGACAACACCCATCGCGCGACCGCCCTTGCCTACCGCAGCGTCTGGCAGTCGATCTTCCCGCTCCGGCGGTCCTGTAGCTTTGAAGACCCACATCGAGTGTGATGGACCGCCGCTCTGTCGATCGATCATCAGCATGCCCTTGCCTTCCATCTCCTGGAAGTAGACCGCATCGCTCCCATCGTTCTGCCCATCGTCCGATGAGGCAGAGGAGGAGGAAGAAGACGAGCTGACCACTGCCTTTTCAACGCGCAGTCGAAAGACGGCTTCGACGGTGTGCGACTGGTTGGCTTCGAGCTGTCTGGAGGCTTCGGCGAAAACATCAGTGTCGCCAGGAGCAAGCAAGTCTTCGATCGGCGTGTCGTAGAGCTCGGCAGGGTCTGAACCGAGAACTATCTTCCATGCTGGACTCAAGTAGAGCAGGCGCTGATCGTCCATGCTGAGTTCCATGAGCACGTTGATGCCTGCAGAACGGAAGTTTTGTGGCACTTGCGGCGTTTCCTCATTGGCAGTATCGTCTTGCTCTTCGTCAACGATCGTTGAGCCAACATCTGCACCTTGGTTCCCTTGCTCAACTCGGTCGGACTCTGTGACATCTTGACTGTCACCAACCGCTTTCTGACCTGAACTAGTCTGACGTTGCGGTTGAGGTTGAGCACGATCACGGTCGACGATCGTCATGTCGCCATCTGCGTCGGTATCTTCGCCCTCCTGAACATGTCTATCTAGATCCTGGGAGGGCGAAGCGGTCCGCTGAGTGGCATCCTGTCGAATCGGTTCGAGGTCCTTGTGGGCCAAGCCAGATGCTGGTGAGTTGGTGCCTCTGGTGCTCGACACGCGCGCGATCATTTGTCCGACAGGCGCCACAGAGAAGGCACGCGCTCGTGTGGGGCTGCTAGCCGTGGATGCAGCCCAGAAGCCAGATGACGTACCGCCTTCGTGGTCACCTGCATCACCAGCAGCGTCACCGCCTTGACCTCCGAGGATGAAGCGAATTGGCTCGGCGTCCTGCTCGTCCTCGTCGTTGAAGTTCCAAAAACCCTTCTCGGCTTCCCACCATTCGACAACACGGCTGAGACCGGCAACAGCAAGCAGGACCTGGATGAACCAGGGTCGGCCTGCCCATTCTGGATGATCGTCCCACATCCGACCGATGCTCTGGATCCTCGAGATGAGCTGCGAGCAAGAGCCGGGACGTACGATGAGCGAGTTGATCGAAACATCAAGCACCTCCATTGCCACGGCAACGAGCTCTTCCAAGGGTTGCATCCATGGTTGAGGCCCGGTTTCCTCTGCTGGTAGCGCACGTGCGCGACGAGAAGGAGAGAGTCGGGGAGATCCAGAGGAAGCTGAGACGCTCGAAGTCATCATCACACCTGGCATAGGCGAGTGTGAACGTGAGGTAGAACGAGAGTTGGAGATCGAACGAGCGCCAGAGCGACTAAGCGATTTGACTCGACCGAGTGGGTTGAGATTGGACGGCTTTGCTGGGTTGGACGAGGTGGTAGACACGGTGCGTGGCGATGTCGCAGTAGCAGCTGCCAAGTTGACGGGCGGTGGAGCAGGAAGCTTGTATTCGTGCGCGGATCGGAGCGCTGCGGCCTCGCGCAACCCACCAAGACTCTGCGAGGTGAACAGCGAGCGCGAAGGAGATCGTGCGTGCTGTTCTCCCAGGGTGTCGTCGGTGTTGTCACTCGATTCGTGAGCTTCATCGTGTCTACCGGTGATGGCGGCTGCAGCTGCAGCTGCACCAGCGGAGAAGGACGACGAATTGCTTGCACCTCGTGACATGGACGCAGACCTCGAAAGCGACGAGGTGCCCTTCGGCAGCTCATCGGCCCCCTGGCCTGTTGGCAGTGTTGGAGCGTCATCAGCATCGTCCGCGTCGTCATCCACAAATACTTCCTCGAGCTCCTCGACGTCACGATCGTCATCCATGACGCTGTGACGGCTCTCGTCTTCCTGTCGCTGCATGTCCATCTCGACAAAGTTGTTGATGGCGCCAATGATGCGACGCAACTCACGGTCACAGCTCTCCTTCGAGGCAAGCAGTCGATGACGGATGTGCTGGTGGATCGAGTTGATGGTGATGGCCTTGGTAGCCGCCTTGGCTCTAGCTGCTGCACGACCCTCGTTGTCCGACTCGAAAGCGCCGCCTTCACGATCTGTCGATTCTTCTGGCCATGCTTTGGTGGTAGAACGCGGACTCCGATCCCATGCCTGCGACAATTGCATCGAGGACTTGCGCGGCAAGATGTTGGGCTGCTGCTGCTGCTGCAGTGCAGGCTTGACCTCGAGCGATCTGCAGACTTCCTTTGCGCTTCCAATACTTTCGACCGAACGTGCAGAGACCGGTGGCTTCGTCGGACTGCCATTGTTGGAATTCGAAGGCGATTTGCCCTTGCCGACCTTGTCAAACTCTTCTGCATCGAAGGTGCTGAGACCTTTTTCGAGTTGCAAAGAGAGCTTGGGCTGATGACGACGCCTTCCACCTTCACCTCTGCTGCTAGTGCTCACGGTCAGATGAGTCTCGTGGCTCTGCTGCGACGAGGCAGACTTGGGGGGCTCCATCAATCCAGACATGTCTTCTTGAACAGTTACGAAGCTGAGGTCTGCACTAGGAGAAACAGATCTGCGTTCGCTGCGGTCAGCGGAAACATCTTGCGCGTCAACCTCTTGCTCTTTATTCTCAGCATCGTTGTCTTTCCTCAGATTCTGTGTCGAAGTGCTTGGACGCAGGGTGCGGACGGACTCGGAACCGCTAAGGGCGGTGTTGCCGGTCTGCGAGCGAACGTGACGGCCAAAACCGCTCTGTACTTGGGTAACGAGCGTACGAGACGGTGTTGCGATGGTCGGATTGGCGTTGGCAAAGGTCGACGACAAGGGAGTTGGCCGCGGAACATCTCGACGGCTGTGAAGCGATCGATCTTGCCGAGACGAGGCAGTAGAGGGACTTTGATGCAAAGACTGCGAGAGCGCTGCGATGGGGCCTGTCTGACCTGAAGCCTCGTTGGTTCGAGATGGCGTACCCGAGGGCGATTTGGCCCAGCCTTCACTGGTAGGGGCAGTGAAGCCGGACTTGACGGCGCTCCACCATGCCTCAATCTTGCCTCCAAGATGCTTACGACGTCCACGTCCAGCTGCATGTGCCTGTGCTTGCGCCGTGTCAGATCCTGATGCGCTTGTGTACTGCGCAGAGGGAGTGACACGGCTGGTGATGGGTGAGAGCGAAAGATTCTTGCCCTTGTCCGTACCGAGACGTCTGACAGGAGAGAAGCCAGCAGCTTTCACAGGACCAGGTGACGAGTTGAGAGTGGACGCCGTGGTAGGTGACGAGCCGGACTCTCTGCTACGTCGAGACAATTCGGCGCTTGCAAGGGAGAAGCTGCGTCGTGGATCGAGCCCTGGGCGAGAAGGCTGTCGAGAATGTGCTTCAGGTCGACGAGTAGGACCCAGCTGCGGAGGCTTGCGGGATCGTGCTGTACCACCTTTGGCTGCATCGTTGTCGTCGCCATCGTTGATGCTGAGGGCAGCGAGCGATGCCTCGACCTCTTCGGCGTCGATTGCATCTCGCACTGGGTCGGCAGCTTCAGCAGTTTGAAGTCGCTGACGCGAGAGGGGATCCGAGACGGAGCGGTGTCCATCTGCAGGCTGCTTCTGCAGTGCAGAGACACGACCGGTGTCGACAATTTCGCTGCCCATTCTTTGCTGGGGAGGAGAAGCCGATGGAATGCGAGCTCCAACTTCAGTGGCTTTGGATCGGCTCGTGGCAGGACTGGCGGCTGCCTGTGCCTGTGATTCTTGTTCTGTGTGTGCTTCTGCCGCTGCCTGTGCCTGTGCCTCTTCGCGCTCAGACTGAAGCTTGGCTTCTTTCATCTTGCGGTACTCATCAAGCCAGTCAACCCACTCGAATTCGGCAAAGGCGGACGACTGCAAGCCTCGATGGCTATCCTCCTCTTCATCGAGCTGCGACTCGATACTGTCGTTCGAATCGACCACAGAACCGCGCCGAGTCGGCATGGGTGCCCCAAGCATGCTCGAGTTCCTCTGTAGACCGATGGTAGTGCCTCTACGAGCAAGGCTCGTTTGACCAGGTGTCAATGGCATATCAGCGTTGTTCGTGTCGCGCGCCAACCACGCAGAGTCCAATCCAGTTGCCGCTTCATTGCGTCGTGCTGCGGGTTGCGACCCAAGACGAGACGGGTTCTGAGCTCTCCACTTTTGCATCTTGGCATTCCTACTCTGGATGATGATGCGGGCATACTCGTCGGTTCCCGACAGTGGCCGGTGGGCTGTAGCTGGAGAGACGCCTCCTGGAGTGAAGAGCGCTGCGTCGCTCGGTCGATGAACACGCCGTGAAGGTGCAGGAATGCCAAGCAAAGCGTTGGACCCAATGGAGCTCGACAGATTACCTTGAGTCATCCTTCTCTGGCTCAAACTGGCGTTGACAGGTGCAAGTGATGCTCTTCCAGGTTCATCTCGAGTCGAAGCGATCCACGGTGCTGGTTTGTTCTCCTTCGTAGTCGCATCGCTGTGCTGCTCACCACCTTCTGACGTCTCAACCAAGCTGTCAAAGAGCTCTTGAGCTCCCCAAGACATGCGCTGTGTGTTCGATCGACTCGGCGACAGTCTTGGTCGTCTCTCGACGATCGGACTTGTCTGAGCAGAAGAGGTGGTGAGATAAAGCAGTGGCGAGTAGGCGCTCGTACTTGCGGGCAGACCGGCATGGCGAGGCATGCTGGTAGGCACATCCAGTAGCTCGGACTTGGGCGGGACGAGAGTCGGTGGCCTTGATCCGAGGATGGCCGAGCTGGGCAGGCTGGCTGTCGGTGCATAGTTCCTTCCAATCGGGATGGAGACGGAAAGAGGATGACCGCGGCTGTCGCGACCGGGCAAAGCGATATCGTCGGTACGAAGTCGTTCCATGGAAGCTGATGAGCGACCGGATGTCATGGCATCTTCTGCACCGTACGAGACCCTAAAGGCCAATGGTGAGTTGGTCCGTGTGGCATTAGGTGTCTGAGGAACATTGAGACGGCTGGGAGGAGTAGGTGATGGGGAAGAATCTGAAGCAAAGCCGAGTCCGAGTCCGTGACCCTGACCACCACCGCTCATGACCAGCGAGCCAGCCTGCTGTGCTGAGTTCGGCCCTGATGCTGTCCATCGAGCGAGCGGCGATTCGATCGAGGCGCTGGATGCGCTCTTGGGCATTGTCCGTGGTGAAGGTGGCGGCGGTACAAAGAGATCACCGGCCAGTCGTACTGCTGTGGGCACACGTTGGAGTCGAATCGCATCAGCCAAACCGACAGATCCACCAGTCTTTCCTGATGGGCTTGGCCCTGTCGAAGCCGGTGTCTGTGCATCGACCATTGCTGCTGCCTGTGCTGCTGCAGGTGCAACTGACGAAGGAGGGACTCCAAGCGTCTGGCTGCGAACTCGCGATCGAGTGTGTCCGGGAGACAGGGTAGCTCCGGACGCTGCCTCGGATCTGGGTACATGATCGTCTTCGATGACCTGCGAGTTCCACCTGCGGTGTGATGAAGATCGATTTGCGAGAGCTGAGCCAAAGGGCACGGATGAGGAGCCTAGTCCTGAGCTCGAGAGCGATGAGCCGGCGCCTTGTGTGCCAGAGGAGCTGATACTACCGGAGCGTTGAGAAGCTGATGTCGCAGGAATCGGGACGGGCAGAGGGATGCTGGGGCTGCCTGATTCAATGGCTGCGACCAGGTTGGGATCGACACCATCGGGGCCTCCTACAGGCGAGATTGCGCCTTCGCCGAGCAGCACACCGCCGAGAGAACGAGCGCGTCGATGAACGCTCGAGCTAAGCGACGAAGAAGTCATACGCCTGCGCCGTGTCGAGTGCAAGATGGCGCTGCCTCCCCCAGTGGCTGTACCAGGTGCTGTTAAACTGGAAGGAGCAAAGGCGCCCGAGTTGCTGCGACTGCCACGTGTCTCCCAGCCGAGCGTCGGCGAATTCGAGTGAAATGAGCTTGACGCTGGCAAGCCGACCGACAAGCCCGATGAGAGCGGTGATGGGTTGGAAGGAATGCCAAGTCCTAGTGAAGAGTCTTCCTTGCGCTTGCCCATCGCAATGGTGGAGACGGGGCGGTCGGCAGGCTCTAGTGCTGGCGAGCCGGTTGCACCTCCTCCAACACGTCGCGGCACGGCTGGTGGACCCATGGAGCCGCTCGAGCTTGTGACGGAGGACTTGCGTGTGAGGTTGGAGCCGGTGGTGGTAAAGTCATCGGAAGCTACTGAAGATGCATCGTCGTCAGCTAGGTTGCCGCTTGGGAAAGGTGAATGCCGCGATGGAGTTTTGTTCAGGATGGCTTTGTGGAGCGGATTGGAGGTAGATCGATTGCGGTCGAGACGCACAGATGTTCTGGCAAGAGGCGAAGCACTGGCGGTATCGGCCGATGGCAACTGTGCTGATGCATCTTTGCGGTTGGAAGGTCGCTGCTCGAAGCTGAAGCGCTGTGCAGTTGCTTCGTCGACAGTGTCGGATGCAGCCGAGTCAGAGCCCGTCTGTCTGCGCTGACGACGAGCTGGTTGAGATGAGGCAGAGGCGACAGACGATGGCAAAGTGGGCGACAGAGGCTGGGTATGACTGCCCTGAGAGGAAGAAGTGGATCCATGAGTTCGACGTCGTACTGCTACTGCTGGGTCTGATGTGACTCTATGCTGAGTACGAGCACCAGTATTGTCCTCGTTGAGAGTCTCGTCATCGTTGACATCGTCATCGTTGGGAAGAATGGATGCGAAAGCGAGTGGGCTGGAGAAGGAAGGAGCCGTGTCAAACGACATCCTCTTGGAAGAGCTGCGGTTGAGCGCCTTGAGAGCTGCTGAAGGAGGACTGAGAGGGAAGCCAGGCGGTGGACTGCTCAGCGGCGGAGGTGAAGTGCTAGCATGGGCAGTTTCTGCGGTGGCAGCAGAAGATGAGGGCTGCGAGACGTTCTGAGGTTGTGTGGCCGGTGGAGAGCTCTTGCCTGTATCTGTCGAGGATGTAGCTGATGTCGCTAGCGAAGGTTTGCTCGTCGAGCGAGGATCGCTGGATGCAACGCGCGAAGGCTTGAAAGTGCGAGTAGGCGAAGGAGGCTGTTCGGATCGAGGATGTTTGCCTTCAATGTACGCTGATGTTAATGCTAATGCTAATGCTGATGCTGATGCTGACGATGATGATGATGGCGAGGGCGAGCCGATCTCGATGATGCTGCGCAGGCTGGAACTATGGTCGGATGCAGAACGAGCAGCTGCGCTCAATGGTGACGAAGCTGATGGGCTGGGACCTGTCGATAAAGGCGATGATTTGGGGCCAACGGTGTCGTTGTCGCTGTGAAAGGATGGTGATGGTTCTAGGCGGCCAAAGTCTCTTGATCCGGGGCTGGTTCTGCTACGATTGGCTGGACTGAAAGGGTCGGTAAATTGCGTCGCTGAGACTGTAGGGCGTCAAATCCGAGTCGAAAGTCGAAAAAGAGAGGCAGCAAGCGAAATGTTCGTATAAAGGCGGAGCGAGCCGAGGCGAGGATAGGTTATGGTTGTAACGGTGTCAGTGTTGTGTATGAACAGGTGACATGAAAGGCGAAAGGGTGATTGATTGTGTGTGTGTGTGGGAAAAAGTGACAGGTTGAAGGTGATTTTGGCGAAGCGAGGTGAGGTGAGTTGGGGTCAAGCACGAGAGTGTGAGAGAGTGAGCCACACCAGGCTCGTGGATGCGAGAGAGAGGGAGAGAGAGAAAGTAGGGTTGAGGGCGCAACGCCAGTCAAAGTCGAGTTAGGCGAGGATTAAGCATGCAGCGCCGCGTGGGAGCGCAAGCGGCAACGTTGGCATGGTCGGAAAGTGAAAAGCCACAACAGAAAGTAAAGTAAAATCGCGAGATCAGGGTCCAGACACGTCCGTTCGTTTTGTCGTCAACCCGCGGAGAAGGCCAGGAGCGTGCAAAGCAAAGCAAAGCAAAGCAAAGCAAAGCAAAGACGGAAATGCCGACCAGAGCAAGTCAAGTTGCAATGGACACCGTCCAAAATCATGAGCATCACCGTGATTTCATACAGATTTGTAAGAACATGTACCAGCGTCGGATGCAAACCCGAGTGCAGACCCAAAGTCAGCCCGAAGAAAATTCGGTACAGCCGGCGTTGTGACAAAACCAAAGCCAAAGCCAAAGCAACGCCAGGATAAGGTTCAAGCGATCGGGCAAGAGAGCAACCCCAACGGATGTGATTTCAGACGGGACAGCCGACGGGAGGTGTTGGTTGATGGAGGCAGTCAGTCAAGACGGTCGTTAAGAGAGTGGTGAGGGAAGAGCAAAGGGATAAAAGCGAATGACAAAGGTCAGTGATCTGCCGTGTGAACAGGGAGATCGCAAGCAATGCAATTCAGGCGAGTCTGCTACGCCGCTTTAGGCCATCGCAAGGGTCTTGCAAGAGCAGCGAGAGAGGACAGCGAAGAACGTTCTTCGCTTTTGCGTACATCCGCCCTTCTGGCTTTCTACCTTCCCTCCTTCCTTCACTCCATCAACTGAGGCTGACTCGGTCAACCGTAACGCATGCTGCCAGGTCGAACATCAATACCGCGGTTCTTTCGCAGCTTACCACCTCGAGCCCAGGACAGCAACTCAACAGGGGCCCCTCAATGCATCCACCTATTTCTGACCATGACGACGGCTCCATCCAGCCCGATAAAGAATAGAACAGGATACGATCGACGGCATTGTTGGCTGTCAAAGTTGCGTGCACACTCACCGAAACTATCTACGCTGAGTCGGCTGCTTCGACCAGCAGCTTGGCTCGATGTGTTGGAGGCGGAAGTTGGAGCTGGTGGAGACGATGTAGTCGGGTTGGCGGATGATTCTTCCTCTTGTACATCAAACAAGTCGCGGCTCCCGCGTTCAGCCAAAGAGCCATGAGGCGAGCTGCTACCAAGCAAAGAGACGCGCGTGTTGCTGGCTCGACGACCGCTCCCTGCTGTTGCATCGATGTTGTCATCGTCCAGATCAAAGATACCGGCTGTACTCGAGAGTCGGCACCCTCTACGAAGATCTGACGATGAAGCCTGCGAACTGGCGGACAGCAAAGTGTTGCGACTGCCTTGTTCTTGGTCGCCAGCGCCATCGCCTGGGGCAGAGCTGAACGAAGACATCCTTCACCGGCTGACAACACGCAGGTTGATGTCGATGATGCTGCTGAGGAGCGAGGCCAGGGTACTGCTCAAGGGGCCGCGCAGCCCTGTTGGCGCTATTTGCTGAGCTCCACAGCTCGTGAACTCCGTCTATAGCTGCAGCATTCACCGGCCAAGGTCGCGATACTGTGTTTGAGGCGGGGTGATGATGATCTCTGCTCGTTGCTTGCCTGCGTGTTCAAGCAACGATGCTATCGATGGTATGCAGCCTCGATAAATCGAATGATGTACTGATGAGTTGGATGAGGGCGAGATTCAGGAATTAAGGGTATTTGAGCGCGACCGTGCCCGTTGTTTCAGTGGTGGTAGTGGTAGTGATGCAAAGGGGTCCTTCCGGGTTCGAACTGGTACGGAACGGTGATGAGGAGATAGGTGGATTGGTGATCGAGAGGATGGCGGCCGTCGATAGAGAAGGGACGAGGGGCGAAGGGGACGGAGTATTGCACACTACAGCGACGAGGACGGAACGGCAAATGACAAACAAAACGAGCAGGAAGGGTCTGGCAGGATTGATCTCCGAACAGAACGAGGACGGAATGATGTGTGGAGAAACAGAAGAGACTCAGAACCACACAGACAGACAGAGACACCAAGTTCAGCCGGGCCGATCAGTACCGCACCAAGCGGCAAGTTGAGTCTGCGGGAAATGACGAGAGTGACAGGCGAAGCATGCGGAGTGAGGGCAGAGAGACAGAGCAGCCTCATTTCGGCGTGGAAGCCTTTCTCTGTCAATATGAATGTCACCGCCCGGCCAAAGCTAGAGCCAAAAGCCAAAAGCCAAAATCCAAGCTAATCAGCAGCGGCAGCAGCAGCAGCCCATCCATTTTCGTTTCTTTTGCTGCAAAATCAAGGTTGCGAGTGTGGGCGTTGGGCCACAACCGAGTCCTAATTTGGGACGCTAGTGCACGACTTGCCGGGCAGCAGAACACAGTTAAGGGGGTTTCAATTTTTCCGAGCTCTCGAAAACTCGAGTATTCCAATACTCAGACAAGCTCAGGAAATTAGTGCCCCCAAATGTAAGCTGAGTTTTCAGAGGGTGAATTTTCAAAACCAACCAAGGGAGGGCAGTGTCGGCCGGAAAATGAAGCTGTTCCGGAATCCGAACCACCTTGTAGCTCCACCATCTTTGACACTCTTGTCGCACACTCAGATACAGTCATTATTGACACCATTCATATTGCAATTGCTGTCACTCTATGTCTGCAAAGCCTATTGAACATCCCTCGTGTGCTGTGAGCCCTCTGCTTGCTGCCTCTGCCTTCGTCGAGATTCGTTTTGCCTGCTCTGCCGACCTTGGAGCTCCACAGCTGTCATAGCTTTCAGTGAAAGGGTTCATGTGAAGCACTGCGCAAGAAAAGTGGAGGCACTCGCGCGAGTAGATCACGTGCAACATCAAGTGTGTGAAAACTCAAGTCCAATACTGAAAACTCTGCCGCATGAGTATTCGTGAAGCAGAGTAGGGGGTTTCAGTTATCTCTGAGTTTTAAAAACACAATACTTTGAAAATATGTTTGGGCCCAATTTTTGATGCCCCAAGAAACTGCACAGGCCTGTGACATGTGCATCTTGGAGTTTCACTTGACTTGCCTGGTAAAAACAATCTCTGATTCCCTACACCAGGTCAAGATCAAAGTGATCATATCAGATGTTGTTGAACACTATACTGAACAATGCCAAAACCTTTGATTGAAAAGCTAAAGCAAATAGCTTACATCACACCTGTTCTGATCGCTGTCTTCTGCGAGCCTCATGCTGTCAGTTTTGTCTCTCCTGCCATTTGGCAAAGGCCAATGTTGTCATTCCCATCCTTTGAGATTCTGCTGTTGTGTCCTCAAAAGGGCAGCCATGAGAAGCAAAGAGTGCAGTGAGCATCTCCTCCCTAAGATCCAGTGCTTTCTCCTGCCTGAACTTCTGGACTTGGTTCTGAGACATGCCCTCCATGGCAGCAGCCTGTTCCTGTTCATATTGCTGCTGGTTTTCCCTTTGTTGTATCCTTGCATCTTCGGTAGCCTGCTGATATGCTTCCATCCCTGACGTGGTCTCCAGCACCTCAGCTTCAGATAGAGTTTCTGATGCCTTAAGGTATTCTGCCACCTCATCTGGTCGATCATAATGGCTTGCAAATGTATGTGCAATGATACAAGCCTGGACTGTATGTGCAGCTTTCTCATGGTCCTCTTCTTGATACAGGTTGCCTTGAAATCCCATAAGACATTGGAAGCAGTTCTTGAGGTAGGCAATGCCATGTTCAGCCTTGACATGAATGTGGGAGAGTGAATAGTTGAAGTAGTGGAGATCTCTGCTCTTTGCAGCTGCAGTGTTGCTGTACAGTCCAACTGTGTAGCTGGAGTAGCCATAACCAGCATCAACCCAGACAAACTCGCCTTCATCAAGATGCAAACAAGGCTTCGCAACAATACCACTGCCTGAAGCCCAGACTTGCACATCATGTGATGACCCAGGATGTCCAACCACTGACTCGACAATGTGCAAGGAATGAGGGAGGAAGACAAGGGCAATGTTGAATGTATAATCACCCTTGTATGAGTAATGCTTGCAAGCATTGAGTGCTGGCTTCCAAGCAAGATTGATGTGTGTACCATCTACCACCAACCATCCTCTAGACCATTCCTCGACTCCACTCTTATCAGCAACCCATGCTTTTGCCTTAGCACGCTCGTCTTCAGTTGCAAAGGTTACTACCTCGCTGTTCAGCTCATATAGGCCTGCAATAGTCCTATCTGTCCACACATGAACTGAGCCCCGACTGCAACCGCAGGCAAATGCAACATCACAAACTCCACCACCATTTCCTGACTGTCCAAGCCGATATAGACCAACTGCAACTTGCTGCTGAACACACTGAAAGCTTGATATTGATCTGAAGGCATTGGTTGTGCTGAGTCTGTAAGTGAGAGCTTGGAATGCATCTGGGGTCATGCGAACAGCCCCTCGAAAGAGCTTGCAGTTGATGACAGCATATCGATCAAGCATGTTGATGAGGGGATCCTTTCGTTGCGGCAGTTGAAGGCATTCAACTGTGTATTGAGACTGGCTGATGATGTCATAAGTCCTGATGAGTGCGAATGAGATAGCATGATTGAACATGTCATCATCAGAATCTTCAAGGTCATCATTAGGGTGCCAAGTGGCATTGACATCCATCAGATCAAGTTGCATCTTGGATTCCACCATCAATGAGTGCATGATGGTGGTCTCAATGTTGTCCAGGAGGTGCTGTTTGTTGGAAGTGCACACCATGGTTGAAGTAGAGGGCCAGAAATAGGAGAGGATGATGTGGTCCGAAAGAGAGTCCAAAGCTACAAACACAATGCAGCTGAGTTCTGCACAGCTGGGTTCTGCGCAGCTGATTTCTGCACAACACGCATGCTCGGAACCAGGGCTACGCTGATCAGCATCTTGTATGTGGAACAATTCATCACATTGAAGCAATCTACATTTGAGAGATTACATGGAAGACTGGGTATGGGGTATGCTAGTCATACATATTGAGAGCTAGCTTTACAGAGAGCAATGGTACAACAAGTTGGAAACACAGGAACAGAACTTGGAGAACTCAAAAGGAACACCATTCTTGCCAAATGGTCTACTCATGAGCTGAATCACTATTGTCCTGCTGATCCATGGCAAGAACCAGTGGGTCAAGATCAAGATTGCTTTGACTACTTCCAGCGATGTTGCCAAAGGGTAGATTAGGGTTCATCATCTGCACCATCTCCATGAGCCAACCATGCTCTTCAGTTCGCATGCACTCTTGTCTCTCACTTTCTTCCCTGGCAAATTGAATGCGCATTTCCTCCCTCTTTGTGCATTCCTCCTCAACCTTGATTCGTGCCTGAAGCGTGTCTTGGGTGCAGGCCTGCACAATTTCTGACAGCTCTTCTTGCTTGCTCTTGGAAGTGAAGGGTCGAGACTTCTTGGGTGTTGTACCTGTGGCTGGAGAATGGTAAACAGAGTCACCATCACCATTGTCCACTTCATCAGCCTCAAAAGCAGTGCTGGATGAGCACTGGTGGGTTGGAGTGTCTATAGGGGTAATGGTGAAGGGGGTGGGGCCAATTGAAGATGGGTTGGATGAGGAAGAGAAGGGCAAGTGGGATGAAGATGAAGCAGCAGCTGGGGTGGCTGCAACTGAAGAAGAAAAAGATGAGATAACTCTTGCTCCAATGGGATCATTTTGTGACTCCTCAAGAATGGATTCCATGCCAGGAATGTTGCATTGCTGAGGGTAGTGAGCATCGCTGGCATCATCCATGTTCACATCGGCATCAACCGAGTTATTCTGAGAGGAGGCAGGGGTGGCATCATATGGGTGACCAGTGAGAAGAACAACTGGACCAGTCTGTGCATGGTTGGTCATCATCTTGTGCCAGTGCTCAAACCAAGGGCAGCTTCGAGCAATCGATTCGCATGTGGCATAGTCCTGCAAGTTGATAAAGAAGCATAGACAGAGATATAAAGTATAAGAACATTGGCACACTTAACATGAATCAACTAAGTTGTACTTACCGAGCTGTTGTGATCCATGTCTTGAAGAAGTACTCCAGCACTGGTCTGCTGCAAGATGGTCTTCTTGATGTTGTTGTATTGTTCAGTGAGCCAGCGAATCTTAGTCTTTACTCAACCAGCACCACCAACAGTAGACTCGTCTGGGAACAGCTCCTGCCATATCTGCCCACAGATAACATCTTTGTTTGTCTTCAGACCCTTTTCCTGTTCCACAGTCAAATGTCCTGGCAATATAACATGTTGGTAATGATCATTATTGTAGATGATATCAATGAGGTTATTTATGTCGCTAGGCAGCCAATTGAAGTAGGCAATATGATCTGTTTTGTTGAACCTGCTGCCACGAGTACTGGCTTGATGTCTGCGAGTTGCAGAGATTCGAGTTGGCCAGGTAGAGGTTTGGCAAGGCAAAGAACCAGCAGATGTGGTGGCATTGGAACCAGAAGGAGTGGAGGAGGACAAAGGGGAAGCAGGAGAGGTTGCTGGCTGAGTCGACTCAGCCCCAGCCAAGGTGCTGGAAGTTGCAGAAGGGTGGCGCTGATGAGAGCAATCAAGGTTGGACTGAGCTGACATTATTGTGTTGTGCTGCGAAGCAGTTGAAGACTGCTCTGATGCTGGAGCCAATCCAGAGGCTCGCTGCAAAGCTGTGAATAGTGTAATGTTGTTGATATGGTTGTGAGGGGATGGCATGTCCATGTCCTGGCACTGACAGGGAGGAAATGCTACTGGAGATGGTGATAGAAGTGAAGCAAGGACAGACATAACTCAAAGCGTGAGAAAGTGTAGACAGTGCAGAAAGTGGAGGTCAAGGGTTGTGCGCAGAATTGTGTTAGAATCACATGATATCAGCACATGACAAAAACTCCTGCTGAAAACTCAAATATTCAGAAACCCAGGCTCATGGCAAAAATAAGTAGGGGTTTTCAAAACTTCCGAGCTTTTCTTTCCTGGCAGAGCTTACTTAAGCAGCGAGCTTTCAAAATCCAAAAAAACCATGAAAACTTGGAGTTTTGAAAACTCAGAGAAAACTGAAACCCCCTAGTTTTCAAAAACTCGAATATTTTTCAAAATGGCAGAGCTTATGTAAGTAATGAATATTCAACGCAAGTGAAAACTCTTCCCCTCGGCAAGGTGAGACGAGCGTTAGCCTTATTCCTGAGTTTTCTCGAATAAGTTACGCGCTGCGAGCAGCAGCAGCCGCATTCGCTTGGAAGCTCACATCATTCATGGAAAGAAGGACACTACTGACTATAGCTCAGCCAGAACAATGCATTCGGAATCGCACCAAGCTGTCGGACGGAAACATGGTGCCGAGACATACAGCGTATGGCTCGCAACTCTTTTGGCTCCCTGCATCAGGCACTCCTGACTCGCTTCCACGTCAAGCAAGCATGGACCGGAAGCGTGCCGCAAATTTTGCAGTGTAACTAACCAAAGTTTAACACGATGTACATTGGCCCGTGTGTTGCTCTTGTCATGTCAAACCTCCACCGCACGTTGAAGAACAACACCTGTTCGATCACGGCCACAACTCCTTTTATCATCGGCAATCTACTTCTCACCGCTTTCGTTGCACACAAGCTGACCCGAACCGGATCCCCAGCACACTTTCATCATGCCGCGGCAAGAAGTCCTCCTACTCGACGTCTCACCCGACCCTTCTCTCATATCCCAATACATCGACTATCATTCCATCGGCAACGTCCCCAAACCTATCCTCGACTCGATCAAATACCCAGGTTCAGGAGTGATCAATATGCGAATCTTTCACTTCTCCGATCGACTCGCCATGATCATGGATGTGGAAGATGATTTCTCCTTCGAGAAAAAAGCTGCTAGTGATGGCGGCAATCCAGAAGTGGAGAAATGGGAAAAGACAATGGAGAAGTTTCAAAGAGAGATCAAAGATCCTACCGGCAAACAGGCAGGCAAATGGAAGCGGGCAGAATTGTGTTTTGATCTCAGTGAACACTTCAAGTAGCACAAAACACCAGTATCAAAGCACAAAGGGAGGGAGAAGTGAGTGTATTACAACAATCTATCAACGCTCTCCCTGCAATGGAATACATGGAAAGCAAAACCGTCTCTAAACTACGCACCAATGGATCGTCTCGTCTACTTGACACGCTTAATCACCTGTTCATTCAATTTGATCAGCGCCTGCTTGGCCTTTGACTCTGGAAGCACGCCCAACCATTCTCTCGCCCTCCTTGCATGTTCCTTCGCCAACTCCGCCGTTCTCTTCAACCCTTGACTTCTATCCACCAATTTCAACATCTTTTCTACATCACCTTCACCTTCGAACCTTCTTGCTACCAGTTCGTGGATCCCTTCACCAGGCAATTCTTGCCATGCGTACAAGACTGGTGCTGTAGCCAAGCCGAGCCTTAGGTCTGCTCCACCGGAAGGTTTGCCGAATGCAGCTGAGGTTGATTGGAAATCCAAAAGATCGTCCACCAACTGGAAGGCCATACCGATATTTCGGCCGTAGCCGTAAGCTGCATCACGAATGAGACGCATTTCTTCGGCGACGGAAGAAGGAAGGTTTGCTTTGAAGACAGCGTCTGAGCCGCATCCTGCTAGGATTACTGCTGCGCGGGTGGATTTTGCGATAAGAGCGGCGGTTTTGAGGTATGTCTTTTGCAGGTAGAGTGAGAAATGGCCTGGAGTGGGTTGGTTTGGTGTCGCGCTAACAAAGGAACGCTGGGATGAGGAGGGGTCAAGCCCCATGTTATGTGCCAGTAGACCTTCTGATTCCCAGATGTTCTTAGCTGATCCTGACTCCTCTGCAGCGGAAGAGGATGCGGCTTGAGATTTGAGCTGCATGACCTCACCCTCTACAAGATTCGCAATGACTGTCGCGAGCAATTCAACCACTTCAGCATCTCGTAAACGAGCCAGAGCAACCGATGCACGACCCAGCAAAAAGTCTCCACCCAAGATACTAAGCTTACTCCCAAACGCCGATGGTGCGGAAGGCGCACCACGTCGTAAAGGCGAAGCATCAATCACGTCGTCATGCAACAACGAAGCTACGTGGATCATCTCTGTGATCTCGGCCAATCTTCTTTGTGTTGGCAAAATAGCTCCTGTAGCAGAAGAAAGTGCAGCAGCAGCAGTTCCATCATCCACGCTTGCAGAGGGGAGAGAGCCCTCGATGCTTTCCATATGCGGGTTGAAATCGTTCAGTACGCTGCCAGGAGAGAGAGGCTCGTTGATGCCCATATCGCGTTCGATAGATTTGCCGGTATCGCTGCGTGAGGATGTGTTCTGGGCTTGGGAGAGCAGGTCGGGGTAGAGAGGGGAGAGACCGTTGACGGCTTTGGACATGAGAAGGACGATGAGCGGTCGAACATGCTTGCCTTCTGCTTGGAAGTAGTATTTTGCTATTGTGTCGAGACTGGGATGGCCAGAGCCGAGGAGCGAGGAGACGTTGGAGCGGAGAGAGGAAAGTTCGGATGAGACTAGAGATAATGGGTCTTGGATGATGGGTGTCTGTGGTGGCGGCGAGGTGGAAGTTGAGGAGGTTGTGGAGGAGGAGGGGCTACTGCTGGAGGCGCCGAAGAAGGAAGCTGCATCAGATGCGCTCGTCGAAGACGAAGATGACGACGCTGGAGACCGCGAGGAGGTCGGAAACTGAGCAAGTTGATCTTGTACGAGGTTCTTGGCCTGGTCGATCGCTGTTGCCCAATTAGATTGAGCTCGAACAGCCGAAGGTACAGCTAGGATTTGTGCTGCGGCCAGAGAGCGGCCTCGAGCGGCTCGTGCCAGAGCGCATCGTGGGATCCTCGGTGGCATGGTGACGGATCCTCTATCTGAGACCAGAGAGTAGCCTTGCTATCGATGACCTTCTAGGTTAACTTTAGTCTTTGTCTTTGCTGGAACTGGTGACGATGTCTTACGAAGCACGACGTATAGATAGAGCAGAAGATACGAAGCGGCTGCGAAAGGCAGAAAGCTCGACTGCAATGACAAGTTGATGATGAATGATGGACGTCGATCCGATAGTGAAACAGCTGAACCTTTTAGCTGAACAATCGGGGAATAATAAGAAGAAACGTCATTTTATGGTCGTGGTCGTCGTCGCCGCTTAACTCATCGCGTCTCGCATATCGCGCTCTGCTGCCCTGGAAAAAGTTGAAGCAAAACATTCCAATTGAGGCTTCGTGCACCCTTTTTCTGTGTTTGTTACCGTTCACTGCCGAAAAAAATTTGAATATTATCGGAGAAAATTGGCCGGATCAAGTCAGCCATAAATCGCACTTTTCGAAATCGAGATCTTTAGTCAGCCCCGATGACAAAGTTAAGCGGATCAGTCTGTGAGCTACACCAATCTAACACTCGAGTGAGAACATGAGATGGATCTCCCGCGCGAATGGAAAGAACAGGGGGGGGGGGGCAAAAAAGTGCGAAAGAGGGCCTCTCGAAAGACTCTCTGCTTGCCTTTATCAAAGGGCAAAGATGTCTCGGCGCTTCTTCTCTCCATCATCTTCATTCGCTATCCCATACCTACATCACCTCCTACATCGTCGCAGGGTCCTTCATCTCGCGACGGTCACTTTCGCATCCCAAAAAATCGAAATGAGATCTTCCGCCGTCTTCAACCTCGCATATACAGTGAGTAGTCCATTCCAACCAATCAACTCAGCCTGCTCCGGCCGGCCACTTCCTTCTAGTGCGCATACTGATTTACATATCTTCTTGGTCTTGGCATTGCAGGCCCGCACACTGTCACAAAGAAGGCTAGTCCGTGTTCAACTCAAAACCGAAGTTCCCGGTCTCGGTAGCGCAGGATCCATCGTTCTCGTCCAACCCGGACGCATGCGCAACGAGCTCCTCCCATTCAAGAAAGCCCTCTACGATCCTCTTCCCACCCCTTTCCAACTCTCCAACCAAAAAGCCACCAGCTCCGTTCTTGAACAAAAGCTCGAGTCCGCACAAGCCACTCTTCAGCTCCAGCCAGCTCCCGAATCGCTCACACAAGAACTCGGACCTATCCAGCTGTTAAGCTTGAGGAGGAAACTCGAAGCTGCTCCTCCTCTTGTTTTTACTAGGCAGACAACGGTCAAGTTTAAACCGAGCTCAAACTCGGCTACTACTGCAACTGGGGAAGTGGAGTTGCCAAAGCCGGCACTGGGTATTCAGGGAAGCATTTCAACACGCGACCTTGTTGCGTTTTTGAAGGAAAACGGCGCATTCGATCTTGAAACGGATTCCAGCGAAGAAGGCAAACCTGTCCAGCTCAACCGTCTGACTTCGGCTCAGATCATCACGGCGTGCGAATTCACCCTTGCTCCTGCACACGAGAGCGACGGTTCTATCGATAAGCTCGGTCGTATCAAGAAAACAGGTCGATTCACTCTCGTTGCTCATATTCTGCCCTCCAACATTCGAGTCAGAATTCCAGTGATCGTTCGACCTAACACTGCTTCTACCGCCGTTTCTTCTTCCTCTCCTTCCCCCTCCTCTACCGCCGTTTCTCCTTCCTCTCCTTCCCCCTCCTCTTCCGCCATGTCGAGCACACCAGCAGGTGCCAGAGGCTACGCAACAAGCGCCAAACCCCAACCCACCAGTATGGAATCCTCCATGCGCACCAAACTCGAAGCCGAATTCGGACCGGAAGTCGAAATTCACATCCGCAACGACTCATCCAAACACGCACACCACGCAGCGATGGCCGCACAGGGTGGTGGGAACGGAGAGACGCACTTCTATGTGCATGTAATCTCGGACAAGTTTAAAGGTATGACTCAGATCAAGCGTCACAGAGTGGTAAATGGGTTATTGGAGGCAGAGTTTGAAAGGGGTCTACATGCGTTGAGTTTGAGGACTAAGACTTGGGATGAGGAGAACAAGACCAAGCCCTCAAGCACTGATGGGCAAGAGGCAAAGAGCACCAATGTGAGCATCTAATTCCCCCCCCACCCCCCCCCCCCCCAAATTCTCAAGGTCATGCGCAGATCTGGTGCTTTGATGTCATGTATACGTAGGCACATTTTGTATGTCACTTTTCGAAAGACTCGATTCTGCGCATGGTCCCTTGTTCTACGGTTGTGAATGTGAGGTGACTGACTCACTGTTTTTCACCTTTTCGCTGTTGTAGGCCGACGACGCAACCCAATGTCGACAAGACCACGAAGGACCTCCTTCTTCCTCAGAGGGATCAGGATCACTATGGCAAGCTCCGCAATCGCACCTCCACTCAACATCACCCCTTGCTTCAACCCCATCTTCCAACTCGGCCTCCACCACCCAAACCACAGACGACATCCTCTCGGCATTCTACACGCGTCCACCGACAACGGCTACGATCCCCACGCCTCGCACCCCGGTCTCCCGCGCCGCTCGCGAAAAGTTCTTCCGTCGCGCAACAAAGCACGAGGCCCTGGAGCCCTCCTATCGTCAAAACCTCCTCAACGTCATCGGTGGAGTGCTAGCCACTGTCTGCGGGACATATATGGTTTTATTTGCTGATTTCGATCAGCCGGAGGGAGCAGAGAACTGTTTCACTGGTCTAAGGAGGGCTGTTTGGGGTCCGGAGGGTCCACCCAAGCTCTTTTGATCACTCGCACACTGTGGTTGGGAATGTAAATGCTTTGGATGGAATGTCAGGTTATGTGTAAACTTATGCTGTGAGTGAGCGGCGGATGGTTTTGAGTCGATAAGCATAGAAGCGCTTCCGAACTGGATCGGCCATAATCAATCTTTTGACCAACTTTTCTGCCTCCTCTACACCACCCTGCTGCTGCTGAGCGATGCAATCCAACCACCACTCAAGCGCGCCCACCGACCCTCTCCCCATAATATCCACACTCGCATCTTTCTCCGCTTCAACCTGGCTACTAACCAACGTCTTTACCCAACCTAATGCTTCCTTCATCTCCCTCCTCAACGCTGGAGGTAAGGAAGTGTGGAGTGCGCGGAGATAGTTCCATCCCGAAGCATTGTTTGGTACGTTTGACAAAGTGGCTTTTGTGTATGCGATTTCGTACTGGATCTTCTTCCTTAACTGCTCCATGACTTGCTCTGAATGCGATGGGTTGGTGCTGGAGGGGTTACCAGTGAGACCAAAGCGGGAGAAATTGACAAACCAGCGATGATTCCATGCCGAGTTATTCCTTACATCTTCTGTGAGGAGTTTGTCCACGTACTCTTCTTCTCCTTGCCACAGCTCTGGGAATTCTCCTGCACCTCTCGAGGCCGGAGCGGCACCAGGCTTCGAACTGGGTAGGGAGAGACCTCCGAAATGGGAAAGCACCCACTGCCTATAACCCCAGGTGTGATAATTTTTCGCATCCCTATCCAAATTCTCCTCCACAAAGCCTAGTTCCCTGCCCGGCTTCGCCAATGCGGAAACAACAACTCTCCTATGCTGCCAAACTTGGTAACTCTTCATATTTTGATGCGCTAAACTTTCTAACCATCCCAATTCGGCCTGCAATACCGCATCCCTCCCTCCTTCTACCTTTTCAAGTTCAGAGGAATAGAGGAGGACATTCGCGCGGTATTGCCAGATTGAGAAATGGGAAGGGTTTAGTTGGATTAGGTGTGAGGTTAGGGCTAGTGCGCGGGGGGATAACTCTAGTGAGGAGAGGGGAGAAGTGAGGGGGGAGGTGTTTGAGGTGGTAAGGGTTCGGTAAAGGTCCATAGCAGAAGAATACGGAGGGTTGTAGAGGATTGGACACATGGGGGAGGATGAGGTGATGTCTGATTGGGGTGTTGGGAGGAGGTTGGACCAGACTGAAGAGGAGGGGTCGAATGGAAGATATGGTGAGCAAAGCTCTTCGAGGACGGAGGAGGTGGCTGGGGGTTTTGCGTCGGCCATTGTTGCGATCTTGCGACGGTGTGGTGTTGGTGATGGTGGTGAAGAAGAAGAAGAAGGAAGAAGGAAGAAGGAAGAGGGGGTTATAAGGCTTCGGCGCTGCAGAGAAAGGGTTTGTTGCTGCCCTTTGTTGGAATGTATCGTGGGAAGAAGAGAAGGATGGTGTGGATGAAAGGGAAGTGTCGAGCAAAGGCAAGATGTGAGGGTCCGTGCGCGTGGAGGTTTTTCTTTTTCTTTTTCTTTTCCTTTTCCGCAACTTGTTTTTTTATTCATTTACTTTAATTTTAAACGCGCTTCACGCCCCGCATAACACCACTCGTCGTCGAGAACAACACTTTCCCATCTCCCAACACCCCCACCACCATCTCTCACACACAAACATGTCCGCCACAACAACACAGCCGACCACAACCGTTCCCTCAACCCCCACGTCTGCCTCTGCCTCTGCCTCTGCCTCTGCCTCCGACTCCGCCTCCGTCTCCGCTCCAACCCAATCCCACACCGACCCATCCAACGCATCAACAAAATCAGAAAACGCAGTGCAACCACCCGACATCTCTTCCCCACACCAGTTGATCGATTGGGTAGACACGGTTCTAGGTCAACTTGAGTCTAGGTTCGATGATATGAATGGTCAAGTCACCTCACGGAGTAAGTGCCGCATCTTGACTTCCAGATTTTGAGGGTTTAGGAATGCTGACATTTGCATTGGTTGGTGGTGTAGTGAACGAGATGAGTAGTCGGATTGATGCTTTGGAGAGTTCTATACAGGGTGAGTACTCACCACTACCACGCTCTTAGGGTATAAGATGGAAAATAAGAAGCTGAACGATTCATGTCTGGTGGTGTAGATTTGATCCATGGCACACCCTCCCCGGTCACAGCTACAGGGAATAACAACGACGCTTGACCAACCTCGATCAACTCAATATACCACTTTGTACACTATACAGCACAGGCTATTACATCTTCCATCAACTCTATTATCAATGCTGTGAAGTACAGAAGAAGATTACATCCCATAACAATCAGTTGAAGATACGTCGGAATTCCAATGTGCATCCCTTTTCGACTTCCAAGTATGCAAGAACGCATTCGACATGCTCGCACTCAAATCACAACTCATCGGCGCCGCTCTCGTGCTGGCATTCTGTTCTGAAAACCTCTATGCAGCGCATGCGTATATGGGCAATCAGGTTTGCTCAGTCTACTCGAAGCTACTACCTCGTAACAAAGACTACAAGAAGCATTGTGAAGCTGAGACTGGCCCTGACGGTGCCGATCCCAAGTGGCCTTGCTTCACCTTCTGGAACGAAGATTTAACTGAGGTGAACCCGGAGGTTCAGGCAAGCAAACCGTTCTCAACGAAGTCAAGCAAATCGTTCTCAACGAAGGCAAGCAAATCGTTCTCAACGAAGGCGAGGAGGTGACATGGGGGATTATGTCAGCTTCGGTCAAGCAGAGTTGAGTCGAGTCCTTTTTTCCTCTCCCGTTCTTCTCCACAGTCACATTGAGGAGGTGTGTTTCTTTCCCAAGTCACATCAAGCAACACAGGCACAGACGCACGAACACACGGATGCATGCCAGGCAGGCAGTCAGTCTGTGTTCGGCCTATCCGTCTTCCTTCTCCTCCTCTTGTTCCTTTCCATACTACTCCTTGTTCTTGTTGATCTGGCAGCTGAGTCATCTCGTTGCCTCGTCTCAAGCCAAGGCAACACGGCTCAGCAACTCAAGTGCCACATTGGCGACTTTGGCTCAGCACCTTGATGAAAGGGATGGGATGGCTCGAGCAATTCAAAACAATGGTTCAGCTCAGCTTCAGCTTCAGCTTCGGCTTCTCTCCTCCTCTTCTTCCCTTCGGCACCTCAGCCGACGATGAGGGGCCCAGGCTGGCTAGCTGGACAGCTTGGGTGAAAGCATCGACCTTGCTCAGCCTGGCATGGCGCCAGTGTTGCCCTCGGGAAAGGGAACGATGCTCTCCCTTTGGCAGCGTACGCCTGCTTCAGACAAAGGTCCCGACGACTTCTTCGTCGTCAAAGATGATACCAAGAAAGGTATGCATCAAGTACATGGGCTCTCACCGAAATTTGACCCCCGGTACTAACTTTCAATCTGACTTTCTCTCTGTGATAGACTTTACGACTGTCGACCCCACCAAGGACTTCAATGTGCAGTGGTACGGAGGGAACCTTCAGATGAGATATTCCGACTTCGACAAGGAGAAGGGCTGCTTCAAGATCACGCTGAAGCACGTTGATGACGATGAACTTCGTATCTGGGTCTCTGCCGAGAACAGCAAAAAGCGAGACATAGACACCTTGAAGCATGAGGAGACGTCCAAGACCTTATGCACAAAGTAGGTTCACATCGACATCAAGCGCGAAGGTTAAGAGGACTTGTGAGCGGTGAGACCATTCCCGCATTTCGACGCATGATATAGACTGTCAGGATGTACAGCTCCTGCTCATCGCCGAGACGCACGTAAATCGACCTCTTCATACAAATTTTACCTTTGCCTGATGAGATGTCTGCACAAAGTAGTCGTTCCGCTCAAGCATGTGAAGCAGTGTGCGGTCAGTCTACGCATTAGAGATTCAGCATCTGCTGCTTGTTGAATAGGTGATGGTTTCATGGTAGGACGCGGTGTTATTACGTGTGGCGACAACGAACGTTAAGTACAGATGGATGATGGAAACTTGTGAAGCTACTGTCTGAGTGCCGATTCTTATGCACACTTCCCTGCCGAGCCTGAAGCTTGATGCGTGCACCTCTTTGACCCTCGAATCTCGCGAAGAAGTCAGATGGGTTGCCATTGGTGGCTGTGAAACAGTCCTCACAGCGTATTGTATCAATTTGATACAGTAGAGATTCAGCCCACTGGTGGCTCAGATGAAAGGTGGCTAAAGGCCCACGGTGGGACTGTCGACTTGGCGATGCATCTTATATGCCGTGATGTGTGGATACTGCTGTATTGCGAAGCGAGAAAGTCTGCGTGAAGGATGTGCCCTTTGAGAGGCGCCACGATGATGTGAGTGTCCAGGTTTGAGTTGAAGATACTTCGGTATTTCCAAAGGTCGACATGTTATATCGGAGTATTAAGTGCAGGGAGGCCGGAGTGATGCAAAGTGCAAACAGAGATGAGGTGGATGCAAAGCTCGTGGGAGAATATGCAGCCTACCCTCGGGGTTTGACACCAATGAAGGAGGTATGAAGTGTTGTCATGACAACGTGGTGTTGACAAGGTAACGATTATGAAGGAGACCCACTGGATGACGGCTCAAGGAGTGACTCGATGGGCGAGCACGGTCAGCTGTTCGGGTATATTTACTTATGTTCTGTAGCTTCTCACATCTCGAAATAATAAGTCTTCTCACTTAGACATACTCGACTATAAAGAGCGCCTGACTGTGGCCTCTAGAGCGGTGTATCTAATTTCAACTGTTTGCGATCGTTATGTTGATCTTTGGTTGGAGATGTGGAAATAATAATAAAAATACGGGTGTCGACACTCAGCGGTCGACAACAGTCTAAGCACAGTGTTCAAGCTATTGAGCAAAAACACTATACTATATTGACCTTAGGAGAGAATGTGGCGGGAGCCTCGAGCTCCCCGCTTGATATATATATACAAAGTGTCGGCATATGCCAAAGGTGGGAGCATTCCACTTAATGACGAAGTGTGTCAACGAGCGGGACTAAGCGGTACCCGATGCTTTACTGTATCGGCTCTGCCCGATCTCTGGTCAGATCGGCTCTGCCCGATTCCCTATCACTTCGGCTCTATGTCATCCTTTAGCATTTCACTGGATCGTAATCTTTAGCAGGAGAAGGTATGACGATGTGACAAGAAAGCTGGATCCTGCAAAGGGGCTTGTTTCGGCTGGCTAGGGCTTGAGCATGATGCATTTATGCCTCTACCTGTCCTATACTCTCATCCGTTTTGCGCGCCGACGGAAAATTGTATACACCATACTTTCTCCAGTGCTGTCATGCTCGGCAAGTGACTCGCTTTCATCTCTTCTTACTACTGCGACTGGTTTGCAGTATTGTATCCCAATCTCATCCTCGTACCTGTTCGAATTCAATTGTTGCCAGTTTTGTGCACCACCATTCCTGGCCGCAATAGGACCCTGAAGCGGCGAGACTATGACAGACTTCAACTCGATCAAACTATAGCTCCAGACGCCGCAGAAGGTGGGGGTGGGGGAACCCTCCTCCCTAGCCCCAAACACATTGTGGATGCTCTTTTAGCTTTCGCCTCCTTTCTTCTCTCTCGCTTTGCTTTACGTCGCTCTAGTTCGGCATCTATAGTTGCCATTGCTCGAGCGAAGTCCTCTTTATCCAAGCCTGCGGGAGTTGAGGATGAGGATGAGGCTTGATCGTATACCCCTGCAAGGAAAGACTCTGGAAGTTTGCACTTCGACCATACCTTTTGAACCATTTTTGCGCTTAACACTGCTGCGCCCCCATTACCATTGGTAGTAGGGTTGGAGCTGGGGTGCGAATCGGACTCGAACCATCCCCTAAGCGCCGAAACGGCCCCAGACCCTTCCTCAATCTTAGATGAGGAGCCACCGCGGACGGTGGAGGCATTCGAACTATCATCTTCTCCCTCTTTGGATTTGGTTCGTCTTCGCTGCATTCGTTGCTGAGAGACAAGTGATGAGAATAAATCTTCATATCTTGCTCTAGCAGCCGCGTCTCTTGGCTCTTCCAACGCCCCTTTTCCCCTACTCAGTGGGGTCGAAGTGGGGGGATCGGCAAGTTGAACCCTCCCCCTGGCACCACTCCCGTCACCAGGACGGACGCTAAGATCGGAATGAGTACTAAGATCGGAATGAGTACTTGCAGATCTACCCAATCCTACCCCGCCGAACTGTTTACTTGGTGCTCCATCAGCCAACGACCTAGTTCCTCCCCCCATTCCTGCTCCTCCTGGCTTAAAGAGGGGTAAAGCGGAAGCTGCGGTGCCGATGAGAGAACTTGCTACGCCCACAACTCCAGTCTGACCACTAAGAGTGTTGTTCGGGGATCGAAAAGGGGTGGTATTGCGGGGAGGTCTACGAGGAGGCGTCCTCTGGCAGTGGTCGGAGTGAAGGTCAAATTCAAGACTGCGTTTGAGTTCGGAACTAGCATCATCGGTGAGAGAGATGCTGGTGAAGACATTGCTTCCCGTCTTTCTATGTGCTGCGGCTGCGGTGGTTGAGGGACCTGTGCTTGGGTTTCGCGTGTGTCGCTGGGGTGGTACTGCACCTCTATCGCTGTTTGTACCGGCAGAAGCAGTGTTGGTGGGGGTGGAACCAAACTTAAACCCTCCAGCATTACCCTCCCAACCCGACGTTGGTTTAGTCGGTCGAGGCGGAGGAGTAGGCTTCGCCACAACCCCACCCGCACTACTACTTGTAGCAGCGGCCGTCGGTTTCCTCGGTATACTAGGCGCACCAGCTTTACTCGGACTCTTTTGCCTCGCTCTATACGCCGATTCTGATGCACCTACCCTCCCTCTCTCCCCTCCCAGCGTCGCACTTCTAGGAGGCAATGCTGGAGGAGTGACAACCCCTTCCCTCCCCACTCCACCTCCCCCTACACTTTTCTTTACACCGGGGCTGTAGGTCGCATACCGAACCCCAACCCCGCCTTTCGTTTTCGCTGGTTTAGTACTTGGGAATTGACCGAACTCTGAAATCGTTGGGCTTGGGGCTAAGCTCCCCCCGGCCCCACCTCCTGCTGGTGGACGGGGTGGAAGTTTGGGTGTGATTGAAGAAGTGGAATGAGTGGATGAAGCGGAGCCTTTACGCGATGAAACCTGCGGCGGAACGAGGGAGGGGGAAGAAGAAGGATCCATTACAGCATGTGCGAACATGGCATCTTCCGCAGAAGTATCGAGTTCGTGTGCGTTAGTGCCTGCGGGAGAATCGGTTCTGTTCCATGCATCCAAACCTCGTTGGTGCGGAGAGGAGCGGCCTGAATTTGGTGCCGAGCTCAACCCAACTCCTTGGTGGTGCTGTTCCACAACGCTTCTGCTTCTGTTTCTGACCATCGGGCTAGCACTAGGGTCAATCGACCCACCATTTGCATTCCTGGGCAAACTCCGGTTGGCTAACTCTTTCAAACTCAATCCACTTCCTGACTTCCTCAGGGAATTTGCAGTGTATCTCGGCGACACGGCGGAGGGGGTATGAGCGCTTAGCATACCGGAAGCTGAAGTCGTTGGCTGTGCTGCTAGCGGAGAGAACGAAGAAGAGAAAGGGTTGTTGAAGGATGGAGCTGAGAGTAAGCCATTTTCCGAAATTTTCCTGATCCGAGGGGTGGAGGATGAGCGAGGCACCGGGTCCGGGTTACAAGTACCGCCTGATGAAGAACGTGCTGGTGTTTGCGGCGGTACTGGCTTGCTTGTGCTACCGTGTGCGAGAGCGCGAGGTTTCGGTGAGCGAAGAATAGCAGTATTAGAGGTAGAGGTAGAAGGGGTGCGATTGGATTCGAAAGCTGCTAGGGCGGCACGGAAGTTGATCGGTTCTGCGCCGTCGGCGTTGGACATCGTGGACAAGCTGGGAGTGGGGGCTAGGGGTGGAGCCCAAACCTTTTGTGTTCGGTGTTCGATATTAGGTTTCGCCGGTAGAATGGCGCTGGAGACAGGACGAGCTATGATCGAAGACGAGACATGGCGATCGAGCGGGACGTTAGCGAGAGTGCATCACGGCGAAGCTAGCTGTGTAGGAGATGTCGTAGTAAGATGATGAGGAACGGGAAGGAAGAATGGAAGAGAGGATCGTACGAGCCCAAACACCGACTGCTCGCTGGCCTCATTCCGCACCGAAAAAGGTGGAGGTTCACTGCCCCGCCAAATATAGCATCCCCAACCCCACACTTGTTCCTCCTCACCCTGTTCTCACCCTGTTCTCACCCTGTTCTCACCCTGTTCTCACCCTGTTCTCACCCTGTTCTCACTCCATTCAATGCTCACATCTCATCATGATCACATCAATCTATCTGCAATCAGGGTATAGATTGTGGTGCGAGCTCATATCAAAAACACAACCAACAACAACAAAAACAGCACCACGATCAAGATCCAAACACACCAACCTCCCAATCTTTCATCGCTAATCCTAACCACTTCATCCATTTTCCGCATTGCTTTACTCAACCTCCCTTGACTTTGATCTACTTCTGTATCGAACGCATCAATGATATCGATCTGTTCGCCGATCTCTTGTCCCATCATGCCAGCTTGGTTGCGGAGCGAATTGAGGGTGGTGCCGATCTTGTCCAGGGTTGAGTCTTGGCGCGATATCAAGATCTGCAGTCAAACAAAGGAAGGGTTAGTGAAGGGCTAGGAAAGGTGGCAAGGCGGTAAGGCGGTAAGGCGGCAAGGTGGCAAGGCGAGGGGAATGGGGCTACCTACCTGTTGTTGTTCACGTTCGAAAGCTTCAGTTGCATCTTCGTCTTCTTCTTCTGGGAGGTTGATTTTGGTTGAGGAAGCTCTGCCAGATGGTGGGGATTGTTTTACTACTTTGGATAATGACTGCCAGCGTTCACCGGTCCAGAAAGAGGAGGGTAGGTGTTAGTATCATCCATGAGCTGCTATTCCGGTCTGAGAAGGGAGGCAACTTACATCGATCTCAGCCTCGCATTCGGCAACAAACTCTTTCCTCCTCTTCAATTCTTCCAGTGTCACTCCAAACCTTTCTGCACCACTACGCTCCACGACGAGGACGGACTGTTTTACATCTTCTACGTCCTGCCGTAAGCCTTCGATTGCGTCTGAGAGTCGGTCGTATGCCGAGTCAATCTCGCCGCCAGATGATGAAGATGCGCGTGCTGTTGATGAAGATGATTGAAGAAGTTGACGGTAGGATTGAGAGAGAGAACGGGCGGAGGAGAGGGAGGATTTCAGGTCTGATGCGAAATCGTGGTATGGATCTCTTGACATCTTATTGCGACGACCCTCTTGAAGGCCAGATGGATAGTGAGGCTTCCAAGATGCGGTCACTGCTGGGACTCTTGTGTGATTGCTATCCTGGAGTGAGGCGGTAGGATTGCGAGGCAAGTATTGGATGAATGTGGATGAGAAGAAGGTGTTGGTAGTGGAAAAGGTGTGTGAATGCAAGCCAGAAATCGGGAAAAGCACCGAGATTTCCCTGCCAAAACGGTCTATATTTTGCCGATTACCAACCAACCAACACAAACAATTGAAGATTGCAGATAAAACGCGACCGATCGGAGCCACTAGCAAGCTCTCGTATGCAGTTGTATTACTTCTTGAATGCTTGTGTTATATTCATGTGATGCTATGTACATGGTCATATATATACTTAGCAATCTCCTTCAGCCTGTGCAAATGTGCAATGTGTCACTCCTCGTGTTACTCCTGTGTTGTTGCCTCTTGTGCATTATTGTAACAACTCCTATGCATCCCACATGTGTCGCCACCTGTATGCACCTTTACTTAATTATTAGATTGCTTAAATTCTGTGGACCCCATATGATTCTGCAGACCCTGTGAATCCCATTGGGATGCTGACACATCTTCAACTCCCCCCTTCAATGGCATTACCAACCCTAACAACTGAGATAGCCGGGATGTTGCTAAACCCTTCAATGGTTTTGTTAAAATGTCTGCAACATTGTCTGCCATTCCAACAAATTCTATCTCTATCTCCCCATCCTGAACATGATCCCTAATGAAATGATATCTGGTGTCTATGTGTTTCAACTTCCAGTGCTTTGCTGGATCCTTACTCACCTGTATACATCTCTGACTATCTGAATGTAAGACTGGATGAGCAGCATCGATTTCTAAGTCCCTGAGGAGGTATGAAAAGAAGAGTGCCTCTCTCACTGCTTCTGAGGCAGCAACGAACTCAGCTTCCACTGCTGATAGTGCCACACATTTTTGGACATGTGACTTCCAGCTAACTGGGCACCCATATATATACTGTCATGGGCCTGGGTGCGCAGAGCGAGGAAAGACCGAAGTTCATATGAAGATAGCACAGGAATCGTGGAATCGGGTAGATTGTAAGAGTTGCAGCAGAGTTCACCAAGATCGGCAGTAGAATCAGCTCTATGGCAGATCACAGCGAAATCGGCACGAGCATCATCGATATCATGAATCCCACCGGAATCTGCGACAAGCGAGAGCTTGTGGCAGATTCTGTGGAGATTGGTAGCAAGGTTGTCCATATGATGATTCACATGCAAGAGGGACCAAGCTCAAGTGACATGCGGATGGTTACCACTCAGGGGCCCACAAGACAGGAGTAAAAGAGAACTGTTGCCAGTCAGAGGAAGGAGAGCTGTGTAAAGGACACTGGCGAAAGGGACATGAAGAAGAGGAGCAGTGTCGATGAAGTTGACACAGCTCAGGTAAGACAGGAGGGACAAGGTCTGATATGGAGGAGGTGCCTCCTTGGAGACACCTGTACAATACTTGATGAAGAGGGTAGTCTCTGGAGAGAGAGAGCAGGAGCAGTGTTGCTGGCAATGCTGTGAAGAGATATATAGGCATACCTTCTTGTCATGAATGGTCGAGTGGATCCATCCACTCTACACTCATCAAACAAACTAGTATTACTTCAAGCAATAAGTATCATTAGTTCACAGTCAGCATAGAAGTAATCAACAGATTGCTCCTCATCGAAGCGTGTGTGTTGTATCACCATTTCCTGATGTCTGAAGGCAGTTCGTAGCAACCAGCGGTCCGGATAACAATAGAACCAAAGGCAGACATCCACTGTGGCCCAGGGATCACTTCAAGCATTAGCCGACACACTGGACACTCGTGTCGGTGTCATCAACCCATACTCACACCAGACCATTGGTGTCAATATCAAGCTCACTTAGAGTCATATTATAGTTTGATCATGCCGAGCTACCTCTGGATGGAGTGCCCACAGTGGTTAGTCGAAATCTGTCATAACAATAATACAACTACAGATTCTAATGAGAAAGGTGACAGAGAAGGCTCTGTCACATATTTCACTAAGAATCAAAATACCATTAGCGCTGTCGCATAATTCGACAGAATCGGTGATAGTACTGATACTATTACTGATCTCAGGTTTCAGGCGCACGACCGCTGACATATACGTCATTGCTCCCGATGTGCTTCTCCGTCTGTTTGTTGGGTCTGAAGCCCAATTGGCATCACTATATGTGACAATCGGTTGCTTCAAGTGTTCACTTGATCTGCTCCCAAGGTTCAGTTGGTAGTCACTGGTTTGGTTGAGATACTTCATCAAGTGTATAGCAGCCTTCCATGCACTGTTGGTTGGGGTTGACATATATCTTGCCAGTATTCCCACTGTGAACGATATGTCAGGTCGTGCAGTATTTGCTACCCATAACAATTGTCCCACCAGTTCTTGGTATTGTTTTGCCTCTAGGGAATCACATTTACCATTCCCTATGGCATTAGGTATTTCTGGCATTGGTACCCATGATTTCTGATCCATCAACTGTAACCACTTACTCACCATGGCCTTGGTGTAAGCGGTCAAATCAATTGACATCTCCCTTCTTGTCCTGTCTCGTTTGATGCTGATGCTGAGGAACTCTTTCACTGGGCTGTTATCTTCCATTCCCCACTTGGACATTATCTCCCTTTTGGTGCGATCCACCTCCTTACAACTGGGTGAGGCTATGAGCATGTCATCGACATAGGCTGTGATAATAGTTAGGTTACTTCCAGTTCCTCTTGAATACAGACAGGGTGCACTTGGCATGCAGTGAAAGTCTATGCTCTGTAGGTATGAATCCAACTCTATGTTCCATTCTCGCCCTGATTGTTTCAGTCTGTACAGTCCTTTTACTAGCTTCAAGGCCTTTCCAGGTGGGATTCTCATTCCAAATGGCAGTTTTAAGAATACATCATGATGTAGCATTGAGTTTAGATATGCTTGCTTGACATCAATACTATCTACTTCCCAGTCACAAACTGCTGCTATGGCTAAGACTCCTCAGATTGACTGAATGGGTGCAACAGGCACAAACACTTCAGTGTAGTCTATACCTTCTCTTTGTGTGAAACCTCTTACCACCAGTCTTGCTTTAAACTTTGTCAGGATGAGATTTGCATCTGTTTTGATTTTTAAAACCCAACATGTGTCGATGGCATGCATACCTTTGGGGAGATCAACAATTTCCCATGTATCCATGGCTTTCAAACCATCCAGTTCTTTACACATTGCTTCCTCCCAATGCTTCCTGTCCTCTCCTGACAATGCTTTGCTAACTGTTGGGTCTAGATTTCTTCTCTTTCGATCATTTATTGCTGTGAGTCCATAGTGATTGCTATTGGTCCATGTGTCGTCAAATGTGTTGGTGTCGGTATCAGCCCCACATTCTATTGCCTTTGTTGTATCTTCACCCAGATCTTCTTCATTGTTCAATCCATCTGTTTCTTTCATATTCGTGTACTCATTCAGTGGCTCCTCCTCTCGTTCATTGAAGAGGTTCATATCTGTGTATCCAAGATTGTCTATGTCTCCTTTGTCTGCTAGTGCTGGTGGTGGGTGTATGTTTACTGGTTTCCACTCTGTTTTGTCGGACCAGCATTTTGTCTCCATGAATCTAGCTGAGTTGCTCCAAAAGATGTTTGGGCTGTAGTCTGGGCTGTAGAAGAGCCATCCTTTTCTTTCCAGACTATACCCCAAGAAGATAGATGCTACTGCTTGTTGATCTAACTTTTTATTATCTCTTTTGACCTTGGGAACATTTACCCATGCTAAATATCCAAAGATGTGTAGGAGTCTTATGAGTCACTCCAGTGACTTCCCAAACATGACTTGGTATGGGAACTCACCATCAACACTTGGGATGAGGTTCATTTTGAAGGCTGCGGTCTGGATTGCATAGGGCCAGAAGCTCTTCAGTAACCTCCTTTGCATGAGCAGCATTTGCATCTTCTCACCCAAGCTTCTGTTCATTCTCTCCACATGTCCGTTCTGTCTGCTATTGTACCCTACTGTCATTTGCCATTCAATGCCCTTTTCATATGCCCACTGAAGCGCGTCATTGCTTCTCCATTCTGTACCTTGGTCAGATCATATTGCTTTCAGATTCTTTCCCGTCTGTGTCTTGAGATATGATATGATTGTTTTGAGCTTGGGAAACACGTGACTCTTTCGTAGCAAAGGCTGTGCATATACATACTTGCTGTGGTTATCAACCAGTACCAATGTGCACATGTATTCTGTCATGTGCGACGAGTCGACTATCAAGTCAATGTGGATGAGATCAAGCAGAGAGACAGATTTCTCTCCACTACCTTGCCCCATTCAGGCTGCTGTGCTTTTGGATCGGATGCATGGCTCACACATTGTAGCAGTCCCTGGGTTTAGGTCTGCTGTGTCATTTTCTCCTAAGTGGTTGATGATGGCCCTCATCTTATCTCGACCTGGATGTCCCAGATGTTCATGCCATAGTTGTTGTTTGGATATTTTGGCTTTGTTCTCAATATGCTTGAAATCTTCATCAACACCTTCAAATAATGATGTTGATGTGATCATTGCATTTTCCTTCCATGTGTCGCCTTGGAACTCCAACAGTCCTTGCTCGCGATTCTTGGATATTTTGAGTAGCATACCATTTGCTAAGTGTATTTGCCCTCCGGTTGAGTCTAGCATCACTTGTGCTCCTTCGTCTGTCAGAGAATTTGTTGACAATAGGTTAACATTGAGATGCTGAACATACAATACATTTTGGAGAAAAACATCTCCATGACTTGTTGATATGCTAGCATCCCCTATAGCAGTCACTTCCAGAACTGAGCTTCTGGCAGTGAATATGCGCTTTTGGCAGGTTCTCGGACTAATGAGCATGCTATAGTTGTTTACCATATGATAGCTGGCACCCAAATCTAGGATCCAATGATGGTTCCCTTTTGAATCTGGGTGGCTCTGCCAACTTGGTGTGAAAGAGCACCAGGCTTCCTATTTGGGCCTGGCGAAAGGGGAATTTTCTGGTATGGTCACTGATGCATCACATTGACTGAACCTGTGTCCAGGCCTCTTGCAGATCCAACATCTGAGCCTTTGAGGTCTAGTGGTGACTTTGGCACTGGTGCTGTCAGCATCCTTTTCATCTTTCTCCTCCTTTCTGGGTGTCTCGTCCTGGTCATCGCTGCTGATGACTCTGGTGCTTGCTTGACGGGGGTCAACTCTCGGAGTGGGGTTGTTCTCAATTGCCAACTGCCGAATGGATAGGGCAGTGGTGAGGGCATTAAAACTAAGCTGGCTGACAGTGGCAATGGTCTCCTTGTACATTGGATGTCAGATAGTGCACTTTTGTAGATTAGAGAACAGAGTGTCATCAGCAAATGGCTTTCCCAGTAAGCTGCTCTCTGTTTGGATGGTCCTTATTTCCTGGATAAGCTTTTGTACGTCTGAGTTGTGCATCCTTAGTTCACCTAGCTGAGCGATTAATGCAATATGATGAGATATGGCAGTGGCCTCATTGGTGAGTCCATTTTCGATCTTCTTCCATACATGATGGAACATATGGTGCTCCCTGATGATGTCAAGAATCAAGTAATTGATATTGTATTCTCCGGTGGTGTCAATGGTACTGCATAATGCATTTGTCAAAGCATCATCGAATGTGCAGTTCCATTTGGGATGTTTCTTGTCATATGCTCCATCGAGATGCTTCATGGCATGAGGAACACATTGTAGAAAGGACTTGATATGGGCATTCCAACTATAATAGTTGTGCAATGTGAGTTTTGGGATGGGCTCAAGTAGTTTTGCTGGAGTACGAAAATTGTATGGCTTTCTATTGTTGTTGTGATCTGAGTCAGAGTCAGTTTCTTCCTCGGTGTCGTCATCAATCACCTCGGTGTCTGACTCGTTGGTGGCCTCGTTGTCAACAGCTCACAGTTGCATTACCTTTCCTTTTCTTCCTCCTTTGGCCTTGCTTGTGACAGCTTGAGCTTCGGCCTCTTGTACCATGTTGTCGATGGTCCTGGTTGGCTTAGTTGGTAGAGCTTCAGACTCTTAATCAATTGAAGATTGCAGATAAAACGTGACTGATCAGAGCCACTAGCAAGCTCTTGTATGCAGTTGTATTACTTCTTGAATGCTTGTGTTATATTCATGTGATGCTATGTACATGGTCATATATATACTTAGCAATCTCCTTCAGCCTGTGCAAATGTGTGATGTGTCACTCCTCATGTTACTCCTGTGTTGTTGCCTCTTGTGCATTATTGTAACAACTCCTATGCATCCCACATGTGTCGCCACCTGTATGCACCTTTACTTAATTATTAGATCGCTTAAATTCTGTGGACCCCATATGATTCCGCAGACCCCGTGAATCCCGTTGGGATGCTGACGCATCTTCAACTCAAACGCTCGTTCTTGGACCCTTTCTTCCTCCTTCCTCCTTCCTCCTTCCCATCAGCAGACATCATCTTGGCGCACCACCACGAGCACCACCAACATCAACTGCTTCATAGACGCATCGTCGTATCCATCACCTGCATCCATTCACCGCGCCATCAATAGTCACCACCAAAATGCCAATCACGATCCCCATCATTCACTTCAACGACATCTATCGCGTGCGCCAGAAAGACAAGAAAACCGGTGGTACAATAGGAGCAGACCAATTCGCAGCTAAAATCCAATCCATTCGTCAATCGTGGGGCGAACTCTCCAACCTTTCCAACCTTCCCCCACCACCCTCTTCCTCCTCAAACCTCGGCACCTCTCGAGACTGGAGCGCGCATAGCAACTCTCGCGAGCGAAAAGGACTAGTCCTCTTCTCGGGCGACCTCTATTCCCCTTCTGTTGAAAGCAGTGTTACACGAGGCACGCACTTGGTCCCAGTCATCAATGCTATGAATCTGGATTGTGCCTGCTTGGGCAATCATGATTGGGATTTCGGTTATCCGCATTTACAGACTCTGATGGCGCAAAATAATTTCCCGTGGCTGTTTAGTAATGTCGTGGATACAAACCCAAGGAAAGAGGGCGGTGGCGACTGGGATGAGCATTTACAGCAAGATGATCGACAAGTTGATGGGACCTTGAGATCTTGGACTACGACAGTGCAGGATGTAAAAGTAGGATGTATTGGGATTGTGGAGAAGGAGTGGATTGCTACCGTACCTTCCTTTCCACAAGAATTCATGTATCGAAATATGCTTAAAACCGCTCTGAAACTTAGTCAGGTCCTACGAGATCCAAAGGGACAAGCGTGCGAATTGGTGATCGCCATCACACATAGTCGTTTGCCGAACGATATCGATTTTGCCAACGCTATTGGGGCTGTTGCTGGTGCGGACCCGACTAAGCATGGGGTGGATCTGGTGCTGGGTGGTCACGATCATATATACTACGTTGGCAATGGTGCGGCTAGCTATACCGGTGATGAGTTTCCCAGAGGGGAGCCAGGGACGGAAAAGGATACTAATGCGATGGTCGTCAAATCCGGAACCGATTTCAGGGATCTTTCTGAGCTCAAGCTCGAACTTTCCGAACCCAACAACAACGCCATTAGAACAAGGACGATCAAGAGTCTTAGTGTTAAACGGTACCGTGCTTCACCTGACGATCCTACTTCACCGGAACTCAAGTCTATGTTGGACGATCTCCTAGCCAAAATCTCCAAATCTACATCCCAAAGCGTTGCGTACACGCTTACACCTTGGGATGTACGAAGCGAGAAAGTTCGTACGGATGAATCTGCGTTTGGAAACTTTGTCGCTGATGTCCTTATGAACTCCTACGAAGAGGTTCTACGAGAAAGAGACAATAGAGGAGAGCTTAGCGAAAGACGCCCTGCGGATGCTAGAGAGGTGGACTGTTGTATCATCTGCGGCGGGAGTTTAAGAGGAGATCAGATGTATGGACCGGGCAAGATTGCTCTTAGTGATGTGTTGGAGATTTTGCCGTTTGAAGATGCGGTGGTGTGTAAAGAGTTGAAGGGTCAAGATATTTGGGATGCTTTGGAGAACGGGTTGAGTATGTATCCGAAGCAGGAGGGCAGGTTTCCACAAGTGGCCGGGTTATTGGTAAAGTGGGATTCGAGGAAGGAGCCGGGCAAAAGGCTGATTAGTGTTGAGTTGTTGGATAATCCGCTTGATTCCACTCCTTCTCAGAATCAGCAGCGGACAGAGAAGGAGGGGGAGGAGATGGATGTAGATGTACCCAACACGGCTGGGGAGGGTGAGGTTGGGAAACTTCGCAGGTTCTCTGTAACCAAAGTACCTGGTGGAGGCTACGATGTGGAAGTGCACCGACCTGCATTGGTCAGCCGGGGGCCGCTGGAGATGGAGAAAACCTACAGGGTGGTTACTAGGGAGTACCTAGCGGAAGGATATGATGGGTTCGAGGCGTTGAAAAGGGGTGAGTTTGTAGTGGATCATGAGAATGGGCAGTTAATGTCGGCCATTGTGAGGAAGTTTTTGTTAGGTGCGAGCTATTTATGGCGTATGAAGCAGATTAGGCCGTTGCAGGCCGAAGGGCAAGATGGCGATGCTTCCACTGCTGCTGCGAGTGTGGAGATGAAGCAGGAAGAGGAAGGGTCAGAAAAGGGAGCAGAAGTAAACACACTTAGCAAACGTACCAGGATCGCCATCACTCGCGCTCGCTCACTCAACCTTCTCAAGCGGGCAATGAAGCATAATGCGGTCGATACACCCGTCACCGAACTCCCATCTACCCCAGTCAAGCGGGCTTCACCTGGTCGGTCTGACTCGCTAGGATTGACTAGCGAGGAAAACATGTGGCGAATGGTAGTTGATCAATCGCCCGGCGGGTTTAGAGATGCTTTGCATGTGGGGGGATCGGAGCATCACTCCAAATTCGATTCGGTTAGCAAGCGGTTCAATGAGCCTCTTACCTCCGGTTCCGGCGCGGGGTTGGCTACGTCTTCGCATGCCGCAACGAGATCGTTTGATGCAGACGCGAGTCGAGGAGATGTGGATATGGGTGTTCCTGCTGCCAAACGCGCCCGTACGCGACGAGGCGGGGATGAGAGAGAGCAGCAGCTGAAGATCGATAATGCTCTTTTCGATCCTTCCCTTGTATCGGGCCTTTCGACTCAGATCAAAGATCTGCTGACTTTAGTGACGAAAGCTGCTGATCCGGATGGCAGACTTTACGTTCAGCCCAGTGGGAATGGTGAGCCAAACGCCAGTGCTACAGCTGCGGAGGAAGAAGAGGAGGTAGGGGGTGGAGGCGCAAACATCGCACTGGGCAGTATGGCGGTTGATGAGGGGGATGACGATGCTACACTTGCCTTCCTTACTGCTGGTGGAAGCGGGTCTGGTGCGAACGGTGGAGCTATGCGCAAAGGTACACCTACTCAATTGTCACAAGACATTGTCAAGAAGGCGAGTGAGCTTCGCGCTACATTTAAGAAGCTCGAAGAAGCAGCCAAGTCTTTGCCCGGTGGAATGGATCTCGGTCTGAAGGAGCAAGAGAGGTTGCTGACTGCATTGGAGGGATTTATTGCTCGACAGGATGAGGCGTTGGATAAACTTGCCGCTTCTCCTTCGGGACAGAATGGGCACAAGAAGAGACGGGAAAGGGAAGGAGGGGAATTCGGTGGAAAAGCAGGTGAAATCGCAAGCTCATCTTTCAAGCACGGTGCAGTGGCTTCAAGTAGCTTCCATTTGAATCAGGAGGAGATGGAACAGTTGAGGAAGGACATTAAGGCTTCCACTACCACCACCGCTAGTGAAGATGCAGGAGTTGACGGGGAGAGAGAGAAGAATGGGGCTAGTGTTGGGAATGGGAACCAGGATGGAAGTGGGAAGGAGGAGGAGGGCGGAGATGGTGATGATACGTCTAATCTCGCTTTTGTCTCTCCTCTTGTCGATGGGAGGTTGGTTGATGTTGCTCGTCAACAAGCACAGATCCCCGCTCTCACAGCCATTTCGTAGAACTCACAAATCATTTCTAATCACACGCACAATCACACTCTGCTTTGCTCTGCGTTGAGTTGCATTCTGTATGCGAACGTAAAGAGTGACGCTTCTTCCATAGAATGATAAACTACAAGTAAAGGGAAGGAGAGAAAATGATGCTTCCTTCCCTTTCCAACATTGCCAGAGTCTTTTCAAACTTCTCTGCCAAACCTTCATTGCCGATCGCCTTGGCCGCCTGAACCAATTGCCTGATCAACTCCTGCAACCTTCTCATACACCTAATGATACTACCTTCAAATACGTCCGTAAGCTTGCAGATCTCTGCGAACTTGGCTCCATTACACCACTGCATAACCAAATCCATCAGCTCTACTTTGAAGCTGGAGACGTACTCTTCTTCGACCAGTGGGAGTTTGGATTCGATCGAGACCTTTGCAATTCGACGAGCTGTTTCTTGCATGATGCGGAGCGGGGCTGCTAGTTGTTCGTTTAGTCGGGTTTGGGTCGTGGATTTCTCGCCGAAGACAAAGCAAGAGAGTAGAGCGGCGCATTGTGGCGGGGTAAGATCGTTGAATACGCCGTTGAAGATCATCTCTGTGAGCAAGAGTTCGTCTCCAGTGGAGATTTCGCACGCTACACGGCCCTTCTTTTCGACTACATCGTCAGAGGTGGTGAAGCCTAGTCGACGAAGGACTCGCTTGCGACATTTGAGTTCGTCGAGTTGAAGAACAGAGTGAGCGGCGGCGATCTTCTTGGCGATTCCGGCGACAATTTCTTCCGCTTCTTGCTTTTGGGCGTAGGCAGCGTAGAGTCGCGGTAGGTCTTTGTCTCTGCGAAGGGAAGAGGAGGAGAGTTTGTCGTCGAGGATTTTGATCTTCTCGACAAGGTGGGCAAAGGATTCGTCTTTGATCTTCATGTCTTTGATGGGGTCAAGGAGGGGTACGCCTTTGGGGAAGCGACGCTTGACTTCGACGAGGTTCTTGCGGACCGTCTCGCGCGGTTCGGTAGGGCGAAGATCTTTGGCCAGGAAGATACGGATACCGGACAGAGACTGGATCGTCGATAAGAGAACGGGTACAACGACCATCTCGCCCTTCTTACCTTGAGGGCAGGGAAGGAAGTTGCCAGCGGGAGCGCCATTGTCGGTCTTGCCCCCCTTTTTGTCCTTGTCCGAAGAAGAAGAGCCTGGACCGGATGCACAGTGTAGGAGGACATCAACGACGTACTGGTTTTGTGGAGGTGCGTTAGGATCAATCGCTGGTCCGCGCTTGCCTGGTGTGTTCGGCAAGCGCTTCTCATACGAAACGACAGCACCCCAACCAAAGTCGAGATCCTCATGGCAGACCTTGACCAACCTTCCTGGCTGCAAGAACGGCAACACGTAAGATGGATGAGTGATGACAGTCTGCACATCCTTGCGCAGTGTCTCGAGCTGGTGTTTGACATCGTAGTACTCTGCTACTTCTTCCTCTCGCTCCACCTTGATCAAGTCGCGCTGCTCCTCAGCTGCCTTCTGCTCAGCTTCGAGCGCAGGTACTGATGCAGCGTTCTGGAACTGGAAGAAACAGCGCTCCAACATGTACTCTGGCGAAATACCTTCGACGCGCATGAGGTTGAGGATCATATTGTAGCCCAAATGGAAGGCGGAGTTGAGACGATCAGCTTCACCTTTGACCATGGTCTTGGCTGCACTAGGTTCAAGCTTCTCGTCGAACATCATGATGACGATTCCTCGGTCATCGAGACCACGTCGACCGGCACGACCTGACATCTGAATGAACTCGCCCGAAGTGAGATTACGGAACTCCTTTCCGTCCCACTTGTTGACTGCGGTGAAGACTACGGTCTTGGCAGGCATGTTGAGACCGATGGAGAAAGTCTCTGTGGCAAAAAGGACCTTGATGAGACCTTCTTGAAAGAGGATTTCGATGACTTCCTTGAGAATGGGAAGAAGACCACCGTGATGGATTCCGATACCTCGTCGCAGGAGAGGGAGAATGTGCTCGATCTGAGGCAAGCCACGGTCTTCTTCGGAGAGGGCGTTGATGGCGTTGGTGAAGACGGTGGAGACCATCTCCTTTTCGTCGTCGGTGTTGAACTCGAGCTTGCTCATCTGGAGTGCGAGTGCCTCACATTCACGCTTGGAGAAAGCGAAAACGATGACAGGGTTGTAGTTCTTAACCATGATCATTTTGACGATCTTGTAGATGTCCGAGGGACCCTTCTTGCCTCCGTTACCACCCTTCTTGACTTGACCGCAACGCTTGCCGCCTCCGGCGTTGGGATCAGCAACGTCCTCGCCTTTCGAGTCAGCGAGAGCACCCATGGCCTTTTGGAAGTTGTCTTCACGGAAAGTGCCACGCTCGTCAACAACGAGGTGAATACCTTCTCCACCTTGAGGAAAGAGGTAGTGCTGAAGAGGAGTGGGACGGAAGTCGGTGTAGACGACGTGGCATGGCTGAGCGTGAGTGTGTGCGATCCATTCTGCGAATTGCATGGCGTTGGGGATGGTGGCTGAAAGGAAGACGTAGCGGACCTTTCGTGGCAACAAGATGATGGTCTCTTCCCAAACGACACCACGCTCCTTATCTCGCATGTAGTGGATCTCGTCGAAAACGACCCAGGCGACTTCACGCATGATCTCGGAACCACGGTATAGCATAGAACGCAGAATCTCGGTAGTCATTACGAGGCACGAGGCGGAAGGATTGATGGTGACATCTCCGGTCATAAGGCCGACGTCGCCAAACTCTGCGGTGAGTTCACGGAACTTTTGATTGGAAAGCGCCTTGATGGGTGAGGTGTAGACGACGCGCTGACCTCGCTTGAGACATTGTGCGATGGCGTATTCTGCAACGACGGTCTTACCGGCGGAAGTGTGTGCTGATACGAGGACTGATTCGTTGCGTTCGATACAAGAGACCGAGTTGCGCTGGAAGGGGTCGAGTGTGAACTTGTACTCTTTGGCGGGTGGGTCGTTGGGTACATGCTGAGAGAGGGGGATGTATGGATAGTCGGGAGGAAGTGCGACCTGATGACGCACAGAGTGGGTGACGTGCATCTTCTTCTCAGCAGCGTTCTTGTCGGCATTGGAGGCAGCGTCAGTGGATGAGCTGACAGCAGCAAAAGATTGGTCATCAGGCGACTCGGGAGGAGCGAGACCGCCTTGGAGTGGGATAGCTTGGGTGGCCTCGTCTGTAAACTCGTCAGTGACCACTGTTGGTACCGGAGCTGGCTTCGCGGCAGCATCAAGCTTCTGACGCTTCGATGGGCCAGGTGCTGGTGAGGAGCTGTCCACGGAAGCATCGTCTGCATTGGCATCAGCATTGCTGGAAGCAGCAGCATGGCCGTTCTTGGAGCTGGATGCTGAGGCTTTGTTGTCCTTTGACGAGCTCGCCGTCGCTTCCGCTTTTGAAGATGAGGAAGAAGAAGCGCCTGCTTTGCTTCGCTTCTTTTGCTTCTTTGAAGGCGAGGAGCCGGATGATGTGGCAGGACTAAGCGTGGCCTCTGTTGGTGCGAGGAAGTCGAAAAGGCCGTCTGGATCCATGGTGGGCGCTGAAATTAAGTTGAGATGGTGGTGGTGGTGGCTTTGAGAAAGGGATGGCAGTGGCGGCAGATGCGATATATCAGGAAGACCCTTTTCTGTCGGCGGCTGAGTTTTTAGCTATCCTTGAAGGGTCCGAGTTGCTGATGAGAAGAATGCAATTTTTGACTGATCTGCCATACCAAATTATTCTCGCAAGAAGCTCAACTGCAAAGCATCCAATTTTCAACCTTTTATTTTTTTTTATTTTTATTTTTCCGAAAATTTCAAGGCGCTTCCGCACTCGACACAGTGTGCAAAAAAAAAAAAACCTGTCATGCTTACGTAATTGGCAGTGTAAGGATGTTAGACCTTGTCTTTTGTTGACGAATTCTGATCGTGATCGACTCGGCGCGAGTGTGTGTGTCTCTTTTGGCCACGCAACTTTGGAATGGCTGAGCGCTACACACGGACCCGCCAAACTGACACTTGGCTCCACTTGACGACTTGAGCACACATCAACCCCCATCGACACCCTTCTTCCTCCTGTCATCACCACCCTCATCTTCAGCCTCAACCTCATACACACGTACAAGATGAGCTCCACATCGCAAGCACAGTCGCATCCTGAGCCGAGCTATGCTCTTGTGCCTCCCAGCTATGCTGCCCATACATCCACCTCGTCCAATTCCTCCACTTCACACCCGGTCTACACTGGTATTCATGATACCATGCGTCATGGTCTCAAGAATGTCTTGCACCAAGTATCAACACACTCGCATCACCCTGTCCAAAACAGACTCGAGAACTGGGAAGCTACTCGAGACAACCTCAAGCTTACCATGCAGCGCAACATTCATGGCCTTGGTGCGCCGGCACACACTTTGATGGAGCGAAAGATTGTCAGTTACGTAGGTATCACACGCAAAGAAAGACTGGGTCAGCAGCATGCTATGAGCTGGTATAGATATTTTGATGAATCATTGGATTGCTGATCCGATGATCGTTTGCTTTGGCTTTGATTGATGTCTCTATAGAACCCTGCTTTCGACCCAACTAGAAGCTCTAACTCGATCTCCAAGCTTCACCTCGACATTTTGAATGGTGATGATGAACGAATCGAGCCACGCGACTTCTTGCCTTGTAAGTCTTGCCCTCTCACACACCGGACTATCGTCCGCGGCTTTTCTCGGAGGAAGCCCTGTTTGCTGACACTATCGTTCACTTCTTCATGTTCACATCGCGCCCTCCTTTCTACAGCCGAGATCTCAGCCAACGTTCCCAGCATGCACACCGTCATGGAGCGTCGTCTTGGCTTGTAACGCTCTCACTGCTGGCAAATCAACTGACGTTAGCCTTCCTTGTACATTAGACCTTCTCAAACACTTTTCTACAGACATTTTACCGGGTCGTCGTTGAGTGTGGATGTTGATGCATCATCTTGAGTTGTTCGATCGCTCCACTCTTTTATTTTGTGACTATGCCCAATGGCATACCCAATCTGAACCCTGCTCGCTTTCTATCCGTCCCCTAGCCGCCCAAGCCAGCTTGTCTTGCCTCATTCTTGAGCGCGAGTCAGACTCAGCGCTCTCCCCATCTTGAGGTCTGCACTTCCACTTCAACATTACAGGAGCAGCCATTCAACACTCCAACTCGATCGTGCACCACTCCATTCAAGTCGGCGGATAAAGAAACTTGTCCTGCAGAATTCCTGATCTCTTCTCAACTTGCCCATAAGATTGCACTATAAGTGCACCACACGCGCTTAAGACTCGATACTGGTAGCAAGGTAACGTGGTATCATTGCGAATGCCCATGAGAAGTGTGTAATGATATAGTGTACAAGTGTGAATGTGTTGAGATTACTTGGGGTTAAGCATGCTCGTCAAGCCACTGGGAGGCTGCTGATATCGCTTGGCCCAGTTCCAGCGCTCCTGTCGGTATCGCAACGTCGATTCCTCAATGTTGCGAGCGTGTGTACTGCCCATCTTGGCCATAGCCTCAAGGAGCTCCAAGAATGCATCTCCGGTATCCCACAATCCGCTTTCAATATGCTCATTGTTGAACTCGGGAAGCAGATCGAACGAGGCTGGATTCTTCCATCCAGGGTTCTCGTTCTCGCCGTATGCATCGAGCCAAGAAGCTCCAGCAACGTGTGCTTCCGCAGCCATGGCGTAGGCGTGCTGTGCAAACAGACGCAAGTGTCGAGGCCAACGCACTGCTCGCAGTGAAGCGTCCATCGTCTTGCCCACTTCGTTGCCTCTCTTTTCGCCTTGGCCGCTCTTCCACTCGTTGTTGGCATTGCCCTCGATGGGTTTCAGTGCGGCATCGCGGGCTCTGTGCAGCTCAAGCAATCGCTTGGCAACAGCGCCCGTCTCCCACAAAACTGCCATTGACGCCTTCATTGGGTGACGAGAGAATTGAGGGCGCGATAGCAACTTCCTGCCATGGAAGTCACGTCCAATGGCACTGTCATCCTCGCTCTCTGATTCCGGTGCCCAGTTGTTTCCGGCAATCATTTCAAAGTTGGAGCGCTGCTCGCTCTCGCCCGTAGGCATCAGCGTTGAGGCGATGCGCAGCGACTTGTCCGTCTTGGCCGTGGTGCGTTCCGGGAACAGGAAGAAGAAAGCCTGGATGGAAGTGAAGAGGCGGTACATGAGCAAAGCGACTATGCGCGAATGGACAAATGCTGCCACCCGCAATGGCATTTCGGGACCCTTGTAGGTGACCGAGCCGATGCGCTCGACGAGCCAATCGAGTGTTGTCTCCATCTCAGTAATGGCATGCTGTAGATCTGGTTCAGGTGAGTGACCTGTGCAAATGTCGGCGAGCGGCGTGTGCAACAGACGCGTCAATCTACCATAGGTGCGGAAGATGAGGTCTCGAGTCTGTGTCAGGTAGCCGTTGGATGCAGGATGAACCTTGGGCGTCCAGTTGGATCCGTGATGGATGTAGTCATCTGCACTGGCGGGCTCGAGCTCCATCGTGTAGACGTCAAACTTGGGTACCTGCAGTTCTGCTGTCTGCACCCAGTATGCCGCTGTCACAATGAGAAATACCTGCCTGCGGAGTGCTTCGAGCTCGATGGGATCCTTGATCATCGTTCTTGTATCAGCTGCACGTGGGAGCGGTGCTTGCGGGTCATCGGTGCTTGAGCCGCCAGAGATCTCGAGAGCCCTCTGCAACACCTCTGGACCATCCCAGGGCGTGTTGCAGCTTTCCGAATCGGGTTTGGCGTCAAGCTGGTGGAGTCGCCAACAGTAGGCGAGACGGAAGAGCCACATCTTGCGCTGGACAAGACCCTTGCTGCTGAGACCATCTTCTCCTGCACCCATCTCCAAGAGCATGCCGGTCATGATGAGACGTGGATCAACATCACCGCTGCGGATCTTTTGTAGCATTAGGTCGTTGGCAAGACCCCAGCTGCGTCGAGCGAACGAGAGCATCTGCTTGCGATCATCACCTTCGAGCCTGCCGTAGTTGTTGGCACATCGCATGACCACGTCTCCTGCCTGAAGATCAAGGTCCTCGATGTTCATACTGTCGGGCAGAAGCAAAGCACGATGCGCCAGGAAAGCAAGCAGCGCCAGTAGAACATGCGCTGGTGGGTCGCGACCGCCGGCGCCTGGCGCAGAACCAAACAGATAGCGGGAGGGGATCATTTTTTCAAACGAGTCGAGTGCCTCGAATTGCGAGATGGCCAAGGCAACAAAAGGTCGATCCCTCTCGGTGTAGTATGGCTTGAGGCGGTTGATCAGCATGGACTGATCGTGGTAGCGCATGTCGCAGTTGTCGCCGCCTGCAGTAGACAGCTTGGTAGCAGCGTTGAAGTAGTTGACGCTTCCATCTGATTGAGGAGAGGCAGCTACAAGACCGCCAGAGCCTTGCGACTGTGCTGGCGATGCGCCGTTCCGATTGACTTCGGTTGGGGAGGTCCCCGCCGAGTTTTGCGATCGCAGCATGCTCGAGACACTGTTGGAGCGTGGATGACTGGCACTATCGGCCAGGGCGTCCCAGGCGCTGAGCGTCGCTTTGCTGACGCGGTCGTCGATGCCAAAGTACACGAAAGTGCGTTTCAGTGGTCGCTCCTCGGTGCCCATCGGTCTTGAAGAAGGTCCTGGAACGATGGGTGGCGAAAAGGTCGAGATCGAGGTATTGGATTCCGAAAGGCGTCCGCTGAAGGTATGCGAGCTGTACTCGGACGAAGAAAAGTTGCTGCTTTCATTGGAATCTCTCTGGTAGAGCTCGGGTCGACCATTGGAGCCTAGATGAGAATACTGCATGTTTGGGTTGTTATTTGGTGGCACGTTGCTTCCTGAGGGATAGTGTTCGTAATGAGGGGCGGCGTTCTCAGCTGCAGCAGAGGGTGACGAGTCTGGCCAAGGTGCGCTATGCGCAGGCGAAGCATTGCTGCTGGAGTCGGGGGACATGGCATCAGGCGCTAAGAATGTGAATGCGCCTTTGATGTCAGGGCGGGGCCGGTGAGCGTTGCTGGGATGTACATTGTCAAGAACGCGCTTCTGTGCCTCGATGTATGCTGAACCTGCGCTGGCATGGCTGCGTGGTGCGCCGATGCTGCCTGTTGTTTGGACACCAAAGGCAGCAGCAAAGGCAGCCTTCTTGCCCTTCGGTCCACGAGGCTTGCGATTCCAGTCAAAGACGCAGAGTTCTTGTGCCTTTGCCTGCACCAAGGCTTTATCGATGGCGCCCGTTTCCAGAGTGGTGGCATTGATAGGCAACATGGCCGTCTTGATGGTCGAGACGCATCCTGCGCAAGGATTCTGGCCGTCGCATTTGGACTTGCGCTTTCTGCAAGGCTCGCAAGCAGCCCAGATCTGTTGATTCGGATTGATTGATAGCATCAGAGCGATGGAGGAAAGCATGTCAGTGGTTGTCCTTCACGGAACTGTCTCAGGAGCGTCTTGAGCTGCATCTTGGTCGCTGCAAGTTGGCATGCTACATACCCTTTTGCGCTTGTTGCGCGAGGCATCCATGCCTGGATCGGCGACACTTGTTTCGACCTTGCTACTCATTGCTTCTGGCATATCACGGCCTACTCGAGGAGGATGTGAGTTTAAAATATGCTCGGCGTGATCCTCGCACCTTTGCAGATTGCCGTTTTTAATCTTGGAGCTGAACCGGTTGTGCTTAGATGATGGAGCGCTTCTCGTTCTGACCTGCGTGTGACGCTTTGGCAGCAGATTGACTAGGATAGGATGGTTGTTCGATGGCGCAGTCGGTGGGGTAGCCTTGGACAAAGAGACGAAGATGGGCAGCGTAGACGGATTGGGATGCGTAGAAGCGGTGCTATCGAGGTTGTCTCTGGAGCATATGTGGCGCGAATGGATGATGGGGAAGTCGAGACTGTCGATTGCCAGTAGTGAGGCTGCGAAGAGGCGTGTATGATGAAACAGTTGTATGAGGTGATGAAAAAGTGATGACCTTACGGCGATGCGAAGCAAGGATGAGGTGGAAGTGAGTCAGGTTGGTGTTGGTCGCTGGAATGGACGAGGTGAGCGAGAAAGTTGCTCGGATGGTGGCGACGTCGGCGTAACCAAGATGCAGTCAGCAGTCGGCAACAGAACCGATGCGAATTTGTGACTTCTGGAAAGATCAGAGAAAGGGAGGAAGCAGGCAAACGTTGCAACAACCGGCGGCAGAACAGACCAAGAGGAAGAGGAGCAGCAGCTAATAGGAGCAGCAGCAATAGGATCAACAGTGGATGCAAGGCAAGAGGCGGTAAAAGCTCAGAATGGGCCAGACTCGTAGAGCGAAATTCCGCCCGAGTCGAGCTGAGTCCAAGGGCGGAAAGAATGCGATCTTACAGTGACAAGAAAGGGAAAAGCAAAAGAGGGCAAAAGAGGCAGAAGAGGCAGAAAAGGCAGAAGAGGCAGAAGAGCCGAAGAACAATCAGAGGCGGGAGCCGTTGTGGCAGCGGAGGAGGCAAGAGCGCACGCAGCAAGTGAGAAAGGAAGAGAAGAGAGAGGCAGAGAGCAAGAGCGGAAAGAGGCAAGGTCCAGAGCGGAAAGAGAGCAATGACACAATAACCGTGCACCAGATCTTACTGCCAACGTGGGTGCAAAGACACGAGGCAAAACGGAACCCACCCACACAAGCAAGCGAGCAAAGCCCATACAAATGCGCACGCACATTCACCCGTTCGGAGAGGCTCCGAAGCAACACATCTGCGCTATTGTCTTCTTGTTCTACTGTCCTGTGCGCCTCTGTGGGAGAGACGATTCTAGAGATCAGAAGCCAAGGGATGGACGGGACAACAAACCAAAAGAAGAGAGAGACAAAGGTCTTTCCCAGCTTTTCGGAATAGCCGACGATAGATAGATAGACAGACAGATACAGACAGACAGATACAGAAAGACAGATAGACAGACAGGAATCGAAATAGACTGGCTTCCAGACACAGAAAAGAGGAAAGAAAGCGGCGGCGGCTGTAACGCTCCTAAACGGTTCAGAAAAAAGCATGGGGAAAGTCACAAAGAACCTCAATGTGCCGGGGCAGATTATTGTTGGCACGTGCGAAGAGGAAGGCGAGACAAAACTCACGATTGCGCGATCAAGATGTGTGTGATTGGGCAAGTACACTCTGACACTCAGATGCGGGCGTGCATCTGTTGTTTGAGTACAGATCAAAGACAAAGAAGGGCTCTTTTTTTGTTTTTGTTTTTGTTTTTGTTTTTTTTGGAGTTGCGTGTGTTTGCGCAGGGTACAGTTTTTCAGGGTCGTTCTCAGGGTCTTGTTGCTGTTCTCGACTTTCGCTTGTCCCTGCCTAGACTCAATCGCACGAAACATAACCGAAATTGTATATACTAAGTGGATTGCAGGCAAAGACCCATGAGGTCCTTGAAGCTCGACAAGCAGGCTCCAGACGTGGCTCCAACTGCATGAGATGCTGGAAGGCGTCACCATCCTCCTAGAAACGCTACTGCTGCCGTGACTGATGCTAAAACTTTATTCGCTTTAACAACTAACCAAGAAATAAAGAGTCTCAACCATGGTTCCGCTACAGCATTAAACAGTCGAGCTCACACTCTTCTCTGCTCCCACCTCGCTAAAGCAGAGCTACATGAGCACCCCATTGATACAATCAAGCCCAAAAGGGTGGTGGCCGTGCGAAAGTTTGCGAAAAAGCATACTCGACTCAACTCCGCTCTGCAGACTGATTCCTTTCTTAAAAACGCTCATGCAGGTGCGGGACGTAGCAGCAAGGGAAGCATATGTCCACCCTTGGCAATGTGGTGGATGAAAGCCCGCAGCGATATCTGTCCGACACTGTTTCATGGCAGAGTGGTAAGCCATTGTTACCTGTTGTTCTCTTAGCCATCTCGCATGGCGGCGGGAACCTGCTTGTAGCAAGATCTGAGGTGAAACACTTTACATAAGCACCGTTGTGCCCAACCCATTGTCACGAAGCCGGGACGAGGTCTCGGTAGACCTTGCAGAGATCAATTCCACGCACACGCTTGACATGTGATAAGGAGATCTTGCTCGCTATCAGGTTCAGAGTAAGCTGTGGGCCCTGAGCAGCTTCAAGCCCATTTTTGCCCAATCCAGGCTCCTCAGAATCTTCGACATGGGCAAATCGTCAACTTGAGTCGAAGCTCCGAATCCTGGCCCCCGACGCCATCCGAATGCCAGCTCTGGCCAACAGAAAATCTTTCCTCTTCCAGCGAATCGAACATGGGGTCTCACACATATGAGATCGCCCAGCTCTCCGACAGGAGAGACGACATTGAGTCACGCTGCCTTGAGGCATGAACAATGTGTACTGATTCCATTGAATCGTCGCACAAAAGTTCGGCAACAACTTTGATTTCGAGCGGACATACAATCGCACACAAAGCCTACGCTAGAAGATTCTGTCTAGCCGGGACGAGGCCACACAGTGCCATCGCCTCGATCATACTCTGGCCCTGGGTATTCGTAGTGCGGCTTCTCCTCATCCGAGTCCTGTGCATGAGCATGATGAACAGTAGAGAAGAGAAAGGGGTTTGGGTCAGTACGCCTACAAACGGAAAGGTCGAGAACGAGACGAGATGCTGAATTGAGCGGCACAGGACGCTAGCAATCAAAGCAACCAAATCCGAGAGGCAAGTCATGCAAGTGAGGAGTTCGGAGGACGACAAAAGAGCTTCAACGCCATCGGAAAATCCTGTCAAATGATCCTCTTTCGAGCGTGCTTTACACCCTTCCGCAAGCTCCAAGCAGTAGTAGCTTTCGCAGGCATCCGACTTTGACGGTATGGCACTGCAGTCTCACATGACTTGCCTCGCCCCAAGCTGAGGCAGTAGTTGACTTACAGGTTCAATGATCTGCCCATCGCCTTCGTACTCTTCATCGATCGGTCTTGACAAGTCTTCGGTCGACCTTGCCGCCTTTGTTGCTATTCTGTTTCCTGGCGTCGCTGACTTTGAACCGACTTTCATGTCCTTCATGAGACGCGCGAGTTGCTCCTTCTTGCTTCTCTCACGCTTGGCGTCGCGCTCCTTGGCCAGACGTTCGAGCTCTGGTCGGTAGTCATTGAGGTATTCTTGACGTGCTTCCTGCACGGCTGCTAGAAAGTCTTCCATCCCTTCACCCGTGACTGAGGACACACCAATGGCCCTCAAGTTTTTGTAGAACTCGTCTAGCACGAGACTCATGCTATTCATGAGGCTGTTCATGTATCCTTGGCTGCCTTCTGCGTCGTAGTCACGTGCCCCTGGGTTGAGGCCCTCTTGTGTCACTGTCGAGGATGGGTCGGTCGCATTTCCTGCTGCCAAAGCTTCTTGGAACTTCTCAAAGTCCTGCATCCATTCCAAAGCGAACTGATGCGACTGCGCATCGGTCTTATTGAAGACCAAGATGAATGGCAGCTTGGTCTTGTAGAGAATGCTGCAGGCGTAGAGCATGTTGCTCATAAAGGTCGCTGGTGCTGTCGTCCTCGGAGTGTCAATGATGTATGCTACCACTGTGGGCATCGAGCTTGCTAGTGCATCCGTCACAATGGAGCCTGATGCGGACCAGGTGAAGATCTCGATCTGTCCTGGCGTATCCAACACAATGTGGTCGACTTCCTTGGCACGCTTTTCGAGGATGTTCAACACCTGGTCAAACTTGGTCGTGAACAGGTTCAACGCTGTCAGAATACCACCGTTCGGGCCTAGATTGTACTGCTCCATGACACGAGCATAGTCGACGGTATCGCGGATGTCGACATTAGGTTCGTAACCGAGAGTACCAACAGCGGGATCGAGGTTGACCATGTAAGGTGCCGTGGTCTGAGAGACGAACGACGAGGATGTGACCGCAGAGCTTGAACCAGCCTGCTGTTGCTGTTGTTGTTGTTGCCGTTCATCTTGCTGTTTTTTTGACTTTTCGTGGAGGTGGTCGTGCAAGCTTGCTGTGAAGGTAGACTTGCCGGAGCCCGCCATGCCGATGACGATGATCGAGCTTGCACGAGGAATCTCGGGAAGCAGGCCAAGATGAGTCGATGCGCTCATTGGTGCAGCAGCCGTAGCTGCTGACGTAGATGCAGTCGCCATCTTGTCGGTGCGTGCAGAGGTGCGAGATGGTGCTGTTCGATTCGGAAGCGGAAGAAGTAGTTCGAGTGACAATGCCCAGCGTCAACTTCCTTGTTCGAGATACCGGAAGACGGACATCAAAAGAGCGTTCGAAGAAACCAAGAATTTCCCCGTAGGAAAGTGGAGAAATTTTGGTCAAAGCTGTTTGGAATCCTGGATCTCACAGTAGTTGCAAAAATCCGGGGCACGTCGATCCCTTTCATGCTCAGTCGAAGAAAGTGCAACGGAGAGCGTGCGGATTCTGGGATACACACACACAAGGCATTGCTTCAACTTTATCATCTTTGCCAACTCCATCCGTCCCATGGTGTGCACCATTTCATCTCAGCATCCGCCACGCACATCGTTCCTTCACTTTCTACAGCCACTCCCACAGCCTCGTCCCGCGCAGTCAGCTCATTGCACGCAATCACTCGTGTGACCTTTCCTCTCATCACACGACCACCACATCAGCTAGTACAAGTAGCGGAGGCAAAATACCCTCAATTCTAGACAGTCTTCTACTCCTCAGCTCGCTTCCACAAGCGCTCCACGTCAAGCGGTCTTACAACGCTCACGCAACACACTATCACTGTAAAGTAGATACCGCAGCCGACACTCACTGTGACAACCGCCACGACGCACCCTCAACTCCTGTAGAGCCCGGCTTGCGTAGCTACGTCACATCATGGCATCGCGTACTGGGCGTGGGGCTCCACGGCGATCGCCAAGGATCAGTGGAAGATCAGAGACGCCTGAAACTCGCCTCGCCGAGAGAGCATCAACTCCAGGCCGCAGAGCGCTCTCACCCGACCTAATAGAGCAGATGACACCTCCCGCAGCCTCCTTCCGCTCTCGACGACCTCTCAATAGTCTCCAGAAAGCTCTAGCAGCTGCTTCGACAAGCGTCAGCATCAAACAAGAGGGCGAAAACTCCACTAGCTTCTACGTTCGCGAACCCTCCCAACAATCCCGCTTGACTAGCCCTCCACAGTACCAGCCCACGATTCTTCGCGGCGATCAGCGAGGGTTCAATGACACCTCGCACAGCGCCTCGCTCTCGATCTTTTCCAGCGAGAGTGACCTCACCGACAGCTATCAGCAAGAGGAACGAGAGGTCGCACAGCTCCAGAACAACGAGCAGCAACAGCAAGCACACCAGCAAGCGCAGCAGCAGAGAACGACTGCTCAGGGGCCAGGTGCTGGCACACGCAGAGTCTCTGGTCAGCGCAGACCTCGCACATCCCTCGACGACCGTCCGTATAGACCAAGTGATGATGAAGATGATGATGACATTGGCTCGCCGACCAGGAGAAGAAGGAGAGCAAGAAACTCAAACTCGAACTCGCTCGGCGCTTATGAGCTCGGCAGGGTTGATAACGCAACTTGGATGGCTGGCCAGTCTAAGCGACGTGGGAAGAAGAGAGCCAACGGCGCACAGCGGGCGAGTGAGGAGGGCGATGGAGGCGATAATACGCTAGATCACGGCAAAGAAGATGCAGGAGCTGTAAGCGGCAAAGAGACCCGTTTTGACAGCGCTTCTGACTCGGACGCTGTCGGTGATGATGATGACGATGGAATCCAGCAGTCCATCAGCGACAAGTCTTCGTCACAAGCACAAAAGCCTAAGGGACCGTCACACATCGCTCGGCTTCTAAGAGGGGTCGTGTCGCTCGCCGCTTCTGTCATCGCCTGGCTGTTCACATTTGTTGCGAAGCTGCCTGGACGGTTGTGGTCGTCGGCCGGGCGAAACGCCTCCGCTTCACTGCTTCAAGGTGCGCTTACTGCACTCGGTGGGCTGATGTTTGTCTCTGCCATGCTTTACGTCTTCCCGGGCCTCCGTGGAAGCGATGGCTTCACAGGTCTTGGAGGACTGTCAGGACGTCTACCCTCATACCCATACTCATCATCCGATGACGTGCCTGGCAATCCATCCAATGCACTTGCCGCCTCACTAGATCGAGAGAACCAGCGGCTGCGAGCCGAGCTCAACCGTCTCACCTCTCGCCTCGACACTCTATCGTCATCCATCGATTCCCAGATCTCATCCTCCATCTCTTCGGCTGCAGCCAAGATCCAAGCCGACGCAGACTCCCGTCAATCCAGCGAAATCTCGCGCCTCACCGCCTCCACCAAACGCACCGTCTCTCGTCTCGCACAAGAAGAGCTCAAGTCCATTCAGGATACCGTCTCAGCATCCGTCGAAAGCATGCTCCGGGATGTCGACAAACGAGTGAGCTCTCAGCTGAAACAACGTGCCGATGATACGGATAGCAAATTCTTCGATCGGCTCGAGAAGGAAGTAGCCCGCATCACACGATATGCCAACGATGAAGTGAATGCGAGGTTGGGTCAAGCGTTCGATCAGACCTTTTTGTCTGAACTGATTGATGATAAGTTGGAAAAGTATGCGAGGGATAGGACGGGTAAGGTTGATTGGGCGGCTGTGACGAGTGGTGCTTGGGTGGCGGAGGAGGGGACTGTGCATAGAGGGTATAGATTTAATAGTATCTGGAATGTGGGCAAGTTTTTAGCGCAAGGAAGGAAAGTTCCGATTGGTGATCCAGTGAAGGCGATTACTCCTGGTGCTGGGTTGGGTGAAGAATGTTGGATGACAGGATGGAATTCCTTGTTGCAGGTGAATCTAGCGGAGCCCAAAGTGGTGGAGGAGTTGATGGTTGAACATCCTTTGCCGGGGATGACTAGGACTGCACCCAGACGAATTATGGCTTGGGGTCTAGTGGACGAGTCTGATCGACAATACTACCAGCAATACCGTCGTTCAAAAGCAAAGTCTCAAGAGGAGTACCTCAAGTCTCTTCTCCCAGAACCATTCTATAACGCTGTTCCGCAGGAGTACAAAGAACAAGCACCTCTGCTGTTGGCCGCCTTCGAGTTCAAAGCAAACGGTTCGACATTGCAAACTTTCAATCTGACGGAAGAAGCACAGACGTATCCATACGGGGTAGGGGCGGTTAGGTGGCAATTTGTCGATGGTTGGGCAAATAATCCCCCCATCTGTGTGCACAGGGTTAGGGTTCATGGTGGTGAATGGCCTGTTTTTGCTGATAGACAGCTTGATTCGATGTGATGGAAGTAGAAAGCATGCACTTTCTTTGTTATCTAGATCACAGCTACTCGGGTTCTCAGTGTGGTCAAGTCACATACGATACCCTAGTGCAATTGCAATAGGGCATGCTTTTCACCCTTCCTGCGGCCGTGACCTGATACTGTGTGAAATGCTGGGAATATGGTTGCTCGCGTCTCATCGCTCTCGAGCTCATTCGATCACACCAGACCTGTAATGCTGAATGGGAACTCAAAAGATAGAATTTGATCTGCGTACTATATATGGTGTGATGATGATGATGATGATGATGAGTGTAGGAACGCTCGATGCGAATTGTTTCAAAGTAGCTTCCTTAATTTAAAGAACCTCGTCGGCGTAAGGAAGAAGGTGAACGTCACCAACGGCAACAGTGGTTGGCTTGCTCTTCAGCAACTTTTCAGCGGCACTGGAGAGGGAGCTGGCCTTAACATCCTCAAATGCTGCGAAAGCCTCTTCAAGCGTGGCAGCCTTACCACCATCGAGGAGTTGAGCGGAAAGGAGCTCGTGAGAAGCGGTTCGGTTCTCGAGAAGGGAAGCACGTTCAAATTTAGCCTTTGCAATAGCGGCCTTGATGGTCTCCTCCTTAAGACCGCCAGCGACGTTCTTGAGCGCCTGAGCGACCTTGGAAGCGGCTTGCTGGACGGAGGTGGAAGGTGCGGAGACGTGGGCGCCAAAAATACCGGAATCGGAGAAGGTAAGGTTGAAAGCGTTGGCCTGAGCACCCTGAACACTGTCAGCGATTTGGGAGAAGGGAGAAACACCGTTGCTCCACTTGACCGAGGATTCACCCCCAAGAAGCGAACGAAGAACAGCAAGGTTAGCGGCAGCAGCAGCATCCTTGTGTCCAGCACCCTCGAAAGCGATGAAGAAGTGGCCGTGAGCGGCACGGGTGTTCTCAGCACCGTGTGGGGGAGCGAAAGCTACACGCTGTTCACCACCAAAGTACTTGGAAGCGGTGCTAGAAATGGACGCACTGGCGGCAAGGTCGCCAAAGTGAGCGGAGACGAGCTGATTGAGCTTGTTGGACTCGATACCGGAACCGAGGACGGCGATGTTGTTCTTGGCGAACGCGGCTTTGGCGAAGTCAACGGTCTGACGGTGAGTGACGGGCAAAAGGGGCGAGGCGAAGAGGGAAGAACCAAGACCACGTTGACGGTAAGCAGTCTGAAGAAGGTGGTCGTAACCGAGAACGGCGGGGTTGGATTGAGCCTGAGCGTGCTCCGACTGAACCTGGGGCAAGACCTCCTCGTTGAACTCGTGTACAGCAAACTTGGATCTGGTCAAAACATCACCGAGAACCTCGAGGAAGAACTCCTCATCACCGCGCAAGAACTCGGCAGTGAGCAAAAGGCACTCCTTGGTGAGAGCGGTGGAGAGAACACCACCGTAGAATTCGGCTTCACGAACAAGACGGAGGGCGGAACGCTTCTGGTTGGACTTGAAAAGGTAGTTCTTCAGAACGTGGGCGACACCGGGAGCATTCTCGTAACGAGGACCGGCTTTGACGGCAAGGGTGATGGAAGAGGTCAATGCACCATCGTCGGCAGCAGCAATGTTGATGCCGGAAGCGTTGGCGGTGGTGAAAGCACGCTGATGCTGGCGGTTGGCAGCGGTTCGGAGGGCGGTGCGAACAGGGGCGACAACGGCGGAACGAGCGAACGACATCTTCAACGAGAGAAGCCGGACAGGGTTGGCGGGCGGGATAGGATGGATGAAGGGGGTGCAGTGGTGATAGCGAGTAAGAAGAACGGGATCGCGACGAGAGACCTAACCCAACTCAACTCGACCTCGCTGTCCGAGAATTGCAAGATTGACTGGCAGAGGGCGAGGCGTGCTTGCTCGCACGCTTCTCGACCGAGAGACTGGCGGGCAAGGAGACACCGTTTCCAACAAGGCACACAAGCCGGATTTCAAAGCAGCAGAAGCGGAAGAAGCCAAAAGAGGCAGCAGACAGGCGATATCGATCCTGCTGAATTTGATTCCCGGTTTAATTTTCAAATAATCACAGTAGGGGGTTTCAGTTATCTCTGAGTTTTAAAAACACAATACTTTGAAAATATGTTTGGGCCCAATTTTTGACGCCCCAAGAAACTGCACAGGCCTGTGACACGTGCATCTTGGAGTTTCACTTGACTCGCCTGGTAAAAACAATCTCTGATTCCCTACACCAGGTCAAGATCAAAGTGATCATATCAGACGTTGTTGAACACTATACTGAACAATGCCAAAACCTTTGATTGAAAAGCTAAAGCAAATAGCTTACATCACACCTGTTCTGATCGCTGTCTTCTGCAAGCCTCATGCTGTCGGTTTTGTCTCTCCTGCCATTCGGCAAAGGCCAATGTTGTCATTCCCATCCTTTGAGATTCTGCTGTTGTGTCCTCAAAAGGGCAGCCATGAGAAGCAAAGAGTGCAGTGAGCATCTCCTCCCTAAGATCCAGTGCTTTCTCCTGCCTGAACTTCTGGACTTGGTTCTGAGACATGCCCTCCATGGCAGCAGCCTGTTCCTGTTCATATTGCTGCTGGTTTTCCCTTTGTTGTATCCTTGCATCTTCGGTAGCCTGCTGATATGCTTCCATCCCTGACGTGGTCTCCAGCACCTCAGCTTCAGATAGAGTTTCTGATGCCTTAAGGTATTCTGCCACCTCATCTGGTCGATCATAATGGCTTGCAAATGTATGTGCAATGATACAAGCCTGGACTGTATGTGCAGCTTTCTCATGGTCCTCTTCTTGATACAGGTTGCCTTGAAATCCCATAAGACATTGGAAGCAGTTCTTGAGGTAGGCAATGCCATGTTCAGCCTTGACATGAATGTGGGAGAGTGAATAGTTGAAGTAGTGGAGATCTCTGCTCTTTGCAGCTGCAGTGTTGCTGTACAGTCCAACTGTGTAGCTGGAGTAGCCATAACCAGCATCAACCCAGACAAACTCGCCTTCATCAAGATGCAAACAAGGCTTCGCAACAATACCACTGCCTGAAGCCCAGACTTGCACATCATGTGATGACCCAGGATGTCCAACCACTGACTCGACAATGTGCAAGGAATGAGGGAGGAAGACAAGGGCAATGTTGAATGTATAATCACCCTTGTATGAGTAATGCTTGCAAGCATTGAGTGCTGGCTTCCAAGCAAGATTGATGTGTGTACCATCTACCACCAACCATCCTCTAGACCATTCCTTGACTCCACTCTTATCAGCAACCCATGCTTTTGCCTTAGCACGCTCGTCTTCAGTTGCAAAGGTTACTACCTCACTGTTCAGCTTGTATAGGCCTGCAATAGTCCTATCTGTCCACACATGAACTGAGCCCCAACTGCAACCACAGGCAAATGCAACATCATGAACTCCACCACCATTTCCTGACCATCCAAGCTGATATAGACCAACTGCCACTTGCTGCTGAACACGCCGAAAGCTTGATATTGATCTGAAGGCATTGGTTGTGCTGAGTCTGTAAGTGAGAGCTTGGAATGCATCTGGGGTCATGCGAACAGCCCCTCGAAAGAGCTTGCGGTTGATGACAGCATATCGATCAAGCATGTTGATGAGGGGATCCTTTCGTTGCGGCAGTTGAAGGCGTTCAACTGTGTATCGAGACTGACTGATGATGTCATAAGTCCTGATGAGCGCGAATGAGATAGCATGATCGAACATGTCATCATCAGAATCTTCAAGGTCATCATTAGGGTGCCAAGTGGCATCGACATCCATCAGATCAAGTTGCATCTTGGATTCCACCATCAATGAGTGCATGATGGTGGTCTCAATGTTGTCCAGGAGGTGCTGTTTGTCGGAAGTCCATTCTTGCCAAATGGTCTACTCACGAGCTGAATCGCTATTGTCCTGCTGATCCATGGCAAGAACCAGTGGGTCAAGATCAAGATTGCTTTGACTACTTCCAGCGATGTTGCCAAAGGGTAGATTAGGGTTCATCATCTGCACCATCTCCATGAGCCAACCACACTCTTCAGTTTGCATGCACTCTTGTCTCTCACTTTCTTCCCTGGCAAATTGAATGTGCATTTCCTCCCTCTTCGTGCATTCCTCCTCAACCTTGATTCATGCCTGAAGCATGTCTTGGGTGCAGGCCTGCACAATTTCTGACAGCTCTTCTCGCTTGCTCTTGGAAGTGAAGGGTTGAGACTTCTTGGGTGTTGTACCTGTGGCTGGAGAATGGTAAACAGAGTCACCATCACCATTGTCCACTTCATCAGCCTCAAAAGCGGTGCTGGATGAGCACTGGCAGGTTGGAGTGTCTATAGGGGTAATGGTGAAGGGGGTGGGGCCAATCGAAGACTGGTTGGATGAGGAAGAGAAGGGCAAGCGGGATGAAGATGAAGCAGCAGCTGGGGTGGCTGCAACTGAAGAAGAAAAAGATGAGATAACTCTTGCTCCAATGGGATCATTTTGTGACTCCTCAAGAATGGATTCCATGCCAGGAATGTTGCATCGCTGAGGGTAGTGAGCATCGCTGGCATCATCCATGTTCACATCAGCATCAACCGAGTTATTCTGAGAGGAGGCAGGGGTGGCATCATATGGGTGACCATTGAGAAGAACAACTGGACCAGTCTGTGCATGGTTGGTCATCATCTTGTGCCAGTGCTCAAACCAAGGGCAGCTTTGAGCAATCGATTCGCATGTGGCATAGTCCTGCAAGTTGATAAAGAAGCATAGACAGAGATATAAAGTATAAGAACGTTGGCACACTTAACATGAATCAACTAAGTTGTACTTACTGAGCTGTTGTGATCCATGTCTTGAAGAAGTACTCCAGCACTGGTCTGCTGCAAGATGGTCTTCTTGATGTTGTTGTATTGTTCAGTGAGCCAGTGAATCTTAGTCTTTACTCAACCAGCACCACCAACAGTAGACTTGTCTGGGAACAGCTCCTGCCATATCTGCCTGCAGATAACATCTTTGTTTGTCTTCAGACCCTTTTCCTGTTCCGCAGTCAAACGTCCTGGCAATAGAACACGTTGGTAATGATCATTATTGTAGATGATATCAACGAGGTTATTTATGTTGCTAGGTGACCAATTGAAGTAGGCAATACAATCTGTTTTGTTGAACCTGCTGCCACAAGTACTGGCTTGATGTCTGTGAGTTGCAGAGATTCGAGTTGGCTGGGTAGAGGTTTGGCGAGGCAAAGAACTGGCAGATGTGGTGGCATTGGAACCAGAAGGAGTGGAGGAGGACAAAGGGGAAGCGGGAGAGGTTGCTGGCTGAGCCGACTCAGCCCCAGCCAAGGTGCTGGAAGTTGCAGAAGGGTGCTGCTGATGAGAGCAATCAAGGGTGGTGCTGATGAGAGCAATCAAGGTTGGACTGAGCTGACATTATTGTGTTGTGCTGTGAAGCAGTTGAAGACTGCTCTGATGCTGGAGCCAATCCAGAGGCTTGCTGCAAAGCTGTGAATAGTGTAATGTTGTTGATATGGTCATGAGGGGATGGCATGTCCATGTCCTGGCACTGACAGGGAGGAAATGCTACTGGAGATGGTGATAGAAGTGAAGCAAGGACAGACATAACTCAAAGTGTGAGAAAGTGTAGACAGTGCAGAAAGTGGAGGTCAAGGGTTGTGTGCAGAATTGTGTTAGAATCACATGATATCAGCACATGACAAAAACTCCTGCTGAAAACTCAAATATTCAGAAACCCAGGCTCATGGCAAAAATAAGTAGGGGTTTTCAAAACTTCTGAGCTTTTCTTTCCTGGCAGAGCTTACTTAAGCAGCAAGCTTTCAAAATCCAAAAAAACCATGAAAACTCGGAGTTTTGAAAACTCAGAGAAAACTGAAACCCCCTAGTCTAGAGCGATAGCAGGAAGATCTACAGAAAAGGCCACAACCCGATCACGGAACCGTTTCAGCCCGAAAGCCGCGGTCTCACAGGATAAAAAATTGCGGTCAAAACGTACGAGAAGAGACGACTCGAGCCACTGTGAAAAACACGACACTCTAACATGCTGTCAACCAAGGCGCGAATCGTCTCGACTCGTTAGCGTGACGGCAGGCAGCTTCTGCACCGATCTTGGCTTTTTTTGTTATGAGAAATTCTTACGTTAATCATTCAGAGTGCGCGCTTGTGTCTGTGGGTTTTTTGTTTTTTTTTGTTTTTTTTTTTTTTTTTTTTTTTTGGGTATTCGGTGAAAGAGCCGGGAATTGACACCGATTTTTAAGTATTGAACCCTTTTCTCGCCTCGCACACACGCAATCACCAGCATCTCCTCACGCTCTTCTTCAACTCGACCACCATCATAACCTTGACGCTATCACAAATCTGTCCATCCTGTCCAGCCAAACCCCATCGCCGCTGTTCCACATCGTTACACCTTACTCCTTGCATTCACAACACGACCTACTAGCAGCACCTCATATCACGTTCATCTCCGCACGAGACCCTAGACATTTCGACCAGCATTACCGCCACGGTTCACTCTGCGGTTCTGGACCGCTCACTTCCACTCTCGACCAAGAAGTTGATCAAGAAAACTCATCTGCGTCCACAGTCTCAACTAGCAGCTAGCGAACAGACGTACAGCCGCCCAACGTCATGGCCGCCTTTGCTAATGCCACAGTAGCGTCGGCTTGGCTCGCCAAGCTCAATCAGACACCCTTCTACTTCCAAGCGCTGCCAACGACCATTTCTGGTATCTCAGACAAGTATCTCTCATTAGCGCTACCCATCGTCATCTACTGGGTCGCCTCCCTCTTCTACCATGCACTCGATACACTCGAGTTACCCTTCACCGAACGATATCGATTGCACGAGCCCGAAGAAGTCACCAAACGTAACCGTGTCAGCGTTACACGGGTCATCGTTATGGTCATTGTTCAGCAAGCTATACAGACCCTTTTCGGGTTGCTGTTGCTCGACGATGATTCAGTTGGGCTCAAACAGACGTTCGCAGACCACCCAGCAAAGATTCTCAACATTGCAGCTTTCCTTCGAAACAGCACATCCAAGTTGCTCGGTCCATCGCTTGCGCCCACGTTCGCCAAGCTCGTCTTTGGCAGCCAAGATGCGATCTCCACCGCATCGTGGCTTTACTGGTGGGGCATTCCAACAGCTCAATTCTGGTTCGCATTCTTCGTCATGGATGCTTGGCAGTACACCCTCCATCGTCTCTTCCATGAAAGCCGTTTCCTCTACCGCCACTTCCACTCGCATCATCATCGCCTCTACGTGCCGTACGCATTCGGCGCACTCTACAACCACCCCGTCGAAGGCCTTCTACTCGACTCGGCAGGAGCAGCCATCTCACACGCAGCAGCATCCATGACCGTTCGTCAAGGTATCCTCCTCTTCACCTTTTCCACCCTCAAAACTGTCTCCGATCACGGTGGATATGCCTTCCCATGGTACTTGGATCCATTGCATCTCATCTTCCCCAACTGCGCAGAGTATCACGATGTACACCACCAAATGACCGGGTTGCGGTATAACTACTCGCAGCCATTTTTTGTTCATTTTGATGTCTTGTTTGGTACACGCATCTCAGCGGAGAAGTTTCAGAAGATGAAGCAGTTGGCGGAACAGAAGAGGGTGCAGGAGAAGGAGGCAAGACTAGTGGCTAAGGGGAAGAGGAATGACTCAGCAACAACGGAGAAGTTGGAAAGTAAGGATGCAACTCCGGCAGAGATTGTTGACAAGACAAGGAAGCCTTTTGTGACGTCGAATAGGGAGGAGTATGTGGCCAAGGCTGGTATCTCGACATGAATGGCATCTGGTTGCCCTTTTGGAATCACATCTTGCAAGCTGATCGCGCTGTCCACTTTATTTCGCACTCTACAACCTGTATACCACCTCGACGTTTCTCTCCGCGCAAGTTTATTCTGTACTAGCCTCTCTGTAATTTGATACACAGCAACCTATTATCTTGCTTCCTGTCTGACACACGACAGCTCTGATCTCTAAGATACTGAGATACTAGAAGATGGTAGCAGTGTGTGCTGTGTGTTGGTCTGCAATAGCCGAAAAGCTCAGTTCATGAGAGAGACACGCGAGCAAAGTGTCCGCGGCGGGTTCAATTTTGCGTTGGTTGTCGTCGGATGAGAAACTGCGCTTTTTTCGATGCATGGATGGACCAGTTCGAATTCCTCTTTCCTCCCTTCCATACTCCATCATCTCTCTTTGCTACACGACAAACATGGCGCACTCTTCAACAGCTTCGTCATCAACCGCAGCCGATGCAAAGCCTAAGGTGCAGATCGTAGGCGAAGTATCACCAGCACCCACTCTATCATCCAAAGATCGCCCTTCCGCTGGCGGCGACAATTCAGATTCGGATTCGGACGACGACCGCCACAATGCCAACGAAGACAATGAAGAAGATCCGCAAACAGAAGACGAAGCAGGCCCATCCTCCGCCACAAACGAAACCGAACCCGCCAACAATGGCATTACCCGTGGCATCGTGCAGTATGGTTCTGTTCGAGTTGATCACACTGGTGCACCTCAACAACCTGAACCACCAACCGAAGAAATCCCCGACGACTCTGAACTCCTAACCCACTACCCAGACACCGAAGAAGTGCTCGATCTCGGTCATCTTCGTCTCACAACAACAAAGAATTTGGGTCTACAACGATTTGCTCCCCATCTCAAACGACTTTGTCTTCGTCAAAACCTTCTCACTAAAATTCGATCCAAAGACATTGGGCTTCTGACAGAGCTAGAGGCTCTGGATTTGTACGACAACAGTCTCGAGAAAGTTTCGGGCTTGGACGAACTAAAGAAGTTAGAATCGTTGGATCTATCGTTCAACAACATCCATCACATTTCGAACGTATCGCATCTGGGGCAGTGTAAAGAGCTGTTTTTTGTTCAGAATAAGATCTCTCGTGTTCGACCAGATGACCTAGATGGAGCGATCGCAGGGTCGTTACAGAGTCTAGAGCTGGGTGGGAACAGGTTACGAGCGATAGAGAACATCGGTCATCTTGCGAACCTAACGAAACTTTGGTTGGGAAAGAACAAGATCATCTCTCTCCACGGTCTTTCTTCTCTCACAAACCTCAAAGTGCTCTCCATCCAGAGCAATAGGATCACCAAACTCGAAGGCCTGGAGCAGCTGGTGAACCTGGAAGAGCTATACATTTCCCACAACGGTCTAACCAAGCTCGAAGGCTTAGAGAGGAATACAAAGTTGACGGTGTTGGATGTGGGTGGGAACATGATTGAGAAGGTTGAGAATGTTAGGCATTTGGAGAAGATGGAAGAGTTTTGGGCAAATGATAATAAGATTGCGGATATTAATGGGTTGGATCAGGAGTTAGGAGAGGGGAGGATGCCGCGGTTGGAAACGGTTTATTTGGAGGGGAACCCGGGGATGAGAAAGGAAGGTGCGGCTTATAGGAGGAAGGTCATGTTGATGTTACCTCAGGTTAGGCAGATTGATGCAACTTTTGTGCGATGATAAATCACCCCTCTTGTAATGTCCCAATGGGAAAGTGATTAGGGTGTCCATGGAGATTGTGCAGATGATGAGAAGTGTGTGTGTGTAGGGTTGAGACGATGTGAGTGATGCTGAGAGGGAGAAGCCTCCACATGGCGTTATTTTTTCGAGGTTGATGCGCGCAAGATTTGGCAGCTGGTGTCAGCGAGGACCCTGAAGCAGCTCTTCCCTTCCGCCACCATTCTTGTCCCTACTGCCATCTGATGATCGTCTTTGTGTCTACCACCATCACTGACAGCCACTACAGCAACGAAGTCATTAGGAGCGGCCTCTTTCTTTCAATACACAACCGCACTTAACCCTCACTAGCTCATCGAGTCGTACGACATCCAACATCGCGATGCAAGGCTCGCTCTGTCTAGCATGTTCCTCCACAATCCCTTCCACCGCGAAACCAGCTAGTATATTCATCCATTCCTGCTGTTCCAAACCGGTATGCGCCAACTGTTTGGCTTCGAATCCGAGATTAGCAAATTTCTGTCCGTTATGTGAAGATGCTCAAGCGGCGTTTAGGAAGGGTCCGAGAGCGGATGTTACGAGGGTGGGACAGGTGGTTTTTGATGCGAAGAGGTTGTGGGAGAGTGAAGATGGGGATGCTCCTCCGCCGTATAGTGGGGCTCAGGGAGAATCAGAAGGTGTAGGAAACAGTGAGGAAAATGGAGAGTTTGTGCTTGGACAAGTTGATGAGGAGGAGGGGGAGGTTGAGGGTAGAGCAGAGAGGAAGCGGGGAAAGGGGCCGACATTGTTAGCTAGACAAGGGTCGAAGTCGAGTGCTGGAGCGGAAGTTGATTTTTCACCACCCAGCACTGACTCCAGTTCGGAGCAAGGCACATTGATTACCGCTCATAGACGAAAAGTCAACCCCCACAGCACCGACTTTGCCTCCAGTGAAGCACCATCCTCGTCAAGACCAGGCGACGGTCAAACGAGACAGTACTACGTTGGCAAGACCGACACTCTTCAATCCATCGCAATTCGCTTCTCTGTATCAACCAACGAACTTTGCCTTCTCAACTCTTTTCCCCGAGCAGTGCTTTCCACCTCCCCACACCTGCTTCATACTCGAACCTTCATTCTTATCCCAGCGCATGCGGTGGAGAAACAACTAGCCTCAAGCCCGGACCTGCTGTCGAGTTTGGAAGGTCCACCTCAGAAATCCGCCAAAGAGAAGACTACAGCGGCACGTAGGACAGCTGAGGCCAAGTTCAGAGCTGTATTAGCGAAAGGTGGCACAGGGATAGGGGAAACACCAGCGGACGAGAAAGCGGCGAGAGCGTATATTGGGTTGGCAGAGGATGAGTTTAGGTTTGTTGATTTTGGTGAGGGCACGGGTGAGGATGGGTTGGCGGTCAGGTATGACATAGATCTGAAGGAAGAGGGGGAGAAAGGAGGTGAGAAGGAGATGAAAGAGGCACAGATGGATACAGCTAGGAGGTTGAGGTTTGAAGCCATACTGAAGCATGCGTTGGGAAAGTGGGAGATGGATTCTGATTGGGAGCGAGAGCAGCGTTCGATTGGGGTTGATCCTTCGACTATCTCGAAGCCTCTTCCCGTATCATCATCGGCGACGTCAACGCCGAGTGCTCAAGGAGAGAAGAGTAGCCATAGCAAAGGGGAAGGCAGTGTCAGCAGCTGGTTCTCAAGAGCTTTGAACGCAGATCGAGGTGAGCATCCACCTTCCTCCTCTCTCTCTTCCCAATCTAAGCCTCGACAGGTGGTCGCACTCAGTAGCTCAGTGAAACTGCCTACCCATCTCGTACAGACCTTGCCCAACGCCCATAAAGGAGCCATCAACGTTATCCGCTACAACACTCTCGGACGCTACCTCCTCTCCGGCGGTTCTGATCGCTCCATCCGGCTCTGGAACGCCAAGAAACTTTCGCCCGATTCGGAAGCAATCCAAACATACACCGAGCACGCGCACGAAGTTCTGGCGCTCGACATCTGCCGAGACAACTCGAGATTCGTTTCCGGCGGAGGAGATAAGTCGGTGTACGTGTGGGATGTAGCGAGTGGAAGCGTGGTTAGGAGGTTTGGAGGGCATATGGGCAAGATCAACGATGTGAGGTTTGGTGGAAAGGATGGAGATGGAAGTGTGATTGTTGCTGGTGGATTTGATGGAGTGGTGAGGGTGTTTGATTTGAGAGCTCAAGGAGCATGGAGGCCGATTATGGAGCTGAAAGAGGCGAAGGATGCGGTTACATGGTTGGTGGTTAGAGATGATAGTATTTGGTCCGGGTCGGTGGATGGTGTACTGCGATGCTATGATTTAAGAGGAGGTCAGTTAAGAGCTGATACTTGCCCAGCACCGATCACGTCGGTTACGCCGTCCAGGCTGGGTACTTCGGTGCTCGTCGCAACGCTAGACTCAACAGTGCGGTTGCTAGATACTAAAGATGGGACATTACTACAGACGTACAAAGGGCACAAGCATGAGAGCTATCGCTGTAAATCAGATTTCACCAACGAGGAAGATGGAGTTGTATTTGGTGATGAAGAGGGCAACTTGGTCGGATGGGATACTGTTTCAGGCGAAAGACTAGCAGTTGGGTCGAAAGGGGAAGCTGCGCATACAAAGCCTATTCTCTGGGTCGAACACAATCCCGATTCTAGTCAAGAAGGGTCTGAGATCGTCACGGCTTCAGCTGACGGAGTTGTCAAGATTTGGCGCACGCCTTAGAGGGAGCAGCTGAGGCTGGTTTCTTAGTGCTAATAAGATAGAGATCTACAAGAAAGTTGGGTTGTGCTTCGCCTGTGATCTTAGTTGCGCGGAGAGAAGGTGCAGAGCTTAAAGGTGCAGAGCTTAAAGGTGCCTCTTCGAACGGAGCTGGCCCGGCCTCCAACGAGGTGCGGACCGGCGAAGCGATGGCAACCAAGCATGTGTGCGGAGACGAGCATGGATAACTTTGAAGGCGCGGCTACTAGCGTGCATTTTGCTTGTTGAGATCTGCGTAGCCACTTTCGAGTAGCTTCTGCGCTCCGCAAGAAGACCGAGTCGCCATGCTTAGCAACGTCTGTGTGGGGGGGGGAAATAAGCTTCTGTCACAGTAGCAGCCTGTTTGGCCTGACTCGAAGCTCGAACTTATGGTGTGTTGGCTAGCAAGTCACATGGCCGTTGCCAAAGAACGAGTTTCGCCGAATCTTTACTGCCATGCTCCTACCTCGTTGCCAAGACGGCGAGAGAGAAAGGCACTAGTAGGCTCGCATAGATATCAATCAAAAACCGTGGCTTAAACTGGTTCTCTCTGCCGAGGTGAAGAACAATAAACCCTTGACCACAAACGGGGATCGAGGTCAGCTGAGCGAGTGTGAATCGCAATCAGATCCCATCTTTGTCAACCCGATCTGGCGCCTCGGCGGTTGTTGTGCAAAAGATGCTGCTGTTCGATCGAGCATCGCTTCAGTTAAAGAGAGAGAAAAAAAAAATGAAGAAAAAAAAATAAAAAAATTGAATCGCGAAACAGCAACAGTCAGTCGAGAACAAACGTGACGTAGGCGAGAGGTGTTGTCTCCCGATCTAGGTCGTTGTCTTGCCGCAAGTAGAGGCAAAGAGCGGCAGGAAACCGTGGATTCGCAAAACGGTAACCGAAGGTGTAATTTCGGCGCAATTGTTTTTTTTGTTTTTTGTTTTTTTGTTTTTTGTTTTTTTGTTTTTTTGTTTTTTTGTTTTTTGTTTTTTGTTTTTTGTTTTTTTTAACATGTGTGTCATACTGTCAGCACAGCCGAGGGCGGAGGAAAGAGAAGAAATTTCTCCGCGGTCCAGCTGTCGAAGGGGCAGAAGTTTGGAACCGAGCTCGCATCTTGACTGTCGTGCTGCTTTGCTCGAATCTCGAATCGCCTCTTCTCCCTTGAGCTTCTGTCCATCTCAAATAGATTCGTGGTGGGCAACAAGTGTGGTCTAAAGAGAAGGTAAGGTCGGTTCATGAGCAGGGATGTGGCTGAAAAAAAAATGTTACCTAGGATCAGCCCAAGTCGCTCTCAGAGCGTTCAGAAGTCAAAGTGTGACTTGTGACTGCTCTTACGGCTTCGATGCAGAACGGAGAGATTTCGGAGGAATTGCAATCTCGCTAAACACACACTCCGAACCTCTCTCGTCTCTCTCTCTCTCTTTGTCTCTACTCCTCGCTGCATTAACCACGACCTCGTGAGCGAGTCCAATCCTCGACAGTCCAGTCGGTTGCTCGAAAAAAAAGTGTTTCTTATTCGAACTTGCTTGCACCTTTGCTGCATCGCTGATGAAATGCAACGAATCAAGTGCACTTGCGGGGTTGGTAAAGTGGGTTGTGAGTAGTCTATGCCGTCACCTTGCAACCGTCTGTTTGTCGATGATCGTTCTGATTGGCATAGAGGGCGGTGAGAGAGCGCAACTTTGAAACGATCATAGGGGAGGTCAAGGATCGGCCGATGAGTCGATGACCGCACCAGCTCACTACAAGAACAAGGTCAGACCCGTCAAAGCACGGTGCAAGGAGAAGAAACAAGGATGGCTTGAGAGGTTTTTCTTTTTTCTTTTCTTTTTTATTTCTTCTTTTTTATTTATTTATTTATTTATTTATTTTTCTTTATTCTTTATTCTTTATTTATTTTTTTCTTTTCTTTTTTTTTTTTTTTTTTTTTTTTTTCTTTTTTTTTTGCATGACTCGCTTAGGTGTCGGTCGAGCCGAACTTTCTGCATTCGGTGTTGTGACAATAACGCATCACGTGATCGTCAAGAAGGCGTTGCCCGCCTGGGCTGGAACTCAACAATCGACTCAGCTCCGCTTCACCTCTCCTCTCTTCATTACATCATCTTCACCAGCAGCCAGGCGTACTATTAGCAGCCTGGTTCGTCGTTATCTGCCCTCCCGACGGGTCTTTGCCTGCAATCCACTTAGTTTTTGGTATTATGTATATACAATTTGGTTTATGTTTCGTGCGATTGAGTCCAGGCGGGATTGCGAAACTACTGTGTCGAGTGACCGGTGTCCGTCGCTGCATGGAGACGAGTCTGATCTGCTCTCCGACCGAAAGTCCGCCTGTCCACTTTAGCATCTCTCAACTGTTGCATCTCGAGTGTCTCCGCCTTCGCTTCTTTCGCTCTCGCTTTCGCCTTTGCCCCCAACGCTGCAATGATGCTATATGCTCTTCTCCCCGCCTTCTTCTAGAGAGCCTAAGGAAGAGTGCAGGACGGCAAGCCCCTGACGCTGCAGCAGTACTACCACACCTCGATTCACCGGTCCACACACCCTCTCTTTGGCTGTCCATCGGACTTTCCGAACAAGTTCCTCTGCGGCGAATGTCCTTTCTAACCACAGGTCATATAAGTATCAGCCTTGCCTCAACTCGCTATCCCTTTCCACATCCCCTTTCTTCCTTTCTTCCTTCCTTCCTTTCTTCCTTCCTTCCTTCCTTCCTTCCTTCCTTTCTTCCTTTTCTTCCTTTCTTTCTTTCCTCCCTCATCCCCTCTTATAGTCGACCTTACTCCTCCATCCTCTCCCGATCTCAGCTGGTCCTCTCCTCACCAGCTGTTCGAGCTTGGTCACTGCAAACGAGCCACATCCCTCGCGCCTAGGACAACTCGACAACATGGGTGGCGCCGCTGTAGCATCCTCGCTCAACGGCGTGACCGTTGGTGAGGCCAAGCTTCTCTCCAAGGCCAACGTTCGTCCCATCTTCTTCTGTGCACTCGCCGTCGTCGGTGCGATCCTCTACGGTTACGATGGTACCTACTTCACCGGTATCCTCGAGATGCAACGCTTCAAGCGAGACTTTGGTAACCTCAACCCAGAGAACGGCGAATACTTTATCCCCTCCAATGATCAGTCCCTCTACGCTTCCATCGTTCAGGCTGGTGAAGTCGTCGGTTCCCTGATTGCCGCTCCCCTTGGTGACTATGTCGGTCGACGAGGTGGGTTTTTCGGTGCCTGCACTCTTGTTACCATTGGTGTCGTCCTTCAGCTCGTTACCATTGGCTCCAAGCCGCTTCTCACGCTTGGTCGAGGTGTTCTCGGTGCCGGTGTTGGTGTCATTTCCAACTGCACTCCTCTCTACCTCTCCGAAATCGCTCCCACTGCGATTCGAGGTGCCATTGTATCGTCCTGGCAGCTCATGCTTGCTATCGGTCAGGTCATCGGTGCTTGCATTGCTCAGGGCACCAAGGACATCGACTCGACATGGTCCTACCGCATTCCTATTATCTTCAACCTCTTCTTCGTTGCAATCCTCGTCGGCGGCATGTACATCATCCCCGAATCGCCTCGATGGCTCATCCAGAAGAACCGCGACGAAAAGGCTCTCGCTGCCCTCAAACGTGTCAACAAGGGTCAGCACGATGATGTTCGCGACCATGTCATTGCTCTCGAGTACAATGCTTTCCGACAGGCCCGCCAAGACGAGCTCGAGCTCTCCGGTGCAGGTGGCTGGAGCACCCTCTTCCACGGTGTTGAGCTCCGCAAGTTTGCCTGCGTTCTTGGTATCTTGATCGGTCAGCAGATCGGCGGTGTTCAGTTTATCTTCTCCTACACTGTCACTTTCATGACTGCCGTCGGTCTTAAGGATGCTTTCATCATCACCATTATTGTCGATGTCATCGAGGTCGTTGGTGTTCTTTGTTCCTTCCTCCTTGTCAACCGCTTCGGACGACGCCCCTTGATCCTTTGGACTTCGATCCCCATGTTCATCTCGCTCTTCGTCGTTGCTGGTATCGGTACAAAAGGTCTTCCTCCTCGCGGCCAGTCGCTCCCTTGGCCTGGCGTCATTACCGTCACTGAGGGTCGAACCATCGCTGCTATGATCTGCATCTACGTCTTCTTCTTCAACTTGGCTTGGGGCCCCCTCGCATGGGTCGTCGCTTCCGAGTTGGCAGTCGGCAAGAACCGCAGCAAGATCATGTCGGTCGGCACTGCTTGCTTCTGGGTCATTGCCTGGGCTGTCACTTTCACCCTCCCTTACCTCTTCTACAACGCCAATCTCGGTGCTCAGATCGGCTGGATCTACGGTGTCGGTACTCTCATCGCTATGGTCTTTGTCTACTTCTACATCCCCGAGACGTTCGGTCGCTCGCTTGAGGAGATCAACGAGATGCTAGAGGCTCGCGTTCCCACACGTCAGTGGACCACCTATGTTACCCAACAGGAGCGTCTGCTTCTCGACCAGAGCCGTCAGGTCGACGACGACGACTTGGCTCTCAGCATCAACCCTACCGATCTTTCTCCTACCGCTTCCAAGGCTGGAGACAAGAGCGCAGACCAGCCGTACAGCGCTAAGCTCGGCGAAGGCATTGCCAACCCGACAAAACTTGGTACCAAGGATGTCGGTGATGAGGCATAGTCTAGCTAGCATGACAGACGATTTCTCACGTTTACGATTCAACACATTGTATTCTTAGCATGCTTCATTTCTTTGATTGCATACCTTTGGCTCGCAGCTATGGTCGAATGATGGTAACCACACATCAATGTGCGTGTGCGTGTGTCTGCTTGAGATAAGATTAGATCGGCGCTCAGTCTGAATCCGAATTCAGGTCGGCTGCGAAGCTTGCAAGCGATGATTTGAAGCTCTGATGTCGCCAAGGAAGACGTGAGGAGCAAGGGGCTTGTCAGTGCTTGAGCTCGGAAGCTCAGTAATACCGATCTGATTCAAGTCTGATACTTACCCTTCCTATCGGTCCTTCATCTTCGCTATCTTCCGTGCTCGATTCTGCTACTTTTGCTTTCGAAGCTGTCTTCTTGCGAGTTGAAGCGACTTCCTTAAAGTCACTATCTTCACCCTCATCATCATCATCATCATCATCATCATCATCATCATCATCATCATCATCATCGCTGACGTTGATCGCCTGCTTCTTTGTTGCTCCACTTCCTCTCCCACTGATAGACCCTCGTGTCCTTCTCGCTCTACCTCCCCTCCCTTCATCATCAATCACAATGTTCTCCTTCAACGACTCCAATTCATTGGCAAACTCTCTCTGTTCTCTGATTTTTTTCGCTTGCTCCATAGATCCTTTACCGGTCATACCCAACTCCTTGAGCACATCTTGCACTATTCTACACTGCCCGGCCAAGTCCGTTTTGGAGATAGAAGCTGCTTCATAGAGCTTCTTCCACGGTTTGTGCACTCCGCATTCCACGACGAGCTTTTTAAGGCGTGCTAGACGCTGTTCTGCTTCACTACCACCAGTTGAGCTCGTACGTGGCGATTTCGACTTGGACGTAGAGGAAGAGGTGCTTTTGGTTTTGTTGGGTTTGGATTTCTTGCGAGCTCGTGAGATGGAGATATCTTCTTCGAGTTCGCTGAACTCTTCCTCTGCTTTTGGTTCGGAGCTGTCGGAGTTGCTAGCTGCAGCAGCCTGGACGGAGTCCTCGTAATCTCTCTCGTCATTGGATCCATTGTAATCGCCTTCTTCCACCCTTTCTTCGTCTGATGATGGCTCCTTGCGTTTCGCTGGACCCTTCTTGGTAAGTTTTGCTGATTTAGTCGACTTCGGCGGAGAAGCTTTTGTTGGTGAAGCCTTCTTCGGAGATGATGAGCGCGACGTCGATGCTTTGGGTTGCGACTTGGCTTTCTCACTTTCTCCTGAGACTTTGTTGACTTGATCCTGAATGATTTGGTTCAAGGACTTCTTCCTAGGCTTGAAATCGACGCCAAAGTGCTCAGTGAGCATCTCGCGGACCTTTCGCTTCGAGTATTCACTACATATCGCAGGGAAATTTTGACAATTTGTTCAGTAAAGCACAATGCAAAGGATGCAAGAGGACGTGGACTTACCCAATAGTATCATCCTCAAGAGCCTTGACGATGATTGAATGGACCTTCTTGACGATCTGCGCGTCGCTCGGTAGCGTCATCTTGAAGTGTTTTCTTGTGACAAAGTGGAATCGGAGAGATAGGAGGAAGAGGAGCAAAGTATATGCTTGTCAGATGGCAAGAGTTGGATGAGGGATCAGACAGGTTGTAAGTGGACTGAGTCTCTGAGTTGCCACGGCTTGGAAAGAACCTCGGTCGGAATTTGCCAACAAGGGTCCAGCAGAGCAACACACACGCCAGACTCCACTTGTATCGGGTCATCCCAAGCAGCTGACTATCTTCCTGTGGTAGAGAGCATTTTCAGCCCATCCTTCCAAGCAATCCATTACATGTAGCGCCAAGGAATACGTCTGCTGCCAGTACTTTCTTCTGCGATACATGACGACACCAAGCCGTGCTGTAACGGAGAAGCCGAAGAGCCCGATGCGAGCTCGAGCTGCAATCAACACGTCGACTCTCGAGAAATCGGGACAGCTGCCAGACAAGTCGCGTCGCGCGCTCTGCTAACATTCGCAGTCAATTTTTCGGAGCCTAAGACCAACACTTGCGTTGCACAGCGCAATGGCCAGCCTCACCGTCCTCGTCACCACTATATTCTCGTCGCCATCATCTATACACCCACCCAGACATCTCCCACAACCTCAGCACCCGAACGGCTCAGGATCACTCTGAATAATCCCTTGACCATCATCGCCATCGTCACCACTTGCCTCTGGATAGCTCACGCACAGACAACACACCGGATCAAACTACACAGACTCGAGCCTGCTCTCATTACACGCGCGAAGAAGAACAGCAGCATGTCGAGAGCGCGCACATCCAGCGGCTCCAGGCCGCCTGTAGTGTCGGCCACGCCGGTTGGAAGGTCTATGCGCAAAAAGAACCATCTCAACCTGAGTGCTAAAGCGTTCGACAAGGTGAGTAAAACGACTTGAGCCTGCGTCGCTCGTGGTAATCCTTCTCAGCATACTCAAATTGACACCTACTTCTCATTTCCGCCCTGTTTGAAGATGTCCAAACGCCTATTATCAGTCGAAAAGTCCACAGGGCCCATGGCATCTTGGGGGACCTCAGATCCAAACGAACCCCTTGCAGCAGCATCTAATCGCATAGAAGGGATCCCAGAGCTTGGAGAAGGCGGTCGCCGCACCACCGCTTCTTATGTCATTGGTGAAGGGGATGATCAGCATGCAAACGGACCAGAAACGAAGACCAGCACAGAGTACCACCTTCGTCGATTCGCCAAAGTACCTGTCTCCAGAGGCTTGACGCAGGGAGCAGGCAAAGGTCCAGACGGCGCGGCACTTGCTGCTGCTGCCGCCAAATCGCTGAAGGGCAAAGGCGTCGCGCCTGTCGACTCGTTTCTCAACGAAGGCAGCTTCGTCTTCAATCCGCTCAACCGCAGGATACCGCAGCCGACACCGCGAAAGGCAAAGACACGCACCATCTCGTCCACCAACAACGCTGCATTCTCACGCACTGCATCCGGCCCAACAGCAACATCAGCAACAACAACAGCAGCAGCAGCACCTGTACCAGCGGATCCGCGATTGCCTTCGCAGCGATACCAACCCCAACTCGACCAGGCTGGACCGTCCAGTCAGCCCATGTCTGCCGTTGCCTCATCAGCACGCGATGCGACAGCCGAAAGCGATGACCCCGCATCTGTTCCGCTGGCACTCGTCGATCGCGACCTGCAAGAGGCGCTCATCCTCGAAGATCTTCTCTACATCCTTCTCGGTATCGAAGGACAGTACATCACCTACGCCACGACCTACGACCCCGAAGACGTCGCACATCGCCTGCGAGGCGCTCAATTCACCATCGACCCTGCCCTCGATGCTCCTCTTCGTGATCTCGTCGACCGCATTCTACCCCTCGCCACCGACTACACCGCCATCTACGCCTTTATCGAGACTGACTCTGGTCTTGAGTTCGGCACTGTCAATCACGCGCTGTGTTCCGCTATCCGTGATCTGCTGCATGACTACGAGCTACTGGTGGTGCAGCTCGAGCATCAGATGGCCTCATCGGCGTCGTTCAGTCTACAGAAGCTGTTCATGTGGATTCAGGGGACAGCACGGACGCTTGCCATGGTGCGCGCACTCACGGATGAGATTGTTGGCATCTCGCACGCGGATCTGTTTGACGATGAGGATGACGATGATTCGTCGGATGGAGGTTCGGATATCAGTGGCACATCAGCGTTGGAGAGAGAGAGACGGGCATTACTTGGTCTTGATGACCCAGAGGATGAAGGTGTGGAAGGTGGCATCGCCAAAGGTGGTGAAGTGCTTTCGATGCTTTGGGATCGCATCACACGCATGAGTGGCGATCCGAAAGCAAGGGCACTCTTCAACATTCTCTTCCAACGCGCTTCGCAACCTTATGCGCAGACCCTCGTCCAGTGGATTACCACCGGCGACCTCTCCGACACTTACGAAGAATTCATGGTCATGGAGGATGCCAAAGTTACACGCGCAGCTCTCGAGTCAGATCCCACAGACGAGTACTGGGAGACGAGGTACACGCTGCGAGACGAAACAACCGTCGCTAAGCGCGAACGTCAGCGTCAGCTGGGTCTGGACATCGATACTGAGCTGGAAGACGAAGAGGACAACCCACGTGGCATTCTCACGGGCGGTGCCAAGATCCCCTCGTTCCTCGAACCCTGGAAACACAAGATTCTTTTAGCGGGCAAGTACCTCAATGTGATCCGCGAATGCGGGCTTGAGGTGCCTTCTGATCCAGAGGAAACGGCGAAGGGTACAGTGGCTACGGTGGTAGTAATGAACGAAGAGTCATTCTTCCGCCGTATCGAAGCTGCTTATCAACGAGCGAATTCTGCTTTGCTCAAGCTGCTTCTCGAAGATCAGCACATTCTTGAGCGCCTTCGCTCGCTCAAGCATTTCTTCTTCTTCTCCGAGTCCGACTTCCTTTCTTCCTTCCTCGAACAGTCCGGGCACGAGCTCGTCAAGAAGGTGTCTCCCACAAAGACACGGGAAACAGTGCAGCAACGGTTGCAGACCCATCTCGGTGCAGTGCTTGGTTCAAGCAGCACAGTCGGCTTCGAAGATCCGTATCGCGAAGATGTGCGCATTGTGCTTGCTTCCGAGGGTGCCTACGATCAGCTCAAGCGTATTGCAGAGACAAAAGGTGGGATCGAGGCGACGAAACTCGCTCAAACCAATGCAGCAGCAGCTGCTGCTGCTACTTCGTCCTCAAGCAAAGAGACATTTGTGCCTGCTGTCACGCTACTGCAATTCGACGTGGCAGTCAAGTTCCCCGTCTCACTCGTCATCAGCCGCAAGAACATCCTTCGATACCAATTCGTCAGTCGAGGCTTGTTCCATCTCAAAACCCTCGAGCGATCCCTCTCTGAGCTCTGGCTCGATCATTCCTCCAACCCGTTATGGAAACAAAAGACCCACCCAGCGCTGGAAAAGTGGAAACAAAAACTCTTCATGCTCCGCTCGCGCATGACGTTCTTCGTCCAGCAACTTCTCGCGTTCCAAATGATGGAGGTCGTTGGACCCAACTATCTCGACCTCGAGCGAAAGCTGCGCAATGTGAAGACGGTAGATCAGCTGATGAAAGACCACTTTGCATTTCTCAACACGACCAGAAAAGAGCTCATGTTTACGGATCTTCGGTACTTGGAGCTGCACTCGCAGTTGACGACGGTGATCAATGTGTTTGTGGAGAATAGGACTAGGTTTCAGGATCAAGTGCTATTGGAAACGGAAAGATGGAAAAAGGCGGGTGGGAGGAAGGGGCTGGCTCCGGAGCCTGCTTTGCAGGAATCGACGAATGAGTTCTTGGCAAGGGTGCAGAAGCATTGGGAGAGGTATGCGAAGACGTACAAGGATGTAGTGAATCTGTTGAGTACGACGGATAATCCGGCTGCGCTACCGTTGGCGTATCGGTTCCAGAGCTCGAATTTGTAGCTGCCAACCCACTCGTGCCTAATTTATTGCTCGAAACTTTGAACACAGTGCTGTGTCTTGAGCTGTTGATTGTGTGTTGAGTCTAAGAAGTTTTGGAGGTGTGAGTTTGCGGATCAGATAACACTTATCCCGGCGTTTGAACTGAGAGTAGTGGAGGTTTACCCCACGTTTACCACAACAAGTCACGCGCACGTCCCAAGTTTAATCGCACCTTTGGCTCCTCATATCAACCATCTTCTACACATTCGTTCGGTGATCAACGTTGCTTGCTCTGTCTATCGGGCAGCCTGTCATGAAGCGACATGGCCCACCACCCTCACAGCTCAAATAATGAAGCTTTGACGCAACCGCCAGACCTCCTACTAACGACGCTACCGCGACTACCAGCAGAGATCCTCGCCGACATCATCGAGCTAGCCATCCGTACAGCTTCTCCCTGCCCCCTCATTCCCCCCTCATCTGCCAGTACACCAGGCGAAGCTCCAAGGTCTCCCTTCACAACCCCACTCGGAGTCTCCTACACCTCAGCCTGGGCATGGACAGGTCACTTGCTACACGTTTCCAAATTCTTCTACTCCATCGCACGGCCGCTTCTTCTTCAAACGCTCGCTCTCGACACGAATGCTGCAGCAAAATCGTTCTTCTCGGATCAGATAGATATGAGTGATACGCTGGATAGAGTAGAACGGGCGTGGTTCGGCAATGTCTCTTCCCTGGCTCGAGATGGCTTGAGGGTAGATCCAACCGGACTGCGCTTATCGGAGGCTGGTTGGTACGAAGAGTGTTCAGGAGGGTTTGTTGTCGGACATGCTTATGCTTCTCGTCCGAAGCTCAGGAGAAAGCGGAAGGGAAGGAGTGAAAATGGTAAGGATGGAGCTAACCCGAAACAGTATCGAAGCGTCAGTGTATATTGGGCGGAAGAACAGCTGGTTGAGGAAGTAAGCGATCCGGAACGGTCGAGCGATAGTGATAGTGATGATGGCTATGGTAGTAGCGAGATTGATGCTGAAGGCGATACTGTGCAAGAAACGGGTCCGTCAGATGGGTATGTGGGGTCTCTGTCTCTTTCCTCGACTGGGCAAACATTCGCGAGTGGAGGTGGTGCAACGTCCAGACGACGGTCTCATCAGGATGAAGGCTCAATACGTGACCCTCGGCTAGATCGACCACATGAACCCGCTTGGCAAACGCTGTATTCGAGGCAGAGAAGAAGGTCGCCTGTTCGAACAAGAGGACAGGTTGGTGCGACGCTGGCATCTAACGCGCAGCCGGAGATGGGAAGTGTCAGCCAGATCGGTCCATCAGAAGGCGATCTGGATCCGTGGGATATGCAAGATGCTCAGGAACGACTAGCTGCCATTGCCAACTCTTCTGTACAGACCAAGGAGCCCGATCTCACAGAGGCAAATGCGGACACTGAGCTTGGCCAACCATGCTCATCAAACTCACCAGCAGACGATTCGATCGCAGACAGAAGCGCAATGCAGCACCGTCGCCGTCGGCGAGAAATCTACGCCTACCATCTCTGCACAGCAACCCTCGAACCTTGGATCAACCCCCTCCTCTCTTCAATCCGCTCACTTCAACTCATCACAATCACTTTTTACCCCGGCCATCTCCTGGACGACGACAAGCTAGAGCACATGCTTCGTCGCATTCTTTCGCCCTCTGAATGCCCGCGGCTGCAGACTTTGCTAATCAGAATTGTGTTTGATGCAGCAAGTGCAGGCAGTAGGTTGCGAAGGTTTGAGCGGACCAAGACGATAGCAGGAGCAGTTGATAGAATTGGGGATGAGAGGGTGAGAGTGATGTTAGTGAATAATAGAGTGGGGGAGGGGGAGTTGGTGGCGCTGCCGTCTAAAGAGATGGGGGAGGGAAGAGAGGAGGATGCGGTATCGGTCAGTCCCTTGAGTCGGAAAGCGATTACGTTGACAAACGAGGGTTGGTGGTCGAGGGTATTACAGCAGAATCACCTTCCTCAGACTCAGGGGCAGATAGTAGATGAAAGGGAAGGCGGACTAGAGGCAAAGGGGGATGGAGTTGAGCAGACGGAAAGACAGGAGAGACTGGTGTCGGATTGGCAGATGTTCTTCCCTCCAGAGCAACACGGGAATCCCACGCATCTGGTCAATCTCATCTGCCACTCAGATCCTTGGCCAGATCATCGGAATCCTGTAAGATGAAGTGAGACATCTACTGTGTATGAAAGAAAAGAGTGCACAGCTCACGGGCTGCGTTGGCCGGCGGCAGACCATGGCAAGACGATGGTTATACGGCTGCTTTTCATGCCAATTCGCGGCATACAAGGGTCCACATGCGATTTTTGCGGGGTGTGAGAGAGGTTTCCGGCGCTAAGATTAGGTTCTGCTTAGCGCCCTTGCATTTGAATCCGCCTGAAGGTTCTGCATGACTGTCGAGTAGCGGGCTGGTCAGATGCTTGCCAAACTGTCTGAAGATTGTTTGGGGAACAGCATTGGAGATTCGGAAGAAGCAATACGTCATGTCGAGCCAAAGGAACGGTCGGGAGGGACCTCATAAGCTCAAAAGTCGGGTCGTCCAGACAACGAAGCTCAAGGCTGACGCTTGACGGATCTTGACAACAGACTTCATTTGGTGAGAAGACAGAGTACTGATCAGGCACGATGAAAACGATAGCGTGATGTACGAACGACTTCGGTGGGCGTCGGTGATTTCATATTCATCACGGGTGCTGTGCAATGTTGTTCGGAAATCTTGCTCCGCTGATCTTACTTTCTGGCCTTCGGCTGGTGTACGAGGAGGGTCCACAAAAACGTAGTGGGCTACACGGTAACAATGTGCCTGCAGAAATCATCTTTCATCGACCCCATTCCCTCGCTACGCTGTCTAGAAATGCGCAATCATGTACTTTAGCGAGCGTTGACTCCGAGCACTGTCGTCTGTAATGGACACAAGTGGGTTTGACTGGGACTGCAGAGGCGATGGTGTGTGCGTTGATGTCAATTTAGATCGATGAAAGAATTCGGCAAGCGACGAAGATGGTGGTCGTGAAGCAACCTTGTACAGCCGGTGAATTGTGTCAAGAACACGAATCCGGATTTTAGTTCGGATTTCGGAGGCAAGGAAATTGCCGCCCGAAGGCACTTGGCCTCAGTGTCGGTTACTTTCTGCTGACGGAGAAAAGCAACAAACATGTCCGGAGAGCACGGACCTCTCAAAAGTAGGCTGACATCGTTGCAGCAACACAGATCGTTATGAGGATCAGGTGTGTCAGCTCCATCCAGCCAAGTCATATAAAGAACAGACCCTGAACGCCAGACTTTCGATCCACCACCTCATCCCCACCACCTCATCCCCACGAAAGCAACCAAGCCGACCGTCTGCCATACAGACATCCGGCAGCTCTGCCGCCCGCCATACTCGCCTCCACTCTTTCAAGGACGGCCGTCAAAAGACTGACCTCTCCGCTCCGTAGCTCTCTTTCTTTCGCAGCCCACTCTGAACGACCTGTCTCGTCGCTAGCAAGCAATCGCGCTCCTCAGTCTCTAGCTCGTCGCTTCGGAACCGCTGCAATCACTTCTTTCTCTGTCTCCAGAATGTCTGACGACAACTCTCGCAAGGACGGCTCGGCCAACTGGTCCAACAAGGACGGACACTTCCGTCGTCAGGAATCCAGCTTCCGCAACTTCATCGAGAAGGGCGGCAAGCACGAGCCTGAAGTCGGCCGCTACCATCTCGTCGTAGCACTCGCCTGTCCCTGGGCCCACCGTACTCTGATCGTTCGCAAGCTCAAAGGAATGGACAAGGTTCCCGACCTTCTTCCTGTCCATGTCGTCGACTCGCTCCTTGGCGCTGAAGGTTGGAGTTTCCTTCCTTACGAAGAGTCCGCTGGTCTTGGCATCCCCGGCACAGGCAACCACATCCCCGGTCAGGAGGACAAGAAACGCATTCGAGGTCTCTACCTTGCTGCTGACCCCGAGTATTCGCAGCGCTGCACCGTCCCCATCATTTGGGACACCAAGCTCAACACCATTGTTAACAACGAATCGAGCGAGCTCATCCGCAACCTTAACACCGCCTTCGACGAGTTCCTCCCCGAAGAGCACCGCGGTATCACCTACTACCCCGAAGAACACCGTTCCGACATCGACGCTTTCCACGAATGGGTCTACCCTAACATCAACAACGGCGTCTACAAGTGCGGTTTCGCTACCACCCAGGAAGCGTACAAATCCAACGTCGGCCCGCTCTTTGACTCGCTCGATCGCGTTGAGAAGATGCTGGCGGACGGTCGCACCTACTTGTACGCTGACAAGCTTACCGAAGCCGACATTCGTCTCTATACCACCATTGTGCGCTTTGACCCAGTCTACTTTACTCACTTCAAGTGCAACTACCGCACCATTCGCGACGGATATCCACTCATCAACAAATGGATGCAGAACCTCTACTGGAACAACCCTGCTTTCAAGGACACGACCGACTTTGACAGCATCAAGGCTCACTACTTCCAGAGCCACACTCAGATCAACCCCCATCGAATCGTTCCTGAGGGTCCCATTCCTCACATTCTTCCTCTCAGCAAGTAACGCAGATCACAATGTAATCGTAGTTCGGTCTGGAAAGTGATGTTTGTATTGTTACTTTGTCTTTCGCTTGCTTGGTCTAAGAGTCAGAAGTGCCGGCAAGGTCTAGGCCGAGCTCGGCGGTAAGGTCTGCTACATGACGTTCTCGCTTTTCGAGGATGTTGGCATAACGAATAGATGCTTTGAGCTCGTTGCAGGCCAAGTGGATGAGCTTGTCGACGCTGAAAAGGCGCGAAGTGAGTGAGTGTGCGAGGCCGTAGAATGACGAAGCGGACGTTGTTGCGAGCAGCTCGGATTCGTACAGCTTGATAATGGCCATGGCGACGCGGAACAGGATCACCATCCCTTCGACAAACATGACGTCCCACACACGAAACAGCGTCTCGACGGGAAGACAGTCGGTGTAGAGCGACAAGAACCATGCGAATGTGATCGCTGGCAGATCGACACCAAGCTCTCTGATGTGCTCGTGCAGACGTGGCATGTGCTCGCTGACCAGCTCGATCAAGACCCTCTGATCAGCCTGCGAGACAAGGAGATGCGACGTATAGTACTCGCTCGGCAGGATCTTCTCTATCAAGCATACCAGCACCCAGAAAGCCTCTTCCTCCGTCGCATGCGTCAGCAAAAGCGTTGCGGCCAGATTGTTCATGCCCTGACAGTAGCCAGTGCTTGGGTTGTACCAGCTGAATGCGACCAGTAGACGACGCAGCTTGGGTACACCCTGACCATCACCTCCGAAGTAGATGTTAGTTGGCATGGTGCGATGCACGTCGAGGTCAATCTGCGTCAAACACTCGTTTGTCTCGCCTTGATGATCCGAGAGTAGCTCCTGATAGCGACCAGGTTCGGCGATGTCGTTTGCGCCACTGCATTCCGCCCAGATCCTTGCCCTGTAGCAGAGCGGTATGCCAGTTTGGCAAAGTGTAAGGAACTCGCGCCAGTACTCTTTGCCGCTCTTTGAGTCGCCCATACGATTGACACCAACCATGCCAGAAGACCAATCCTCTTCTGGAGCTTTCTCCGCCGAACCTAGTGCTTTAGCTCCTTCTGCTGGTGCACCGCCGAACAGAGTTCCTGCCAGCAGCGCCTTCGTCTTTGAGGTCGAACTTGACACAGATGGCTTTGCAGCGCTGCTGTTTGCCTGCGCTATGGTGTTGCTGCTTGTGCTGCTATTCACGCCATTTGCATCGCTCGAAGCAGCCTGCAGGTTAGCTCTTCTGCGTTCTAGGAAAGCATCCCAGCGTTGCTTTTGCTCGACCTGTTGCGTGTCATGCATGTCCTTAAGCTGCGTCAGGAGTCTCCGGACTGTGTTGGAGACCGAAGGCAGGCCCAATTGGGCGGCACCTCCAGGCGTGGCGCTCGCCTTAACCGGGCTGCTCGACCTCGAAGATGCATTGGATCGTGCGCCACGGCGTGGCTTGCTGGGACTTCTGCGAGAAGGCGACGCAGACGAGGGTTTGGAGACTGCACTGACGGCAAGGACCTCTGCTTGAACTGGTTTACTGTCCGGTACAGCCAACAAGTTGCTGCGACGCTTGGCTTGCTTAGCCTTGGTGCTGGCACTGTCAGTAGCTGCGCCATCATCGGACGTGGCTCCCTCGACGGCAGAGGTGGCACTGGTCGATGGAGTTGGCGAAGTCGAGCGAGAACCTAATTGGAGCTTTACGTCGTTGTGATCGAACTGCGGAGCCACTGACTTGAGCCGCTCGTTCACCGCACGAGACAGATCCAGCTCCTCATCCTCAGAGTCGGCAGTATCCAAATCAGGGTCGTTCTTGTCATTCTCACTTTGGCTGTCCGTACCACCGCGAGCGCGGATGCCGACTTTGACCCCGGTGAGAGTGGCAGGGGCGGGCGCTGAAGCCTTCCTTGCTTGACGAAGCAGACGAATGTCGGCGTCAGTAGGATTGTAGATGAAACCATAGCGATCTGTGAGTACCTGGAACTCTTCTTCGAGGCTGCTGTCGAAGTCCGAGTCTTCTGCTGGACGAATGACGATGGACGAGTCTGCTGCCATTGCCGTCGGGTTCGTTGTTGCAGATGCTGATGTTGATGAAGGAGCATTCTCAGCTATGTTTGTAAATCCTGGCACGGGGGCTTTGCCGCCGTACACTTCGAATTCGTCTCCAGAACTTTCCTCCTCGTCGAGTGTGCTGAGTCGAGCGGCACGCTTCTGCTTGGCTGAGGTCGGTGTGTCCGCAGCGGATGCCTGCTTGGCAGCTCCTTTGATGCTGCTGCTGCTGCTGCTGGCAACAGATGTGCTAGCAACCTTTGCTTTCTCTTCGATACTGTTGCTGCTGCTGGAGGAGGAGATCCCCAGGCCGGCCGATCCTGACGCACTCTTTCTTCCCTTCTTTTTGCGGAAGATGAGTGTAGGAGGCGCTGCATCGTTGGGCAAGATGGGCTCCAACTCCACTGCAGCACTGGGTGGTCGCGGCGAAGGCGCGCCAAGAACGGTGCTCTCGTCAGCGACACCGGGCGAGTTGGCTTGATCGGTACTACGACGGTCGAACTGATAGGTGTCAGGCAGACGGGTCACATTCGGCTGTTTGGCCGCAGGAGGCGATTCAGGCGCTGGTGATGAGCGTGCGTAGCGACCAAAGGCTCGGGCAAAAGTGGAAGCGGAGGCGGCCTTTGAAGACTTGGAGGCACTGACTGAGCGCTTACCCGCAGCCTCACTGGCCGCGGCGGCAGACTGAGCCATCTCCTGCCTGCCAGGGCTGGTCGCTTTTACCATACTTGGTGCCGTACTCGGAGCCGCTTTGCGTGAGTCGCCACCGCCGGACCATGGCAGGAGACCACTTGCCCAGCCGCCCAGACCACCACCGAGTGAAGTGCTGGAGGAGGTGGATCTAGCGCGAGGAGAAGCTGCCTGGGAGGCTTTCGCTTTGTGAAGCGGCTGCGGAGATGCCGGAGCTTGTGGAGAAGACTTGAGGGCAGCAGATCTGTGACGGGAGGAGGGGCTTGTGCTGAGGCTGTCGTCGAAGGAAGCAGCGGACGACCTGACGCTTCGTTCGTCGTCATCTTTATCGCGGGTGGAAGCGATCGAGATGGACAACGACTTGCCGCGCTGATGACCTGAGAGTGCAGCATTTGCTGAGGCGGTGGTCTCGTGAGACCGCATGGAAGGGCTACGTTCTGACTGTGGTGGATGAGTAGCGCTGTGGACGCTTGCTGGCTTCAGGGATGGAGAGCGAGCAAGGGCCGAAGTGTTGGCCAGACCTTCGAGATCCTCCAGCATAGCTTCTTGCAAAGAGTCGGGCAGAGCACGAGTCGTTGCTTCGGGTGGCGGTTCGACGCCAGCTTTCTCCTGTGCGAGACTCTGTTGTTGTTCGGCAATGCGTTTGCGTTTGAGCACTTGAGCGTCCAGGACAGGGGCTCGCAGTAAACTGCGGTTGATCTGTCCTTGCTTGATGCCGTGTTCGAGGCAGAGGCCAGTGAGGGCGACTTCTCGTGACTCGCTACGCTGCTGCATATGCTCTATTGCTTCTGCATGTTGAGCACGCTCCTTCTCCGTCGCAAGACAGAGCTTGTCGAGCTCAGCGTGTGCTTCTGCAAGGGAACGCGATAGCGCCTTGGTGAGTTGAATGGCGTAGGCTTGTGGCTTTGAGTCCTTGTTGCGTGCATTGAGGTCGGAAGACTTGACAGGCGTTGACTCGCGTGGCTGCTTGGTAGCCAACGGACGATGAGGTAGAGGACCAGAAAGAGTAGACTCGAGCTCACTATCAGCCAAGCGATGAAGCTGCTGTAACCAGTCGAGCGGGAATTCGACCTCTCGCGCCAAAACTTGCACGCGGCCTCCATTGCTGTTGGCGGTGGTGGAGCGGCGCGAATCACTTGGTGTAGGACTGCGTCTTCTATGGCCATGCGAGGGCGATAGTGCTCCTTGTCTTCTGCTAGAAGGTGAGCTGGGTCGAGCCTTGGGCATGGGCGTTTGGTTCGGGGAGGGCGAAGCAGAGCTGTATAGTGTAGATTGCTTTGTCGCTCTGGAAGCTGGGATATCTCGATCAAAGAGTTGTGGTGATCCAGGCGCAGGACCACCAAAGAGGGAGTCATCTAGAAGCGATGGTTCGTCTGCATCATCGAACTGAAGGTCGTAGCTACTGACCCGACCGGTGCGTGGAATGTAGGATGCGGTTTGGGAGGTAGCATCGGCACCATTTGGCGAGTAGAAGACATGGTCGTCGACTGGAGCAGGACGTAGGCTTGATGTTGATGAGCTCGCTTCGTTCTGGTAGGAAGAGGTGCGACTGACTGAGCCTCGCGGAACAGCCGAGTGAGAATCAGCGCTGTAGTCGATTGGAACTGCCTTGCGTTGACCCCAAATAGGGCGGTTGACTAGTGAAGATGGTCCTGGTGACCTTGTGGGCGACTCTCCTGCGAACAGCGGATGAGCCTTTGCCAGGTCAGGCGCTCGCATAGGTGACGCCATGCTGGTTGACTGACACTGCTGCTGCGCGGTGGCCATTGTAGAGGGTGAGGATGAGAGCAAGGACAGTCTATGAGGTGCCCTCTTACTGCGTACCAGCTTGCCCTTCCATCGATGCCGCAGCAGCTTCAGATCGGTTCAAGTTGACCTCAGGAGGACATCCTCGGCTTGTATCCAATGGTCGCTTTGGCTCGTGCAGGAGCAGTTCTTTGACCCTATCGGAAAGGGCCCGATGACCTTGCAGAGGCGCAAAGGCGTGGGAACGGTGGCTGATTGTGATAGTGGTGATATATGAGGTTTAGTGATAAAAGTCGGGGCATCCGAGATGCTCTCCTGGAGTTGCACTCTGCCAGTGTTGGCCTCTCGGTCTTTTTGGTTTCATGCTTTCGACTGTGTCTGTGCAGCTCCTCCTCCGCTAAAAAGTGGAGCAGAACTCAAGTTTCACTTCACAACTAGCCGTGCAGTGCAGTATCGGGCTTCTTCCCGATCCACACGGCATTTCGGTTGGACCCTCTCAGCGCTCAAGCGTTTCTTGCTCTCGTTTGCTCCCATCTCCCATCTCACCTCCTTCCCCTACCTATCTTTGGAACGATAGCGGCATACCAAACATGGCGCCTTCCGTAGTCCCGCAGTCATTGGCGGCTGGAGCTGCCCTCCAAGCCTCCACCGATGACCAGCTGACCATCGAGATGCTCGGCGCAGGTCAAGAGGTCGGTCGCTCCTGCTGTGTGCTCAAGTACAAGGGTAAGACCATCGTCTGCGACACCGGTGTCCATCCTGCCTTTACCGGTATCGCAGCTCTGCCTTTCATCGACGAGCTCGACTGGTCTACTGTCGACGCTATTCTCATCACCCATTTTCATCTCGACCATGCCGCCGCTCTCACCTACATCATGGAAAAGACCAACTTCCGTGACGGTCACGGCAAAGTATACATGACCCATCCTACAAAAGCTGTCTACCGCTTCCTCATGTCCGATTTCGTCCGTATCAGCAACGCTGGTAACGAAGACCATCTCTTTGATGAAAATGAGATGCTTGCATCCTGGCGACAGATTGAGGCCGTCGACTTTCACCAGGACGTCTCCATTGCAGGTGGTCTCCGCTTCACTGCTTATCATGCCGGCCACGTCTTGGGTGCTTGCATGTTCCTCATCGAGATTGCAGGCCTTCGCATCCTCTACACGGGTGATTTCAGTCGCGAAGAAGATCGTCATCTGGTCCAAGCAGAGATTCCACCTGTCAAACCTGACGTACTCATCTGCGAGTCCACCTACGGCACACAGACACACGAACCACGACACGACAAGGAACATCGCTTTACTTCTCAGATCCATCACATCATCAAGCGCGGTGGTCGTGTCCTCTTGCCAGTCTTTGTGCTTGGCAGAGCTCAAGAGCTACTTCTCTTGCTCGACGAGTACTGGGCTGCACATCCCGAGCTGCAAAGCGTACCCATCTACTACGCCTCGGCTCTCGCCAAGAAGTGTATCTCGGTCTACCAAACCTACATTCACACCATGAACGATCACATCCGCACGCGCTTCAACCGGCGCGACAACCCTTTCGTCTTCAAGCACATCTCAAATCTTCGCTCGCTTGAAAAGTTCGAGGACCGCGGTCCATGTGTCATGATGGCCTCACCAGGTTTCATGCAGTCCGGTGTGTCACGCGAGCTCCTCGAAAGGTGGGCTCCTGACAAGCGCAACGGTCTCATCGTCTCAGGTTACTCCGTCGAAGGTACTATGGCCCGCAACATCCTCAACGAGCCGGACGAGATCATCGGTATGAACGGTCAGAAGATCCCACGACGCATGTCAGTCGACTACATCTCCTTCTCTGCTCACGTCGACTTTGCGCAGAATTCACGCTTCATTGACGAGATCAAGGCGCAACATATCGTGTTGGTACACGGAGAGCAGAACAACATGTCCAAACTCAGAGCTGCATTGCAGGCCAAGTTCACTGCTCGCGGTTCAGATACAAAGATTCACACACCACGCAACTGTGAACCACTTGTTCTGCAGTTCCGTGCTCAGCGCACAGCTAAAGCCATCGGCGCCATCGCTGCCAAGCCACCAGCACAAGGCGACGTCGTCGATGGATTGCTCATCAGCAAAGACTTTGCCTACACCATCCTCGACCCGAAGGACCTCACAGATTTCACTGGTCTCTCTACCAGCACAATTGTTCAGCGTCAACGCGTAGCCCTCGCCGTCAGTTGGGATATGGTCCGCTGGCATCTTCAAGGCATGTACGGTCGACTTCAGGAGGGCGTCGACGCCGACCAGGGTTTGCGGACGCTTAGGATTATGGGTGCTGTCGATGTCCGGCACAGCGCTCGTCACGAGCTGCTCGTCGAATGGGGCAGCAGTATCGCAAATGACATGGTCGCCGACAGTATCGTCGCGCTTCTGCTCGGCATCGACAGTGCACCTTCCAGCGTTAAGATGACCATGCACAGTCACAACCATCATCATCACCATCATCACCATCATCACGCAGGAACGAAAGTAGAGGGTACAGGTGAAGAGGCGGATTTGACAGAAGATGAAGAAGCAGTCACACCCCCAGAGACATCGGAATCCTTCCCAGCTCATCCTTTCTCGGAGACGGCTCTTGTGACAGAGAGCAACGCCAAAGCTCAAGCCTCAAAGGATGAGGCAATCCGGCAAGACGCATATCAGCTAGCCAAGATGGAGCATATGGCTGCTTTTCTCGAAGCTCATTTCGGCCAAGTCGAGGAGCTCATCATCCCTGAAGCACCCAGTACAGAAGATGCCAAGGAAGGTAAGCAGCAAGGCACCGCAGCAGACGAAAGCGCGGCTGGTGAGGCGGCACAGAAAGACGACGCAGCAGATGCAGCGATGGCTGCCGTCAAGCCTGACCCAGGCACAGCTGAATCAGAAGCACCTACAGCAGCCGAGACCACTGATGGCGAAAAGCACTCTTCAGCCGAGCCAGCATCACTTCCACCAGTTTCAATAGCCTCGTTCTTTGATGGCGAGATAAGACCCGCCCTTCGAGTCTACTTGGACGAAGCAGAAGCAGTCGTCGACGTACAGAACCTCGTCATCCTTGCTTCTTCCGAGTCTTTTCGTACACGTGTTCAGCATCTCTGTACGCTTGCACTGCGATCCTTCACCTCCTTGTCGGACGCCTTCCACCTTCCGCAACAGATAGGAACATCACTGTTCCAGGGAAAGCACAGCCAGCTCGCCAGCATTCCAGAGTTTGGCGATGAGAGACCATCCAAGATGATCCGCTCGTCCTAACTTCCGAGACATCTTTGTACTTGTATCGTAATATCGCTTGAAAAGCACATGTCTGAAACATCCTTTTCAACGGCGGTGATTGTGAACAAACCTCGGTTGCGAACAAGCGAGAATCTGTCTGCAGAGCAATGTCTGATTCCTGATGTACATCGGCAGGAAGAGCAATGCGGTCTACGGAGTGTCTGCTGCTGCTCTCATTGTTGTGCTACTCAGCTGTCAATATCCGAGTCGAAAGTTGTTGGACCGTGAGAAGTCCATACTAAATTTTATCTGTATGTTCAGTTTAGTCGTGACAAGTACAAATACAGTTGCGAGGTCGAGGCCTCCGGTCATGATGAGAAGCTCCGTCTGCACACGGAGTGAGTCCGCATTTTAGCGGAGCGAATGAAAGAGAGTGGTGAGAATTAGTGGTCTTCGTCTTAGAGACCCTCTTCTTTGAGGCGAAGAGCTCGTGCTGGCTCCTCGATCTGTTGAGTGATGTTTTTGACGAAACAAGGCAGTGAGTGATTGAGTAATCAACATCCACGATCATGCTGCCATCCAGGTGCTCGAGTGGGAGAAACATACCTTCTTGACCAAATCCGAGAGGCGAGCTTCTGACGCTTGATGGTCCAGCACCAGCTTCTGCTTGTTCTTGTATGTGACCTCGATCCTCTGCAGCGCATCAGTTGGTACTGTCTTTGCCTTGATGTCTGGCAAGTCCATACCAGGAATGGGCGGCTTACTTGGGAGACCAGCGAGAAGTAGACGTATCGATCTGGAAGCCTGAGATGCGCTCAGTGGCGCAAATTCAAACGACATAGCCGTGATGTACTTGAATGATGCTCCTGCGATTGACATTATGGGCGAATCGGGATAAGGTCGAGTATGAGGAGTTGAGATGGTGAGGGTTTGGAGGAAGCTTGAAATAATGAGGAAGCGGAGTCAGAAGAAAAAGCTTGTATGATTCTCGGGACTCGGATTTTGGGACTCGGATTACGAAGGTGACGTTTTGAGAAGATTAAACAAAAGTCCTTCCACATAGACATACCTCGAGCTCATACATTACACACACTGCGACCACAACGACCTGCTTTAAGGAGACGAAGATGCGATGGTGAACCTTCCCACACCATCGGCCTTATCAATCTCAAGCGGCATTGAGGTTCTGTCCAGAGCCGGACCCTCCGTCAAGCTGCTGGACGCGCTTGCTCCAACTCGCAGCTACAGCTTTGGCCTCACGACGTTACCTGGCGTGGAAGCAATCCAAGACAACGAGCTTCGGAAGACCTTGGAGCAGCTTTTCGAATTGTCTCAGCTGCTTATTGTACTATCACCTTTCGGTCGCGGAAACGGACAGGCCTGGACACACTCGGAACAACTCTACCCGGCTCTTTTGCAATGGAAGCGGCAGCAAGTTCCAGGTCTACTTTCTCAGGTAGCACAGCTACTGAAGCAGCTCGATGCGATCAACAACTCAACAGGTAGTATTGAGGATACGTCAGCACTTATTTTATTGGTGCTTGGCCATGTGGTGTGCGCTCTTGCTCGCTACCTTTTTCTCGAGCCTCTAGACTTGGCTCCCTCCCAAACACCTTCCTCAATCCCTGTCGAAGCTCCGCGAGATGACGGATGGACAGACGAGACGATACAAAGCAAGGCAAAAAGTGCTCTCGACGAACTCTCTCGCTCCGTCTCAACATGGAAGCATGATACACCCACTCTCGCCAAGTCTCTGCTCACAGACTACATCAAACCCATCTTCTCGGAGGTCGCATCTTCCTCATCAGCTTCTATGAGCTCAATCGACCCAGCAACAGGCAGGAAAAAGGCTCCAACACCGGGGTCAGCTTTCATCTCCCATCTTAATGCGAATCTCGGTCAGCATCGATTCCAAAGCGTGGCAGAAGACAGCGATGCGTCGAACCTCGCACCACGACGCTTCGCACTTGCTTTGTCTGTCGAATACCTTCGCTCGACTGTAGTTGAAGACGTAGCAAGTCTGTCGGATAGCGCTCTGCAGGGTCTGACAGAGCGCAACGAAGCGCTAGGTTGTATCAACGTTCTGGGCTGGTGTCTCGACAATCTGCAGCAGAGAACAGAGTCGGAATGGAGCAGCGTTTGGCCGCTTCTGGTGCCTCCTCTGCTGACGTTGTTGGAACATCCCCAGCCCAGGTTTCGACTACGAGGTAGCATGCTTGTGCATAAGTTCCTGTTGAGGCCGAGTCTCGGTGGACAGACCGATGACTCACAGGACGGCAGAACAAGGGAGGTGGTGGTTGGTAGAATTCTCGTTCGCACTGGTATTGGTAGTCTTTTGGAGCGAGCTCTTCATTCCAACCTGACTTACGTCCACGATGAGCAGTACGCTGCAGGGCTGCTGTTTCATTCGACCGGTGCTCTCCGTCAGCTCATTTTCCTGACGACCTATCCTATCGCTTGGCGCGATTCTTCGCAGCCGCTTTTCGAAACTCCCTACAGAGCAGAAGCTGGATGTTCAGGATCGGTCAGCACAACGCTGGACCAACCCGATGACTGTGGAAAGCGCAGGATGGAAGCTCTCTCCCGACTTGTGTCGGAAGGCATCCTATCAACATGGTCGTACTTGCCACTTCCACCCTCGAGCACACGTCTCGGATGCGAGCTAGTCAAAGTCACTTGCTCAGCGTATATGGTGTTGGCAGATGATCTAGCGGCACCTGTTCTCTCTGAGAACGCTGGAACCGAAGCGGAAGAGTCGCAAAAGGGGACCCTAGCCCTTGGCGGCATGGCGAGGTTCCTCGATGTGACGCTGGACTGGATCTTCCGGAGCTGGCTGTCAAACGTCGCCTTTGACCACACAGACCAAATCGTAACGACGACTCAAGTCCTCGACGTCGCATGCCGACTGCTCTTTCCGTCCCGGAGCGGGGCGAGATGCGCCAAAGACGCTGGCAAGAAAGAGCATTACGGTAACTTTGACATGAGTCCAAGCTCAGTGCGTTCCTTCACCGGCATCATTCTGTTGTCGATCGCAAAGTGCTGGATCTCTGCCCTCGAGTCATCTCAGCGTACTTCAACAGTAAAGACAGAAGCAAGTGGGCAAGCGAGATGGCAGGAATTGCAACGCCGATTGACTCAGCTGATGGCCAACTTGTCGCTCGTCGACTCATCGGTCCAGCCGCGCTGGACTGAGATGGTCAAGGTCGATCAGCGTCTCGCAGCGCTCTTCCAACATCCATGACTCAATGAATCAGTGATTGTCTCACGAATTGATTGGCCCGATCAATGTGACTGTTCGACTGTACGTACTATAGAAACATTCCAACGTGTCCTCATATAAACTTCACACAGCCTGTTGTTCCACTCATCCACCCGGCGCTTCTATCAAGAGACTCGTTCTAGCACAGAATCGTTTAAGATCGAAGCGAAAACATGGTATATGATTGTTGTGAGTGACGCATACAGTGTGGCAATTTGCATTTGTTCGATCACACAAAAAGATTACGAGTCGGCATTCCAAGTCCAGCAAGTAGAGCTGCTCCTGCTCCTCCTTTTCCTTCAGCTGCACCTCCCTTTATAGGGCTGAGCTCTAAAGGGATGTCGAAGTTGGGTGCCAGTCCAGCAGCATCGTTTGCAGCTCCCGTAGCTCCACCCCACTGCATTGCTCCACCACCACCCAGCAGCTTGCGCTTCTTCTTCTGTCTATCCTGTGCAGCAGCTGGTTGTGCGCTGATCTTGCTCGTCTTTGCAGCCTTGGCCTTCGGAGCGAGTGTGAAGTTGGTACGATCGTGGCCGAACTTGGCGCCGAGCACGCTCGAGTCGGCAGGCTCGTCGTCGTCGCTGTCAGCTCGGGGGACGTTGCGCTTGTTGGATCGGATGACGGGTGTGGCGGATGGATCGGCTGTCTGGTCATTGTAGTCGATCGCCGGCGCTGCCTTGGCCTTTTTTGCTTGGCTGACCTTCGTGCGTAGGGCGCTCGCTTGCTTGGCGCTGCTCTTCTGCTTGGACGATTTAGTCTTGGCTCTCCGGCCATCGTCTGAGTCCTGTTCGCTGTCCGAGTCGGCCCCTGCCCGGCGCCCCCGACGACGACGATCTTGACCGTCATCCGAACCCTCCTCAGAAGAGTCCGTGATTGCTCTCCAGTCCTTGCTGGCCTTTGCCTTCGCAGCTTTGACAGGCTTCTCGGCCTTCTTGACAGGAGCAGTCTTTGACGACATGTGAGCAAAGGGCACAAGCGGCAGAGTGGTCTTTGCTGTAGTTGTTTTACGAGCTGCAAGAGCGTTGCCGACACCTCCATCATCATAGTCTTCCGACGGAGGCCCAAGCTCGGATGCACCTTGCATTGGCTGCCGGCTCTTCTTCTTTGCGTAAACAGGTGACGATGGTGGCAACATCTGTGATGCAACGAGGGGCTTTGATAGTTTGGCTGTCCTTGCCACTTCCATTGGCTGCTGTATCTTGTGGACGGCCGCCGGTGCCGGTGCAGAGGAGAGCTCCTCGACCTGTGCCAATAACTGCTTGCGTTCGGCCTTCCATTTCTTCCGCGTCTCAGCCATCATAGCATCACGTTCGTTCAAGGTCTCAATTTCAGCCTGAGCCTCCTCTAGCTTTTGTCGGAGCGCAGCCACTTGGTCCTTGCCACCTGCATGTCGAGAGCCACGGGCGTCTTCCAGCTGCTCGGCCAGCTTTTCGTTCTCCCTCTGCAGCTCGTCGAGCGCTGAAGTCTTGGCAATGAGTCTCCTTTTGAGGCGAGCACCATCCCGCAGCGCCGCTTTGACGTGCAAAGCGAGCAGGTCAGCACGCTTCCGTTCGAGCATGAGACGAAGTCGCAGCTCGTCCTTTTGTCCTTCCAGCTCCGACTCGGTTGCATGGTATCTTCCTTCGTGATATGTTGCCTCGTTCTTGGCGTGTTGAAGAGCAACATCAATGAGACACGCTTGACGACGTTGTCCAAGCAGCTTCCACGCGCGTTCGTCGGCTTCGATCTTGTACTGGCTGAGCCTCACCTGCAGTTCAGATCGTGCTCTAGCCTCGCGACCCAAAGCAATCTGGTGATTGCTCTTGAGTGTGGTCAGCTGCTCCTGCAGGCCAGTGCATTCGGACGCCCAGCCTTCCGACTCCTCCTTGGCTGATGCGAGAGCATCTTCCGCCGCAACCAATTCGCGCACGAGGGCGGTATGCCTTTTGCGCAGCTCGCCAAGTTCCATCGTCTGTATGCGGTCGGTGCGCGCGGAAGGGTCAAAACGATTGTGCGATGCTAGTGACGCTGTGGATGCATCTCCAGCTGCAGATTGAGCTACCTTCCCGGCGATAGACGTGGTGTGACCATTGGACAGCGACGAAAGATGAGCAAACTTACGGCTGGACACGCTGGGGCTGGCGTGTGGGCTCATACGGGGCGTTGCGGCTGCCGCAGCCTTGACTCGACTGATGAGGGGTGTTGATTCTACTGGAGCAGTGAATGGCACGGTGTTGAATGGATCGGCGGGTCCTCCTCGTGCAGTGGTATCTGCGGATGTCTCTGCTTCGTCGACATCGTCGACAGGCATCTGTTGCGCCGGCAATGGACGCGACTCTCGGCGCGGGTTAGCACGAGATGCACGGTTGAAGGGGTCAAGCTCGCCATTGAGGTATTTGCTGAAGTCATACGCTGTACCGGCGCTTGCTCCACTGATGGGTTGATCTGCGCCATTGCGTCGCTTGCTAGTACCGAAGATCGAGGCTTGCGATGACGTAGACATGCCAGCAGCAGCGTGCGCTCCGTTGGTTTGAGCTACTTGTGTTGTCGAGGCTGTGGTTGATACGGGCTGGGAGAGGCTGGGTAGTTGCGGATTCTCGACATCGATGTTAGCGAGCATGGGGTTTGTAGCAGCGTCACGACGTCCGGGTACGAGCTGAGCCGTTGAGTCGCCGCTATCATCGGCAAGCAACGAGCTGTTTGCTTTGGACGGTGCGCCCACAGCTGCTTGACGTGCAGCCCTTGCCTGAGAGACACCAAGCGGGGTCTCGTCTCCGGCTTGCTGACGTGCTCGCTGAATAGCACCGTTAGTCAGAGAGCTACGTGCAGGACGTTGACGCCGGTTTTCATCTCCGTCGTTGGACGGACCTCGGTTGACTTGAGCTGTAGGTCTTGGAAGCGAGCTTGGAATGTGAGCGGAACCAGAAGCAGGGAAGGCGGCAGCAAAGGCAGCTCGGTTGGCGGGACGTGATGCGGAGCGCTGCTCCTTGGACACGGCTGCCATCTGGTCCAGGCTGGGGAAGTCGGAGAGGGCCGCCGATTGCACGGGCGTGGATGGCTCGATTTGTGACGCGGCTGAAGAGGAGGCTAGCTTTCCGATCTTCCTAGCTTGTGACGTCTGTGAGCTGAAGGAAGAGAACGAAGCCTCTGAAGCGGAAGGGTCTTTGCGGGGCGATCGACGCACCGGAGGCGGTGTTCTTTGTACGACCATCGTGTCTGTGCGAGCTCAGGATGATTCGAGGTACTACGCAGCGATGCTGGAAGCTAAGGAAGACTGACAATGTAGAGAGCAAGAAAGTGGGATGTGTTTGACGATATCACGAGATCTGAAGGTATTGGCCGGGTATCTTGGAAGTGGCATAGGTGGTGGTCCTTCTGTCCGGTGATGGTGTGGTAGTACGAAGCAAGCAGCTACGACGCGATATCGTTCGACAAAGCAGCGTGTTGTGGAGAGGCTCTCCTGCCTAGCCGAGATGGAGCGCGCAACACTTTCGCTTTTCTGACACCATTTTTGTAACCGCATTTTCTTGACTTTTTGAGAATTCAGCATTGCAAATTCTGTGTTGTGGTGAGTGAACTTGGACGCGTACGAGAGTCATTCTGTCACGTGAAATAAAGAGTGATTCGATTATCGGGTCAGTCGAGTCAGTATCGGCTTTGACGCACGATTCACCGTCAGGGTCGAAGCTAAAATTTGGCCACCAACAAGAAGAAGTGAAGTTGGAGTCAGACCGCTTCAGCAAGTCGAGTCAAACAAGGTTAGCTTGTGGACGCCATTGTTGTACATCCTTCCGCATCCCTACCCATCATCATCACCACGACCTTATAGGTGACTCGCTCCTGCAGTAGCACGACTCGCTTTAGATAGCTTCAACCCCTTCCAAGTACGCAATATCGCCCTCTGGCGAACGTCTCGCACGATTTCTGCATTCACTACTCGACGCCTGGCTTCCACCCTCGTCTGCTCATTCAATTCCTTTATTGCACCACAAGCAGCTTTACCCCTGCGACAATCCGCTAGGGCCACTCTTATCCGCCCGCCAGGCCTGATCAGCTCTCGTTACTCCTTTTCCACATCCACCATGGCTTCCGCAAATATCGCCCTCGTGCCCTCGCCGGCTTCGTTCAACGGCGCTCCTTACCTCTCGGAGTTGCCCGAGATGCCCCGACTTGCTGGCACCGATTTCAAGCGTGTCCCGCTTGACATCCTCCGTGTGGCCATCGCTCAGCATGTCTCATCTTCGCTCGGTGTTGATATCAACGCCGCCCTCGCTGCTGTCGGTACCGGAAAGATCGGCGACTACACTGTCGCCGTACCTCGATTCAAGCTTCCAGGCAAGCCTGCCGAAATCGTCGAGAAGGCTGCTGCCGCTTTCCAGCCCAACGAGTTCCTCTCCAAGGTCGAGGCCAATGCTCCTTTCCTTCACTACTTCTTGAACGATAAGACCCTGATCAAGCTCACTTTGCAGACTGTCCACGTCATGACTCACGGCTACGGCGCACCTCGTGATGAGGCAGGCAACACTCAGCCAAGTTACGGTACTAACCGTGACGGCGAGGGCAAGAACATCATCGTTGAGTTTTCATCTCCAAATATTGCCAAGCCCTTCCACGCCGGTCACTTACGATCTACCATCATCGGCGCTTTCCTGTCGAACTTGTACAAGGCTAACGCATGGAACGTCTCCAAATACAACTACCTTGGTGACTGGGGTAAGCAGTTTGGTTTACTTGCTGTCGGCTGGAAGATGTTTGGTGATGAGCAGAAGTTGCAGGAAGACGCTGTCAACACGCTCTTCAATGTCTACGTTCGTATCAACCAGCTCGCTAGCGTCGAGGAGGATGGCCAGGGCGAGGCGATCCACGACGAGGCTCGTCAATTCTTCAAAAAGATGGAGGATGGCGATCCTGAGAGTCTTGCTCTTTGGCAGAAGTTCCGTGATCTCTCGATTAAGAAGTATATCGAGGTGTACGACCGACTCAACATTCAATTTGACGTCTACTCGGGCGAATCGCAGGTCCAGAAGGAGAACCTCGCCAAATCGATCGAGCAGCTCAAGAAGGCCGACTTCGTCTCTCGAGAGGAGAATGGTGCCTTGCTAGCCGATCTGACCAAGTACAAGCTCGAAAAGTGTGTCATTGAGCGAAAGGACGGCACACCGCTCTACATCACCCGAGACATCGCTGAGGCAGCACAGCGATACGACACCAGCTTCGGTGGCAAAGGCTTCGACAAGATGATCTACGTCGTTGCATCCCAGCAGGACCTCCACCTTGCCCAATTCTTCAAGGTTCTCGAGCTCATGGGCTACCCATGGGCGCAGAAGGACTCTTCGCGAATCCAGCACATCAACTTTGGTATGATCCTTGGCATGTCGACCCGAAGGGGTACCGTTGTCTTCCTCGACAACATCCTCGACGAGACCCGAGACAAGATGCACGAAGTTATGAAGGCCAACGAGGCAAAGTACGCTCAGGTCGAGGACCCCGAGCGAACCGCTGACATTGTCGGTATGACTGCCGTCAAGATCCAGGACATGAGCGGCAAGCGAATCAACAACTACAACTTCGACTGGTCGCGAATGCTTTCCTTCGAAGGTGACACTGGTCCTTACCTCCAGTACAACCACGTTCGTCTCTGCTCCGTCGAGCGAAAGGCCAAGGAGTCCGACGGTCTAGAGCTCCCCACCGTGGACCTTGACTTATCGACCATCAACCTTGACCTCATCACTGAGCCCAAGGCTCGTGAGTTGATCATGCTCATCGCTCAGTGGCCCGACACCGTCAAGGCTGCTATGAAGGACCACCAGCCCTCGACCATCGTCACATACGCTTTCCGAATTACCCACTTGATCTCGTCATGCTGGGAGTTCTTGCTGGTCAAGGGTCAGGAGCGTGATTTGGCTCTTGCTCGTCTCTTTGTCTTCCGATGCTGCAAGGACGTTCTTGGATCCGCACTCCGATTGCTCACCATCACTCCTCTTGAGCGAATGTAAACCTCATTCTTCCAAACTCCCTTTGCAATCATACACATTGACATCCTTGTTTGACTCTTGCAAGGCCGCTGCAAAGCTCAGCGCAACCTCAGACCGTGCGTGAGTGTGACGCCGAGGAGAGAAGAAGTTAAATTATGTGATCTCTATTTCGATCTCACATTTCCGGCACCTTCGCTCACTCGGATCCGTAGCATGTTGTGCCACCATTGCAGCACGCAATCGCACGTGACGACCTCATTTCACACACGCATGCACAGGATACTGGGAACATATATATACTTGTCGTCGTCTTGTACTTAGTTGTCTTTTCACTATCGCAATCGCTACTTGTGTTCGCCGTTAGTTGTTGCACGTTCTACAACAGAAGAGACGCGCAGAAAAAATTCCGACGAATTTGTTAGACTGTTGCTTAGACCTGAAAAAAAGAATTTGAAAATTTCCCGTGACGCGTCGGCCATCGAAACTTTGTCCCACCATCCATCCAAAATCGCAATCAGTTTGCTCACCATCGCAACATCATCCTAAGGTCATTCGACATGTTTGAGATGCCAAAAACATAGTTGCTTTCCGAAGAAAGCTGCTCTTCTGAACATTTGAGGGCCATCCATTTTCTGGGGCACTGCTAATCTTCTCTGTATCGTTTATTTGTTAGATTATATGTCGAGCCCCTCTCGGGGCCGACGATGAGCGTCAAGATGGTGGAGATTGTTGGAAAGGATGATGATGTATACGATCTACAAGGGTGAATGTAGTCTGCATGTAGAGATCCACAGGAGACACATTTTTGTGCAATAAGCTCAGGGTAGGACAAGAGTTTCATGTGGCAGCAGCGTTAGCGTCGCGTGTTCTGCGGTGTTTCGCAATATTGCATCTCGTTGTCCGTAAGCTGTTAGATCTTACTATCCGTACAACAGCTGAATCAGAATGTTCGATCATCAGCATGGCTTGCGACATGTGCTGCTTTGCATCAGAAAACTTTACTTCCATGCTTTGCCGTGCTCGCTCCGCCACAAAGAATGTTTGTGTTTCGCATCAGAGTCAATGAGAAGCCGATGCCGACCCCATTTGCTCGTCGCTGTGTCGCGTCAAGAACGGTTTGAGAACCGTTTGCTTCCCTCCATTCCGGGTTTGAGAACGATTTGCTTCCCTCCAACTCCGCCGAAATTTGAGAACATTTCATGGCAGGCCACGGTCGACAGAGTCACGATGGAACCGCAGTCCAAACGAGGGGGTTGGTAAGAGGACACTGTTGGACAAGCTGTTCTCCATTTTTCGGTGACCGGCAGTGACAGGGGCCGACCGTTTTCACGTTCACCACGCTACGCGCCGGATCGGCAGTCACGCGACTCTCCTTTGCCGCACCAAGCAAACAGCTTGAGATGTAACCCCGCTTTTCATGAACAAGTTAGCCCTCTTTCTCCGCAACTCGATACTCTTGCTCACGTCCTCTGCCGCACCACAACCGGCTCGGCACTTTCCTCCTCCAGCAGCACGCGACCCCCCGCAAGTGTTGTACTTTCTCCGCCGCCTTTCACAACCAACCGAAGATCCGATCAAGCTTAAGCTGGTAAAGTGCCGCCCCCACCGTCCCTTCTTCCTACCCTCCCTTTTTAGGTATCCCATCGCCCAACTGGCGCTCGAAGCATCACACATCACCACCATCTATTTTTTGCAACCTCGACATCCGCTCTCGTGTACCATTGAGACGATTGTATTGATGTTGCTGAGCAGGCAACGCAAGGGTTTGGAGGTAAGTTGACCACGTCTCAATTCCTTGTCGCCCAGCGTCGAATCAACCACTGACCATCTCGCCTCATTTATTCTGGTCTTGACCACGTATAGCTTCTCACAACTGCCCGCCTCACATCCACCCGAACACCGCTTCAGCGTGCGATCGTAGCCGCTCCTCGACTCACGCCTTCGCCTCGTAGCTTCTCTACAGCATCACCAGCCATGTTTGCGCTCACACCATGGCGTGGTACGCCAGGCGCTCAGCCCAAGACCTTCAGCCAGCAGAGAAACCTGCCTCGCCTTCCCGTGCCGAGCTTGGAGCAGACATTTGACAAGTACCTCAAGTCACTTTCGCCTTTCCTTCGTCAACTCGAAGAGCAGGGCAAGCTCGAAGGCAGCACTGCAGAGAAGGAGCTCGCCAAGCGAAAGCAGTGGGTTCAGGACTTCCTTGCACAAGGTGGTCTTGGCCATAAGCTTCAGCAGAGGCTCATTGACGTGGATCGCACCACCAACAACAACTGGCTCGATGACCGATGGTGGTTGCAAAAGGCATACCATGAATGGCGTGTGCCGCTCATGATCAACAGCAACTGGTGGCTCATGTTCACGCCGGACAAAAACATGCCCGCCGAGGTGTTTGAGCAAAGCGGCCGCGATGCTTATCCTATCCTTGGTCTTGGCTCGCAAGGCTGGGACGATGCCGCTTGGGGTATCCGACGTGCCGCATGGCTCACTTCGCGCTTCCTCCAATTCAAGAAGCGTCTTGACGAGTGAGTTGCTTCGGAGGAGGGGAGCTATCAGATTTTACCAAGTTTATGCTGACCAACGCTCTCTTTCTACTTGTGTTCGTCCTACGTTGTTCCCTTCTGACCTATGCCCGTACAGCGAGGACATTATGCCTGATTCCTCGCGAGCGGGTGCGTTCTGCATGCACCAATACACACGGTGAGTGTTGAGCAGCAAGCTGACTCTGTGCCCCCTTTCCCTTTCTTCTCCTCTTTGAACACTCAACTGATCATTAGGCCGTTGGTTTAACCGTCCCGCTCGCAGGCTTTTCGGAATCACGCGGATTCCTGGGCTCCCTCACGACTGGAACACGGCGACACCACACCCAGCCAAGGCGCGACACATTACGGTGATCGCACGAGACAACTACTACGAGCTTGAGGTGCTGCGCAAGGATGGCTCGCTTCTTGGCGTCGACGCACTTGAAAAGGCACTGTGGGATATTATTGCTGATGCCAAGAAGGGTGACGGCGCCGGTGTGGGTGTGCTCAGCTCTGACAACCGCGACAGGTGGACCAAGACACGAGAACACCTGCTGAGCGTGTCGCCGATGAACCGCAAGAGCATCAACTCGATCGAGGACAGCTTGCTTTGTGTTTCATTGGATTCGAGCATCCTGGCTCTCTCTCCAGAGCACCCTGCGCCGGCGCACGAAGCGACGCCTGTATGGGTGGACGCTCTGGCCCGCAACTGCAGTGGTGCTGGACGAGGTGGACACAACCGATGGTTTGACAAGGCGCTCTCGATCGTCGTCGAGCCCAACGGACGAGCGGGTATTATGGGCGAACACTCGCCTTGCGATGCTCTGATCCCCAGTATCCTGTGTGACTATGCGGCTGCTGAGCCATGCCCTCCTCCTGGCTCGAGCTTGCCCTCTGAGCTCACCTCGCCGAACGAGTCGGCAGGCTGGAAGAAGTTGGAATGGAGAGTGGACGAGTCGACGCAGCAATCAATCCAGCAGTCGGAAGAGGCAGCTCTACAGGCTGCTAAAGAGTCAGACATTCGCACGCTCTGGTACGACGAGTATGGAGCTGACTGGATCAAGAAAGTTGGCAAGCATAGTCCAGACGCATATCTGCAGATGGCACTTCAGCTCGCCTACGCCAAGGCACACGGACAACAAGTCTCAACCTACGAGACGGCATCGACACGTCTGTTCAAGCATGGACGTACAGATGTGATCCGCTCATTTAGCGATGAAGCATACGACTTTGTCCGTGGCATTCGTGAAGGCAAGGACGCAAAGACGCTCTACGCGCTCTTGACAGCAGCGACCAAGTCTCACAACACGCAGACGCGAGAAAGCTCGACAGGCAAGGGTATCGATCGCCACATGACTGGACTACGATTGCTGATGCGTGCCGAGGATGGCGAAGCACCTGCCATCTTCTCTGATCCGTTGTTCGGCGAATCGCAGTCATGGCGATTGAGTACGAGTGGATTGAGTGCTGGTGACCGATTCGCAGGAACCGGATTCGGTACCGGCTACCCGACCGAGTCGTACGGTATCAACTACCTCGCTGGTGCAAGGCTGCTCAAGTTTGGTATCGAGTCCAAGAATGGCGCCACGACCGACTTCGCCAAGTGCATTGTTGAAGCATTGCGTGAGATGCGACGCATCTGCGAACAGGGCGGACCCCCTCCCGAAGCTACTCAATCGCACAAGCTATGAGGGTTAGTATTTTGCTTCCCGCTAACTTTCTCACACTAGACGTCTCTCTGTAATAAAACAATCTAACAACGAAACTTGAATTCCGAAGGGGTGTCGGGAGAGCCGGTCGTGGCTGTGAGAGATAGCTGGAGTTCGGGTCTGTTCTCGAAAGTCACTCAATATTGCTTTGATTCGTTCTAGGCTTCGCAAGACGAAGACTCTGGATGGAGCAAAAGCTTGAGAACATGGAGGCCATCGATAACATCAAGTCGCGATTACTTTTGCTGAAGAGCTCTCTTGTGACTTCAGTCAGGATAGCATGGCCAAAAAAAAAAAAAAAGAAAAGAAAAAAAAGATGTAAAATGTGAGTTGTTGGCTCGAACGTGCAGCCAAGACTGCGGAATGTCCGAATTTGCTTCTCGCTTCCAGCAAAATTGCAGCACTTGAGCTGTGCGGTGACTCAGGTGGGTTCGAAGCGTTGCAAGCGTGGGGTGCACTGACGCAAAGCTGCGCCACACAAAATAAAAATAAGAACAAGACGGAGGGTCCGAGGAAAAAGTCACACACACAATTCTGCGCTCTGTCATCCTTATCTACACGTCCAAGCGTTTGTCTCTCCCTTGATCGCTTCTCGAGCAATCTGTTCTCTTTCCTCAACCAACTCAACCCTTTCCTAGACTGATACCCTCAGAATTCCTCGGATACAAACCTCTTCGACACCTCATTCTCCCTGCCTCGTCTACGTCTCGGCTCCTGCTGAGCAACATTCACTGCTTGCACTGGGTGTCCATTCCAACACCTCCCTCTCTGTCGCAAGTCCTTAACCCCCTCCCTCATCTGTAACTCTACATCTACGAACATACATCTTGCAAAATGCCGTCGAGCGATCAGCAGCAGGCAAACTTTGCACGTCGAGCTTCCAACCCTTTCACTAAGAACCAGGATGCGCCCGGATACTATGACAATGACAACAACGTCTCGAACGATGACCGTGCTCAGCTCCACTCACTCGCACAACACATGCGCAAGCTTAGCATGAGCAACAGCGCTGTCTCTGATGGCCATCTCGATCTCGCCAGCTTGCGCAATGCCAATGCACCATCAGGCAGTGGCAGCAACGGCGCTCTCACGCCAAGGGCCGAAGGTGGATCGCGTTCCGGCGCTCTTGGTATCGTCGGTGGTGCCAAGTATACCCCTCACAGCGGCGATCTTCCCGACCCTGACAAAGCTAACGGACAGGACCAAGACAAAGCCGCTCTACTTCCTGCAAGTTTCGGGAAGGCTTCCAACTTCGACAAGTTGCACAACCAGGCAGATGTCTCGGATGAAGATAAGCAACGCATCCTGCAGCGTGCCCCCGGTGTAGTCCGCACTTACAGCATGGGTCAGCAGAAGCGTCGCCCTCAAAGGATGAATGATGACCCCGTCATCCTCTCGAGACGAATGAGTCACGATGCCGTTCAGGACGCACCGCGTCGCTTCATTGTCGATGTTGAGGAGACCATGCGTCTCGTGCTCGAGCAAGAAGACACCGACGGCAACTTCCAGATCTGCATTACAGACAGTGGTCCCAAAGTCCTCACCCTCGGCACTGCCACCTCCAACGGCTACAAAGGCTTCGACATTCGTGGTACCTACATGCTTTCCAACCTCCTTCAGGAGCTTGCTCTCGCTCGTGAACACGGCCGCAAGCGTATCGTGCTGGACGAGGCTCGCCTCACCGAGAATCCTGTTGATCGTCTCTCGCGAATGATCAGTCAGACCTTCTGGCACAATCTCACTCGTCGCATCGACGGCGATGGACTCGATGCCATTCTCTCCGACCCCAAGAACCGCAGCAAGTCTCAGAACCCTCGCATCTACGTTCCTGCTTCCGAGACTGAAATGCTTCGCTACTACCAGAAAGTCGCCGAGGAGCGCCCTGCCCTCAACCTGACCGTAGAATCGCTTCCCCAGAACATTACCGCAGAGTACACACGAGACCTCAACGACCGTCCTGGTCTGCTTGCCCTTGCCATGCGGGATGACATTGACCCAACCACCGGCGAGAAGCGCGGCCTTAAGGGTATTCCCTTCGTCGTTCCTGGTGCTCGGTTCAACGAGCTCTACAATTGGGACAGTTACTTTATCTCGCTCGGTCTTGTCGTTGACAACATGATCGATCTTGCCAAGGGCACAGTCGATCACTTCATCTTTGAGATCAAGCACTACGGCAAGATCCTCAACGGTAACCGCACTTACTACCTCATGCGTGCTCAGCCTCCCTTCCTCACCGACATGGCGCTTCAGGTCTACTCACGACTCGACCCAGCTAACGAGGCCGACAACAAGGAGTGGCTCCGCAAGGCTATCCAGGCTGCCATCAAGGAGTATCACACAGTGTGGATGAGCAAGTCTCGTTTCGACGATAAGACTTGGCTCAGCCGCTACAGGCCCGAGGGTCTTGGTGTTCCGCCCGAGACAGAAGCTTCCCACTTCACTCATATCCTCCGCCCTTACGCCGCCAAGAACGGGTGCAGTGTCAACGAGTTCACACGCAAGTACAACCACGGCGAGATCAAGGAGCCGGAGCTCGACATCTACTTCATGCATGACCGAGCCGTGCGCGAGTCAGGTCACGACACCACATACCGCTTCGAGCACAAGTGCGCCGATCTCGCCACCATCGACCTCAACGCACTCCTCTACAAGTACGAGGTTGACATTGCCACCGCCATCCGCGAGGTCTTTGATGACCGTCTCGAGCTCGAGGATGACTTCCCTCTCTTCGGTCCTCTCCCTCCTTCGCTGCTCAAGGATGGCAAGGGACCTGCCACGCCACCACGCTCCATCGAGACACCACAAACGAGCGCTGAGTGGTTTGCACGTGCCGCTCACCGTAAGGCGCAGGTCGACAAGTTTCTCTGGAACGACGGCATGGGTCTCTACTTTGACTATGACACTCGACTCGAGGAGCCCATCGTCTATGAGAGTGTCACTGCCTTCTGGGCCATGTGGGCAGGCATGGCCAGCGAGGATCAAGCCGCCAAGCTCGTGCAAAAGTCGCTAAAGCGCTTCGAAGAGCAAGGCGGTCTCGTCTCCGGTACCGAAGACTCTCGCGGAAAGATCTCGATCGACCGTCCCAACCGACAGTGGGACTACCCATATGCCTGGCCACCGCACAACGTGCTCGCTTGGGTCGGTCTCGAGCGTTACGGCTACCTCGAAGAGGCCCGTCGTCTTGCCTACCGTTGGCTCTACATGATGACTCTTGCCTTTGTCGACTTCAACGGTACCGTACCGGAGAAGTTTGATGCCGTCAACCTCTCGCACATGGTCGATGCTGAGTACGGTAACCAGGGTATCGATTTCAAGTGTGTTCCTCGCGAAGGCTTTGGTTGGATGAACTCTAGTTTCCAAGTCGGGTTGACCTTCCTCACTACTCATCAGCGACGTGCTGTTGCCGCCCTTCAACATCCTGATGAGTTCTTCAATGTTCGTCGTCATTGATGTAATCTTTTTCTTCATGACAGCACTTGCGAACTCATTTGATTGATATGATACATGTCGCTTTTCATTGTGAGCCGAGTGTCATTTCTGCATGTCGAGACACTCATTGAGGCAACAGAGCGTCGTCATCGTGTGTGCGAATGGCTTATGGCTCCTGACGCTCCGTCTCGTCCTGCTCGTCCTGGCTGTCGTAGACGAGCGAGATGCGACGTTTGTCGCGAGCACGAGAGCTGCCAGATGCTTCGGCACCTACCTCTTCCTTCACCACGCCAGTCGTCATAATTTCTTCAGGCAGACCTTGCGCATTGATTGTGCTTGATGCAGAATACAGGCGGAGAAACAAAAGGAGGCTGCGCACTAATGTCTGAGCTTCTCAATGAGGCGTAGACAGGCGATGTCGGGAGAAACTTTCTTTTCGTGCCAAATGAAGTCGACAATGCCCCATTGACGGGATTGGATGGCTAGGCGCAGATGTGATTGATCAAGCTGAAAAGGCTGTGAGCCTAGTTGTTGTGGTAGGGTATAGCCAGCAGGAATCAGACGTGATTGTGATTGTGCTGCATCAGCGTCGATGCACGGGCCTGAAACGAGGAGTCGCAGAATCTCGAGGAAACCGTTGCGAATCGCAATCTGCACAGCCAACCCTTCTTTGCGCGCAGGATCCGCGCCGAACAGGAGCAGAAGATGGACAAGGGAGTAAGACCGACGATGAACAGCCATTGCGAGCGGGAAGCCCTGGTGCGAAGATGCATCCGCACCGTACTGGATGATCATTGTGAACATAAGCTGGAGTTCGTCAGCGCTGGGCATGGGACCGATGTCCACGTCGGCATTGGCGGTCTCGTGGCGACGTTTTTTCTTCTTTGGCTGTGTCTGATCAGACGTTGCAGACTCCTGCGCTGATTGCTCCGACGACGGCTTGGCGTCGACGCCTGGGTGATCAATGCGACGGAATAGTCTCTTTGGCAACTGTGGCGACGAAACAGAACCCGTAGGATGAATCGATCGAGGGAGAAAAGCACGCGGGAGCGACGAAGCGGACGCTTCTGGGACCAGCCGGTCAAGAACGGCCGCAGAGCAGATGCCAACCTCCGCCGCGAATGTCACGATGTCGAGGTTTGCCGTGCGGATGGTCTGAACCGTGCAGTCGGTGGCGGATATAGCACTGAAAAAGTCGAACCATGAAGGATTGCGATACTTGTAGAGTGAGGCGAGGCGACTCGTTAATCGCCTGCAAGACTTATGCTTGGCTTGACACGGGTTGTTTGTCGTGTAAGCGATATAGTGATCGACCCACCTACCCAGAACGTAGTCCACCTTCTGCTCGATACTGGCCTGATGACACGCTTGTCGGAAGTAGCGGCAAGTCATTGGAAAGCTGCTTGAGCGTGAGAGGACCAAGACTCTATGGAGAAGTTCGATGGGAAGATCTGGCATTCCAACCTGTCGGCCCTGCGATCGGATCTTGAGTTGGTCAAGAGTTGATGACTCAGGGGACTTTTCCGCAACAAGCTCGGCATCTGCGGGACTTCCTTTGCTCGTAGAAGCTGAGGCAGCGGGATCTTGTTTTGTGTAGCCTAAGATTTGTGACCGGGATGCTCGATGAGCTTTTGGAATCTTGGACTTATCGGGTCCGTAGACAAGAGCATCCACATCACCTGTGGTGTCGGTGAAAAAGAGATCTCGATCGAACGAAGGGATTTGGTGGGAGGCGCGAGCACCTTCGATTCGCTCTGACGCTGCGGGAATGGAAGGAGTTGGCGAGCGAGAGCGCTGCCGCTTTGGGCGATGGTGCCTGTCCGATTCGCATTCGCGTTGCCTGTGGGACCGTTTGTGACGCCGCTTCTTGTGCTTGCCGCTTGAATCGCCTTCATCATTGTGAGAAGGCCGTCTCTTCCGTGTCGAAGTCTGCGAGTCATTCTCGTCGGGTTGGTGGCGTCGTTCCGCACTTGCTGAAGCGGAAGCCGGCGGATTGTAAGAAGAGAATCGCGGCGCCTGGAGCGTCACTGGTATTTTGTTCCGCGAAGCATCGCTACCTTGGTCTGCACTCATCTGGCACTGATGTTGGCAGACCGAGTCGTGATGGTTGTCCTGCAAAAGGCCATGTCCGGACTCGTCCTAAAGAAGAGTGGACCTTCCGCTGCAGGTGTTGGTCTTCGGACCCTTCACAACAAAAAAGTTTGGTGGAAGCGCTTTGGGAATTTTCACCTCCACTTTTGTACCTTTGATAAAGTCTAACAAGAATAAAAGATCAATTAACGGCCGGTAGGAAGAAAATCACGTGAAGCTGCTCTGGACAAGTCACAGAGAGAGAGAGAGAGAGAGAGAGAGAGAGAGAGCGCAACTTCTTCGGTTGCGCAAAAAACGAAAGTTGACTGTGCTGCTCACTTCGCTTTGCAGGAACAATCTGGTCCCTTCGACACACCACCACCGACGCCTTTCGAGATCTTGACCACCTCTTCACTTCCTTTTGAAGGTCTAAAGAATCATCTAGCGCTTAATTAGGACGACTTCAAGCCCGTCTTTGCTCGCTAGTCTTTTCGTACAGATCCGGCTCAACTTGTTGCTATAACCGCACACGAAGAGGTCCACAGACAAAATTCGGCATCAAACACCCTTTTCAAATCAATCACCAGCGAATCAGCCAACATGCGTTTCTACAAGAAGGAATTGCCGGACGTCGAAGAGGTGGTCATGTGCCAGGTGCAGCAGATCGCCGAGATGGGTGCATACGTTAAGCTGCTCGAGTACGATGGTGCCGAGGGTATGATCCTACTTTCCGAACTTTCAAGACGTCGTATCCGATCCATTCAGAAGCTCATCCGTGTCGGCAGGAACGAGGTTGTCGTCGTATTGCGTGTCGACAAGGAGAAGGGGTACATCGATCTTTCCAAACGTCGTGTCTCACCCGAGGATGTCATCAAGTGCGAGGAACAGTTCACCAAATCCAAAGCCGTGCACAGCATCATCGCTCACGTTGCCGGCAAGCTCAACCGCGATGTTGAAGAACTCTACAACGCCATTGTCTTCCCATTGCACGACAAGTACGGCCACGCTTTTGATGCATTCAAGCTCGCCATTCTCGACATGGATAAGACTTTCGAGGGCATCCAGATGGACGATCAGGTGCGCAAGGAGTTGCAAGCCAACATCGCGCGAAGAATGACACCGCAGCCCGTCAAGATTCGTGCCGACGTTGAAGTTACTTGCTTCGGCTACGAAGGCATTGACGCCGTCAAGACGGCACTTCGAGCAGGCGAGGCCGTCTCTACCGAGCAGATCCCTATCAGGATTAAGCTGGTTGCACCACCACTTTACGTTCTCATTACCAACTCGACCGACAAGGTCGGCGGCATTGCATTGATGGAACACGCGCTAGAGAAGATGACTGAGAGCATCCGCGCTGCCGGTGGTGAAATCAACATCAAAATGAAACCCAAGACCGTTTCCGAGACGGAAGACCAGGAGCTCGAGCAGCTAATGGCTCGTGTCGAGAAGGAGAATGCGGAAGTCGAGGGAGACGAGGATTCGGAAGGCGACGAGTAACGAGGTTCTCATCATGTATCAGTACTACACACCACAATGCGATCCCTTCCAGCGTCGATGTTTCTTCTGCCTATCTGATTGCCGTTCGCTGAGACGAAGTACGGCCTTTTCGCAAGATCTTGAGATCGCACTTCAGAAGTGCGCATTCCAGGAAAGTGTGTGTGGAGAAAAAGCGCAGAAAGCGAGTCGATCCACTCGGCCAATTCGCGTCTCTGCCGGAATAAGCGCAACCTCGCCTGGACTCAATCGCACGAAACAACCGAAATTGTATATACATAACACGAAAAAAACCAAGTGGATTGCAGGCAAAGACCCATGGGAGGGCAAATAACGACGAATCAGGCTGCTAATAGTGTTGAAATGTGAACAAGTTTTGTCCCGATAACTGACGATCGGGGAGAGTCTGAGTACGATGTCACTACTGTTTTAGGGCAGAAACATATCTACTTGATTGACTGATCAAACATGGTGAGAGCCTAGAACCATCAGCTCGATATATATACAGCTCACACATAAACTGTCCCACAAATTTACATGTCACCATACATCACTCTAATGCTCAATAGCCATAAATTGTATTGCCACACTGTCTGATATCATCTGAAAGCCCTGCTTCTTCTCTCCAAGACTGTGTAAATGATATTGACATTGACTAAGAAAATTGTGCTATGAAGAAGAGCCAACTTTTTTTTTATTGTGGGACAGTTTATGGAGCACTCCTTGACAACACCTTAGTACTTCATATTCCCTCCTTTGGTCTTCAGAACCACCTTGATGTGGTCTGGCATACTCTCTATTAGTGTCCTACATGTCTCTGGAGTGATCGCTGTCCATTCAGCTTCACATCTCTTGAGCAGTTCATCCCTGGACTTTGCAATTATACTATACCGTGAAAGTCACATTTTGAGATGGTGCTGTCATGGGGCTGGATGCGCAAGAAGCAGGAAGATCCATCAACTCATATGAAGGGAGCGCAGGAATCAAGGAATTGGGCAGATCATAGGATTTGCAGCAGAGTTCACTGAGATCTGTAGTAGAGACAGCTCTATTACAGATCTCACCTAGATCAGCACAAGTGAAGTTGATATCACAAATCCTGCCAGAATCTGCAGTAAGCATGATCATATGGCAGATTCCATGGAGATCAGTGGCAAAGACAGTCATATGGTGAACTTCACATGTGAAGGAGGACCAAGCATTGCCAAGAAGGGGACCGAGCTCAGAAGCATGCAGCTGGTTACCACTCAGGGGGCCACAAGATGAAGACCAGGAGAACCATTGCCAGTGGGAGGAAGAAGAGCTGTGACAAGGACACTGGCAAACAAGTTATGAGGAGGAAGAGCAGTGTCAAGGGAATCGACATCTAGTTCAAAGAAGGACAGATAGGAGGGATGAGGAGGAGGGGCATGTCAGGGGTCTCGCGCCTGAAACCCAGGTCGGTCTGTTGAGATACTCGGTGACTATCAAACTGTGCAACAGCTATTGTCTTGGTATTGGTCTTGATGAGTTAGTTGCTTGGCGACTATCAAGTTGCGCAATGACAGCAGGTGGCATTCATTGTATATACTATCATAGGTTTTGGCTGACCTCTGTGGACACTCCATTCAGGGGTAGCTCAGCACAATCAATATCAATATGTAGGTTATGATGACACCAAGGTCTGGTGTGAGTGTTGATGATGATGAGGTTGATGGTGTTGGTGATAAGGTTGGTGGCATCAACACAAGTGTCCAGTGTGTTGACTGATGCTTGAGGTGATCCCCAGACTGCAGTGGACTACTGCCTTCAGTTCTATCTATATCTGGACTGCTGACCTGCTATGGGCCACCTTCAGATGTCAGGTAGTGGTGATACAACACATGCACTACAATGAGGAGCAACCTTGATAGATTGCTACTATGCTGACTGAAACTAATATATACTTATGCTGAAGTGATAACTAGTTATGATGGGTGTGTAGAGTGGATGAGGATCCACTCAACCTTTGATGATAAGAAAGTATGGTTATATACCTCTTCACAGCTGCTTGCTTGGCACCCCTGTGCCTCTGTGTCAACTCCTTCAACACTGCTCCTCCTCCTTGCTATCCTGCTTGCTTGGCACCCCTGTGCCTCCTGAGTGGTGTTGACTCCTTCGACACTGCTCCTCCTCCTCAGGACCTGCTTGCTGGTTCCTTATACACTGCTCCTTCTCCTTTGACCAGTGATGGTTCCTTTGACTCTTGTCTCTTGAGCCCCTGAGTGGTAACCATCTGCATGCTCCTTGAGCTTGGTCCTCTTCATGGCTGTGCCTGGCCCTCCTTGCATATGGGCCTGGTCCTCCTTTGCATGTGAGTCCATAGGAGTCCATGGTCTCCATGGAGACTGCACTATGACCATGCTCTCTACTGGTATCGACTAGATCTCCGATACCTGTGCTCCTTCCATATGAACCAGTGACCCTCCTGCTTCTTGAGCATTCAGGCCCATGACACTCTACATGCTACTTTTTTACTTACTTACTTACTTGACTCTTAGTTTCGTACCATTGCAATAGCAGTGCTCTTGCAATGACCCTCAAATGTGTGTGTTGTATCACTGTTAGGCATCAACTGTAGGTGGTGTCTACCAGACACTTGCAGTCCAGTTCTCAACTGTAGGCAGTGTTCTTCAACACTTGCGGTCCAGTCCCTTGCTGTAGGCAGTGTTGCTCAACACCTGCAGTCCAGTTATTGTAGGCAGTGACTCACACCTGTGGTCCAGTAACTCCCGTTCTCTGTAGGCGATTAACATATTGTGGTCCAGATGACATCCAAGAGCATTATCAACAGCCATGAAGAGGACCAAGCTCAAGGAGCATGCAGACGGTTACCACTCAGGGGCTCAAGAGACAAGAGTCAAAGGAACCATCACTGGTCAAAGGAGAAGGAGCAGTGTATAAGGAACTGGCAAGCAGGTCCTGAGGAGGAGGAGCAGTGTCGAAGGAGTCAACACAGAGGCACAGGGGTGCCAAGCAAGCAGCTGTGAAGAGGTATATAACCATACTTTCTTATCATCAAAGGTCAAGTGGATCCTCATCCACTCTACACACCCATCATAACTAGTTATCACTTCAGCATAAGTATATATTAGTTCCAGTCAGCATAGTAGCAATCTATCAAGGTTGCTCCTCATTGTAGTGCATGTGTTGTATCACCACTACCTGACATCTGAAGGTGGCCCATAGCAGGTCAGCAGTCCAGATATAGATAGAACTGAAGGCAGTAGTCCACTGCAGTCTGGGGATCACCTCAAGCATCAGTCAACACACTGGACACTTGTGTTGATGCCACCAACCTTATCACCAACACCATCAACCTCATCATCATCAACACTCATGTCATGGGCCTGGATGCTCAAGAAGCAGGAGAGTCATGGGTTCATATGGAAGGAGCACAGGTATCGAAGATCTAGTCGAGATCAGTAGAGAGCGTAGTGCAGTCTCCATGGAGACCATGGACTCCTATGGACTCACATGCAAAGGAGGGCCAAGCACAGCCACGAGGAGGACCAAGCTCAAGGAGCAGGCACAGCCACGAAGAGGACCAAGCTCAAGGAGCATGCAGATGGTTACCACTCAGGGGCTCGAGAGACAAGAGCCAAAGGAACTGTCACTGATCAAAGGAGGAGGAGCAGTGTCGAAGGAGTCGACACCAGGTCATGAGGAGGAGGAGCAGTGTCGAAGGGTTGACATCAGGTCATGAGGAGGAGGAGCAGTGTCGAAGGAGTCGACACAGCTCAAGAGGCACAGGGGTGCCAAGCAGGAGAGGCCCCTGAGCAGTACTCGATGAAGAAGGTACTCTCTGGAGAGAGAGCAGGAGCAGCATCGCTGGCGATGCTGAGAAGAGGTATATAACCATGCTTTCTCATCATCATAGGTCAAGTGGATCCTCATCCACTCTACTCACCATATAACTAGTTATCACTTCAGCATAAGTATACATTAGTTTCAGTCAGCATAGCAGCAATCTATCAAGGTTGCTTCTCATCATAGTGTGTGTGTTGTATCACCACTACCTGACGTCCGAAGGCGCCCATAGCAGGTTAGCAGTCCAGATCAAGATAGAACCGAAGGCAGTAGTCCACTGCGGTCCGGGGATCACTTCAAGCATCAAGTCAACACACTGGACACTCGTGTTGACGCCACCAACCTCATCACCAACACCATCAACCTCATCATCATCAACACTCACACCAGACCTTGGTGTCATCATAACATTGATATTGATTGTGCCGAGCTACCCCTGAACAGAGTGTCCACAGAGGTCAGCCGAAACCTACGATAGTATATACAATGAACGCCACCTGCTGTCACTGCACAACTTGATAGTCACCGATACCGAGACAATAGCTGTCGCACAGTTTGATAGTCACCGAGTATCTCGACAGACCGACCTGGGTTTCAGGCACGAGACCCCTGACAACTCACACCAGACCTTGGTGTCATCATAACCTACATATTGATATTGATTGTGCTGAGCTACCCCTGAATGGAGTGTCCACAGAGGTCAGCCAAAACCTATGATAGTATATACAACAAATGCCACCTGCTGTCATTGCGCAACTTGATAGTCACTGAGCGATGTAGCTCATCGAGACCAATACCAAGACAATAGCTGTCACATAGTTTGATAGTCACTGAGTATCTCGACAGACCGACCTGGGTTTCAGGCGCGAGACCCCTCACACCATGCCCCTTGTCATAACAAGTGAGTGGATGGGCATCCACTCTACACCATATAAACTAGTATTACTTCAAGCATAAAAGTACTCATTAGTTTCAGTCAGCATAGTGGCAATCAATCAGATTGCCTCTCATTGTAGCACATGTGTTGTATCACTGCTCACTGATGTCTGAAGGTGGTTCCTAGCAAACCAGCAGTCTGGATAAAGATAGAACCAAAGGCAGTCATCCACTGTGGTCTGGGGATCACCTCAAGCACTTAGTTGACACACTGGACACTCATGTTGATGCCACCAGCAATCATATTCACACCAGACCTTGGTGTCAGTACAAGTTCACATTGTTATTGATTGTGCTGAGCTACCTCTGGACAGAGTGTCCACAGTGGTCAGTCAAAACCTGCAATAGCAAAACCCTTACTGCAGTTCTGAGCAAGAAAAGTGATAGAGACAGCTCTACTGCATATTTCACCAAGAATCTCAATACCACAAGTGTTGTCACATAACTCGACAGGATCTGTAATAGACGAGACTCTATTACCGATCTCAGGTTTTGGGTGCATGACCGCTGACACCACTGCTGAACTTGACTGTTGGCCTGACAAGCTTGCTGTTGAAGCTGGCATTCTTAATCCAACAGAACTGCTTACCATCCAGTCCAAAGAAGTTGATCTTTGTCTCATCAGACCATACCACATTCTTCCAATCCTCAACAGTCATGTCCTTGTGCTCATTAGCAAATTTGTGATGGGCTTTGTAATGTCTCTTGAGTAGCTTCAGTTTTTTCACTAACCTTCATGCTTTGTAACAACAGTAATGAAGTGCTTTTCTTACTGTGGTTGGGCATGCTTTGACTTGAAACATCTCCTGCAGTGCATGACATGCTTTCCTGACTGTGGAGGTTGAATTGAGCTTGAAATAGTGGTCCAGGAAGCAAACATGACAAGGCTGGAGTTTTCTTGTCTGGCCCCCCTTTGACTTTGGAACATCAGTGGAGGTGCTTTTGCTGATGCAATTCACAGTAGACTTGCTCATACCAAGTTGCTCAGCAACTGAACAGGTAGATTCCCCATTTTGGATGTGAAAGAGTGCCAATCAGTGCCTCTCTGGGGTGGTTTTTGGCATGATGGTATAGATATGATGGTGTCAGACTGGAAGCACTGCTGGATCACTCACAGTCATCTGATTGAGCTGAAACTTTCCATGTCACTACTTTCAATGTGTATGAAGGTGCCCACCAAGTTACATTGCAAGTTTCATTGTAGTCAAAAGCCCACAAGGTCAGGAATGGAGTGGTGTTTCTATTTGGGAGCATGCTCCATAAACTGTCCCACAATAAAAAAAAATCTGGCTCTTCTTCATAGCACAATTTTCTTAGTCAATGTCAAAATCATTTACACAGTCTTGGAGAGAAGAAGCAGGGCTTTCAGATGATATCAGACAGTGTGGCAATACAACTTATGGCTATTGAGCATTAGAGTGATGTATGGTGACATGTAAATTTGTGGGACAGTCTACATGCGAGCTGTACATCTATGTGGCACATGCCAAATGTGGGTGCTTCCTACTTAATGACGATGTCTGACAACGAGCAGGATCGTGTTGTACCCGATCTCTGGTGAGATCGGCTTTGCCCGATCTTTTGCGTATCCGCTTACGTCAACTCGCATCGTCATATTGGATCGTTTCCTTCAGCAAAGAGTACGCCTGGCTGCTGGTGAAGATGATGTAATGAAGAGAGGAAAGGAGAAGCGGAGCGAGTCGATTGTTGAGTTCCAGCCCAGACGGGCACGCCTTCCTGACGATCACGTGATGCACACTTTTTCTCAAGATCATTCAGGGCCTTGCATTCCTTCTCGACCATTCATCACACATCATGCAGCTCGGACGCTGAGCAAAGGTTCTGCGATGAATCAACCAGCTCACGCCGAGCAGCCTGGCGCTGCTCAAATCAACCATACCAACCTGATATTGACGGCGCTTACCGCTGGATCGGGCCTTGCTCTGCTGACGATTGGACTATGGAATGCCATCCTCGTCTTGGCGGTGGCTTTGCTGCTCATCTGCAATCCTTGGGTGCGCACATTGCTCGAGCTGCCTAGCACTGACGGTAAGCGTAGTCTCAGCACCTTTGACCCTGCCCGATATCTTCTATCCTATACCTTCAACGGATCACCTGCGGATCAGAAGGATGCATCCCAGGACGAGTTTGCGGCTAGCACCGATGACGATCCACTCCTACGGACAGACCAGCTTCTTGCGCTGACAGTGATGCCCGATCCACTTCGCGAGAGCAGCCAAATCATGATACGCTTCGTTGTCCGCGACTTTGTTCAAGGATGGTATGACAATCTTACCTTTGCTCATCCCAACTTCCCCATCTCTGCCGAGGCCAACGTCTCTCACACTGCTGCTAGCATCTACCTTCGTTCACGCCAGCTCAAAGCCACCAACACTGCTGCAGAGATCCTGCTCACGGTACAAAGTGTTCTGCTCTCTTCGCTTCGTCGACGTCGTGCTTCCACCCAATACGCTTCAGGCGCTGCCTCCTCGGCGCGCTCCACCTGGCCAAGTACGGCCGCTCGCGTCGACGCTCTTCGTAAAGCGGTTCGCAAGCTCCTCTCACGCAACCTTGCGCACGCAGAACGCTCCAGTCCCATCGTCATGCTCCTTCTCACCGAGATCTTGGCCAAGCAAGCCTGGCAGGTCGTGCAGAACATTGGCGATCCCGACTTTATCAACCAGAAAATCGTCGAATGGGCCGAGCCAGCTTCGGAAACCAGCTTGGAAGGCCAGGCCATCTCGCCAGATGAGCTTGAGCGTCTCAAGTCGCTCGATACTGCTGCTCTCAACGATCAAGCCGCAGAAGCTTTGCAGACTCGATCTGGCGCCACTGAGGAGACCGCTTCAGCAGAACACGCCCACTCTGTGCCATCTGCAGCTGTACCACAACCAAAGCAAGCTTCATCCACTGCGCTATCTACCGCATCTGCCGAGAAAACAGTAGACCCTCGCACCGCGTATGTACCTGCACCGCGAACTACAACTGGCCCGCCCCATCGACCTCGGCCGCGCGTCACGCCGCCGAGGAAGTCCAACAACACAGGTCCGCTCTCAGCACTTGGCGGCTTCGCTACCGGCGCATTGGGCGCTTTGGCGGATGCAGCAGAAAGGGCAGTCGATGTAGTTGGTGGTACTGTGGATGAGTTCGGAAACCTTCTCATGGTCCCGGCGGACCCGTCTTCGCGCAACCAGACCAGCATGAGCAGTAGCGCCAATGGGAGTGCAACATCTTCTCCTCGTAGGCGTCATGCACTTCTCGCCGAGACGGAGCAAGACGGACTTGCTCAGAGCACAACATCCCAAACCAGGAGCGTATCGAACCGGAACACAGACAGCTCGGCGCCCGCATACCACCTCGACATGCCCTCAGGCGTTGATGTGCCACCACTCCCCACCTCACTCAGACAGAGTCTCAGAGACAACAACCAACACTCCGAGCAAACATCAGCGCACACAGCCAACGTACCTCCCAGCTCCAGCACGTCATCGGCCAACATCAACAACGCGCGTGCATTCGAGATCCCCGACACTCCCGAGAGGCGGTCAATGGAGGCGCCTTCAATCGTCGCCCCTGCCCCTGTCTCCGCCGCTCTCAACTTTGCCGCACGCGACAGCTTCTCCATCGATGAGAGCCAAGAAGACCAAGAAGCTTCGCTGGCCGCCATGCACGGTCTTCTCTCTGATCGCACCTCTTCCGCCTACGAAGCATTCGAAAATTTCCTCGAGCAGCCCAACAACCGTTACTGTGCCCCGAGCGAGGGCGAGTCGCTCCTCCGTCTTCATACTCAGCTCAATACTCTAGCCAGCATCATGGAATTCGCAACGCTCGATGAGCAGACCTTCCGCGCCGACGCGAGTACGATCTTGAGCAAGGCTCTGGAGCAGTTGCCGATTACGCTGCCGCCGACCCACGACGGACAGCAGCCAGTGCTGGTCCGCAGGAGCGCGCAGCAAGTGTTGACGAATTTGGAGTGGTGTGCAAACATGGATGTGGTCGAGCCGCTAAGGGAGAATATCATTGCAAGGCTAGTGCAGCTGTACAATGCCTATCTCGCGAGCACTGGTCAGCAGCGAGCGAATTTGAGTCAGCCGCAGAGCGCGCAGTCGAGTCCTAACAAATCTAGATTCGCGGCAGCGTTGCTAAGGACCGACTCGCCAGAGCCAAACCAACTTCGTGCCTTCCTGGACCGCGAGAATCATCCAAGCTTTTCAAGTACGGACTCGGAACGACAAGCTTTCCGCTACGAGCCTCGAAGAAAGACCACAGCACCCACTCCGGGTGTCACGTCGCTGCAGCCAGGAGCACAAACACCGCCTCGTGCGCCTTCTGTCCCGCCTCCACCGGGTGGAGCGCCAGTCATGGGCCCACCAGCGGGCCCGTCAAGACCGATGTCGGTACCTCCTCGAGTGCCCTCTGCGCCACCGAGACCGCAGCAGATGGTGTTTCAGGGAGCAGCTTCTTCCTCGCCCTCACACGTTCAGAGGAGCAGCACCGATCTCTCCCCCACCCAAGCAGAGTTTCATTCCAGCGTTGACAGCATCCGCGGCTCAGCATTAACCAGCACCATCATCAGCGTCACTGATATCAGTGCAAACGCGGAAAGCAACAAATCAGTCGATCTGCGCACCTTCGAGGTGATGATCTCGGTCGAAGGTACTGCCGATGCTGGCAGCTCAATGACGAGTCCGGATGGCTTTGTGCTTGTCAGGCGATGGCACGAATTTGAACAGATGGATATCGAGATTCAGCGCCAGCCACGCTCGAGCAACCCTTTGCCGCGCTTGCCGACAGTCAAGGGGAGAAGGAGTCCAGAGGTCTGTCGCATCCTCGAAGCATACGTGTATGAGCTATTGCTGCCAGGCAATAGAGCGCAACTGGCTAACGTGGCTGGTGCGACGAGGTTCTTTGACAGGACGAGAGCTGGCGCGTCAGCAGAAGACTTGCGCAGGAAGGGTGGTCCAGGCGCGTTCCTCGGTGGCATTGGCAAGGGTATTGTCAGTGGTGTTGGGATGGTCGGAAAGCAGGCAGCCAAAGCAGGTGGCACGGGAATGCAGGCGTTGTCGACCTCGACTTCGACGAGTGTGCGTAATGGAGCTGGCGATGCGAGTGCGGTGTGTGTTCCACCGCTTCAATCTGGCTCGACATCCGAAGCCGCTGCGCGAATGCCAGAGGCTGCAGCTACTCGCTTTGTGCCCAGTTCACCTGTCGTCGATTCTGCTTCGAGCCCCACCTCAACATCTGTCTCTGGCACGAACTCATCTTTACCTTCGCCATCTTGTCGACCACGGGACGGCACCTCCACTAGCCAGCTCCCATCCGGCACTGTACCGCCTACACGCACAGCATCCGAACTTTCCGCTCGGCATCTTGACATGCTTCTTTCTTCTATCTTTGCGGTCGCGGATGAAGCCTTTAATCTTCAAGGTGGCTGGACACTTCGTCGTGGCATGCTTCGTGTGCTCGAACAAGTCGTCCGCACCACCTATGCCTCCTCCATCGTTGCTGGGTTCAACGACTCTGCTGCGGGTCTCAATGTGGACAACTTTGCCAAGTGGATCGCGGCTCTCACCGAGACCATGTGGCCGGACGGACGAAGGTGGGGCTCAGAGATTGGTACTCCGGACGAGAAGAAAGAGCGAACAGAAGAGGAGAAACAGCGGACAGCAGAGAAGGCGAGAGAGATTGTGGTGTCGTATGCTCCAGCACAGGCAGGGTATCTTTTGGGACCAGGAGGTAAAGTAGCATGTATCAAAGCACTAGTAGAGGTGCATGCCACGCTGATGGATCCCATCACAGCATGTGACCTGGGGTTGACGGTCGTTTTGAAGGCGTTAGATATGGCTAGTCGTTGATGATCTCACCCTTTCTGTCAGGCACAGTCTAGACTCAACATCAATGTGAAGTGTGAACATGATGTGATGCGTTATGCTATAGAATTACAATGTTTAATGGGAAAGATGCTTTAGAGTTCTCCAGGAAGCTTCTTCGACCAATGCGAAGCGAACCAATCCTTCATGATTTGGTTCACGTTCTTCGTACCTTCTTCTGATTCCTTGATATCGTCGTTGAGACAGACGTATGTGGTTGGCTTCTTTGTGTCTAGGGTCTTGTCGACAGCTTCTAGCTGTCCAGGGAGACGAGACGCGTATTCCACCTTGTAGAAGGTGGACGGAGTCGAGCCGAGGACGTACTGGTATCGCTGGATGAGTCTTGTACACCACGTCCTAAGAGAAATCTCTTTTGTTCCCTGAGGTTGAGCAAGGATGGAAGAGAGCGAAAAGTCTGTCTCTCTCCACTGCTCTGTGAGAGGAAGGTGAGCACGGGAGCCGAGGCTGTCAAAGTCGGCGGGGACGCGCAAAGTGGCCGTCGAGGGAGGAAGGAAAGCCGAGATACCTGATCGACCCGATACTTTGAGAAGTGCTGCAACGATGCAGTCTCCACACTTGGCCGAAGTGGAAGGTGCGAAGGCAATGCGTTTGAAGAATGCATCTGCACTCTCTTCGTCCTTCTGCGGAGCAAAACACTTGCTGTAGGACAAGCTGCAGACTTTTGGCGACTCGTTGCTGGAAGAGGGCAACCAGGATCGAGCGTGGTTGCGCTTTTGTGTGGTAGCCTCGCTAAGATCAGGATAACCGTTGCGTGTGCACTGCCAAGGCCAACTCCAATCAAGGTAGGATAGTGCGTGGCCATCTTGAGACGAGAACGAGTACTCGGTGTTCTTGGGAGCTGGAACACCTGCTGCTTCGAAGGCTTCCTTGTCTTCGTCTCGCGACTTGCGAACCGGCCTTGTTACCTCGAGATCTTCAAGCCCACGTGAGCCGGAAAGCTCCTCCCACATGGCCTGTTTTGTCTTGCTCGAAAGCTTGCCTCCGATACCACCCCACTTTGCCACAATCCAAGACCACAACAAAGCCTCTCGGTGTCTCTCGATGATGTACCAACTAGCCAAGAAGAAAGCCTGGATCGAAGTCGGCACCTCCTTTTGCGCCCGGAATCTGGCCAGTGTCGTGTTCGAGAATGCTTCTGGGAAAGTCTGTGCAGCCTCCTTCAATAAAGGCAGAGACAAAGATCGCGGATGGTGTGTGATGTACGGCAGAGTACGCATGGGGAAGCGCTGGCCCAGGATCCAAGCTGCACGCTTGATTCCGACTTCTTCACCTGCAGGGTTCCAAAGGCGCTGGAAAGGGTGTTCTGAAGGGCGATAGAAGGAGAAGAAGCGAGTGTCGCTCTTGATGACAGTGCCGAAGAGTGGAGAGGTGAGGTCCGAGACAGAGTTGGGGACCATGGTGAAAAAGTCATCGTTCAGATAGAGAAGCTGGTCGGATGATGCACGAGGCAGGTTGAAGAGTTGAGACTCGACTGCAAGACTGTTGAAGCTAGGAATGGTCTGTTGGCGCCATTGATCAGCATCAGCTGACGAGAGCTGCTTCTTCTCATCAGAAAGTTGCATGGGTCGGAAGTACTCGGCGTCGTGATGCAAGTCAATCTTAGCTTCGGTTCCGTGGAGCGAGGCGTTGAGCCAGTAAGGTACTTGACCGGCCATGATGATTGACTCCTCGCCGCTGCTTTTTCGGCCGTGGTTTGGCAAAGCTGCTAGGGTTTGTTCGGGAAGAGGGTAGGCAGAGGCCATGATATGCATCTTGCCAATGGCTTGGGCACCAAAGGAATGGTAGGCAGATCGCATCGAGTAGAGCAGCTCATTGTGATCAGCATAACGGTGGGCTGCATCGACGTTGATGGGCGAAGAGGGTCTGTAGATGTGTCTAGCCAAGATCTGAGCAGGGTCGCTTCCGTTGACCCAAGCCCAGACGGCGTCGAATTTGAGCCCTTGACTCAAGTCGGTACCTCTACATGCGTCGCCCCAACGGTGTTGAACCACCCATTCTTCGATACATGTGTCGCTCAGGGCATCGTATGCTCTGATGGGCAGGACATCACGTGATGCGACTCCGGGTGAGCGGTCCTCGAACAGGCGGTGTACTGATTCTGCGGCCGGGGTTTGTGCATCAAGCCCTTGCGAGTCGGCGAAAGGAGTCTGCGGGTAGGATGGGGATGCAAGCTGCTTACTGAGAAGGGAGAGTGCTTCTGCTCGTGCTTCTTCTGCCGAGGCTGGCGGTGGGAAGAAAAAGTGTCGGACTGCCGTGTGTAATGCATAGGCAAGAGCTACGAGCAGTATCAGGAATTTGATGTGCCATGAGAGGGATCTACGTCGAGGCCCAGACTTCTTGCCAAAGCCTTTCGACGGACTGGCTGTCACGGGTGAGGATGGCGGATCGGATGGTGACGAGCTGCTGCTATGGCTGCCTTGTGTGCTGACACTGCCGCGCGGTGTGCTTGTTGGCAGGGGCAAGTATTGACGATATCGGTCGGTGAACGAGTCCGTCAGTAGACGGAGGTACCTCAACATGTTGAAGACTGATCCGAGGATGTGTGTATGCTATACAGGGAGGAGGACAGTGTCGTTCAGAGAAATGACCGGTAATATCAGTGATGTATGACGGAGAGGTCTATCAAGAAAGGCTGTCTGTCGTGGTCAGGTAAAGATAGATATCAAGGAAAGGGACCTCAGCTGCGAGACGTCGAGTATGAATAGAGGGGCATAGTAAGAATATGGTATGGTATGAAGGAGACTAAGATGTTCAGATCAACACAGCAGAGGAGGATCATCCTAGACCGTCGGACGAGGACCCTACATACACGGGCCTGACAGTCCCTACTCGAGCAAGGAGGACCACAACAGTCCGGGATGGGGAGAAGCAGAGCCGCAAGTGCGCAGAAGGGAGAGCGTTGACAGGCATCTTCATCGCTTCGCAAGTACCGGTCGGGTCAGAATGGTAGCCATGCTGACAAAAAAAGCAAGACAAGACAGGGCAAGACCTTTGAAGCGGTCGAGAAGCCTGGTGAAATGCCATGAGGCTTGCTGCAAGCGTCATAGGGACAGATCGTGTGAGCAGGACAGTTTCTTGGCATAGGGCTTGCAGTTCGAGCAACGAGGCGGTCTTGGTTCGCTCTACCACCGCAAGAATAGCGTCTCAGAGAGAAGAGACGTCCGGTAACTCAGCATCCGGAATGCAAGCGCCGCACTGTGAGGATAGAGAGAGCAGGACTATTCATGACGCAGGGTATCAAGCGACAAGCGAGTGAAGATGGAACCAAACATGTGATGGTCGCTGACAAGTTTCTAATTCCATCGCTAATTCCAGAGCGAACGCTATAAGCGAATGCTGTAAGCGACGACAGTGAGCTACCAGCGGCTGGCGTGTGTGTGTGTGTGTGTGTGTGGGCTGTATCTAAGCATGCGTTGGGAAAGAACACAGGATGTAAGGCTTCTGTCGAGGTCAGTGATGAGCAACGCAGGATCGGATGCTGTCTCATAGAGGAGAGAGCGCGGAATGAACGCAGCAGAGCGCTTTGACATGGTATGACTCTTCCGATGCGACCGATGCGACCGATGCGACTTGGTTTGCTTGGCACGTCAGAAAGGGCGAGCGCGCGAGCGGACATGGAAAACTTTTTCCAGCCAAGCAAGCAAGCAAGCCACCCATCCCGTCCGTACGCCACACCAAGCTTGAGACGGACTCGTGTGACTGTGGCACAGTCGTTCTATTCTTTCCACGCAGCATCATGCTTGCCCAGTCGTGGCTTGCTTTTCTTGGTTTGCTTTATCATTCATACCTTTTGCAGAGCTCTCTTTGGCGACAGCCTCGGCGAGTTGCCACTCTCTAACTGGACTCCGCTTCGAGCGCCTTTTCTTCTTGTGCTTTGCTGTTCCTTCTTCGCAGTGTCCTCGCCGAATTGACCCTCGTCCTCATACCTGATCTAGCAAAACTCGAAGACCCTCTCATGCCCAGAAAAGCAAAATGTTTCCCGCAACTCAAGGAGGTGTTGTGATGTCGCGATGGCGAACAAGCAGTCCTAAGGATCTGCGAAACAGGTGTGTCAGCAGGATCGTACAGTGACATAGACGATGGTTTCGTATCTCTTGCTGGAGCGTGTCACACGATGCAGTCGAACACAATGCCAGCCAATCACACGGTCAGATTCCGCAAAGGTATGGCTCTACATGCGCACGACGATCAACAGGGGCAGCCTATGATGGACTTCGGATGCGATAGGCGGTACATGGGCAGAGGCAGCGGAAAAGAGCTTTTGGCTTTTGGCTTTTGGCTTTTTTTTTTTTTTTTTTTTTTTTTTTTTTCCATGTCGCGACGACCGCATGGTCAACCAAATTCAAGCGAAATCAGCAGCACAACCGAGCCAAGATACTTGGCAACCCGAGTTCTGTTCATCATGGCCCGCGAGCGGAGTTTGCTTGCCAGCTTGCAAGCATAGTTAAGAGACGATGGGAGAGATCTTACAGTACCGCGGAACAAAAAGTTTTGCTTTGATAGCTGTGCATGTGTGCTGGACCGATGATGACGGCGTGCCAATCTGTCTTGACGGCGGGAATAAAGATATGCAAGATGTTAGGCCGCCAATGAATAAAGTTGATTGGAAAATTTTAAATAAAAATCTCGATATCAGTTTTCAGTGAAGCCCGATTGTTTTCGGATCGGGACATTGCTTCGGCTTAACACAATATGAAGGGAAGCAATGCTGGAAAGCTGCACGCAAGGTTAGCCTGGCTAGTGTTAGCCACCAAACAACACTCAGTCGCTGTGCGGGGAAAGAAGCAGAGTCTATCGTGCTGTAATGCAGCAAGAAGAGAGGGGAAAGAGTGCATCTCCCTTGGACCCTTGAGCTGCAAAGCGAGATTCAAGATGGTGAGGCAAAGCGACAGCGGGCAAAGCGGACAAGCATGTGGGGTAAACCCCCCCGTAAACTGGTATAGACAACTTTCTGTCTCGACAAGTGCAGCAACAAAGAGCACACTTAGGCCTCGTCAAAACTCCGCTGGAAGTGTCGTGAAGGAGCAGCTTTCGCGCTAACTCTCTCCGCTGTCGTCAGGGGTTGATGGTTGACACATCAGATCGACCAGAGTGTATGAAGAGAGTGCCGGGACGACTCGCCCGAGTCAAGCCTCGGATGCAGCTTGTGCATTTCACGCGCAAGTTTGAAAAGAGGGCCAGTCGAGGCCAGAGGCCAAAACGATGCTCAGAGAGACGCGCGCGCCTGCCCCCAAAAGGGTCCTTCTTTGGATCGACAGAAAAGGTATGAAAAGAGGAGAGCGTGAAAAGTTCGAGAGAGGAGAGCTGAGTCTGATTACAAAACTGAGCCTCTCTCATTCGCGCACCTTCTACGAGAGGAAGCGAGTGTGACCCTGAGAAATTTAAGCCTCTTGTCCTTCCTGTCTTTGTGCGCGCTGGAATCAGCATAACTTCTCCACTGCTTTCCCCTCCATGCCTTTGTGCGACCTTGATTGAACCTCTTTTGCCCGTGGCAGAGAAGCGAGTGTCAGTCTGTCTTCCAAGCTCAGCTCAAACAGCTGCTTACCCCGCATCCGCGTGAATTGTCTGTTTATTTCCCTGCTTGGCCTCGCCTCGACTGTAGCCCATTTCACAGACAGCTGAATAGCCCCTCTCGCCCATTGAATGCGTTGGACACTGTCTCCCCTTGTGCTGTCCCTGTCGCCAATCAACGACGTTGCTTTACATCCCATCGCCAGAGAGATCAATCCTTCTTCTCTCCTAACCACATCTTCCTGTCTCCTCGTCTCTTGATCTCCTTCTTTTCGCTTCCATCCTCAAAGCACGACAGATTACTACCACTACATTCGAAAGACCATAACGCATCAGCTCCTCCCTTCCTCCATACCCTCGACCGCATACAAAACATGTCCGCTCAGAAGCAGACCTCTTCCACTCCTCAGCGCAAGCAGTACACCCGCGACGAGGTCGCCAAGCACAACAAGCCCGGTGATCTCTGGATCGTCATCGATGCCGAGGTCTACAACGTCTCCAAGTTCTCCGAGCTCCATCCTGGTGGAGAGAACGTCTTTCACGATGAAGAGGTAGCTGGTCAGGACGCCACCGAGACCTTTTTCGGTCTCCACCGCCGTGAGATCCTCGCCAAGCCCCAGTACCAGCGTCTCATCATCGGTAACATCGAGGGTGAGGAGTCCAAGCTCAAGCCCGACCCGATCGGCAGCCCTTCTCGCGTTCCTTACGCCGAGCCCACATGGCTCGCTACTGCCTATCACTCGCCTTACTACAACGACTCGCACCGACACCTCCAGCGCGAGTGGCGCAAGTTTGTCGATGAGCACGTTGTGGAGGTTGCTCAGCGATGCGAGGAGAGTGGCAAGCGCCCCGACGTTGAGCTCATCAAGATGATGGGTCAGAACGGCATCAACGCCATGCGAATGGGTCCCGGCAAGCACCTCCATGGCCGCAAGCTCTTTGCAGGCATCAAGGGCGAAGAGTTCGACTACTTCCACGAGCTCATCCTTACTCAGGAGCTCGTCCGATCTGGTGCTCGTGGTTTCGGTGACGGTCTCAACGGAGGCATGGTTATCGGTTTGCCACCCGTTATGAACTTCGGTTCCGAAGAGCTCAAGAAGGAGATTGTCGAGCCTGTCCTTGCTGGTGACAAGTTCATCTGCCTTGCCATTTCCGAGGCCTTCGCTGGTTCTGACGTTATGGGTCTCCGCACCACCGCCACCCTCACTGAGGACGGCGAGCACTACATTGTTAACGGTACCAAGAAGTGGATCACCAACGGCACTTTTGCCGACTATTTCTCTACTGCCGTCAAGACCGACCAGGGCTTTGCCATGATCTGCATCCCGCGCTCGTGCGGTAACATCGAGACCAAGCAGATCAAGACCTCCTACTCGACCACTGCCGGTACTGCCTATGTCACCTTTGACAACGTCAAGGTGCCCAAGAAGTACCTCATCGGTGAGGATGGTATGGGTGTCTACTACATTCTCTCCAACTTCAACCACGAGCGATGGGTCATGTGCTGTTCCACCATCCGTGCCGCTCGTGCCGTTTGCGAAGAGTGCATGCTCTGGATCCACCAGCGCAAGGTGTTCGGCAAACCTCTTACCAGCCAGCCCGTCATCCGTCAGAAGTTGGCTCAGATGATCTCGCTCGTCGAGGCGGCACAGAATTGGCTCGAGAACATCACCTATCAGATGTGCAAGATGTCGTACGCCCAGCAGTCCAAGTTCCTTGCTGGTCAGGTCGGTCTCCTCAAGAGCTGGTCTACCCGTGTTTCGCACGAGTGTGCTGACGGTGCCGTCCAGATCTTCGGTGGTCGTGGTATCACCAAGACCGGTATGGGCAAGTTTGTTGAGATGTTCCACAGGACATACAAGTTCGATGCCGTTCTTGGTGGTTCCGAGGAGGTCCTTGCTGACTTGGGTATCCGACAGGCACTCAGGATGATGCCTGAGAACGCTCGACTCTAAATTACATACCATCAAATACACACGTTTGTACGAATTGATGACGGGGACGAATCCCAGAATTGATAACCCTCATACTTTGCCCTCTTGATTGGATTGATGCACACTCGGAAAAGTCTACGAGGGAAACGTCTGGGTTGCGTGGTAGTGACTGAATCAGTTGAAGTTGAAAAGTAGAAACACCACTTCCTCGGGGCCACGAGCAGGCTCCCTTCGCACAGGTGTGAAGCAACTGCAACGCTTAAGATACTCAAGTGAACTAAAGCTACAAACATGAGTATATATAACTTCACATCATCTATGAGAACGTCGAGCAGCCTTAAGTGAGTCGAGTGTCTCTCCTGCAGAGCTCCTGGGCGTCATCCTTCGTGTGTTTCACCTGCCTGAGTCAGCTGGTGAATAAGCGGCTTATGCTTTCACCAGCTTCTCCCTGTCGGCATTCTGGATAAACGCTGGAAATTTCCGAAGTATCTTCAACTGAATCAAATGCCATGTGAATGAATCGAAACATGAGTGTGAGTACAAAGGGTACTTGAATACAAGGGCTCAGAAAAGCCGAAAGAAAGCCTTTGTGCGACTCAGCGACGTGACTTGCCCTTTGCCTTTTTCAACGACTTTTGCATCAGCTTCTGATCTTCGGGGTTATCTAGAGAGACCATTCCATCATCGACTACCGCCTCTTCAGCAGCGTCCTGCTCTTCTTCGTCATCGATGGCGGCTGTTGTTGATGCCTTGGTCTCCTTCTTGACACCGGCATTGTTGTTGTTGCAAGGAGGGTTGACCTTGAGCTTGCAAACGAAGAAACCGTCCAAGTTGTGCACGTGAGGGAAGATGCGACGAGCGTATGTCATCCTTTCGTCAAACTTGGATCGACCGAAAGACTTGAATCCATCCTTGCCGAATTGGATGCCGGTGTCGACAATCTTGACGTTGCTGCGCTTGCGCAATGCATACTGCACAACCTCTTCGTTCTCCTCCACCATGACGGAACATGTCGAGTAGACGACGTATCCTCCTGTGCTCGAGCGAGGGTTGACCGAGTCGATGGCGCAGAGAAGGAGCTGCTTCTGAAGGTGGGTGAGGAGAGCAAAGTCGCGTTCGGACTTGTTGACTTTGACAGACTGATCCTTGTGAATGACACCGGTACCAGAGCAGGGCGAGTCGAGGAGGACACGGTCGAAGCCGCCAATCACCTTGGGGAATTGACGACCATCGTAGTTGCAAACAACGACGTTCTTGCATCCGAGACGGTGGATGTTGGCCACGAGCGACTTGATACGGTTCTTGTTCGAGTCGTTGGCAAAGACGGTACCCGTGTTCTGCATGAGTGCCGACAGGTAGGTCGACTTGCCACCAGGGGCGGAGGCCATGTCAAGCACACGCTCGTTGGGTTGAGGAGCAAGTGCGATACATGGCAAGAAGGAGGACGCAGCTTGCAGCATGTAGTGTCCGGCGAGGTACTCGGGTGTAGCGCCGACGGGAACGCTCGACTCGAAGACCTGCAATCCGACCTTGCTCCATGCGCCAAGAGGCTCCAAGTTGACGCCACGGTTGATGAGTGCCTGTGCGAGATCTCTACGTCTTGTGCGGAGGGTGTTGGCGCGGATGGTGACGGGTCGTGGAGTCTCGTTGGCTTCGAAGAACTCGATAGCCTCGGCGGGGGTGAAGAGCTCGAAGAGCTTCTCAGCAAGGAAGGCGTTGTAGCCGTAGTATGTGCAGATGTCGGCAAGGAGCTGCTCGACGTATTCGGATCGCGAACGGCCGTCAACAGCGAGCTTCTTGAAGTTGGAGAGGACTGTGACGATTTCCTGGATGCGCATGTGGACCAGCTGGAGGTCGGCACCACGCATCTTTTCGGCTTGGCGCTCTTCCAGTGTTGGGAGCATAAACTCGGCGCCTTCGACCTCGTCGTCACCCTCGTCGTCGTCACCATCTTCAAAATCTTGGCGGTCCTCGTCGTCGAGCTCCACCTCATCACCCTCCTCGCCTTCCTCGTCTTTGTCACCAAGGTCGAACACATCTCCGAGCTCCTGCTCTGCGCCCTCAACATCATCATCTGATCCTTCACCAGCCCCGTCGACCCCCTCATCATCCGAGCCAAGAGAGAGACCTTGGCTCTTGAGGAGCTCTTCGAGTCGCTCAGCTTCTGCGAGTGCCTTCTTGCGTTGCCTCTCCGTGAGCTTGCCATTCTTAGGCAGACCCAAAGCTGCCAGTGGGTCTTCTTCCTCTTCTTCGTCCATCTCATCCACATGCTCTTCATCATCGTCACCCTCGAGCTCCTCATCATCTAGCTCTTCTTCTTCGTCATGATCTTCCTCTTCTTCTTCCTCCTCTACCTCGACCGGTGCAGGACGAGCCTTGGCCTTCGCTTTCCCATTTGCGCTAGCCTTGGAGCTGGAAGGCTTCGCGGACCTCGATGTTGAAGCGGAAGCACGTGCCAAGCCGTTTGCGGCAGCTCTTGAAGAGGCAGCTGCTTTTGTGTTGGTTGTAGTGCTGATTGTGGCAGTCTTGACCTTCTTGACAGTAGCTGTGGACTCCTGAGCCTTACGCTTGCCCTTATTGACTGGACGGTCCTCAGGCAAAGGCTGGGGAGGTGCCTGCTTGTTCTTTGATCTGCGTCCCATCTTTGTTTGTGCGGGATACGTGATATCAATGGATGATTGATGGTGAAAGGAGGGTTAGCGTCCAGATCAAATGCCCGACTGTTGTTCGCGAAGAAGTCTTCGAAAAGAGGGTCTTTGCAAAATTTCTAGACTGAAGCCAAAAAGGAAAAATTTGGACGTGCTCGTGCATGAGAGCTCTCTTTTGCCCGACTTCAGGCAAATTTTTCGAGAAGATAAAGATATGTTAGGCCGATATTATTTACATTCGACTGCCACGTCAATAGATCGGAGCCGATCTCAGCGTGGATCAGGCGGACACCCGACAGCACCTCGTGGCTGTATTGCCGAAGACGCCGGTTGCGACCAACTTGAGTCAGATCATACGGGCACAGACGTTGGTATGAAAAAGATGCGGGATGCTTACGAAGTGCACAAGCGGGGTTGATTCTAATCAATAGTCCCGATCGAAAGCAATCCGTGCCAGTACCTCAGATATCGTTTTCCCCTTCTCACCACCATCCCTCTTTGCAGACCTCCTCTGCATAGTCAAACTTGTCAACATGGCCAACCTTATGTCTGTATTCGCCCCTAAGGGCGGTCTCGAAGCAACAACAACCGCCATCATCCTCCCCCCTTCTTCGCCAACCCCCTTCACCTTCACCTACGACCGCCTCCACCAGCTCGTGCTCGACCTTCAATCGCAGCTTGCCTCCTTCAATCTGGCTCCTGGTGCTGCAGTCAGCTCATCGCTCGTGAACGGTATCGAATTCACCCTCGCTTTCCTGGCTACTGGTGCCGAGAGACTGGTCGCCGCACCTTTGAACCCCAACTATTCGCAGGGTGAAGTCGAGTTCTACTTGCAAGACGCCAAGTCGCAGCTTCTCTTGCTGCCCAAGGGCGCGCTCAAGGCAGGTCACCCAGCTGTTGAAGCAGCAAAGAAGGTCGGTCGACTCGAAGTTGTTGAGATCGTTTTCGACAACAGCGGAATCGGCAGTGTCTCTCTCATCCGAGCTGACGGCAGCAAAGTTGGCAGGAAGAACCAGATTCGCAAGCCACAAGATGAGGATGTAGCTCTCGTCCTTCACACCAGCGGTACCACCGGTCGACCAAAAGGTGTTCCTCTCACCCACAAGAACCTCTACACAACCATGGGCAACATCATCTCGACCTACAGCCTCACTCCCCAAGACCGCACTTACCTCGTCATGCCGCTCTTTCACGTCCACGGCTTGCTCTGTGGTCTTCTTGCCACGCTACTTTCAGGTGGCAGTGCTGTCATCCCGCCCAAATTCTCTGCCAGTGTATTCTGGAACGAACTCAGCACGAACAATTGCAACTGGTACACAGCCGTTCCCACTATCCACCAGATGCTTCTCAACTCGCCTATCCCCAACCCTGTCCCTAACATTCGTTTCATTCGATCATGCTCCTCCGCTCTTTCGCCCTCCACCTTCCACGCGATCGAGAGGACATTCAAAGCACCCGTCCTCGAGGCCTACGCGATGACCGAAGCCGCTCACCAAATGACCTCCAACCCGCTCCCGCCCGCCAAACGCAAACCTGGCACCGTCGGTATCGGCCACGGAGTCGAAATCCGCATTCTCAACGATGCAGGTCTGGAAGTCCCCCAAGGAACTATCGGCGAAGTCTGCGTCCGTGGAACAAACGTCACCAAGGGCTACCTCAACAATCCTAAGGCTAACGAAGAATCCTTCGTCACCAACAGCCAGAACAAAGGTTTCTTCCGCACGGGTGACCAAGGCCGTAAAGATGCTGATGGATACGTTGAGCTCGTGGGTCGTATCAAAGAGCTGATCAACCGTTCCGGTGAGAAGATCTCACCACTCGAAGTTGACGCGGCTCTACTCGCTGTTGAGGGCGTCAAAGAAGCAGTATCCTTTGCTATGCCTGACAAGCTTTACGGCGAGAAAGTCGGCGCGGTTGTCATCTTGCACAAAGACAGCAAGTTGGATGAGAAGGCGATTCAGAAGGCTATGGAAGGTAAGATCACTAAGTTCAAGATTCCGGAAAGAATCTGGATTACCGACGCTATTCCGAAGACCGCTACAGGTAAGATCCAGAGGAAGAATGTTGCAGCTACCTTCGTTAGGAAGGATGGTGCCAAGTTGTAAAAGATCGAGCGCATAGAGATGGAAAGATGCCGTTACCTTGTACGATTCGCTCTCACGTCACATTGCACGAACAAAAGAGTTGTTTCACTGCCCAATGGATCATTGCTTGCTGAGAATTACAAGGAAAGCTTGAGCCCTTGAATCACCACGTGGTATCGAAGCGCTGAACGACCTGCACTGCATCTTCAACATCCTTCTGAGCCCTTTTTCTCTTGAAGAAGATCGGACAATCCTTGTTGGTACACAACACATCCTGTGCCAAACTACCTTGACATCTCTGACAGCATGTCCACAGCCGCGCAAACTCAACCTCCAATGCCGAAGCCCTCGCTAGCTTTTCGTGATACAACTGTGCCACTCTCGGTCTGCAATTCTTGCACACGGGTATGTTTTGGTCGCGCAATGGTGTTCGACAGCCCAAACACTGTACCGTCTTGACCGCAAACTTCATGAGCGCACCGACGTTCGATGTCGCCACTTGGACGACACGGGTATGTTCACCGTTGAGCATGGTGTTCGCTTTAGGTCCCATAATAGGTTCAAAGATACGAAGGAGAGGCTTTGCAAGCTGGTTTTCGAGGTAGTATCGAGTGTCGATGGGGATGTTGTGGTCGAGAACGTAGATCGGGTCTTCGGATCGCTCGTATGCTGCAGCACCCTTGGCGGCCTTGACGATGACGTAGGCGACACGATCACCCAGTGCGGGTGCGGAACCAGCATCACGCTTGCGCATACGCTCTGCGAGCTCGACGTGCGCTTGCTTGGCTGCGTAATCAGACTTGGCCAAAGCTTTTGTAATAACGAGCTGCGACATATCGACCTTGTTCTGCAACAAATCCGAGATGATGTTCTTGGCATACTCCTCGGCGCCCTTGACATCTCGGTCGATCAACATCTTGCGGAGGCAAGTATCGATAACAGTCTGCACGAGTCGACAGTTGTCACGACGGACCGTCTCGATACCTTTGGTATCCATCTTGTCGTACTTCTCTGGGCGTGTCCAGTAGAGACCAGCGTAACGCTTTTTGCTGATCAAAAGGTAAGGGAAGTAGACTTTTTCGAACTCGAGCTTGATGGGATCGATGAAGGTCTTTGACACCAAACCAGCAGCTTCAGCACCCAGCTTCATGGCTTTGGCCAAGTCAGGCGGACCAAACTTGATCATGACGGAATCGGTATCACCATAGACGACCTCAGCATCGTGCTCGTATCCGTTGGCAATAGTATAGTGCTTCTCGACGTATGTCTTGGTCTGCTCGATCATCTGTCGACCATAGGCAGTGGTACTCATCGAGATCTCGAGACAGGGCAACTTGCCGATGGTCGCACCTGTGAAACCATACACCGAGTTGGCACTGATCTTGAGCGCCAACTGACGACCGTCCAGCACGGCACGCCTGAAAGGGTCAGTCTCCTTCTTGAGATCAGCCTTTGCCCTCTTACGCGCTGCCAACAGGTTCTCCAGGACAGTGGGCAAGAGACCTTTGCGGAGTTTCTTGGTTGCAAAGTAGTTGTTGTTGGGTGTGATAACAAAGTCGTCATTCTCCTTGAGCTCCAGTCTGTCGATCGTCTTCTTGTCAAGCAGCGTTGTGTAGCAGAGATTGTGTGCCATCATAACGGAAGGGTAAAGTGATGCGAAATCGAGTGTGGCAATGGGTCGATCGTAGTAGCCTGCTTTGGGTTCGAGCACAGTAGCTCCCTCGTACTGATCTTCGGTGCCTTCACCTTTGTAGGCTGGGACGAGGTATTTGTCTTCGTTGGCCTTGCGGAAGAGCTGAGAGACGACCTTGATCTGCTGACCACGTGAAAGGAGGTAGTTGAAGGGAACACCCGTTACTCTTGCCATCTCAATGTAGTTGACGAAACACATCAGCTTGTCCATAAGACGTTGTGGAAGGTAGGCGTCCTTCAGACAATAGACGGCAAGACGTCGACGCGATTCTGGACCTGCGTTTTGAAGTTCAGTAATAAGCGAGTGGTGCACGTCTTCTTTCTGCTCGCCGAGAAACTCGAACGAGACCGAGTTGAGCGAATAGGAACGGAGCTTGTAGTCACGCTGCATGACTTGGAGCATGTCGAGCTGGAGACGCCCTTGGAGCTCGGTGTTCTTCGAGTCACGGGTACCGTACGCTTTCGAGGAGAAGTGGGTGTCCTTGGCTTCAGTGCGAACGCCGCGCTCACGACCGAGGTAGGCGAATTTGGTCGACTTGAGTGCTTTGGCTCGGTCGAGAAGGTATGGGAAATCAAAGTTGGCAATGTTGTAGCCAATGATGACATCGGGATCGACCTCTTGGACAAACTTGGTCCAAGCCTCGAGCATGTCAATTTCCTTGTTGAAGGACAGGACTTGACTGCCGACGATGTGGGAACATGTGTTGAGTGTAAAGACATTCTTGACAAAGGGACTGGACTCGCCCTGGCGTGTGACCATGTTGGCGATCTGAATGACCGGGTCCATGGAGGCTTCTGGAAAGACACCTTTGCGACCGGCACACTCGATGTCGAAACTGAGAATACGGAGAGGTGCAAGCTTGGACCATTCGTCATCAGGAGCATGCGAGAGGATGGCATCACAGCTACAGTCGAGCTCGATCTGGCAGAGCGAGACCTTTTGACTGTCGGGACGAAGTTTGTAATTGGCAGCCTTGACGCGAATCCAGTTCATGCCGACAATCTTGAGGTCGATCATGAAGCGCAGAGTGTAGGCGATATTCTCGTAGGTCAGACAGGCATCACCGGGAGTAAAAAGGTCACGGAAGCCGACTTCGCCACGTTCGAAAGCACCACGAATCTTGGAGACACCTCGAAGATCAGAGATGGTGAGCTTGATGAAGGCGACATTCTCATGACCAGCATAGCCCATGAGACTTTTTTTGCTGACAATCTCGGACCTGTTAACTGCGCGGCTGCCAAAGAGAAGGTTAAGGTGATTGGTGAAGTCATTGCATGTGTTTGCTGTGAAGCCTCTCGGCGCGTGAATGTAAAAGTAGGGAAGGAAGCCATAGATGTGAGCGCAGACCGAGTGACCCTCGACGGTGACACCGTACATGCGAATAGCTGGAGGTTGGCCAACGGCTTGATGCTCTTCAATATCGATCTGCTGGAAGGTGACGGCATCGTAATCGACGTCGAGCGGTTCGAGATATGGACGTGGCCATAACGCTTGATCGTCCACTTCTTGATTCGAGTCGGCTTCCTCTTTGAGCTTTTTCAGTGTATCGGTAAAAGCCGAAGAATGGTGTTGATCGATCTTGCGCTTGTGCGAAGACGGAGGTGCCGATGGATGTGTCAGCGTCTGTGTTGCTACGGGCGCCATGATGTGGTGAGTGTCGGCAAGGTGCCGAAGATGAGGCGTGGGAAAGACGATGCTACGTCGGCTGAGTCGAGGGCATGGACAAGCCGATGGCTTGCTGGACGGCTGCTATCGTAAGGGTGCGCAACGAGCCACGAAAGCTGGCATGTATAGCCTGAGCTGGTGGAGGCAAGAAGGCGAGAGGGCAGCGGAAGATATGATGGACAAAAGTCGAGAAGATGCTGAATGCTACCTGATCCTTCGTCTTCAAGGGACAAGTCAGGGTCTTGACAAGCTTCAGCCCATCAGTCACACAGCACAGCAACAGTGGGGAGGGGTGTTTGGGTTGGAGTTGAGCTGAGCTTCTGAGCTGAGACTCGCTGAAATTTCATTTCGGCCTCTTTGCACTTTGCGCGACGCGTGAGTAGCCGCTGCGCGAGCGAGACCAACACTGAGGGATTTACGGATCTCTGTCAGATCGCAATTCCGGACATGAGCCCGTTTTTGAAACTCAGTCTAGCCGAGGTGTCCCTTTGACAGTTCTGACAGCTCGGGATTCTGCACAACGTTGGAGCAGATTCACGTTACGATGACGACGCAGGGCGCGAATCACCGCGTCAACTGCAAGACTATGATCGCTCCAAGACCAGAAGCTACGAGAAGGGAAAGAGCTGCTTAAATTGCGGTGACGCTCAAGTCTGCCTCCTTCCTGTGCATGACTGGCTGCTTCTGCCGATTGGATAGGATCATCCCGATCCACAACGGCCGAGACTGCAATCGAGGTAAGATTCAACTGTATGATGCCGATGAACAAGCTTGGTTTCACTCGAGCTTTACCTGCAGCGTCTGGAAGTGTGATAATTCAAGGTGAGAGAGAGAATAGCTTAAGAAGATAGCACTTCACCAGCAACGGGTGTTCTGCCCTTTCCCTTCCCTTTGTTCTCGGCGTTCTTGATTTTTGAGGCACTTTCTCGGTGTCCTTGCGGACCCACACTTTGGGTCTGCACCTCATGCAACATTTGCAGCAGACACAATCAGCTTGGACCCTCTCTTTCCTTTGTTCTAAGAGTTCCTAGCGTCTTTCCGCCCTCTATCACACTCCTTCTCATCTTGCCTATCAACGCTCAGCAAGTTGACATGGCGGACAGGAATAGGGCACTGTCGGCTGCGCCGTCCCGCACAAGGTCCAATAGAGCTAGGAAATAGGCGTCTCGGCGACTTTAGGTTTCGACCATCTCTTCTTCTCGCCGCCCTCACATGCACGGTTGAGCGAGTCACATCGCCTTTTCCGACTGTCAAGAGAGCTGATACCCACCATCACGCCTCTTCGAGCCCCACCATCACCTGCGATTCTCTCTTGAAGCTACAACTGCTCAGGGTACCAACTGGACCTGCAGTCTCAGCTCCCCACCTCTCTTCATCTGTCACACTTTCGATCAACACTCTCCTGCACGCGCAACACATCGAACCCTAAAACGCTTCCGCAGATCACAACCCTCATCTCGTGATCTCCTAGGTGATAGCCTGTTGCGCCGCCGCTTCCGCACAATCCCATTTAACATCCTGTCCGCAAATCACAACAGGCTTTCTATTTCAGCATCTCACAACAGGACAGTACAGCTCCACAGCTCCACAGCTCGCTGCTAACATCGTGCGGAATTAGCTCGGATGAAGCCGATTCTTGTTTAAAAAGCGGCTCTGATCTGAGCTGCTGCCGCTGGAGATCGCACTTCATTATCTCCTTCTTTCTTCATCGTCTCACTTTTTCTTCATCACAGTGACAATTCCGAAGATATTCGAAACAGGCCATATCACCTCCTCTTCTGGTATTACCTTTTCCTATCTCGATCACGATCACATTATCTTACTTTTATATCCATCTCTCTTCATCATCCTTCACCACGACACTGGAGCTCTGTTCGCTTATCACCCTTCGCAATCTGGCTCTTCCGTCTACGATCCATCGCAGAAAGATTTGTCCCTACATTTAAGAGTGTCCCCAACTCCTTCTTTCTATCAATGGAGAGATGTTCATTAGACAGCTCCAGCAGGGCTGGTCCATCCAAAACACCACGCAAAACTCGCTCTCGCTCACAGAGTCTTGCTGCGCTTCAAGATGTCACCCCTCAGCCAAAACAGCCATACAAAATCCCAGAAGCACCACCTCCCGTCCTTCGCAAGATTCCCCGACCTCCCAATGCATTCATCCTTTACAGATCCAATAAGATGCGCGAGCTCATGAAAGAATCCCAATCGCAAACCGGAACCGGTCTCAGCAAGCTTGACTATCAACGACAGCTCAGTAAGCGCATTGGTGAGCTTTGGCGCAACGAAGACCCCGATGTTAAAGCAGAATTCTACGACAAGTCTCAGCAAGCGGCAAGGGAGCATGCTGAGAGGTATCCCGAGTACCGCTACAAGCCAAAGCCTCTGTCCAAGAAGGCGCAGGAGGAGGAGCCACTGCCAAGCGGTGTGCAGGAGACAACACCCGAAAGACGAGCAGACACGGATTTCGCACCGGGCAACCTGAGCGGCCCCATCTCTGGAACTGGCTCAGGAAGTGGACGCAAAAGGGCATCGCTAGAAGGCGCCAGGGCGAAAGCTTCGCCTTACTCGGCAGCGAGTCGACATCGTCGTACGTCGTCAAGCGGTCCCACATCTCCTTCCATTCGTCAAGCGTTCAATAACCATGCAGGTCAAACAATGCCTGTTCTTCTCTACTCTGCATCAGACACTCGCCCATATCATAACGGCACAGCTCCAATGCAGCGCTCCGTCTCACAAAAGTATACCCACGAACGCAAAGCAAAGATTGCAGCTCGAAGATCTCTTGACGGTCAAATGCCTTGTGCCTCTAGCTCAAATGACGGATTCGATACTCTCGTGCCGCAATACCTAAGAGATCTGTCGCATGTCTTCCTCGCTCCTGCTGCACTACCTCCCCTTCCCATCGGACAGGCGATCACGACCGACGATACGGCATCAAGGGGTGATGAGACTCAGCAAACACGCCCTCACAAGCCCAAAATGAGCCTGGGTCAGGCTGTCAAGCAGGCCCTTCCACCCGAGCGACGCGCATTGCTTCAAGCTTCGTTGATCAAGAAGGGACTTGTACCGACAAGTGAAACGCACCAAGACCAGAGACAAGAGGTCCCCGAACCAGTCGAGACAATTGCGAATCAGACGCAGTCAGGATGGCACTCAGCCTTCGAACAGAGCTCGTCACAGTCCTCCTTCCTGCCAACACAAGAATCCGCCACCACCTTCAACTCGACCCAAACCACCTACTCCGACTCCCAGCATTATGCTCATCCTCAGCTATCGTCAGAATTGGATCCAGCGAACCAAGCAAGTCTGAACATCAACATGTCCCAGATCCAAGCAGAAAGGTACGGCGGGCTTGCCGATTGGACTCAACCTGACCCTTGCTGGTTGGACACTTCCTTCTCCCAAGCTACTGATGGATCGCTTAGCTCTGCAGCTCAGCCACTCACTCAAAGTGACTACTCTGGGCTTGAACAAACGCAGATCGGCTGTGCTACAGCTCACTTTGGGACACTCGACAATTTCACGACATTCGAAATGGGGCAGTATGCTCACCCGTCCCTCGACTTTCCCGTCACAACGGCGAATTCCGCGATTGTGGCATTGTCCGATCCGAACGATGCAGGACAGATTCAAGGTCATTTCTATGGGCTGAACGGAGAGTTCATCGCGCAAGGAATCACAGCTGGGTTTCAAATCGGGCAAAGGGAAGTGGCGTCGTACGTGGAGGAGGAGCAAAGACAGCAGAGGGCCGTTGAAGAGCTGCTGCTACAAATGATGCAGGCTCCTGCTCGTGCAGATGGAGGTTCAGGCGGAGCAGCAGAGTCAGCCTATTCGGTTTATCCAGACTACAATCTCCCCGTTCAGCAAGAGCAGGCCCAGGGGCCGTCATTACAATGGCAGCAGCATTGGCATCCAAGAGTGTACGCTCAGCCGCAAGTTGACACGCAGCAGTCTGTGCCGCCGACAAACGAAATGGTAACGTATACTGACTACATCCAGCAGCAGCCGAGCTATGGTGATATCGAACCCACCCTATCCCCCTCTCAGATCTTTGGCGACAGTCAGAACTGGATCGAGACACACCAGTCTGGTCGTTTAGCGTTGTCGGATCCGACAGGCGCCAACCTTAACTTCAGCCGACCACTGGGCCATGTAGTGCCCTCACAACAGCCCGGCGAGCAACACGTTGGCAGTGGCGAAGGAGCGGAACCATTTGGGCATTGTCTGAGCTTGGCCACTGCTGGACTCGTCAACCCCCACAGCCTTCACGAAGCTCTGCCTCAGGAAGAGCAGGAAGCAGAACGAACCGAGCCGAGAGAAGAGGAGGCAGAGGCTCAATGCAAGGCAACGAAAGGCCTGAGAAGCTGGAAGACTCATCAGCTGTCGTCGATCAAAGAGAAGCTAGCCAAGATTAAGTATCGAAACCCTCAGTCCAATGCTCAGGCAGCTCAAGGCGAAGGAGAGGATGGGTTACGGGTCAAGAGGGAGCGTTGAACTGGCTACGAGACTATATTTTCATTCGGTTGCTGTAATACATATTTCGATTGTTGACAAGTCTGGTCAAGGATGGTGAGGATATGTTTTTCTGTAGATGACATGTCTCGCAACAGGCCAGCGCGGAAAGCTAGTACAAGATCTGAGCGCGTCAGTGGCGCTGTTGATTCATGAACCCTTGCAAAAGGCCGACCACCATCTCTTCTTGGTTTGGCTCCAACGGTGGAGGCGGCATGAGCTGAGTCGCCTTCGCTTCTGAGTGCTGTTGTTGGTGTTGATGTTGATGATTGTGCTGCTGCTGAAATTGAGTCGGAGCCTGAGACTGAGATTGAGAAGGTAGAACGCTGAGAACCGACGTCTGATCTCTCCAGAGTTCGCTGAGACCTGCTCCAAAAAGGAATGGACTTGGCATGACCACTCCATCGCAGCTACCGTGACCATTGTCAGACCATTGTATAGCACCGTTGGTGAGCGGGGACGGACTTTGAGCGGAGAAGGTCGAAGGAATCGCGCCCTGAGGCCTAAATGCCTGAGGTGCACGGAATGCTTGAGCTATGGGCGGTTCTCTTCGTTTCCGAGAGTCATGTGTAGGAGGAGCCGTCTCGGAGCGGGAAATGGACGAAGCGGACACCAGAGATTCGTGTCGAGGTAAAGTGGCCGATCTGATACGTTTGCTAGAGCTCAATTGTCCAGCTGAGATACTGTCGTTGCTAAGAGAGGGAGCAAGCCTGGCTTCTTCGGGCAACCTGCGCTTCACGTTTCGAGCGTTGTGCGTCTCTGACGTTGACGACAGTGTCTCCGTTTCCCAGCTCTCAGCCGTCTTACCTTCGAAACAAGAATGGACGCCTGTCGATTGCGAGTTCAGCCACTCGCCGGCGACCAAGCCGTTGTCTAGACCGTTTGGTGTATGCTGTGGTGTCGGTGATGTCAATGGATTCAGCGCTTCTGTCGCCCACTGCATCTGCAAACTCGTTGATGCACCAGCTCCAGGATCGCTCGCTCTGCGCATGATATCCTTGCCGTCTCTCCATCGACAGGTACCCATACAGCCTCCCGACTCGAATGCTATAGCCCAAGCCCGTTCCAATCTCTCGAGCCTCATCTCTAACGACTCAACATATCTGCGGCTGTAGGCGGAGCGATCCTTGACATCGACGTAGATGCATTGTTCCGCAAAGGCGACGCAATGACTGCACGGCTTCTGACCATTGCATTTGACCTTTTTGCGACGGCAAACTTCGCACGCTCTGACGACTCGTTTGCGAATGGAACCTTCATGGGGCATGACGCCAGATAAGGATGTGGAGGTATGACAAGGTGGCTGTGCCAAAGGGTGTGGAGGAGGAGTCGAATCGCTGGAGGTGGAAGGGGAGGTCTGTGTGAGCGAGTTGAAGCACATTGCTGCGGGTTGCCGTTGTTGATCGTCTTTGGCGTTGCGGTCGACGTGTGGTTACGCTCTCGAGAAGGGTGAACATGGATGAATTTTATGGATTCTAACCACGCTGAAGGAGGGGTTGAGTCAAGATACATGAAGAAGCTGCTACTGACCCTCTGCAGGCCATCGCTCCTCTCAGGTGGTGGGTATCTATCTCTTGTACTGAAGCGCCAATGCTGAGCTTCTGCTTTCTAGACCGAGTTCGAGCCTATTGAGCCCTCAGGAGAATTCATTTGCTGTGAGTCTGTTCGAAGTAATCTCCGCTGCCGGCGTTCTGTACCGCTGCCTTGGAGGCCTTGAGAATCTCCGTCTCTTGCACTTTGCCGGTGACCTGTTGCCAGACCAAAAAGGCGCGATCAAAACGAAGAAGGGAGTAAGGCCTGGCTTCTTCAACCTTATCGCATTACAACCAGCCACATTTGCTCATTTATGGTTAATTCGTCAAGCCAGGCGTCATGCTTTGACCTTGATGCACAAAGATGAGAGACTCGCACCACAACGTACCTGACATGCAGAGGTTTCAAGCGCATGTCTGCGAGGATCGTTGGAAGAAACAAAGCGCCGAAGTAAGGCCGACGTCGGCTTCGTTCTCTCAGTGATGTTGTTGTCGAGCTCATCAGACGACCAACCTTGGTCTCCACCGGATCACCGTGGGGCAGTAGAAGCAAGACGAGGCTTCCGTCGGCTTCTGCTTTCCAGCGAATGCTAAAGAGCATATGAAGAAGAAAAAGAAGCTTGGCGATGCCATTGGCTTTCTGGCATTTTGGCTTGATGGAGAAGAGCAAGAGCAAAGATACAGCTTGGAGATGGAGATGAAATGTGAAGGACAATCGCTGACTCTGCGCAATTTCCTTTATAGATGAAGCCTGGCGGAAGCTGCTGCGCTGCAGTTGATGTAACAAATGCAGATGCAGGCTCGTCATTCATCACGGAAGGTTGCTACGCCACTTGACCGACAAAGCCTATTGCTCCTGACGTTCGAAATCAGGCAAGTTAGCGACCCACGCTCGAACAGAGCCACGAGTCCACACACCGGATTGATAAATCGAAAGAAACAGTCCAGTGGCTTGCCCTCATCTGTGGCGCGAGGTTAGCACGAATAGAGCTTGATGTTTTGTCAATGCTTGGTGTCGACGAGTGAGATGGCTTCAACGGTGGAGCCTAGTGCGTCAACGGACAATCTCAGATGTCCGTTCCATTTGATGTCGGACCGTAGCTCTTCGGCCTACCCCGAATTCAAGGTCTCAGTATTGACACGGACCGCATGTTTTGTCAACTAAGGTTCGGGATCTATGCTTCAACGAGTAAAAATACAAATGCATCCTAGGAATTAACGTAACGCTTGCGACCAAAGGGACGGAGTGAAGCGGGGCAGGATCAAAGCTCCTCAATCTCTAGATCCTCGTCATCGCTGTCTTCTGCCTCTTGCTGCTCAGCACCGACGTCGTCTTCATTTGCCTCTGCATCGTCCTCCAAATCCTTGGTTGTGGAGGCCGATTCATCTCTCTTGAGGATGTTGACCAGCCTGAGCACTGCTTCGGCGATCTTCTCGTCCGGTTCAACCAAGTGTGATGATCGAACAACAACGTAGGCGCCACGTGCACGCAGACATTGTCGGCCGTAGAGGTTGGTGCACAGAAGCAGAAGGGACTCGACGAGCATCAGTCGAAGTGCAGGATCCTTCTCGCGCTTCTTTTCCTCGGGAAGCATTTGACACTCCTCTGGCAGCTCCTCCTGGTCCTCGAGATCGACCTCGGAAAGCTCCTTGCCATCGCATAGCGAAAGCAGGAGATAAGGGAGGATATCTACAGAGGAAGGCGGACGAGTGGTGGCACGAAGGGCGCCCGCAAGCATCTCGTTTTCTCCGTCACGAAATGCTGGTGGAGCGACGAGAAGCTTGTGTGCGGATGTGACGAAGAGGACGTTCTTAAGCGTGCTGATAACACCTCCTCTGCGGATGAGGTTGGGGTGTTCTGTGAAGGCCATGATACGAGCGACAGGGTATTCGGTAGCAGGAGGAGCGGTACCCTGCTCGTCAACACCACCAGCCAAGGCGGCCTGCGCTGTGGCAGAGGCAGCGGCGGACGATGCTGACAAGGGAGCGACAAACCAGTCTCGGCCTCTTGGAAGCACTGTAACGTTGGCAAAGACACTAGCGAGGAAGTTGCAGTTGGTCTTGCGCTTGATTCGTGGCCTGCCGTCTATTCCGCGCTCCACCTTCTCTGGCTCCTTGTCCTGATCCTGTTGGGCCTTTGTCGCAGCATCCTTTGCACGTTGCTTCATTGCCTCGAGATCGCTCCCCTGGGAAGCGACCGTTGCACCCTCCTCGAAAGCATCTAGCAGCCTAGCCATCGCCGGTACTTTTTCTTCGATCTTCTTTGCTTCTACTGCCACCTTCTTGGCATACTCGTCAGCTTTGACCTTCTTGGCGGCGTATTCGGGGTCATTGGGCTCAACGTCCATACCGTTGAGTGCACCTTCCATCTCCTCAGAGGCCATGAAACTGTAGAAGGGACGAGCCTGAACTTGGAGGTCGAGGAGCATGGCACAAATGGACTCGAGCTTGGTCAGATTGGAGAGGAGCATGCATGCGAGATCTGCGAGGAGCGAGACAGGATCGGCAATGTAGCGAACGAGGAACTCGAGGAAGGCCTTGTCGCCGATCTTGCGTGCCAGCACCAGGCTGTCAGAAATGTTGATGAGTGCGCTGAAAGCATCGTGAGCGGTGATAGGCTGGTCTTGGCAGAGTCGCTTCAGATCTTCTATGGTGTCGACCTCCTTGCCATCGCGGCCCATGAGGGGCGAGCCATCACGATTCTTGTACTTCGAAATGAGGAGAGAGCGGTGCGGGCTGTCTTTCGCACTGAAACCGACAATGTTGTTGAGAGCTACCTGTCGAACCTGAGCGTTAGGGTCCGACAAGAAGGTAAGCACCTCCAGCTCAGGTGGCGTTGTGACTGTCGGAGGCATTATGAGCAGATTTGTTGCTCCAGGTGTATGGTAGATAGAGTGATATGAGAAGTGTTGGCGTCGAAAGGACGTGCGAAGAAGAACCATGCTCAGTTGCGAAAAATTTCAAGAGCCGAGGTTCACGCCAACAATCAACTCTCAGTTGAAGTAGATAAAGCCGCACAAAGCGTGGAGACAGTGAAGGTAGTGCTTACGGCCGAGTAAAAGGCCTGAACATCTTAGCATGGACCACATGTGTCACAACCTACTCAAGGCAAATGCTTTGTTATGCTCCGCAGTCAATGCGGCTCTCTGCCGCTCTTCTTTTGTATATATAGACTCCTAGCTCTCTTGCTCTCTCTCTCCTACCATCATCATCAACTAGACGCCTCAACTCCAACCACTGACAACTGACTCCAACGCACTGACGAATGACTTCAACGTACTGACGAAGGACTTCAACTGATTAAGAGTCTGACACTCAACGCAATGCCGCCATCGACAAGAGCTGGACAGACGGGAAGGGGCAATGATGATCAAACGACCACAAGCAATGGACAGGAGGAAGGATGGCTCACGCAGGTAGTCAGGCTCCTCCAGCTGGCAAACCCGGCACTATCGGCAGAGGAAGCAATAGTACGGGCCATGGGTCTGGTCAACATTAGCAACCAAGCTCCACATGGGGAGACCAAAAAGATCCCCAAGGACGTATCGAGCTCCATTGCTCACATCAAGAAGCTCAGTGATAGCAATTGGCACACCTGGGAACCCACCTTTATCGACTGCCTCCAGAGAGTGCACAACGCGAAGGAAATCCTGTATGGTACCGTTGTACCCAGGAGCGAGGAATACGATGAAGACCTAGACAAGGCACTCGTGGGCCTCATCCACGCCTGCTGCGATAACAGCCCGGATAGCTGCATCGACACCTACACTGTCAGAGGGGTGGATGAAGAAGTTCAACTTGGTAGCACACTCTATGCCAAACTCAAGAAGGCACTAACACTAAACGACGCTGTAAAGCAAGCAGGACTGCAGGATCATATCCACACAGTGCGCTTGCACAATCGAGACGTTGTCAGACTAGGCAAGGAACTTGATTCGATCTGGAATGATGCGGCACGCCTCGGAAAGCATTTCGATGAGGACCTCAAGAAATCAACTCTCTATCGCTGCAAGGCTCAAGATTGGTTCTACGCCAACACCGTCGATGCACTGAAAATGGCCAGACCAGACTGCAAGTATGACGAAGCCTACCATGCACTGGCCAAGAAACAGCAGGATGGTGAGATCACTGGTCGTATTAGAGGAGCAGCAAGGGTTGCCACAAACGCGGAACAGGGGAGTGCCAACCAGGCAGAGCAAGGACCCAGGGGGAGGCGCAATCCTCGCAATCCCTTGGCCCCTCCAAAGTGCTATGCTTGCGGAGGACCAAATCACATTGCTCGAAATTGCACAAATGCACGAGGCACAAGCGAACCTGTCGCTCATATGACACAAGAGGTGAACCACTAGGAACTCGGGTGCACCTTTCTAGCAGTCGACAGGGGTGAGCGATCAGCATGCGACACCTGGATCATTGATTCAGGTGCAACCCATCATATGGTAAATGATGAGAGAATGCTGCTCACCTCAACGAACAAGGTCGGCCAAATCAGTACGGCAGGGGACGAAAAGCTTCAGGTGAAGGCTATAGGAGATGCCTCCCTTCGGGTTGGTGAGGCCACCATCCAACTATTGGATGTGCTTTATGTACCGAAACTGAATGCTAACTTATTGTCTGTACAAGGCTTGATCGAGTATGGTGCACGAGTAATCTTTGATGAGTTTGGAACTACCATAAAGCAGAACGATGGTACCCAAGTACAATTCAAAAGGGACAGAAGACAGGGCCACTTCAAAGTGCGAGGACAAGCACTGGCTTTGGAACTGGAGGAAACATGAGATGGCGTCCCAGAGGACAACCAGAACACAGGAAAACTAGATAATGCCCCGGAGGGCAATAAGGACACGAAGCATCGAGACAGCTACCTATGGCATGAGAGGTTCGGACACCCAGGACGAGACAAAACGAGACAAATCCGGGCCCATTACCTAGGTACCGATGAGGAAATGGAACATGAGTCGAAGCACTGCAATGCGTGCAGTCAAGGAAAACAGACTCGAGCACGGATGAGCCAATCAGAGTCGGAAAGAATGGAGGCACCATTAGAGCTGGTACACATAGACCTGATGACAGATTTCAAAGGACATGCCAACTACCACTACGCACTAGTTGCTGTAGATGACTTCTCCTCTCTGATCTACGTGGAACCACTCTGCACAAAGAGTGCCACACTCATGGTGCTGAGAAGGTGGATAGCCAGGATGGAACGGGCAACAGACAGGAAACTCAAAACACTCCGCAGCAACAATGGAGGAGAATGGTGCAGCATAGCAGCCGAAGACTGGCAAACTCAAGAGGGTTTTAAGTGGCAAAAGAGCGTCCCGGGGATCAGTGTCCAAAATGGACGGGCGGAGAGAGCAATCAGATCGGTCCAAGAAAAGATGCGCTCGATGCTGATTGGTCGAGCTTGCCCCAGAGAGTTGTGGCCGTACGCAATCACAGCAGCAGCACACGTGATGAACCTTACCCCGTCAGCCACCAAAACCATTCCCCACGAGGCCTTTTATGGAACCACCGCGCACAAGCTGGCCCAGCAACTGCGAGTCTTCGGATGCTTGGCATGGGTTCATGTTCAACAGAAGGACCAGCAAGGCAAGCATGGAGCTAGAGCAAAGCCAGCCATCATGATTGGGTATGATGATGAACACAAAGCATGGAAGTTTTGCAACCCGGACCAGCCTGCGTCAATTCAATGGAGCAACTCAGCAACGTTCCATGAGGACAAAGGATGGAGTGATCGCCAACAAGAGGCAGTCAGGCCCGTGGTGACCGTGGAGGTCGAGGAGGAGGGTGTCACGCCAGCCATAGTAGAGGAGGAGACCAGATCAGAGGCTGCAGTGGAGGATCTCCTACCAGCCGTAGACAGCACAGTGGGTGCCACCAACACAGCAATACTGAACCTGGACCCAACACTTGGGGAAGCAATGAATGGTGAGGACGCCCAGCTCTGGAAGGAGGCAATACAAAAGGAGCTAGAAGGACTTGAGGCAATGGGGACTTGGGAGGTGGTGCACCAACCACCAGGAGTACCACTTGTGGACTCTAAGGTTGTGCTTCGGCTGAAGCTTGATGCTGATGGTGTACCTGTTAAGCACAAAGCGCGACTGGTTGCAAGGGGCTTCACACAGAGAGAGGGGATCGACTACCAAGAAACCTTCTCTCCAGTAGCACCCCTCAGAGCGATCAGAGCCATCTTAGCACTAGCAGTGCAGAACAACTGGGAGGTACATGCTCTGGACATCACTATGGCTTACTTGAACTCCACGTTAAAGGAAGCAATCTACATGAAGCCGCCAGAAGGATCAGGAGTAGCACCCGGCAAGGTGTACAAGGTAGTCAAGGGCCTATATGGTCTAAAGCAGTCTGGGCGAGAATGGAATCAGGAGTTCGACAGGTCTTTGCGATGCATGGGGTTCTTCCAGGTAGAGTGCGCTCCCTGCATCTACACCAAGGGACAGGGTGAAGATATGGCCATTGTGGTCATCTACGTCGATGATACATTAGTCATAGCACCACGGCTGGAAACGGTCCTAAAGGTTAAGAAGCAGATTGGTCAGAGATGGAAGATGGAAGATAGTGGTGAGGTCTCTCACTTCTTGGGCATCAAAATCAGTCGAGACCATGCGATGTGCACCATGACGATTGGTCAGTCAGGGTACATCGACCAAGTGCTGGCAAAGCACCTGGACAAACGCACGAAGCCGACCATGGTTCCAATGCAGAGCATACCAGAGGGAACCCTTGTCGCAAGCGCAGCACAACAGAAGGAGTATCCAGTGATTGTTGGCAAGCTGCTCTGGGTTGCCAACAGCACCTGGCCCGACCTTAGTCTCACCGTGGGTGTTCTCGCTAGGCACATGCGTGAACCATCGCAGGAGCATTATCAGGCAGCACAAAGGGTCTTACGCTACCTCGAAAGCACAAGGCAGGTTGGATTGGTTTATAGGGCAAGTGAGTCGCAAGAGCCACTGGTTGCACACAGCGATGCAAACTGGGCAAGCGATGCCACCATACAGAGAAGAAGCACATCGGGGTCAGTGGCGTTAGTGTACGGGAACCCAGTAGCCTGGAAGTCAGCGACACAAAAATGCGTGTCATTGTCTGCTGTCGAGGCAGAGTTCATTGCAGCCACGGAAGCAACACGTGAGGTGCTCTTCCTCAAGCAGCTGCTACGCTCAATTGGCATTGCCACAGGCACACCGACGGTCTACTCGGACAACACTGGTTGCATACAGGTTAGTAAGGACCCAGCACAGCACTGGAAGCTTAAGCACATCAACACCAAGTATCACTTCGTCCGTAACAACGTACAAGAGGGAAGGGTGCAGATCAAGTATGTAGACACCACAAGAAACTTGGCAGACGTACTCACGAAGCCCATTGGGAGGCAGGCAATGCAGCAAGCAAGATCTGGGCTACACCTGCAAATACCAGCAGCAGTGTACGGAATGGGGTCCCCGAGCTATGTGACAGTGTTGAAGAACGGAGGTCACACCTTGAAGCAACAGCATAATGAACAGGGTACATATGCTGTTGAGGGGGGGAGTTGAAGTAGATAAAGCCGCACAAAGCGTGGAGACAGTGAAGGTAGTGCTTACAGCCGAGTAAAAGGCCTGAACATCTTAGCATGGACCACATGTGTCACAACCTACTCAAGGCAAATGCTTTGTTATGCTCCGCAGTCAATGCGGCTCTCTGCCGCTCTTCTTTTGTATATATAGACTCCTAGCTCTCTCGCTCTCTCTCTCCTACCATCATCATCAACTAGACGCCTCAACTCCAACCACTGACGACTGACTCCAACGCACTGATGAATGACTTCAACGTACTGACGAAGGACTTCAACTCTCTCAAC